GCCGAAGTCGTTTATAAATGGTTCACGTCCTTTAAATATTATTATTTTTATTATTATAATACGTGATATATTACGATATTACAACGATATTAAAATTTGTTTAATATCGATTTGTAGCATTAAAAAATCCGGTTTTAAAACGATCCGTTTTTGTGTTGACGACCGTATTAAATCTAAATCATAATACTCTACACTACATAAACAGTGGGCTGCAATGTGTATATGTAAATGTATAATGATTTTTAAGCGCTACCGAAATACACTGTAGCAGAGCACCTCGCTTTCAAATATTTAGGTATTGTAATTTAATAAATTACGACGAAATTAAATAGGTGTAATATATACTCCGTTATCCGGCCTCCGCCGTTCCGTTTTAAATTATTGGTCGCGGGACTTTATTGGTCGTTAAAATTTATTCGAAAATTAATTTTCATTAAATATTCATTATAATACAACACGTTTATACGCAGTCGTAAATGCGATTTAATGTAACTTGTTGCACTTTTAGTTAATCTATACACCAATATTATGTACAGTGTATACGTATCAGCCACTACAGCAGGCATCATACAGTATGTGATGTCTTTGTCCTACAAATGTATGGCATATTAAATTTTCGTTCAGCAGGGACATATGTTTGCTTTTGGTTTTAGTATACAAGTGAATTGATCAGCGTAATAAGGATTTTTTCGATATTTAAATTTTTAAGCGAGATACATAGCCATTTTTTTACTAAGTTTTCTCTGCTGAATACACTGTTTTGCTATGTCGAACGTTCATACAACGGAGACAGCACACCATGTGGTATCGTTTTCTCACGAATTATGCCGGAAGTTAAATATAACCTAAAATATTTGTACATTGTACCCGTCCTAAAATTTTGCTGTTGGTATACATATCCTAGAATTTTTTTGTCGGAGGTAAATTTATCCTAGGATATTTTGCAGAGGACGGTAAATTTCATTTGGGATATCAAAACCCTTTGAAACCGGTATTCCGAGTTCAATCATCAACCACCAAAGACTATCTTCATAAAGTCGTTAGTTTATTTGAAATCTATAAATAGTAAGTATAAATTTTGATTGATTTTGTAACTTTTTTCCAGGATTTACTAGATCGAGTGTATTAGATCTAATTCCTACTATTTACCTTGTGTATACTCCGCTTGGTAATCTCCTCATATCTCTTTACCGTATGGTTTTACCCTGTTTAGTAACGCATTTGGTAGAACTTTGTATGATGTACTAATAAGTAAGATTTCCCTAAAGTTCTGAGTGTTCTGACACTTCATATAGTATCTAGTTTTTATATATTAGGCATAATACATAAATAATACATAATACATAACACATAATACATATATTATGTTATTTTAATGACATGTTCCATGCTGAAGGTATCACTTTGTCTTTATATACGTGTAAATTGTGAAATATAAATTGCATAAAAATATATAAACTTAATTCAAGCATACAAATAATTGTTTGGTCCTAATAATTATTATTGTACGAGTAGAGTATTATTATATGTTATAAACAAGTTATTTTAACGGTGAAGTGTTTTTCTTATAAATTGAAAATAATAAAATTGAATGTTTTTTAAAAGTCGTCATTAAAATAATTATACATATAGGTACGTATAGATATTTTAAAGTTTAATCATTCCGCCACACCTGCAATACGTTAATTTTATTATGCATTTATAACATGATATAAAATGTTCAACACACGCATAGACATTTTTTTGAAATTTAAATAACAAGTAGGTACTTCCTAGTCCCTATTGCATAAAATTAACTATATGTTAATACACGAATACTATTATTATGTTAAAAAGCTTGTAACAATTATAAAATCGTGTAAATATTAATGGTTATTAAATATTATAAACATAGTTTTTTCTCACTTGTTGCTCCAGTTAGGAATACTTATTATAATTCACCGATTTGTTGTTTTACTTTATTGTACACGCGCGACTCCGCAACTTTTCGTAATAAAATTAAAAATCAAAAAACGAATTACTTATTTACGAACTAGGGAAAAAATGTGGGAAAAAACATATGTAAACGCAGATATTTACCAATCACCACTATTACAATTATTCCTGTATGCTATTTAAAATCGCACAGCATAGGCACATGAAACATATTGTATGCCGAATAACTTATGCTAGTGGTAAGCATATTTTTCATTTCTACGACCAGTTTTGAAGCTACTAATTTTTCTTGTATAGTTACACAGTAAAAACCAAAAATAAGAACTAACTAAATATGAAAAGTAACATAAAATTGAAATCGTTATTTAAAATAAAATATATAGTTTGTATTAAACGCTACTAACCAACTGAACAAGAAAATGACGTTAATGACCAGACTAAATCAGTATAAATATATATACGTATATACAATTCCATAATTTCCTGATTTTTAGAGAAATGACGAAGAAAATTCCCGGCCAATGACATAATTTCCATCTTTTACAACTTATACAGGCTGCCCCATGAAGATATTATATCCCTTGAAAATATCCAGAAATAATAAAGATAATCAAATTCTGTTTTGTACATTATTCACAGGGATGAGGACAACAAATATTTATATTTTAATTAAATTTTATTTTTATTAAAAAAATAACTTTATTTTATTATTTTCGAAAAATTGTATGATATCCATTATGTAGATTTAATTTTTCTGAACATTTCAATGCATCACACATTTATATCCGATGAATAATTTCTAAGTAACAGCCGTTTTTTTAGATTCTACTAATCCGTGTGAAATTACCGATATTATCGCGTAACGCGGTTAGGTTATTCCCATCGAGTACGTAATAGTTATTCCATAGATAACATATTTATAGTTTTCATATAGTAATGAATGCCGAATAATATATTACTCACTCACTGTCTGATCGCTACATCTCAACGAAAAAACGTTTAAACTTGAAATTCAGATTAATGATTCCTAGCCCTAATGCTGTAGATGTACAACAAGAAAGGATTTTAAAGAGATTGAGGTTAATCTGATTAGTTTTGTATTCAAGCGGATTTCATAGCCGATTCGTATTGTTCGACGTGCGGCCGGCTTTAATTACTGTATAAAATAGTAATCCGTTACAATTTATACCCCGGTCAAGACTGCAGTTTCATGTAAAGCAGGGTAATAGTAATAAACATATACCTTGATAGATAATTGTTTAGAAACCATGATGATGGAGTCAGTCATTGTCAAATGATTTCGTCATAAGGAAGATGATGATAATTTCTAAACAACTATTATTATTTGCATGATTTTTTTTGTTTTATACATGTATAGGCACAATAGTTTATTATTTTTTATTATAAATATTGAAGGGGAATGAATTCTTAAGACGAAATCAAATTGTACGATTAATTAAGACAAAAATGTGCGCCTATACAGTAAAAAGTCATCGAGTATGATTAGAATCGATCAGTATGATTTTAATCATATCATTGTCCCCAAAACGAGATAACCAATCGGATTGACGTTGAAGAATCGCCGTTTCTTCCAAACTGAAATTTATATTTATATATATTATATAGTATACACGGATCTATACTTCTTCTCCTTTCTATTATATATACATCACAAAACTACTTAACCTATGCTCTGTGAAGTAGATAGATACACTAAATACACTCAGGAGGTCCGAACTCGCTGAGATTTTAGCCCCCCGCTGGCTAAAAAAAAATAAAATAAAATATTATGTTTTTGATAGATTAATATATTATGTTATTAATATATATACCTGCAACACGGGTCCCGGGACTTGTATAAGGCTCAACATTTATGATTGCGCAAAAATTACAATAAATGGTACTCGATCTGTATTATAAAGCTTATTATAGGCACAGCAGCTATGAAAGTCCTTAAATTTTATTTCGGACAAAAAGCTAAAAGCTTTGTAGTTTGTACACAAAAGTTCATGATTTGACGACCATTGATTTGCTCATAAACCAATTTACCTACTCAACCTGCAAAAAAACAGATAGTATGATTCACGGAAATCTTTATTAACGCACAAAATATTAAACAATTTAAACAGTACTTAAATATTTTCTGATCGTCGTATTTACCCGTTAAACGATTCGGAGATACTTCCGATCCGTGCTGTTCCGTTCGTCTTAAATATATTTGATATTCTGCTGCCTCAGGTCATTTCCTTCACTGACCTAAATTGTATTAATATATTGTTTATTTATTATTTGGTGGCATATACCATACTATTTTGTTACTTCAGTTGAATGCGTTAGTCCTGCAACCAGTGGCATAACCAAGAAGGTTATTTTGGGTGTTCTCTCCTTGAACCGTATTAATAAAAATTTATTTACACTATATTCAAAAAAAAATTGCATGAATTGTTTTTATTTTTCATTAATATGAAATATACCCTAGCGTCCCAAACTATTAATATTAAAATAAATTGAAAACCAATTTTAACGGTATAGTTCAAACAAAGAGATTATTGATTATACGCGTAACAATATAAGAAACTACCATTAATAAATTTGACGCAATATTTTGGAATATTTTCGTTTCAAATGCAATCACGTAAGTCGTATGAAAAATGACACGGTAATCTGGAGGTCTACATCCACAAAACCTAACCTAACCTAACGTTTGTTCGAAGCGCCCCAATTTCCGTCTCCGGTCCGAGCTCCTCAACGCGATATTTTCGGTTAGCACGGTGTCTGCGTGATGCCGATTCGTGGCTGTGGCGGTCCAAGATCAATAATCCCGAGACGGACAACACGCTCGTCGCTCTGGCACGTCGACATTGAACCGAGGAGTATGCATATTATAATAAAGAAGAGTGGAAAAATAAACCCGGCAAAACGAATGGAAAAAAACGACATAAAACGCATAATAATATTTAAAAACTCGTCGGGTCGTTATATTATTATTATTATTATTATTATGTTCGTGCCGGCCGTAGGTGTGCGTTTGTGTGTACGTGAAAATCGTGACGGAACTCGGCCAGCGCGTCCTTGGTAACGATACGCCGCCGAAGAAACGGTCTCTCCCGGCCCTGAACCGGTGCGCGCGGAGAGACCGTCGAGCGTCGTCGTCGCCCGGGCATTCCATTTGTTTTTGCAGTCAAAAGCGAGAACACGACGCGTTCTATAATACTTCAGAGAGGACGTTACACTCCCGATATTGCACGTATATGGGGTCGTGTGTAGGCAGTTTTAACGGGACATTTTGGTTGAAGGTAGGTTGGAGGGAGAAATGAAAACGTACATCGATTATAGTTATAGCGTCTGGAGGGGGGAAGGGGGTAAGACGAGGCGTCTGGGGACAGGTGCCCCATTTTGCTCCCCCCCAGGTTTAAAAATTTCAAATACAATTTTAATAATTAATTGATATAATTTTATTTTAGGTATTTTTTGGTGTTTGATTTTATTATGCCCCTCCCTGAAAAATTTCCTGCGGACGCCCATGGTTATAGCCACACACCTCATCACTAATATTATCACGAATCGATTCTTTCTTAGTTTTTAAATTAAAGCAATAAAATAGAATAAAGTTTTTGAAGTGTAATGCATGGGACCTAGTGGCAGTTACAAATGATGACGTTCGCCCTGTCGCTTTGGGTCTTATTTTTTTTTTTTTTATATAACTCTTATATTCTACAATTGTTCATCTAATATACGTAATTTATTAATAAAATTCGTTCTCCCTTGAACAGCCCTTGGATCCACCACTGATGGGATTCAAATATAAATTTTAAGCGCTTAGAAAAAAAATTACTACATTTCGTTGGACTTTTTCGCCTACTAATTTTTACTTACCTACCAAAACAATTTCAATCATATAAAACTTGAAAATTAGACTAGATACAATTAACTGAGAATTAGTTAGAATTTTTCGAAAACTGTACCGTGTCTGTGTATAAAGACTACACCTATACTATAATTCAGTGAAATTCAAAGATTATTTTTCACTGAATAAATAAAATAGAATATAACAGAAACCATTACTGTGTAAATGTAACAGTTAAAAGTTTTTCCGAAATTTTTTCTATGGTTTACCCTACAATTAATAATACTATAATGTATAAAGAAAATCAAAACATAATCTATATCATAATCTAATAACGAAATAAATATCGTCTAATATGTTGACAAAAGTTAACCTGCAGTAATATTATTAGTCTTTGTTTTTGGAAATTATTAATTACTAAATTATGTTTAAAAATTAATGTGGTGGTGTGGGAAGCAAATTCTCCCTCGGGTTAGTTTGAGTTTAATAATTGCAAAGGACACTACTTTTGTTTAAGTCTTGTAGCCCTTTTTATATTATTTTTCCGATTTAAACACTGATTTGCTGTATCAATAATTCTTGGGGTCTTCCCCTATGGCCTATATCAACCGGGACCTCCACCTACCTATCGTAATTGTCCCGCAGATCACCGGCTTAGCGCAGTGCACTATCTCTTATTTTATATAATAAATAGTATTCGTTTACACATAATATTCGACATCTAAATATATAAAAAAATAATTTTAAAAAATCGCAACTTCCTATTAATACCCAAATCGATATGCAACCATTTCTCATTACGATAATTTATTTTTATTCACTCTTATGAATTTTTTTTTACGTTGAAACACTGCAATGTTACCAAGGTAATAAATAAATAATAAACAATAAATAATAGAATAAATTCTATAGTAAAAGTTCCAAAAACTGATCATGTTTAAGTTGGTTAATATAATATATTGGTGTCGACAATTTGTATCAAACTTTCAGTGAAATAAATCACACACAAGTAATATAATTTTCACCACAGTTTCTGGTTAGTGTCCTACTAACGATCATTTCTTTTTGTGTGTTTGATACATTATGATTGTGTTTATGTCACGGTAAATTGTATGAAAATTGATTACAATTAAATAATTATAAATGTGTCACTGAATCAGAATAAATAAAAAACAAAATCGATTTTATCAAAATTGCGTATAGTATTCTCATTTCTGGATTATTATTAAGAAAAGTACGAGGAATATCAAATGATGACCTCCAAAATATGTGCCAACTATAGAAACAATACATTTCGGTTCCATAAGCCATAATATGGTGCTAACGGTCGGAGCAAGTCTTCTGCTTCAAAACTTGAAAACCAAAAAGAACACAAATGATAATATTACATAGTATAAAACCAATAGATCCTAGATGGTCGTCAAATTTCAACGTTACGCCACTGGCGTCCTCCCTTTAGTTTTCGCAATGTTTTTCTTCGCTAACAACAACGTGCTTGATTTCTGACGTCGTAATTATTGGTATGTTATATAGGTATCTAACCGTTTGTCAATATTGACTTACTATCGCGTTATATAATACACGCGATAATATTTTTTTTTTCTTATATATATAATTTATACACTTGACGATAATATATCAAGTTACTCTATTCCGTCATTATAAAATAATACATTATACAAATTATAGCAATCGAATATCGAAATATTTTACTTGGCAATAAGACGTGTTCCTCGTGGCTTCGAACGTCGTCTTGTGATCATTTTTTCTCGACCATCGACGGCCAAACAAAATAATATTTTAACATTTGATATCTGGAACACGGTCGAAACACTGAGCACGATATAAATCTATACTCGATACCGAAAAATCATATTGCGTGCGTATAATAATATACGATAATATAGTTCCATAAATTCTGTTGCCGTCGCATAAATTATCGAAATTCGACTCTTTAAGCAACAAATCCTGTTATTAAGGCGATATAATATTGTAGATATATAGGTTCAGGCGTTTCAATGTTCGCTGACCCATGACGTCGTCACTAGTGAATTATCAACAACAACATCTACCTACATACGCGCATTATACTCATTTCCATGGGTGCTTATGGAACCAAACACTATCAAAATTATAAATATTGTAAATATAATAGCTGACAGGTGCATCACTGGTTGGTTAGGTAGAAAACATAGTAATTTTATACTTTATCTGCATGGGACGATAAATCGTTGTTAGCGGAAAACATGTTTTGCCATGAAAACTGCTGCATTGCATATGCATCCAAGTAGTTGTGCATATGGTGATGTACCATGAGATGGTAACTATTTGGTACTCATGATGAACCTCGTATGAAAATGGCAATCATTTCTATTGGCTAAAACAATTTTTTCCGCAAAAAAACTAAATAAAAACTAAAAAAACAGCTGATACTGGGGACAGGTGTGGCCGCTGTTGTAGATGAGTGATGGGGAAGGAGGTATACATAAAGTTATATCATTTATACCATTATATATGTATATTGAACTAAAAAATAAATTAGGTGGAAAGTGGTTAGTCCGCGGACTAAAAGTGTTCTAGTGTTTCATAAATTTTTTTCATTCGTGTTACCATAGATAAGGGCACAACACAGGGATTAAACTATAATAACCTCTATAATAACCCTAAAAATAAAATGACAATAGTACTGTAGTGCTGTTAATGTACCAAAAAATATGAAAATTCAGAGATAACGTTTTACGTGTTTTCACTTTTCACTTATCCATCCAGTACATAGTTTTTTGTTTTTAATATCATTCATGTTACCAAGGTAGCCCATATTTCAAGCCAATAATAGATCGGTAGATAATTAAATAGACTATTTTAGGTTGTTATAGATGTTATGGCATTTTTATTTCTGTTTGTTATTTGTTTTTTTGTTTTAATTTTTTTTTTTCATTTCATCCATGTTACTATAGTAATCCATAATTCAACAAAAAAAACTACCTAAAAACTTTTCATCCCCTGTTTCATCTCCTTCGAGTTTTATTTTTGGGACAAAAATTAGCCTAAGTTTTTCTTCAAGGTCGCATAATATAAGAACTTCAAAAAGGTATGATTCCGAAATTAAGTCAGTCCGCTAAATTCTGACTTTACCATCGTTCTTAAATCGACAAGAGGTATATATACGATCAAAACAAAATGAAAAATTTACATGGATCAGTAGCTAAATTTTTTCTTTATAATTTTTTACTCAAACGATTTTCGTCAAAATTTGGTATTAAAATTGATTTATACAAAAAAAAAATACCACATAAACCTCAATGGTTTTTTTTTTTTTTTAACCACAAAATAGAATTTTTAAGGAACCTCCTGTTAAATTTTCAAGCATTTCTGTAGACTCTAACAATTTTACTACAAAGTACATTCCTAATACAAATTATGTACAAAACTCACTAAATTAAAATGTTTATAATTAGCTCAAATATTGATCAGATGTTATGAAAATTTTACCGCGTCTAAGAAGATCAAATATAAGTTTTCAAGTCTCTGTAAATATATTAAACTAAATTACATTAAAAATACAAAATTGAAAATAATAAAAGAATTATTTTCGTAATTATTTTCTGTACTTTCTGAATTTGTTTTCGGTTTTGCTCAATCATAAAAAAAACTACAAAAAAAAAAAAAATCAAAAAACGACTTCCTTGTTCACCAACTAGATTAAAATTTCAACAAAAAAGATTTCTAGATGCTTCTTTATTGGAGCAATATTTATGGTAGAAAACATAAGCAGTATAAAATGAAAATAATGCAATAGTTGCACCGTAATTTGAAAAAAATTGTATTTTTCGTCTTTTTTGGTTTTTTCCAATCCAATACAAATAAAAAATACTTTGGATATCGAATAATGACTTCATTTTCAGTAGCGAAATATTATTAGGAACAAAATCGAAATCTCGTCATGTTTTTATTGGAGTAATATGTCTGGTATAAAACATCGTATAACATAACATAATAAAAACAATTAAAACAGTATCGTCGCGACGCACCGTAAATATTTACCGTTATACCCATAATTTTCCTTAGGTTTTTCCCGCTTATTTCGAAAACCCCTTAGAAAATCAAGCAATTAGCTTCTTCTTCTTGGTGTTTTATGTACACCAACTAGAGAAAATTACCTTTCAGAAAATATGCTATAGTTTGTACTTCGTAGCAAGTTTATTATTACCTACAAACATTACATAACAAAAATTAGTAAAATAATTTAATTTCTAATAGTAAATTTAAAAACTAGTTCTTATATTTAAATATTGATCATTTCATTGAACAGAATTTTACTTATATTTTATCATGAATTATTTGCTAATTTACGATGTGTAATATTTTTAATATTTTCTTCTAATTTTTTAAGAAACGCAATTTGTTATACATTAGAGTAGGTAGGTAATATAGGTACCTAACCTACCCCTACTAATTTTTCTCCGAGTAAAATACTATGCGTCACTTATATATAGGGATTAATTGGGAAAACTTTGAAATGGGAACTTTATCTAACGAAAATTGAAGAGCGTTCCTGTGAACTAATTAAACGTAACCAAACTTTTAGGAAACTCATCATAAAGGCAGACCATCTAAAATGTTTTCTCTCATATACATTTGTTCAACAAATTGTACTAATAAGGTTTAATAATAAACTAGGCTCCCCCTCAAGTATTAGTATACGCATATGCTCATTTAGTAAAATTAAAGAAAAACGGAGTCTGATAACGTAACTATAATAAGATTTAAATAATTCCTTATAATCAAATTAATACGAGTTTTTAAAATGTCTTTAAATATTTCTTAATGACAAAACTAAAGTTTTCCTTCGGATTTCAAAGAGTTAAATTAAAGAGAATTAATAAATTTACTTTTAAAAAGAAGGAAGACTCCATTCCCCTTCGTCCTTTCATTACTTTTATCACTGTTTATATACCTATACTTAACCAATAACCTCGTTAATTATCGCCAAAATGCATAATATATATTCTTAATAGTGTCATATTTTATAGTTAGGTAAGTAGGTATACCGAGTTGTTCTGTAATAATATACTTTACACGCCACCAATAAAAATATACACCAACAACTGCCAATGCGCTTTGGATAATATTCGTGTTTATTCTATTTATTATAAAGTATTAGGATACAAGATAAGATAAGAATAAATAAGATTAAGTATCTAAAACACTGGAAATATGTAGTAAACAATGTTAATGGTTTAAACGTGATTAATTATTTCGATAAAAAAAAAAAAAAAAACGTGTATCTAATAGTATAACGATCGAAATTATGTAATTGTACAGGTCGTTAAATCACAATCATATTTTTATAACCGCATAATCGTATAGGTATTACATTTTTTCAGATATTATCCAATTCTAATAACATAATTGGCAATCGCGCCCGTCCCTCACATTATTCACGTTCAGTACTTGTTAAATTAGGTACCTACGCTTAACTGTATCATAGTTATTGTATTATATTGTGCATTTTGAAACATAGATTAATAATTGAATATAGCGTGTTAATGATGACAAAAATGAATAATTAATCTGCTTCAAAACGTGTGACCATGTCTGTAACGGAGTTAATTTTACAATCTCTGTCGATAAAAAATAATCTAAATAGTTATATCTAATAGGTACAATAAGTTTTAAATTTTGGTTATTCTCTAAAAAAAAAAAGAGAAAAAATGTATATTGGTTAGAATATAAACACTATGGAACAATGTTATTCTACCTACGATAGTATAATTATTCAAAAATAACAATCACATTATTACAACGTAATATCTCCCAACGTTACTACCATTTTAGATTCTGGGTGGAGCGAGAAATGTATTGGTTTTACAATGATGTGTAGCCTGTTATGATGATTATAAAGCACAACGTTTGCTTAATATTACTTAGTATGTAGGTATTAAATATTATAACTTTATTCTTAAAAAGAAAAAAAGACGGGCTTACTTCACACGTGGGTGCAGCCGGAATCTTAATATGAATATGATGTTAGATTTTGCGAGAAAGAAGGAAACATAGGTTATTATTAGAGATAGGATATTAATGACTGTGTTCATATAACATAGGAAACCCAAAAACCAAAACAATTATTCAAATTTCGTATCAAAACCATATAAGAGCCACCAAGACTATAGCTGGATCAAATGTTTAGTTTTAAATTAAATCGTCTATTATTTTTGTTACAAATACAATTAGCATTTATTTTGAAAGTAATAAACAATACTTTTGAACAAATTTTGGAGAAAGAGTTAAACTCTCAAACCCCTTCTCCTCAGATACGGCCTTGACAGACGTCCTATAGGGGTTAAATTTAGGAAATGTAGCTTCAAAGTACACACGTACTGGTTTTCAGATAGCTTGTGATATTATTTATTTATAAATTAACACCTTACGGTTTTTTTAGAAATACCTAAGAAGTACATAATTCATTAATTGAACAATAAATAGTGAACTTAGTAATCGACGAACGCCTGGTAAAGAATCCATATTGGTTGACCACAGAGGTCTTTCGATACACTTGAGTACAATGAATTAAAATATCTTTCTAAAAAAATGAAAGACCAAAAGTGGGCCGATAATTAGTAACATCACCCGGATTGCCTGATTTCAGAATTGGCATTATCCAGGGATGTTAACATACATCCGTATTAAATTATATAGATACTTTCTATAGGTATTACTTAGCATTATAATAAAATAAACCATCTGGTAAATACCCATTATAGTATTATGAACTCTGTAAAATAATTACAATTATAAAGTTTAAAATATATTTTCGATGGGTACAAATATTTATTTTACATAATCGTTACATTAAATTATACTACATTCTTGAATTTTACATTAATTTATAATATAATTTGTGTTTTTATAGTATAATAGTAAAACATTAACGTCTCCAAGCACTAAAATCCAATTTGTATAAATGTTGTTTGCAATTCCGCATTCCCGAATATCTTTAAAATATAATAATATATTTATTAATGATAATTAAATTTTAAAAAAAAGAGACGGGAATACTTCACACAATGGGTGGCGGTTGGCTACTATTGTAGGTGAAAAATTGGAAGGTTAAATTATATAAAGGACATAAAGGAGAATTTAATGTATATCTGTACGCAACGATTAATCACTGCTAACGAAAAATTATTCTGAGCTGAGAGTACAACTTATAATGAACTTCCAGTTAAATTTTCTAATATTTTTGTTTGGTCTAACAATTCTATTCACAGAGTGGAACCTACTGAAAAAAAATTCGTAAAATTTAAATGCCTATACAAAACTCAAAAATGGCTCAAATGTTTTGAAAATTTGACTACTTCTAGAAAAGGCAAACATAAGTTTTCTGTAAACTGAATCTGTTATTGAATTACAAAAAAAAAAAAAAACAAAATTAAAAATAAAAAACATTATTTTCCTAAATTTTAAAGTGGAGCGAAGAAGCTTATGATTTTACAATAATGTTTATTTATTTTTTTTTTTTATCATTGAACAATTTTTCTAACAGAAATAGTGCTTTAATTTACAATTGTAGTACTTCATCTGAAAGGAAATCTTACTGCGGTGGTACTTTAGGAAAATTATTTTTTAATTTTACAAGGAGTTTTCTAAACAAATGGAAAAAACCAAAAAAAAATACAGTAAAATCGGGAAAAGGTACGAAATGTAGATATTAGTAGAAAAATATTTTGGCCTTATTTTTCTTATAAACTACTTTTCTACCAGAAATTTTGATCCAATTTTCAACGATAGAACTTTTTCTTTTTTCAAGGAATTTTAACTGGAAAGGTACTTTAAAGATTTTATTTTTTGATTTTCCCAAAATGTTTCCCAGAAAAAGTGGAAAACTTGGAAAAACATGAGAAACCGCGAAAAACGTAGGAAAAACGGGAAATCCGTTAAATATTAAACAAATATTGTTATAAAAAATATATAATGTCTATTTAATTATTTTACCATAGTATATATTTTTGAAACAAAAATCAATATCAACTGAACTCCGCTCAGAATCGTTTTTTCGTTAGCAATGATTTATCGTTCCTTATATATTAAATTCTCTTCTGTATCCTATCTTTCCATCTTACCACTTAAAACAGTGGCAAGACCCGTCTACATTATCCTAGGACAACTTTTTTCTTACATTTTTCCCAAGTTTTCCCGATTATTATGAAAAACGCTTAGAAAATCAAAAAATTACCTCTTAAAGTAACAATTAGATTTTTTTTAGAAAAGGTGCTTCACTTGTAAATCAAAATAAGATTTCTGGTAACATTTTTATACATATATAAAAAATAAATAAATAAACAATGTAAACTAATACATTTCCCACTTCCCTCAGTATTTGAAAATAAAACTTTTACTAAAATTAATAATCATACTTAAAAAAATCAAAACTGTATTTGACAAAAGGATTGAAATCGAAATTTGATCAAAAAATTAATGAATATTTAAACATCTTAGGTTTATAGTTATAATTAAAAAATATTTATACAAATTAATTAATTATTTAATGCGTCGCCTGGAGTATTATGAAATGTGTATTGTACGATCGGTTTCGAATCAAAAATTCATCGTCAGGTAAAATCAAAAAGTCTTTGAATCGCGTTTGACTTTGTGATTTTACTTGACGATGAATTTATGATTCGAAACCGATCGTACTTTATACATTTCATAACACTCCAGGCGATACATTCATTTATTTATTTTATTTTTACTTTATTATTTTATTAAAAAATATTAATATTTATCTAATAATAAAATTGATACGTATCTATATTATTATAGGTATTAACCTTTGCTCTTGTGGTCCATAAATGTCGAATGGTACTTCATTTATCCCAGAGCCAGCACAAAATACATGTCCCAGATCGATATTTCTCAGAGCATTTAATTGTTCTAATATTAGACATAAATATGATTATTAACTTGGGGAAACTAGGAATAAATTATAACAATACAATTACTTACCATGAGAAAAACTTCCTGGTTGATTTTCTACATCGAAAAAGAAACGGTCGCCATACCGAAGACGGTAAAATACATCAGCTATGACGCATCTGGCGGTTGGGCCGACCATTGCTTCCGGACATGGTGGTTCAAGTAACGCCCCCACAAGTAAATCCACATCGTCAATACTTGCGTATAATTTTTCTAGTTTCCTTATATCCTTGATTGGAAAAGATACATTACAAATTTAGGCAAACACTTTATATGTAGGTACCTAATTACCAAACTTATAACAAAAAAATACATTCAAATTTAATAATAAGTATTTATTTGAATGAAATAAAAATAATATTCAGTATTGGTATCACTATTGGTTAATAGTTTAATAAACAGTTACAATGTGGTAAAAAATAATAAATATAGAAACTTCAAATTAGTATTAGTAGTCGTATATTATGAGAGCACGTGAGATTACTGAACCGTGCAGAGATATAAAATGTATTTTTTTTATCTCATTTCTAAAAAGTCTTCTTTTTCACCAGCAGAACTAGTCACATTAATGGTTTATAATTATGTTTTATACATAGATAATTTATAAATATTTAAAACAGACGATAAATCATAGATCTAAACACAAATAATTTAATAAGCCTAGCTATTATAATATTTTTTTTTAATATATTATCCTAGTGTAAATTTGGCATTAATACAACATTCGTGGCGTACTTGCACAATTTCAGACAAAACTATTAATTTTCAATTATATATTATTATTATTAGTTCATTAATATTACAAAACTATTTGAAGCCATGATTATGTTCTCAAAACAAATAAACTAATGTTAAATAATAAAAAGTCTTCTGTACACATATGGTTTAAAATTATGGTCAGCGTTTCCGATATTTTATTAAAAACGCTGAACTTAATTTTTTGGTAAAATATGTTGCGCATTTTAATACCTATTCGGTTATAGTTTATACAAATGTTTTACGTTTTAAAACTTTATTATTTGTATTCGTTTTTAGTAAAACAGTTTTATGTAAACTTACTGAAATCGACATAACGTCTGCTAAATCCTTAAATGATGTGGCTTTTGGGAAACCGCACAATTTTCTTATTCTATTATATGTCGGTACGCCAGCATCGCGCCCTCTTTGAATATCTACACTCAATAAATCTTGATTTCCAGTCATGAAATAACGAAACATGAAATTCGATATCTATAATAAATTAAATAACTATTCAGATTATCCATTGAGAGACGATGATACCATTGATATAATACCAAATAATTGTACGATGGTTTTGGTGCACGCCCTGGTGTTTGTGTCATTCCTCTGAGTATATCATCAAAATTTGACCGTCTTACTATGGGATCAGGTTTTGACATCCATTCGTTCAGTTTCACTGAACTCATTATATTATAATTTTCATTTATAAACCTATTTTATCAAAAACCAAATAGGATAGGTTACATAAATTTTAATGAGAAACAAGAAAAATAAATATTTACTTGTATGTTGAAGGCAAAATATTATGAGGTACTCGAAAAGCACTTGCCGTAAATTCTATGCTTAATTGAGGCATGAGCAATGGATCATATCTAGTTTTCCTACCCCTGGAAATAGCTAAACCAACACGTTCTGTAAACTGTTTCCCTGTGAAAAGAATTTATCAATAATCAATTATAATCAACTCAGTTTTAGTAATTTTAAACTAATTTATATTCAATTTTATTTTTTTAATAGGCACTTAAGTATTTGTTTAGAAAATAAAAAATATATATTTTTAATAATTCAAAGTAAAATATTTTATAAGAAATTAGCTTCAATCAAATTTGGTGAGTGTTCAAAAAATAAATACCAAGTAAAATAGGCAAATAATCTCGATAAACCATTATCTGATTTGCTGCACCAATGATCCTTCGGGTTTCTTGATATAGAATTTCGTCTGTCCATCTAGAACATACACGCTTTAACAGACCGGTGATGTAATTATGAAACCTGGTAAACATAGTATGGTACAATGTGATGCCAAAGTGTTGATTTAATCGAGGATCTCCTATGAATAAACATATAATATATAATTAGGTATACATTATACAGAATGATTTTTTTTTTATCATGGACAGCGATTTTTTCGAAGGATTTTAAGTAAATTTGTTTTTGGTTGGTTTAGATTCTGAATAAAAAAATGAAGCTTATGGTTTTATAAAGATTATTATAAAGTTTATTTTATTTATTTTTTTTTATGTCTGTGAGCAACTTTTCTACCAGAATCCTCATTCCGGTGTACCAAGCTAAGCACCTTAATTTTAACTATTTGATATTTCAAATAAGTATTTTTTTGATTTTCTAAGCTGTTTTCATAATAATTGGAAAAAAATTAGAAAATTTACGAAAATAATGCTTTTATTATTTTTTCGATTTTGTGTTTTTGTTATAATGCAATTAAAAATATTCGTAAGGACTTGAAATTTGGATAGAAAACTTATAATTACCTTTTCTAGACATGATAAAGAAAAACCAAAATGCTTGAAAATTTACAAGTATGTTCATTATAAGTCATACTTTGTGTTCAAAAAAAAATTTAATTTAATGCAAGGTTTTTTTTAAAAGAATTGTATTATAAAATTTTAATGAAAATCATAAATATTACGGTCTTTCGAAACATGTATAACCGAATTTTTTTCTTAATCGTTTTTCGTTAGCAATATGGTTTTTCGTTGCGTACAAATATAAATTAATTTCTCTCTATATAACCTACTTTCCCAACTTCTCACGTACAACAGTGGCCCACCCGTCTTGCGAAATATGTCAGTATTTTTTATAGTGTACAATGTACATACTCTATAATCTCATAATAATAATAATAATAATAAATAATACCTCCGTCAAAACATACATCTACGTTATTCCGGCCCGCACATTCCGATCCACTTCTCTCTTGTTGAGGATTGAACTCTTGGCCGTTTATGTTTTCAGTTATTAATCTACCATCCCTATAAGTACGAAGTGAAGCTGCCTTTTCTGGTGTGTGTCCATACAATTGTGAAGAATCAATAAACGATGTTGCTTGATTCATCTGCAAGTAAAAGAAATTTACATTTATAAAAACCATTAAAACTCTGTATAAAGTAAAATGTATTCCATAGAAAATTTGACATACTATTAATTCACTTAAACATTTTTTAAGTTTATCAAATATGTGAAAAATATCTTCTTAAAATGTAACTTTATGTTTTATAATTTTTTAGGGTCACCTATCTTCTTCCTAAACTTCCACTTGACTCGATCTCCTACCTTGCATACACCAACTATCAATTTTACTCAATTATTCTCAATCACATCCAATAACCTCTTTTTCGGTTTTACTCTCTCCTTTCCTACTTTTATTTTAATTTTAATTTCTTACTGTTTTAGATTTCTCTGTCCTAACGATATGCCTAAACAATCTATTTTCTCATATCTTCTCTACTATCAAATAGCTAAGCTACCTCTTATGTACTAATTTCTTATTCTATCTTCTCTCGTCAATCCACTCCTCTACCTAAAAATTTTTCATCTCCACTACACTTATACACTTAAACAAGATAGTCGATCTACCCACACTTTTGTAGAACTTACTTTTAAGTCACATTAGAATTCTCTTGTAACCCCTGAAATTTCTCTCCGCATTGTTCATCCACTATTAATCGTTAGTTTCAAATCCTCATCAAAGCCACCATTTATTTTTTTTATAAAAATTATCCTTAAAACTCTGAACCTCGTATGTTACGTACCTGCTTATTGTAGTTAGCTGTCTTGTCCTAATACTCCAAATTCATACTCTTTATACTCTGTTTATTTAAAATTAAAATTAAAAGTCATATTAATTTCTATGAATACTAACCGATATTTGAGGAGTAATCTTACAGTTGTAATTAAGTGAAGATGTCATTGCGCGTCTAAATTCCATACATCGTTGACCAATTTTACTATATACCGGATCATTGGCAGGTATCTCAATAACTTCTTGGCATTGAGGGGGTGTACGATTATCACAACAGCTTTTTGGTCCTGTTTATAATTTTAAACAAACTTTCTATTTATATTTTGATACGAGAATATCTTCATTAGCAAATTGTTTAATATTTATTTTAGATTCTAACCGGAACAAGTGATTTATTGGTTTTACTATGATATGTGATTTTTTTGTTTGTGTCTGAGAGCAACTTTTCTACCAAAACGCTTTTCCAATCGAAAAATGACAATAAAGCCTTTTTGTTGCATTTTTGATTTAGTTGGTTCATTAAGAAGGTCATTTTTTAATTTTCCGAGCAGTTTTCATTATAATTAGGAAAAAACAAAAATCTTACATCAATTAAAAATCTATTGTTTTACTGAAACGCCAGTTTCAATACGCCAATTTACTAAATCTTTGATCTAGTTGGTGTGTAAGAAAGTCGTTTTTTTTAAAAAATTGTCCGTGTAGTTTTGCTAATAATCGAACAAACCGAAAGAACGGGAAAGTTCATGGAATTGTATCATTATTTTCAATTGTTTTCTTTGATTGTAATTCAGTTACAACTAAAATATTCATAAAGACTTGACATTTGACAAAAAATTTATGTTGTATTGTAAATTGATATTGAAAGAAGGTACGTAATAATAATTATTCTATAGTTAGTAAATCACCCTCGTTCCATTTACCTGAAGTATCAGATAGCAGAAGAGTGATATCATGAGCCGTCCATTGACCAAATTGATTCACGTGGTAGTTATAAATGTCTGGAAAATCCGGACGTGATCTATACAAAAATAATGCGAGCTGCAACTCACGAGGTCCGGGTAACCGCGTACCGTCTGTTTGGTACCGAAACGCATGGTCACCTAACACCATTCGTCCAATACAACAAAATTAATAACTATTAAATTAATACCTACTCGTTTATTATATTTTGTTCAGTTTGATTATAAGTACTTACCGTCAGAATACACGCCCGTGACGAGTCTAACATATGGGGTGCTGGTAGAACCCCACAGAGGATTCTTTAGGTTATTACACCTGCCATTAAATGTCCTGTATACGGAATTTGAATTGCAATTTACCGCAGGCGCGCAATTTCTATAATAAACGTGATTAGCTTGCGGAACATTTCCGTAGTAAAGTAATGGATTTGTTGCCTATATTAAATTTATATTATTAAAAATTTAAACGTTTTAAAAATAAAGTAATAATTTTCGAATATTAGATTTAGAATTTTAGACTATAGCGATCGATATAAGTGCCACTTATGGAAAATAGGGGCATAGGCAAGTAAAGCATATTTTTGAATTTTGAAACAAAGCATGCATATTATTGTTCATCAATTTATACATTTATACGGATTCTGAAGCCAAATATTTCATCAGTTTTGAAATCAGCCCTTAGTTGGAGACAAACTCGTTTCGAAAAGAGAGGTTGGTCATCACTTCACTTTTTTTGAAACGGGAAAACTACTCAAAACCTTAGATTCTTTCAATATAGTCATTCTTGTAAACTATTTTTAAAAATACTGATCCTGAAGATTGGTACACCCTCTACTGTAAGTGGGTATTTGGGAAGGTAAGATACATAGAGTTATTTATTATACCTGTAATCAACGATAAACCATTGATAATTAAAAACGATTCAGAGCGAAGTTCGGTTCGCAAAATTAAATTTTGATATAAAAAAAATATGATTTCTGTCAAAATGTCTAGTCTACGAATATTTTTAACTGAATTACATTAGAAAACCATCATTTTCATACATTTTCCCGTTTTTTTCGGTTTTGCTTAATATTAAAAATACTAAAAAAAAAAATGTATAGACGACTTTCTTAATCACCAACAAGATTACAAAATTAACAAATAATATCTTTTTTTGTTTTTCTATTGGAGCAATATTTCTGGTAGACAACATAGGCCGTACAAATTTAAAAAAATTAAATGGTTATGTGATAATTGAATAAAATCGTATTTTTAATATTCTTTGGTTTTTCCCAATAATTATGAAAAATACTTTACTATCAAAAAAAAATTTTATTCGTCAGTGGTTATATGTTAAAAAGAAAAAAATCTTTTTTTTTATCATTTTTTGATTTGAGCAATATTTCTGGTAGAAAACATCGTGTAAACATAATAAAAATAATGAAAACAGTAACGACGTGCCGTAAATATATGTCGTTTTACCAATTATTTTTTTTCGAGTTTTTCTAAATTATTTTAAAAACCCCTTGGAAAATCAAAAAAATACTTCTTAATTGCACTAATTAGACAAAATTTCCTTTCAGAAAAGGTTCTATGTTCTACACATTGGAGCAAAATTTCTTATCGAAATATTGTTTACAAACAGAAAAAAAACACACATCATAGTAAAACTAATAGATCTCTAAAAAAATTTGAATCTAAACAAAAAAGGTGTCTTTGTGCCATTGTTTCTAATCAGGAAAGAAAATTTCACGGCTTTTGCGTTGTTCGCAAATATCAGCCATTGAAAAAAATAGCGAGCACATAAAACTGCTATCAAAAAAAAGGTAAAAACAGCCCAGCAAAACAATCTCCGGCACTTATCAAACTAACTGGCAACTTGTTAATTACTCGTATAAGTGATACTATTACTCTACAAAAGTCGACACTGCGAAAAATCGTAGGTACTCGTACATAAGTTCCTTATTATTTACTTACTTGTCTGTTTTTAAAGAATTAGGTTTATTTTATTTTTGTATAGATTATATGTATTATAAAACTATATTAATTATTTGTATGAACTAGATCCTAGATTATTTAAATAAATACTAGAGTTAACTGACTATATCTAGTTTTAATTATTGACTCATAACCAAAAATTAATACATACACAATAAGGAACGATAATAAACTATCACAGTATTATTGAAGACGAATGCATAGACCTGATCCGTGATTCTCAGTTTCATATGAGTTTAAAATTATATGTGTACACCTAGCGCCCTCGTGAGCGTAGGTGACCTAAAATAATGACACGCTATAAATTGGTCAGATATTCCGTCAACTAATAAGCTGTCTTCCGTATTCTCTATATTACCTATATTAATTCTTACATAATGTATGCAACACAAACCACAGTAAAATATAGCCAATAACGGTAATCGCCTTCTTCTTCCAACTATTTGGGGTCAGTTACCTTCTTCCTAAACTTCCGCTTGACTCGATCTCCTACATCGTCCTCACATAGGTACACCCACCGTCTTCAAATAATTCTCAATTGTATCCAATCACTCCTGTTTCAATATTCCTCTCCCTCTCTTTCCTCTTACATTTATTTAGATAAAAAATTAAAATTCTTACTAGTTTTTTGATAATAATTATAGAAATGTATTTATCACTTACTTGGATATAGAATAAAGTTTCAAATAATGCAAAAACACGTAAACATAAAGACGAATATAACATTCTTGTAGTGGCTCAAACCTTAAAAATGATACATTTTAAAAAAACAATATAATATAATTATTTAAATTATACTTATAAACTATATGTAGATAACTAAATACTAAGACGAAATAATAATAGATACAGATTTTAACAGCATTGAATATTATATTCAATAACTATTTCAAAAGCCATACCTGACGGGACATGACATCAGAAAATATGAAATAATCACAAATGTGCATAATATAATCCAAACAGTAAGCACCTTACCTAACATTTAACTTACACTATTTCTCAACAAAAAAATTATCTATAGCACTCGTATCGTCACGTTCATTACTTATTTTCTACAATACCTCTGCACTCCTATGACCAAGTGCTATTACCAAGTGCTCCTATGAGTCAAGTGCTACAAAGCCTAACCTAAAAAATGGACACTAATACCAACTCAACCGCCAAAGGTTTAGGCGAACAAAGGAAATAAAAATGAGAAACTACGATTGTAGTTATAAAAAAATATAGAAGCACAGATATACAAGGGTATTATTTTCATCATAAACCATCAATTTTCTTGGAAGATTTTAAGTGAATTTGATTTTTGGTTTTTAATCATTATGGCATCGGTTAAGCTTTATTTTAAAACTATTTTTAATTTTTTAACCCTACTCCGTATACCTTAAATAAGTACATACTTTTATTTTTCAATTAGGAACCCCCTTTGTTTAACACAGATTTAAATAGAAAATATGTTCAAGAAATGTTGATATGCATAATACTAATATTACATTTACTGTTTATGAGTTATTATAGGAGTCACCTTTGACAAACACCTTATATTCAATTGATACGCAAAGAAAACGATTCAGAGGGCAAACTCAGAAGAGTAATCCTTTACCCAGTATTTAACAGGAGAAACTCATGTCAATAAGACTTTCAATTTACTAATTCTTCATCAAGTCCATTCATTGAACGTTACAACAGCATGGGGACGTCTTTTTGGGAAAACAAATTGGCATCAAATGAAATCAGTCTAGAACGTCGTACTAAAAGTAATAAAAGGAACACACTTTTGACCAGAAACAGCACATTACTATAAACAACAAATCAATTACCACCTTACGAAGAAGCCGTTTGAACACCAAAATGTTTTACTTCACCAACAGCCGCTCGACCTGTGAACACATTAGGATCATATGAACACCACCAGCTGAAGCAAAACTAAACAGAAGACAAAAATATAACAACATAAATCGGACACTATAAACTACTGCAAAAACCACATTTCAGCCCAAAAACAACAATTAACTAAATACCAACTTAAACAAACACTTCAATCATCTCATGCAAACAAAGACAAAAAAAATTTAAAAAAACAAAGAAAACCACTACAACCAAAAGAAATCTAGGTATAGGGCCTAAAACTCTAGTAACCGCCAGGCAATCGACCAAAGCAAAACGCCTTACCTTATGCATATCTAGAAACAATTTTAAGGGAGCCCAGGATTTTATATTTCAACAACAATTCCGACAATTTCTTTAGCCCAAATTACGTTAACGTACTTATATTATAAAAAAGGGAAAAGATTTAGAAACGAGATGGAGTCAGGCAAAATTTGTGAATAAAGCGAACAACAAAAGTCTCAACACGAATTGGTCGCTTACCTCGTGTCTCGTATATTCCGAATAGGAACAAATGGACGTAACCATTTGGACGTAGGGAAAACTGAACATTAAATGTTTTCTGCCGGTTTATCTATATTTATAAATCATAAAATTATAAAAGAAAATAAACGAAATGGATTTTGCTTCAAGGTATAAAAATTATACTGATTTTACGATATTTACAAAAATGATCGTAGCTTTTTCATTTGTTTCAATTGAAGATTTAGATGCCACTATAGAACAGTAAGGAAATGATTTATCAAAATGCTTACAACTTTTACTTGACTGGTTTGAGAACAGTTATGTTGGGAGAGTTAATAGAAATGGAAGAGGTCGTTGGACAGTACTATTTCCACCACACATTTGGAATTTACACCTACGAGTTTTAAATGGCCAAAATAGGCCTAACAACCATGTTGAAGCAGCTAATAAATGGTTAAATGTCGAAATGGAAGTTCAACATCCTAGTTTGTGGTCTTTTATCAATTGCTTGTGAAAAGTACAAGCTGGGCGAGATATATTTTACAGCCAACTTGAAGCAGATAACAGTTCCCCCCGAAAATTAAAGAAATGTATTGATTTGGATAGACGAATATTAAGAATTGTGCAAAGTTATGAAAGTAGAACTAAAATATCATTTTTACGCGGAATCACTCAAAATATTTCTTTACATTAATATAATATTTTTGATATTAAAAACTTATTAAATATTGTGTATACATTTTTGACGTATTATAATTATTTTAATTAATATAAATAACTATTTTTGATATTGTATTTTAATTGTTGGCATACCTATTAAAATAAAAAAATTATTTCGGATTTTTTTTACGCATTATAATAAATATATAAATTATATAATTTTTTTTTTTTTTACGTCCAATTGTCCCCACGTCCAAACGGCTACGTCCGATTGTTCTAGATCGCGTATATTTGTATTTTAGCTACCTGCAAACTCTTTGCAGCAGTTGTAGTCAAATGAGTTTTGTGTAACACTTGTAACAATAATTGTGTTTGTATACAATTTCTATGCATGAACCTAGAATGAATTACCTACAAATATTATGGTTTTTATTGTTTTACTCGAATACCAATGTGTAAACGGTTTTACTCACCGTAATAGATCGAACGTCCGCGACTAGGACGGAATGTAGGATGAAACCAAACGTTTTTTGCAGCAGCAGCGACAGACGCGGAATTGTGCGGACCTTAAGCGGAATTGGGTAAAACAAAAGGGGGCGGGGGAATTTTTTAAGGCTCTCACGTTTTGTTATATTATAATATTAGTTATAAACAGAAAGATAAAATATAATTTAGTCGCGTGGTGCGAATGGTCACGGAATTCTGCGACAGAAACGCTTATTACGGTGTGTTATATATTCGTGTCAATTCCATCGGTAAATAATTATTTGTACTTGCTATTGCAATATAACGGTCGCCTATTAATATTTGCACGGCCGACGATTACTGTTTGATTATGGAATGCCCAATAATATCAAACGCAATATCAATATTATAAAATATAGGTATATTATATGGGTAATTAGGCGTTGTGTTAATTTTGCACCTACACGCCTACATTAATATGTTATTATTGTTGACACTCCGACAATAGGGTGTTATGATTGACAATTTTTATTGGATCGCCGACCCTGAACCGGCGATTATCACATGCCGGCGAGTTTGATATTAAACTTTCCAAGGTCACAAGAACGATTATTTTTTTGTACAACCCGCCGGTAATGGCAATTGTTATTACACACACTGACACATTCTATGAACAGGCCGGTATAATTTTCTCGTAGGAATACGAGTAAAGCCGCCGCGCTACAACACTAGAACCGAACCGACAGAACTGAACAATACTCGGGTAGATTTTTTTCGGATGTCGGGACGCCTCGATCATTGTCCCCGGGATTTTCGTTCAGTACCGAATTGGCCGAATGGCAGCGATTAAACATCAGATACCTAATTGTAATATAATGTCACGATTATAACAAATTAACAACCAAAAATCACGTATTGTATTTTTTAATGACGAATTGGATTCTTTTTTTTTTTCGTGTTGCTATTATTACTATTTTCGAACACGTACGACGTATCTATATCTATAACTATTAAAATACTTTTTACTATACATCAACGATGTTACAGAACAGTGTGGGGGGAATGACGGGGATATATTCCCCCTATTAGGGTGCATTTTTAAGCATGCTCAGTGCTTACTCCATTTTTAGTGTTAGATTATGCACGAATTCAAATTTTGATTTTTGTAATTTTTAAGTGTAGTGAAAAACGATATTTTCGAATGCTTAGATTTTTCACAACGCCTAAGAAATATCCTGTGAGAATAACAACTTTGGTTTTTCAAATAAAACCCTACATGTTTTAATGCAAATTGTCAATTAGATGATTTTTTTCTGAAAATATTGACGTATTTTAATCTAAATTTAACGAAAAAATTCTGAGTTATTCTACTTTAAATACAAAACTTTAATAACTGGACAATTCAAAACAAGAAATTGTACATACACATAAAACAGTTGGTATCCAACCCCAATAAAAGGCTTTTATCCCTAGTATTCAAAGCAGAAAAACACAGAAACTATTCGTACAAATTTCGATAACAATACTTCAACATTTTCAAACAAATTATCTGATCGGATATTTTGTTACGGGATTCAATGAAATTGGACGAAAGGGGTGGACCAACTTTAGAACTTTAAAAGCTCATATCTGAGCTGAGTGATTCGGAAATTCCCGCTAATTAGTGCGAACATTTTAATATGGGTTTCTACGAAATCGAACGAATTAAATTACTACCTGAAGTTGGCCCTCCCACCTTTTATAAATTTTATTCGCAAATTCTATGAGTGGACCCGTAAATTCTGGCAAAAAATTCGCAAAAGTTTAACACTAATTTCGATGAAATCCGATTAAGTAGGAGGGCCAACTGTGGATCGGTGTCAAAGGGAGCGTATTTCCCGGCCCATGTAGGTTTCAGCATGGCGAGGTGGTCGAAGTTTGTTTCTGATAATTTAACACACATATTACTAACCCTAACTCTAAATTCAGCACAAATCACTGAAATCGGTAACGTGATAAATCTTTATCTATACAGAGTGTTCCACGGAGATCAATAACTTTTATTCTGTTCAATATTTTTAAGTTTTTATTTTTATTGTTTTTTGAAAAATTTAGTGAATCAATTGACAAAAATATATAAAAGTACTATAGCACTGTGGGCTCTAGTAATCATAACAAAAAATTAAAACTTACGAATACTGAATAGAACATATTTATTACTTTGCCTTATTATCTCCACCTCTTTTAGATTCTAAGTGGAACGAAGAAGCTTATGGTTTTACAAGGATATTTATTTGTTTTTTTTTTTCTATTCTTTTTTTCAACTTTTCCACCAAAGGATTTGCTCCGATTTTTACGTGTAAAAACTTTTCTGAAATGAAATCGGAGTGGAAAGGTACCTTAACAAGGTCATTTTTCGGTTTTCTCAAGAATTATCTCATCAAATATGAAAAACCGAAAAAAACCGGGAAAATATACAAAATATAATAAATATAATATTACGATTTTTTTTTTCTGTGGACAACTTTTCTACCGGCAATTTTGATCTAACTTTTAATGATATCAATGTTTCTGAAAGGAAATTTCACTGGGGAGGTATTTTAAAGAGGTCGTTTTTCCATTTTCCCTGGAGTTTTCTCAACAAATCTGAAAAACTGAGAAAACTGGAAAAATCGATATAACATTAAACAAATATTAAAGAAAATATATAGCCTATTTAATTATTTTACTTTAATGTTGCATATATATTGTTGACAAAGCATCACTATCAACTAAACTCCACTCAGAATCGTTTTTTCTTAAGCAATATTTTATATCATTGCTTACAGATTTACATTAAACTACCTATAATAGTGGCTGCACCTGTCCTCATTATCTTAGGACATTTTTCTTTTTCTTTTTTAATATTTTATTGCGATTTTTGATGCATTTTATAAAATATAGTATAATGTGTCATATCGTTCAGCATTATACACACGTATTTTGTGTTTTTTTCTAGCAATTTTGCTCCAATTTACAACGATAGAAATTTTTCTAAAATGTAATCTAACTGGGGAGGTTCTTTAAGGAGTTCATTTTTCGATTTTTCCCAACAAATGTGACAAACCGTGAAAACCGGGAAGAACTTAAGAAAAACTGAAAATCGATACAATTTTAAACAAATATTAGTAAAGAAATATATAATGTGTATTTAATTATTTTACCATAGTATGGCATATATATTATTGACAAAGCATCACTATCAACTAAACTCCGTTCAGATTATTTTATTATTTATTTTGTGCATAAACTTATGAAAATAAACTTAAAAATATTCAATTGCATTTTATAAATTTAAATTTTTGATTTTATTAAATAAAATACAAATTATTTAGTTTCCATTGAAATAGGAGAAATTTGTTTTCCAAGCACTAAGATCCAATTTTAATAAATGTTCTTCGCAATTTCGCATATTTGAACGTCTTTAAAATAACAATAATATTAAGTCTTTTAATCATATTAAAATTTAAAACCAATAAATATTTACCGATTTGATGATAGTTTAAAGATTTTCTTCGGTACTTCATATATTTCAGATCCAGCACAAAATACATGACCCAAATCAATATTTCTTAAAGCTTTTAATTGTTCTAATAATAGACATATATATTATGACCAAGAGAAATTATGTCATACGCAACAAAATTATTACAAAATAAGTGCTTACCATTAGAAAAACTTCCGGGTTGATTTTCCACATCGAAAAAGAAACGATCAGCATATCGAATTCGGTAAAATACATCGGTTATGATACATCTTGCAGTTGGGCCAACTTGAGCACCAAAACATGGTGGTTCAAGTAAAGCACCCACAATTAAATCCACGTCATCAACGCTTGCGTATAATTTTTTTAGTTTCATAAGATCCTTATTTGATTCACAATAAATTTAAATATATTACAAATTTAAATGAATACTATTAGGTCAATAGTAATAATTTGTTATTTTATGTTACTACAATTAATGCATTTAAAAAATATATATTATTTTTAAAATAATGATTTTAATATGAAATTATTTGTATCTAATTTATTTAGTTATTTATTTAAGTTATTAAAACAATAATAAAACTTACATTAATATAAATGGAATCAGCTAAATCATCAAATGATCTGGCTCGTTTGAAACCACACAATTCTCGAATATGATTATATGAAGGTACACCGCAATCACGCCCTCTTTGAATGTCCCAACTAAGCAAATCTTGATTACCAGGAATTAAAAAACGCATGAAATTCGATATCTGAAATATAATCAAATAATATTAGATTTATAATAATATAATATTATTTGACATAAGTAAAGTTAAAGAACACAATACCGGGAAATTATATGATGGACTCGGTGCACGGCCTGGTGTTTGCGCCATTCCCCTCAGTATATCATCAAAATTTGACCTCTCTACTAAAATATCAGGATTTGATATCCATTCGTGAAGTTTAATTGAACTTGTAGTTTTATAATTTTCATCTACCAAACTATTTTAGGAATGCAAACAAAATAAATGAAATAAAACAAATAAAAAAAAAATTTTACTTGTATTTTGAAGCAAAAGTATTATGTGGCACACGAAAAGCACCGGCACTAAATTCTATTGTTACTTGAGGCATAATTGAAGAGTCGTATTGCGTTGGTTTAAATTCGTTAAGAGATAATCCAAAACGTTCTGTATATTTTTTGCCTGCACATATAAGGAATATAGCATTTAAAATAAGTAAATGACGATTGCATTTAATTAATATATACTAATAAAAACAGATGACGTGCAGTTCACACAAATGTGCAAAAATATGTACTATTTGTGTTTGCAGGTAGCCTAGCATCTCATATTGATAATAAAATAGTTAAGTGAGGATAGATTTAGGGGGTGTGATGCTATGAATGTTTGAATTGGTTGAAAATGCAGCAGTCTCTTTTGTACTTTTGTTGTAATTCTGTTCAAAATATTTGTAGAGACTTGTAATTTTGACAGAATTTCAGTTTTCTAAACATTATCTGATTTTTAAAACATATTGGCAATTTTTGTGCTATTTATAAATATTTTATATTTATGAGATTTTCACGAAGTTATTATTTGGTAGGTACTTAGTGGATGCAATTGTTTGACCACACTGAAATACGACCTTGAAGTTAGCCCCACCAAGTTTTCAGATTGACTTCAAACCTACGTCAATATTTTAGAAATTGGTTTTTACAATTTACAAATCGCACAAATAGCCACAAATTCGATTTTTAGTTTCCACAATTATGCTCTTATATAAACTCGCGGTGACAACTAGCCGTAAACATAAAACCACCGATATTAGAGAATATGCTAATGTGCCTAATCTATGGGTTAGTTATAACAGGAATATTACTAAATAATGGCGTAGCCAGAATTATTCACGGTACGTCTCCCCAGTCCCAATCAAAATAATTATTAAAGGAACATTAAAAAAAATATATATATTAGAGGAGCTTCGTCCTCCTAGTTCAAGCATATTATACACAAATTATACAGTGAGATATAATAAATACTATACTTATTTTTAGTTAAAAGTTTATACCTTTACTTAATATAAATTGTACAGATTACTTTTAATTGCCTATTATTTATTACAAATCGTTTTTTTTTTTTTTTTACTTGGTGCATATACATTATTTTCTGTTCAATAATAGGAAAAGTACAATACATCAAAATATTGATTATTAAATTGTGTTTAAACTGAAAATATCAATATACGTGTGTGATTTAGACCAGTTGGACCAATTGGATCAAGTTAAAATATAATAAAACAGTCCTTGATATATTCAACTATGTATAATGATTTCGAATAGCTTCTTATATTTTATTGAAATGTAATATATAATATTTAGTTATTTATAAATGATTAAAAGGTATCTCTGTAAAAGTAATATTAAAATGATTGAAATTTAAAATATATATTATCAAACTTGATACATAAAATTAAATTTAAAAAATAATCATACAAACAACAATTTAATGAACAAAAAACTGAATATATGATTATAGGTAGACAAAATTGGATGGATCACGTTTTAGAGGTAGATCATTTTNATATCACCAAGGAAGTAGCCGCGAGAATCCAAGCGGGAAACAGGACTTATTATGGTTTGGAGAAACTATTAAGTTCTAAATCATTATCAAGAGAGATAAAGAGACGTTTGTATACTAGTCTAATACGGCCAGTGATATTGTACGGATCGGAAACCTGGGCACTAAAGAAATCAGATGAGAATAAGTTTTTAATACTAGAAAGAAAAATATTACGAAAGATCTTCGGTCCAATAAAAGATAGCATCACAGGAGAGTGGAGAAGAAGGAAAAATATAGAGCTACAAGAAATTTTTAATGAAAATAACATAGCGAGACATAGAGACGATCAAGAAAAAAAGGTTGCGGTGGGTAGGACATGCAATGCGAAGCCAGAACTCTTTACTAAGAATGGTTTTAGAACAGAATCCAGTAGGAAAAAGGCCTTTGGGAAGACCAAAATTGAGATGGGAAGATTTAGTTAAGAGAGATATAGAAGTCTTAGGAGGCGGAGCAAACTGGAAGGATTTGGCNATTTCCAAAAACCAATTTGCAATTATTTGTAATTAATTTGCGAAATATTTGCATAGGTTAGAAGTCGATCGGACAACTTGATGGGGCAGTTAGATTTAGCTCTACCAAACTAAAAATCGAATTTGCGGTTTATTTTTTTTACCGAACAATTAAAATTAATAAAATCATAAAAATATCTGCCTTTATTATAAGTAAGCAGACGTGCAATTAATACGATTAATTCATTCTGGATGAAATGAGTCTCAATTCCTTTACAATATGATTATATTTTAGTTAGAAAGATTTAAAAAAAAAAAATAAATACCAAGTATAATTGGCAAATATTCTTGGTAAACTAAAATCTGATTTATAGCGACAACGATCCGTCGGGCTTCTTGGTATAACACCTCATCTTCCCATTCTGGATTTAATCTTTGTAATTTTTGAGTCAAATAATTATGAAATCTAGTAAAACTCGTCTGATAAATTATGAGCCCAGTGTTCTGATTCATTCTAGGATCTCCTAAAAATAAAAATGAAAACCATATTTTTGTTTTTTATTTTATTATATTCGATAAGCATGCAATTATTTATATGTTTGAACCAACATTTTCTAATATGTTGATTATGAATCAAATTTAAACTTATTTTAGCTAATCAAATGTTTTTCATAAAATCATATTTTTTTAATAATGCTAATATTTAAGTACCTGCATCAAAACATATATCCCATATATCGCGTGCATCACATGATGGCCATTTATTTCTATTTTGTAGAGGGCAATAATCATGTTCATTTATTCGTTCGGTTTTTAATCTTCCATTCTCGAAAGTTCGAAGTTCTGCTGCCTTATCTGGTTCGGGTCCATATAATTGAGATGAGTCAATAAAGGATGTCGCCAAATTCATCTAAGCAAATAGCGAATTTATTTAAATAGTGACAAATTGATAAGGGAAGTTTATATTGTGAACAAATCATAAGTCCTAGAAAACATGTACCTGGATAGTAATTTATAAATGATCAAATACTAACCGGAGGCAAAATTATTTAATTTACCTATTTATATTGTAAATATTAAAATTAATAATGTATACTAACTGGAATTTGGGGAGTAATAGTACAATTAAAATAACGAGTAGCCGTTTTTGCACGTCTAAATTCCATACATGTTGTGCTCGACTCACTATACACTGGATCATCAATTGGTATACTAATAAGTGCTTGACATTGAAATGGGGTATTACCGTCATTAGAAATGTCACAACAGCTTTTTGGTCCTATTCAAATTATTTACAAATATTAAATGTACTATAATATTGTTTGCAAACATTTTAAAATCAAATTGAAAAGTAAATTTTAAAACTATTTAGTATAGACATTTTATTATTTACATTAACAATTATATATTTTTTTTAATATCATTAAAAAAAACCCGGACATACTTCGCACGTAGGTGCAGCCACTGTTTTGGGTGGGAAGTTGGGAAAATAGGATATAGAAGAGAATTTAATGTATATCTGTAAGCAACGACAAAACATTGCTCACGAAAAGTAGATTCTGAGTGGAGTGACACTTAAAAATCGGAGCAAGATTATGATAAAAAAAGCCACGCACTTCACTCAAAATCTAAAATAATGATTAATGATGATGATAATAATAATAATAATGAGCACTTTAAAAGTCATAATCAGTATCAGCATTTTAATAAGAAGCATAATAAGTACCAATAAATATAATGTTCACTTAAATAATAATGAGCATTTTAATAATAATAATCAAATCAGAATCATAATAATTATCAATATTCATAATAATATTAATCAACAATAATAATAATCAGCATACTTTTAACAACCATCAATAATAATTATCAACAAATACTCTTATTAAACCATATATTGATTATAAATATTGTAGGTTATTTTATTAAAATACTGATTATGATATTTATTGATTATCATCATTATTATTGATGGTTTTTATAAGCATACCGATTATTATTATTGTTGATTAATATTATTAAAAGTATTGACGAATGATGATTAATATGATGCTGATTTGATTATTATTATTGCTGATTATGATATTTAAAGTGCTCATTATAATTATTATTATGATTTTAGATTCTAAGTGTAGCAAAGAATGTATTAATTTTACAAAGATGTTTATTTTTTTTACTATTATTTTTTTTTTATATATATGTACTCTCTCTTTTTTTACCAGAAAGCAAACTACATAGATCCTTTTCTGAAATAAAATTTTCTTGAGGTGGTACTTTAAGGAAGGTCATTTTTTGATTTTCCCAGAATTTTTTTCTCAATAAATGGGAAAAACCGAAAAAACAGGAGAATATACGAATGTACCTATAGTAAAATATTACGGCTTTTTTTTTCTGTAAACAACGTTTTTCATAAGTGTTGAGAAAACTACTGGGAAAATCGAAAATTTACCTTCTTGGCCATCAACTAGATTGAAAACAACAAGAAATTCAATAAGAAAAATTGCATTGTTTTTCTATTTGAGCATAATGAAAAACAGAAAGCTTAAAAATCTAAAATAATGAAAACGTTGCGCCATAATTTCAAAAAAAAAAAAATCGTATTTTTCGTCTTTTTTGGATTTTAGTTTTTCCTAATTATTAAATACAAATAAAAAATTATTTTCATATAAAAAAACAACTTTGTCCGTTAGTGGCAATTTATTAAATATATTTTAATATATAGAATGTATTAATAATAATATTAAATACACGCACGCTCGTATTTCGTGTTTTAGTATTACGCGTAGTTATGTAAAAACACAAAACGGCACATGAAAGATAATCAACGAGTCAATCAAATGTTGTTTGTTTTATTACATTAGTAAGTAAATAGATCTGTGTATGTATAATAATTGTATATATATTCGGGTATATTAATCATACACGTGTAAAACGTATAACTGCAAAAGCAATTTCCTTAAACACTAATAATGACATATTTTGTGAACAATTGACGAGTTAATATGTTGTGAATAAATCAACTTGTGCCAATATATGTTCTATTTGAAAAATAAATCGTAATTCGAAATGTGTGGATTTTTAGTTTTGTTTATCGATTTTACTGTGAACACGTCAATACATCAACTGTCACTTTGAGCATGGTAGGACGATCTTTTGGTTATTGACATTAAAAGGATGATTGTAGGACATTCAAGATGAATGATGTACTAACCTATACAGTATTACAGTAGTACCTATACATATTTACATGTCTTCAAAACAAATTACCTAACGTATTCGCTAATAATAGGTAGTACAGTTTGTGCATTCATAAAAATATTATGGTAATAATGCTAATAATTACTCCTGGCAGGTTATAGGTAAGCTATCTTATTTAACAATTTAAAGTCGGATGACTTAGGTGATTTCAAAAATCATTACACCACCACATGGAATCAATATTCCACTAATGTACAATCGCCGAAAACGATAAAAATATTGTCTAGTTTTGAATGTAATAAGGCACGTTAGAAGTCGATATACCAAACACGCTGATTACGCATTAGTAGAAATGACTCCATAAACTAGTTTTTAATAATGTTGAATGCACGTACATGTATTAACAAAAATTTAAACGAAATGTATTTCTATCTTATTTAATAGTTTCAATTCAAACTAAAAATATCTAAAATCAAGAAATGCTACTACGGAGTTAATACAAATTATTTCTAAATCTTAATCAATGTTGATTCCAATACAAATTATTTTAAACAAATTCTAATTTATAGTGTAAGCATAAATAATAAATAAAGGATTGGTCATTCGGGCTAAAAAGAGTTCTTCTAAAAATAATATCTCATACCAACCAAAAAAAATGTAAATTATCCCAAATAATAATTTAATATCAGTTTGTGTGTCGGCCTGTACCACGAACTAAAATATACAGGACTGGAAAGAGCTAAAATGTTATTTTTCATCAAAATATAAATATTGAATTAAAATTTAAATATTTGTAGAACTTTTCCCTGCAGTTAATGTTAAAATTAGAATTTTAGAGTTCCCGTTCATAAAAATATTAAGTTAATAACCTAATATCGTTATTATTGTAGGTACTTATCTATACAACCCTATAATCTAATAATTTTGATTCCAAAAGTATAAAAGTCTTATGTTCAGTTAATTTATAGTTTTATCGTCATTTCCTAAGTTCACCTACATTCACCAAAATGTATTATACATAAAAATGTTAACATAAAATATAATTATCGTTATGGTAATGGTCTCGAGATTTTAGGTTTAAATTTTGGTCAATCTGATCTGATAATTTTTTTTTTTTTTTTGTTATCAATTTTAAGAGAACTGGTCATTCCAGACAAAGCCGCAAGCTTAAAGAGTAGTATCATGATAAGCAAGAATGATGGGAGAATGATTGAAGCAAGAAAAACTTATATTATTAAAATTAGAAAAAACTGAAAAACTTTAATACATGGTAAATTAACTTTTCTATTAAAAATCGGTTGCTGACGAGTATAGAAATAAAATAGTCACAATTAGGTGGAACCAATTAAATATGATGAATTTACCACGGGAAATTTAAATATTATTTTAGTAAGTCATTATTAATTTAGTATTACTATTCTTAAAATAACATCGTATTTCCTAAAATGTATGGTTTTTTTTATTGAAAATTAAAATCTCAGTAACTGGATCTATTATTATTATTAGATATTTAATTAATTGTATTTTGATAAATATTATATATCGTTCATTGTTTTATAATAAATATCATATTATTACTAGTTGTGTCGTGTTATTGTATTAAATAAAAATATGATACAATTTGTCTGCAATGTAATATTTTATTTTTATTACAGTTAAAATTTAAATATATTTTACAAAATAAAAAACTGTATACCATCCAATTGCTCTTTTTTATTGATGAAGGATAAAGCTAATGGTTAGTTCAAACTAATGTATTTAAAACCGTGATTTAAACATTGATTTTAAATAATAAATAATTATGAGTTTATAAAATCTTTAATCGATGATCATAATAATTATTGCTCTTTTTTCCCGTTGTTTACTCAACGATAAGACATTACTCTTGTTGATTTACAAAAACCGTTCTGATTGGTTCTACCTTATAAGATATTACGGCCATTTTATTTCTATATTTGTCAGCAATCGATTTATGATAACAAAGTTGTTCTACCATGACCATGTATTATAACTACCTTGCCTGTATGTATAATATGTTATATATGAGTATGAGTATAAGCAACAGTAACCAATCGACTAAATTTTAATTGTAACAACAATTAAACAAATGACATTAAGTATATCGTGTTAATATATTAAATATAATATTAGATGGGTACCTATAAATAGGTATAGTATAAATTATAATACATGTATTATTATTTGTATATTTTATAATATCTACAATAATTTTCATCAAAATTCATTAATGACAATTTACCTGTTATAAAAATGGGTATTAATATTTTAAAAAATAACAAATAAAACTAAAAATTCATCAAGCGTAACATTATTAAAACTAAATTTAGATACTAAAAAATAAAAACCAATAGTTTTAACTACTCTTCGTATATTATATGTTGTTTAATCAGTTTTATTAAGTAGTGTTCCATAATTAAGGTTTTAATTATTAATCAGTAAATTAATTGATTATTTTTTTTACCTGAAATATCAGGTAGCAATAAGGACATATCATGAGTAATCCATTGGCCAAATTGACTAACATGAATATTATAAATATCTGGAGTGTCTCTTGATCTATACAAAAATAACGCTAACTGCAACTCACGAGGTCCGGGCAATTTAGTACCGTCCAATTGTCGCCGAAATTCATAAGCACCTTTATGAAATCGAAAAATAAAACTAATGTAGTTTATCATATTATAATATACATACCTATAATAAATGATATTCGTCCAGTTGTAAATATTAATATTAAACAATGTACAAAATAAAATAAAATTATAACTATAAACATGTAGGCAAAAATATAATAATATATTTCTTTGATTTTATTAGCTAGAAAAAGAACAACTTAGTTTTATTGTACCTATGCAGTTATTTATCACAATAATATACATGGGTCCTTAATACTAAATAAGGTCTTCTGCAACTATTCTGAAGTGTAATATAATAATTCTAATTTTAAATCATATCAATCAAATATAAAAAAAAAAAGCTGACACTCCTGATGTGTGTACCTGTACTAGTATAGATGAGAAGGTAGGATACATAAATTTATTTAATTTATATTTTTCAGCAATGATAAACCATTGCTAACAAAAAACGGTTCTACTGAGCAAAGTTCGTTATAAATGATTTGAAAGGCCGTAATTTGTACGATTGTCGTCAAATTTTTATCTTAAAACCAAAAAAAAATTACATGAAACTCCAATTTTTGTTTTATTATCTACAAAGTACAACTTATAACTTATAAACTTTCTGTTAAATGTTCGGGCATTTCTTTTGGTTTCAAACAATTATATCCACTTTGCAATATAATGTATTAAACAAAAACTCATAAAGATAAAATGACTTAAACATCAATATTTGTCAAAAAATTCAAAATAAACTTTCTTATTCTTATTCAAAAGTGCATGAAACAAATTTTGACAATACGAGCAATGCACATCAAGCATAAGAAAAAAAAATGCAAAGTATATGGATATTCCAACCCAGTTTATAATCAATGGTAAATATTACGTTGATATATATTATTTGTAAACTAACTATTTTCATCGACGTGATTACATATAAGATACCTAAAAATACAAAATATTTTAATACTGTTATAGTGTTTTATAATCATTACATTTATTATTCAATCTCACCGTCTGCATAAGCTGCTTCCAACAGCCTTATGAATGGCGTGGTTGACGCACCCCATGCTGTGTGCTCTAGATTATTACACGAACCGTTAACTGTTCTATACACTTCATTTGGATTACAAATTACTTGAGGTGCACAATTTAAATAGTAAATATCATTTGATGGCGGGCCATTTCCGTAATAGAGCACAGGATTTAAACTCTAAAAATTAAATATTTTATATAATAGGTACCTGCCTATCTACTTATAGTATACAAACTGCTACATTAGGTACACTAGCAATCAGACATAGACAGTAAACACAGAACAAAGTTTCGGAGAAGGGTCATAAACATAGGCGGAATTATTATGGCATGGACTCGGTCCAAACTAATCGCACCCCGTATTAATGTATAAGCGATGTATTAAATAGACATTTACAAAATAAAATATTTTTAAATATCTAAGTAAATGATTCAAAATATATTTATTTATTCCTTAGTACTTAAAATAATAATCATTATTATTTAATCGTAATCATTATCAGAAGTATCAATGAATTTCCCCTCCCCCTCCTCACCATATTTTAAGTAGGTACATGTCTGAATTAATTAGGAATAGTGGCCCAGTCAAATGAAAATGTTTAGTTTCAACTATGGTCATAAGTAAAGAAATTAAACATTTTGAACCATAAAACTAGTAGGTACCTATTAATCCCTTCCTCCCACCCTTGCATACGTGCCTACTAGCAACAGGCATTTTCAAACACTGATTCGAAAACGGACAATTTTTCCAACAAATTTGATATGCATAACTACCCAAATATATTGCTATTTATAGGTTACACAAGTTAAAAAGTTAAGTCAGAAGAGTAGGAAAATATTAAATCTCTATACAATAATAAACCTAGTCAAGACCATGCCTGGGGGGCGACAGGTATCAACGCACCGGGCGCTATGACTACAAGGACTCCATTGAACATTTTTTAAGTTCTGTAATTGAATATTTTTAGGTCCAACGGACAGGTTGAACCTTTTTTTCTCTCATCGATAAATTTGTCTAGCACTGGGTGCCTATTTTGATAGACACTAAACATAGTTATGATAATATTATGTATCACCTTAATAAATTAAACTTACATACCTAATTACACTACTAAACATGTTAAAAAAAAATTGAAAGATTACATGAAATACTTACTTGATTACTTAATTGTATTCTTAACAACAATACGATACATAATAGCCACACGCACAAATTTAATATCATTGATTCAGATAGGTATACACAGCGGAAACCTATAATATATTTATTAGTTAATTTGTTGTGCTCTATAATATTTTTGCAATCATAAGAATAATAAAAACTATTTAATTTTTGTTTTTAATTATTAGGTAACGATTAGATATATATGTACCTACATTACGTTTAAAAGTACGTAACCATATTTAAGACAACCCCTATTAGTCCGACTAAAAATGGAATATGATAGATATACTTATATCTAAATAATGTAACATCTATTCTTTTGAAATGCGTTGGTAGGTATACATTTAAAAAAAATAGTCATAACTAAATCTAATCAACAAATTAAAACATCAACTACAAAAACACCTATGGAAATGATGATAAAATGATTGATGGACGTTTTACATTATAAGTAGGTAGCTAGAAGAAAATGTGTTTTCTTTTTTATTATCTATACTTAAGCAATTTACCTGCACGAATCAACAATATAGAATTGAATTATTCACAAGTACCTACAATCTATATAAGCTATACAACTTACTGGAGATTTTAATTAAATTATAGGTAGCTTTAATTTAGATAGTCTTTCTAAATACAAAATATTATAATTGACGATACATTTTTCTTCTTCTATCTCGATTTTCCTCCCAACTCATCGAGGTCGGCCAAATCGAACAAACAATAAATCATCGTACTAATCAAATATTTATTTATTATCATATAATATACATACGTATATAACGCATGTGTGTCAAAAATCATATCTGATCATATATGACATGTTTGTATGACAGACATGTTTTTTTATGCAAAATAGGTACATAATAATATAGGAAATGGAAGATTTGATAATTTACCTATAGGCTGGGTACCCACTTGCTATATATTAATATTTTTATATTGACAAACTCATTATTTTATCGAATATCAATTCACATACTTCATTACATTAAATGTATGTTTAAAGTACCTTGAACTCTGCTATAATAATAAATAAATTAAATAATTTTTAAATAACATACAAACAAATATAATAAACTCGTTTAACTTATATAATTAGTCAGATCCGCTCTACTTGAAATGCTACACCTTTAATTTCTGCTTTTAAAACCAACTACGTATGTAATAACCTTTTTACTAGGAGGGTAATGAACCTCTCGTCTCTTACTAAGCTCACCAAAAATTCTATAGTTGTTTATAAGTTAATTATGATCTTTTATTTAAGTGGTAAATATTATTTGGACCCTGTCCGCTTTATGCAAATAAAAAAAAAAATACATGACTATATAATTTAAGTAGGTATTACTCTATATTATTACATTGGTATCTTGATAATTAGTATTCATAAAAATACCACTACCTACTTTTGATTTTCAAATGGTAACATATATTAAAAATTCCATAAATAGATGGAGTAATAGTTAAAATACATTTTGGTGTTGAAATTTTTAATTTCCGTCAATCCGTTAATCCAATCATCTTCTTGTTCTTTCCCTGCACAATGGCGCAATTACAGTTTCTATTCATTTATTTTGATCTAGTACTATAGTATAACTATTTAGACTTGACAGTGATGGTGCCGATGTTTAAAATATTGGTGGGTTCTCAGATTTAATGTTTGTACTCCTAATATCAATGGATGAGTAACCATCGAATCGACTTTAATGTGTAATTGTATACAAATGGCAACATCAAAATATTTTAGATAATCATAAAAATAAGTAAATTTTAATAAATAAGTATAGTGAACTAATAAAAACGCTATGTTAAACAATATTTAACAGTGTAATACATTGTAATTTTTGATAAATTAAATACAATTAATAAAATAATACATTAAAACATTAACTGTAATGAAAAAATAAAAAAATGTTATTTTTCTTTAGTGTTCCTTCCTAAATAGCTTTCAGAAATTTCATATGCAGCTATATTAGTTTTTAATGCAGATGGTACTCCATTGTGAGTTAAATACAGTGAACCAGCCAACAATTTATGTCCAGCGGAGGCTAATTGCTCACAAACTAATCTGCAATTCTTTCCACTATTTCCAGCCAATGCTCGACACATAAGGTTATTCATTATCTGTTCGCTTTCAATCAATTGTTCTACAAGCCCATACTCAAGAATAGTGTCCAGTACTGAATCTGGTAGATCCTTAAATCAAATATTTTATTTTATTACAACTACACACCAATATTCATAACGAATTTATTAAATGAAAAAAATTGAAAAAAATTATAACATATAATTACTTTTTATTACTTACATTGTTAGTATGAAAATAATTTATAGCTGCTGCTTCTACAGTACTTTCTCCAGATAATAAATACAATAAATTTAATAAAATTTTGTTTACATTTGGGATGTCATTGAGATCTTCTAATTCCTAATGAGTTTAATTATTATATATAAATAAATAAAATATATTACTTATACAAGTTTAATTAATAACAACTAAATATAAAAAAAATATTAAACATACCTGTTTACTGAAGCTATATTTACTACAAATATACTTCAGTACAGATATTGAAATTCGAAACTCTAGGGGTTCAAAAACTAGCAATTTCTTCAAAGCTTCAACCCATTCTTTATTATTACTAAAACATAATAATAAGTTGTTATTTTTTGTCCAACAATAAATACTTAGACTATTTTTCATGTATTATACTGAAATATTTATTGTTAAAAGGATATCTGACTCCAAATGGTTTTCTTTATGATAATATTTACTTTCAATAGAACCAAAGACTTTTACTTTTAATGCAGTTATAAACTTACACATTGAAAAAAACTCAAGATAGTAAATAACTCGTATTGGTATAATTCAATACTCTTATTGTAAAAATATATATGTTTCTTTAGAATAAAAATATCAACAAAATAAACCAACAAGAGAACACAGATAATATGAGGCATCCTCAAGTAGTAAAAAAATATATAAATAATTATTCTAAATATTCGCATCTATTATACAACTATTTAAAAATAATTAAAAATTACTTTTTTATTGAAAAATATATATACAATTATTTTAATAATTATTAATATCTAAATTTATTAAATGTGAACAAAAAATAATAGCATTGTGGTTTATTATAGTTTTACGTGTACTGTTAACTTACTCATTTGCTTGCAATGAAAGTCTTACAATTCTATCAATATCAGCAGGTGATTTAGTAGTTAGTAATAATTTATTAAAATCAACATTATCTTGATAATTATCAGACCCCATAGATGTCTAGAAATAATTTTTCAATTCGTAAAAGTTGATAATTTATTAATGGAATTCTTAAAAGAATAACTTACAGAACGAGGGAGTTTTATACAATGTTGTATTTTTTCTGGTAAACTTTTCAATAATCTATTTAGAACTGGAGTACTGCATCCAGTTTGTTGAGCAATACAAAATGTTTCATAGGCCGTTTCCAGATTTAATAAACACTTGTAATCAATGTCTATAAAAATATAATTTCAGTTTTTTTTTTTGTACATTTATAATTCTAAATGTTTACCTGGAATAGTACTATGCACTCTTTTCAACAGTTTTATATGTTGGGTTGGAGTCATATTATCTTCATACTGCACACGATCATTAGAATAAATGAAATTTAATACAGTATAGTAAGCAATTAAAACATTATGATTAGTGCCAGGTATGTCTTCATACACCTCATGCATAATATTATAATACAATTGTTTGTCGTCCTTAATCAAACTATTAAAATCCATTGTTATTAAGATTTCCTCCAAATTTCTTGCGGGTGTTGTGTATAAACAATGTTTTAAAAATACTAGTAGCAACTTATCGTTTATATCTAATGACTGTCTTTTGCATATTTCCAGTGCTTTTTCCAGATGTTTTGTTTGACCAGTTCTGTAATAAAAATTGAATTTATTAATCAATGAAAAATAAAAAAAGAAACAAAAACAAACAGACATACTTCACACGATGAGCGGGCCACTGTTATAGGTGAGAAGTTGGGAAGGTAGAGGGGAAATTTAATGTATATCTGATTGCAACAATTTATCATTACTAACAAAAACAATTCTGAGCAGAGTTTAGTTATACATGTTTTAAAAAATTTACGATTTTTTCCATTTATTATGAAAATCAAAAAAAACTTCCTTATACCACCCCAGTCCGATTTCCTTTCAGAAAAGATGATACATTTGAAAAATGAAACAAATTTTCTAGTAGAAAAGTAACTCACAAGAAAAAAAATAACATAATTGTAGAACCAATACATTCCTCGCTGTGCTCAGAATCTAAAATATTAGTTAAAAAAAAAGAAAAATAACTATACCCAGCCATTCTCATAAGTTCTTTATTCATTTCTTCTGGACTGACATTTGAATCTAATCCTTTGGCACATTTACTGTAGAGTAATGCATATTTACGTAAATATTGTTCTATTTCGGGACATGTTTCTGATGATTTTGTATCTAAATCAGACATTACTTGTTTGATGAGCTAGACAAAACAAAAACTATAATAATATTTGTTGTATATATATATAATTGTTTAAATTAATAGAACGCTATAATCACGTTTACTGTTTCAGCTTAACCAATAGGCAACATAGCAAAATTACGTTACTTAGAAAATAAATTGTAGTGTTAAGGTTGAAACCAAGTTTGAACACACACGACAAAATTTAAAAGTGAGAATATTTTAGTATAGGAATTTTTTTTTTTTATAGTTTAGTGATACAAAAAAATTTATGTTCTAAAAATGTCATACAAATATGTTATAGCCATGTTCATTTTTTTAGAAAAAAAATCTATATGCAGTCCTTGAAAATATTTTTCTTTTTAAATTTTGTTATTTATACTGAAACTTTAATTTCAGCCTAAATACCACAATGTACGATCTAAATAACATAATTTTGCTATGTTATCTAGTTAAATCGAAACAGTAAATGCAGGTAAAGTTCTCTTAAAAATATAACTAAAAACTTAACATACTTGATCTGTTGATAATTTAAAATAATCTATGTCACACATAAATTGAGTAGCATATCGTAATGCATAAATATAAAGTGCTAGTTTAGTACTCAAAATTCCTTCACAACCATTGAAACATTCATCTACAATACTGTCATTTGTTATATGTAAAAAACATAACACTGACATTTTAGAATCGTATCCAAGATATTTGTAACCATAAATAGCTAAAACTAAAATAAATTTTAAATATTTAAATAATTTAACAATAATAAATTTGGTAACTTTATGAATAGTATAATAAATAACTATAACACTAATTATACATAGCCAATACTCAATACATAATCAATGATAGTATAAAACTTATAAAAACCCAAAAGTCCAATTATTAGAAGATAAAGATCAAAATAATTACCCCTCTATAATGGAATTTCGGAAGCATGTTTCTATTTTAAAATACTTAAATATTAAAAACTATGCAGTAAAATCAATATCTATTTTTGGCATGACATAATCGAATGCAATTTGTATTATGGTCGAAAGTTGACCATTCATAACTTATAAAAGACATAAGTATAGGATAATATCAAAAATATAGAAACTTAAATAGTAGATCTGAAATGGAAGTGAATAAGATTTTCAATCAAGTAGGAATACCACAGTATCCTGAGATGTGACTCTTACAAACATGAAGATGATTGAAGTATTCTTATTTTTCGTATTTGGTACTCCAGTTATTCAATTCTTTGCTATTCACTGTTCCTTATTGGAATTAGTGCTTTTATATATATATATATATATATAAAAGTACAATGCAGTATTAACATACGTTCGTTACCTACACGTAATATATTTCTTGAAAATCAACTTCAAAGTTTAACCTGAGTAGGTAGTCATGAAAATTCCCTCAAATAATAAGTCACCTACCTACTTAGCAGGCAGTAATCACATTATCCCAAAAAATTACTAAGAAGGCAGCAGTCAAATCTTGACAGGGTCTATGTTATACATGTAATTTAAATATACATTAATTAGTTTTAAAATATAAAATACAATTTACCTTTGTCATAATTCGAATGATTATAAGAAACTTTAAGTAATTCTCTAAAATTAGACAGTAGATCTTCATGTGATAGTGCAACTTCAACACAATTAGCACAATTTGAATGCATTGAAATTTCATAGTTTGACACAGGGAGGTAGTTAATGTTTATTATTCTAATTTACAAACACATCATGTATTAAATACTTCATAAATGAATAAAATATAATTTGAGATACTAACTTTGGAAGCTCTAATTCAGAATCACACTCAAATATTTGTTCTGTATTTTCGTTTTCCAAAGATTTCCTTAAAAATATAATAACTATATTAAATTACAAACAAATATTGTTATCAAACACAACAAAATGGTCTTAATCAATAATCAATTAAAAAAACGTTCTCATATTAATAAAAAAAAAAAAGAGCCGGTACTACAGATGGGTGTGCCACTGTTGTACGTGGAAAGTTAAGAAGGTAGGAGACAAAGTTATTTAATTTATACCAGTACACAAAGATAAATCATTATTGACAAAATGCAATTTTATGGGAAGTTTGGAAAAAAGTTCTACATCATAATTCATTTTTTTTTTTTTTTTACCACAAAGCACGACTTATAATAAACCTCTTGTTAAATTTTCAAACATTTCTATTTTTTAGCAACAGAGTTCCTACCAAATAAAGATTATATAAGAACTCGCAAAATTAGAATGACTATAGATAACTCAAAAATGTCTAAACTAATAAAATGTTTTGAAAATTTTACCATGTCTAGAAAAAACAAATATAGTAAAACCTTCTTAAAACAGAATGCTTAGTACCAACTGATTTTTCCGTTGTAAGGAGACTAAAATATAAGGGATATGGACAATACAGGACTATTATTTTTTTCCGTTTTAAAGAGATTTCCGCCTTATAGAAGGTCTGTTATAAGATTTTAAGGAATGAGTTTCCTGTCTAAATTACAAGTCTTTATGAATATTTTTAACTGAATCGCAACAAAAAACAAAATTGAAAATAATGCATTTCAACCATTTTCCTGTTTTTTTTTTTTCACTTTTTTTACCCAATTATTATAAAAAAAGCTTGAGAAATCAAAAAATTACCAGCTTAGAATACCACATAGATAAAATTTCCCTTCACAAAAGATACTATACTTGAAAATTGAAGAAAGACATCTGGTAGAACAATTGTTTACATATATAAAAAAAAATAAATACCATTGTAAAACCAATACATTTCTCAGTATCTAAAAAAGGATAAAATAAATATTCTAAAAAATTGTCAGATCTTCTCTATAATTGTTTTTAACCGAATTACAAAAAAAAAAAAAACTTTCCCTTATTTTCTAAATTATTAAGAAAACTTCTCTGAAAATCAAAAAACCTAATCTTCTCAATACACCAACTAGATCCAAAATGTTATACAAAAACGTTTTTGTTATTTTTTGATTAGAGCAAGATTTCTGGTACACAAGTTGTTTACAGAAGGAAAACAATTTTTAAAAACAACACAGCAGAATCAATGCTTGAATAATATGTATTACACTACCTTAATTCAATAATTGAGACAATTTTATCCACTGGACAGTTGAACACAGCAAATGACAATAAATTTATTCTTAAACCAATATCAATAATATCATTGTGTAATGCTAATTCAACACATAATGACCACACTGATGGTTCATTTTTATCCATTAACTGAATACACATTTTAGATGAAAATTTTAAATCATTTGCCTGGACAAAAATAAATAAAAATAATTTGTTAATACAGTATTCTGTTAAGATTGAATAAATTGAAACTATGAGAAAATTTAATTTACTCTAACCAATACTTTTAAACAGTAAATATTCTTATTTATATATAGTTATTAATAATGTTTGTTATTTTTAAATTAAATGTACAAAATACATATTTCAACATACCTGATATGCAATCGTGGCACATTTAAAAAAAATGTTAGATTCAATGGAAATAAAACCTTCATGACTTGTTATGCCCAATTTGTTGGCTAATGTAGTTAACTTTTTCAATAAAGTGTAATTGTTTGGTTTAGCCAATATACTCATGTCGATCAATTTCCATTTATTTTTACTCTGACGTACTGTTTTTTTTTTTTTTAAATACTTTCATATTATATTTAAATTATATACTACGATTGCAATATTTTTATACAACTGAACTGAATGATTACCTTGAACAGGAAGTAATTTAGTTCCAAAAGTGTTAAGTATTGTCATAGCAGAGATTAAATTCCATTCAAGTGCTAGGAGATCTTCAGTATTAGGTAAAATTTGTAAACATAATCTAAAAAAAAAAATCAAAAGTTTCATTAATAATCAAATATTTAATTTATTGTATACTAGGGTAGTTCTTATTTATGAACTTTTAAAATTTCAATGAGCTATCCCACCATTTTGTTCGTTAGTATGACAAAAAAAATTATTATTTTACTATTATTGGTTTTATAATAAGTATAAAATGATTGATCGTATGCAATTTTTTCTCATACCTTATATCGTAAGCAATTAAATTGTGTATAAAGTGTATTAACAACGTTCTACTTGATTTCCAGTTGTTTATCAAATATATTTAAATAACCATAAAAAAAAACAGTTTTTCCAAATAAACAAAATAAATAATGTTTTTTTTTTTCTTATTTAATAATGATTTTATCGAAAAATTTGTGAAAGATTGTTTATAGGGAATTTAAAGATCTATCAAAAATTTAATGAATAGTTTTATGATAAGTGCAATAGTTTTTTACATAAACTCAAAAAATCATAAAACTACACTATTTGTAATTTTTCAACCCCCTTGCAGTACATGAAGGGGATGTTATCAAAACCAAATTTATTTTCATACTAACCAACAAAATGGTGGGGTAGCCCATTGAAAAACTTAAAAAAAATCTTCATCTATAACAAAGAACCACCCTATTGTATACTGTATATTATTATTTTTTAACCAAAAATTAGTTACTTTGCTAAGGCCATTGATGAATCATTAAATGACTTTGATTGATCAAAATACATAGAAAATTTATCTTTAACAATCCTTAAACTTAAGTTTTCTGGTAATTTACCTAATAAAATATCTTTACTGAATAGCATTATTTTTTCATTTTGGCTAGCTAACAACTTTTTCACATATTCCTAAAAATATTAATATTAAATTAATAAAATAATTGCATTCAGTTATTTTTATTACCTCATAACATATTGTAATAGACAATGTCGGGAAACATAATTCTGTTATTTTTAACAAATCTCCAAGTACATTTGACCAATACTTTTCAGTTTGATTTTTTCTAATAACAAAAATTAGGTATCATTAGGTACATACAAGTTTTGATGAAATAAGCTTGTTGTATGTTTTAAATAATTATATACTTACATTGATGTATATTCACATATAGATATCATTACATTTCGAAAAAAAACATTATCAGTCAAATTATCAATTAATACTTTAAGAGGGTATCTAATTCCATAAGCTAATAATAGTTTTGATGCATTTATTATTGGTTTGATTTCTTCGAGTTGTTTAATTGTTGTTTTGTTTTCAGCATTATATCTAAAATTAAAATCATGAATCCATTTTTTAATTATAAACTAAACATTCTAAAAATATGATTAAAAGAAAATTACTTTTAAATTATACGTTTCAATGATAAAAATATATAAAAAATGTATACTTTACTTTACGCTTTTTAGCAATGATAAAACTATACACTGTGCTTCATCTAATTGATCAGATTTTGTATTAGTATAAATGCATTTGAGACCAAGCACAATTTTTGCTTCATCTGATACATTAATACACCAACCATTTTTTTGAGAAAATTCAAAAAACTAAAAGTAAAATAAAACTATAAAGTAAATGATTGTATAGAATTTTAGTTTTGAGGTTAACTATGGAATTTACCTGTGATACATTTTTTAATGAGTTTACACTTATTTGAATTAAATATTGTTCCAGCAAATAAAATGGATCAGATTTTGTTTGTATGTATGGTAAAAAATAGTTTGTGAAATTATTTAAAAATGTATTTTCATCACACTGTAAAATTATACCAATTCCAATATATATTAATTAGACAATATATCTATTTATATATTTTAGATTTTTATATTAGAAAATAATTTAAATCAATTTTACAAACCCTTGACATAAATAATGATGCTTTTTCTATAGTATTTAATTGTTCAATATCTTCTAAAAATATATTCTCTAAACCTACTTCATACACCAAAACTTCTAAAACAGACAAGTCTTCATGTAACTGTTCTAATCCCTAACATATAAATACAGTTTTCATTTAAATTTACGATAAATTAAAAATAATAATAATAATAATAAACTATTACAATTACTACATATAATTACTTTGATGTTATTTTCACGAGCAATAGTAGCCAGTTCTAATGTATGTTGGACTAATTTAGTACATGATTCAATACTTCTAATTCTTTTGATATACCAAAGAATTATATCATTTTCAGTCAAGGAAACAATTTTTATATTTTCAAAAGTTCCAGTTAGCAATTTAAATCGATCAGACTCGCACCAATCAAGTTCTCTTAAAATTTTTGATTCTAAAAGTACAACTTGTTTTGCCGATATATCCCAAACTGGCAATAAATGTCTAAAACATTAAACAATAAATAATTTCACATATTCATACTTTTAAATATGTTCTATAATAAATAATTAAATTGTTTAATACATAATATTTATTAAATCAAATTATACCTATATAATTTGGGCATCAATGTTTCTGGTAAATCATTTAATATGTCCAACCAGTATGGGAGAATCTGATCACTATAATAGGTAATTAAAGTAAAAACAGCATTAACTTGGCATTCTCTAGCTAACTGCAAAGCCCACTGTTTAGGACTTAAATCTCTAAGATGTTCATATGTCTGTGCACTATAAAGTGATTCACATGTACCACTCATTTTTTTTAGGATTATTTCATAAGTAGTCAATTTATCCAAGTAGTTTAAAAGTTTTAATCTTGATATTATGAATTCTTTGCCTGTTTGACTAAATGTACCTGTTTTATCAAAATTTCAGAATTTATGTTCTTAACATGAAATACATATTAAGAAAATAAAACCTACTTGTATTTTCAGATTCTATATTTAAGTATGCAGAAAAATCTGTTATTTCTAAACCATATGCAATTAACTGTTTAGCTCCAATTAATGTTTCTGGTACTCTGTTGCAACACTCGTGAACAATCCACTGTTTGTCTGAAACTTTGCTCTGAAAAATACAGCAAAATTAAAATAATAAATTAATAATATTAATTGTCTATCAAAATATTTTATTTTTATACACTCACTAAAATATTATTAATTGTTTGTTCCAAAACTGTACTATTACACCATTGGTGTTTGTATACTAAATCTTTATTCAGATTATACTTCAAAGCTAATTGTAATGCATCTTCATATTGTTTTTCCTGTATCTATAAGTTAGAAAAACCAAAATTACTAAAATATTAAATAAATATAATCATACAATAATATATGTTAAACATTTGATTTTATAAATGGCACTTTTCAAAATAGTTTTGTACATAAAAAACCCAAAAAATAATAACTAGAAAATTCAATTATACTAATTTAATTGTACTAAATACATGCTCTTGGAAAAAAAATATTAAAATAATCATATTAAAAACACATTGAAATATTACTTTTTTCATAAGCAATTGCTGAGGAGTAGTTTTGGTTACAGCAATGAGTTTATACATATTTGTCGTAGTTGGTTTGGCATTTACAATAGCATCCTAAATCATATATAATAATATAAATTTGTTATTATTTTATAATTAATGCTACAGTGAACCTAAACCATTTAATTTCAATATTTTTTATCTAAAGAAATAGTGTAAGATAACAATTACCTGAGAATTATTGAAAGATTCGACTGTTTCAAAATCAGCAACAACAAAATTATCACTGTTATATGAACCACATAATTTAAAACAAAACGGATTTATTTTAATATTGACTACACTCTGTTGGCCTTTTTCGCGGCAAATGATTAAAGTTCCATCAAAACAACCCATAATAAGAAGCTAAAAATTTAAAAAAATTAGTAATTTTAAATATTTATAAATATTTTGATATAGATACATTACATCATTACACCACCATTCAATATCTATAATGCCACCCAATTCTTTTTGATCCTTTATAGACCAATTTTTGCAAACACTAAAATCAAAATAATTGGTCAAATTAAAAAAAAAAAAACAATAATAAATAGGCAATAGCAATAATTTTAATATTAACATTTAAATAATGATTTATACCGAATCTTCCAAATCCATGTTACACTTAAATTTTTCATGAAATAATTGTTATTTTATCATATGTATAGCAGCGAGGATTAGGTTCCTCGCTGCCATTTAAATAGTGCTCTACTACTCTCCCCTTACTAAAAAACTTAAAAGTGGAATCTCATCAACGGATTCATAGAAACTAAAAAATGTCAACACCAAAATGTATTTAAACTAAGTTACTAGTTTGTTATCGCCCTGCCACTCAGATTTGTTACAAACCCTGCCACCATCATTAATTTATAATAATAATGGAATATAATATTAAATTAGCTATTATTTACTCAAAAGACACAGAACAAGGTACAGATACAATTTAGTTTAAACATAAAATTGCATCGACAAAAATTATATTGAACCGATAATTGTTAAGTGCAATGTTATAGTACATTTTTGTCTATTGTAGTTTAAATATTAAATTTCAAGATTTAATCATGAAAATTATTCAATTTTTGAAATTCAAAAATATTATTTAAACAACTTGTACTATTGAAAATTCCGTGAAATTTTTTTAAGAGGATTATGTTTGTGAAGTCACAGAAAAGAATGTTGTAAAAAAAAGACTAAATGTCTTTTCGATTTTTTTTTTTTGATAATTGGCTTAAGGATTCAAATTTGCCAGCTCATAAAATCATATATTTTGTATAGTTTTAAGCTCATAAAATTACTTTAGTATCATTCTACAAACATGAGTTAGACATGGAGAAAAACCTCTAGTAACCAGGTAATGCCTTATTCGGGCAGCCGGGTGGGGCGATAAAAAACCAATACCTAAATTAAAACTGCATTTATTAATGGGATTTTAATATAGGTTTGTATTTAAAAAATTAAGAGTAGGTAATGGTTTTACCCTGAAAATAAGAGTAATATTATATTTTAGAATAAATGATTCCTAAAGTTTTCATAAAATATTTGATTGTAACGTGAGATTGTTAAGACCATATAATAATTTTAAAAAAGATTGCATATAATACATATATACACATTTTTAATACAATATTAATTAAGTAAACCCTCTTTCACAATGTCTGATTTCTAGATAGAACCTTTCACACATGCCGATTTCCTATCTGATAACTAATACGTTTTCAGTTTACTTTCATCATTGTTATCACCTAATGATACAACAAAGTGAGTATTTATTTATAATTTATTGCTTTTACATTTTTTACTGTTACACATTATAAAATTTTATACAAAATATACTTATTTTATTATTATTTAACATTTCAAACATTTCTAGTTAGTAAGAATAATATTATCCACATAAAACGAAATAAAAAATATAAATATTTTCAAATTTTTAATGCCCCTAGAAAATGTTCAATAAAAAAAAAAAAAAATGAAAAAAATGTTAATAATTATTTTTAAACCAAATTGCAACGCAAAAATAAAATATAAAATAATGAAACCGTTATTTCTTACTTAAAACTAACAAGTCCTACCCAGACTAGACAAAATTTGATTTTAGTGAATATGTTATACTTGACAATTGGATCAATATTTCTGATAGAAAATTTACTAACAAACACAACAAAATAAAAATAAATTTAAAAAAAACAACATTGTAAAATCAATATATGTTTCACTGTACTTAGTATCTAAAATTGTGTCGGCTCTAAATTAATATGATAATGTACTTATCAATAATATATTTTTTGATAACTATAATGATATTATTCAACTATAACATTTCACCATTTTTCCACGTAATACATATTGTTTTAACAGATATCTATATAAAACAAATGATTGATAGCTTAACCTGATTGTATGTAAATTCAGTTAGGGTTGCCAATTTTTAAACTATGTGATGTAGGACAATTTTTTTCATATCTTATTTTACTTCATTAGTAATTTAATAAGAAATGCAATGTCAGTGAAAAGGTATATTACCTACTAGGTATGGCTTTTAACAAATAATCTTCTACATTTTATTAGTAACTATTTTTTCTAATCTTTATTTACTCATTTGACTTGGAGAATTAAACTGACATATTTACAATTTATAAGATATACAAATTGTTAGTAAATAGATAGGTAAGTACATTTATTATTTAAAATATACATAAATTACAATGTGTAATAGAATATTTTATATCTATATTCTATTAACAATTGATTTTTCACAAGATACCAAATCTTAGACATAAATAATTATTTATTATCTAAAATTGTACTATAGTAGGTATTATATAAGTGATAAACGATAACTTAATAGGTGCCTACAATCAAAAAAATATACCTAATAATGAATTATTAAAAGGAATTTTTTCATAGACCTTAAATAACAACCTATTAAAGTCAACATATATATTGACATTTGAAATGAAAGATTGTCCTACATAAAGTTTTAAGCATTGCTGGATATAGGACAAATCAAATTAACGTAGAACAATCTTCCCCAATGTAGAATGGTTGACAACCCTAGGTTCAATGTTATGTGTCATTGACTTTACAATTAATTTTAAACTTTACTAAAGTTTGATAAATATGTTACCAACGTTATTTCAGGAAAATTCCATACGCAAACTGTTCGATTTCCATACAAACATGCCAACATTGTATATGAAGGTGATATACTCATTTTAATAATATATTTCTGCAATCAAAAAAATTAAAATTAAAACTAATATTTTCCTCTAGAGAAATTATTATATTTACTCACATTTTGTTTACGTAATATTGTGTTGTTAAGAATCTTTAATAAAAAACCATCTTGTACAATATTTGAAGATAAAACCGGATTATAATATGGTTCATATGAAATCATTGACCATAAATTTAATCCAGAATTGTTTATGTCCTAAATAAAAAAAAAATTTATGAAGCCAAGTTCAAATTCAAAGAGTTTAGACATTATAAGATAAAATGGTAACAAAACAAAAATTAGGATTTTAATAAGGATTAACCTTTTGTTAACTCTTCGTATTTTAGCAAATTATAAAACCAGTTTTGACAATTGATGCAACTAGAGCTCAAATTTTTAAGGTACTGAAATTATTTAATACTAACAGACTCATAGGGGATAGTAAACACCTGCAAACTTCCTAATGCTGATCTTTACTTTAGGAATAATATTTTTATATAAAAACAGTTACATAATATTTATTCATTATAAAATTTAGTACTTATCTTAAATATTTTTTAGATTCAAAGTGCAGCGAGCGATTTATTGGTGTCACTATAATGCACATTTATAATACATTTTCTATAAGGAAATTTTGTCTAGTTGGTGCATTGAAGAGGTAATATTTTGATATCTAAAATAGTTTTCATAATAATTGGGAAACACCCAAAAAAACAAAAAAATACTTATTTTTCAGAAAACTTATGTTTGTCTTTTCTAAATTTGTTCAAAACATTTGTGCCATTTTTGAACTATTTAAAAAACATTTAAATTTTGCAAGTTTTAATACAATTCTTATATGGTAGGTACTCTGTAGATAAAATTGTTAGACTTAACAAAAATGCTTAGAAATTTGAGAGGTTCATTATAAGTCATACCTAGGAGTAAAAAAAAAAATTGAGTGTAATATATTTATATTTTTTTATGTTATAAAATTAAATGATGACAAAAATCGTAAATATTAGTCTTTTAAAACATATGTAACCGAACTTTGTTTTTCGTTAACAATGGTTTATCATTGATTACAGGTATAATAAATAACTTTATGTATCCTACCAACCAATTACCTACCTATAACAGTGGCCGCACCTATCCTCAGTATCAGGTTTTTTTTTTTTTAAATTAAAAGAGTAAAAATAAATAAAAATTTAGCGTCTTTAGTGTTTAGTGTTGACTTAAGGGTTCTCAATTAGAGGTTGGAAGAGTTTCAACACTCCTCTTTTAGTTATGCCTATAGTTTTGAATGTAGTATATTTTCAAACTTACTAATTTATTTTGTACATCTGAAGATGTAATTATGTAAGCTGGATCCGGACATGATGTGACAGATGACAATGTAGATGCACCTAGTATTTGAATAAAATTAAATGTATGTTGAATTTGGTAACCATATACAGATGAAACAGCATAACTAGTTAATGATCCATTTCCTCCAATTAAAATAAGTTCATAAGACCTAAATATAATTTTAATTATTAAATATATTGTAAAATGTTTTTAACATAATAAAAATATCAATGCGAAATCCACAGATATCTGTGGTAAAATCAAAATTATTAATTATATAAACTTACCATTTTGAAGATTTTGTACGCAAATCTAAAAACACCATTTCTTTGGCATAAATATTATTATCAGGTTGTTTAGTGCTTTTATGGATCTATTAAACACATGCAAAATTAATGCATAAGTTAATTTTTCTTATTTTGATCTAAAAAAATATAAACTAAACTTTAAATAAATGTATTATACTTACAGACTCGATAATAAATAAATTGGAAGCCAGAAGATCATAGCAAGCAATATGACCATGTGTAGTGGCTATTGCAAAAATAGAACAATCAGGACTCCAAACTAATAATCTTTTTGATGGATATAAATCATCCGATATTAAATCTGGTACTAAATAAATAATTTAAATAATTTTAAATTACTTAGTAAACATGTTTCATAAACAATTTTAAAGTATATGAATATTTGATGATTAATTTTCTTGAGTAATAAAATGTGTTGATACTTGATGTTTCCAGGTAAATACTGGTCTCATTAGTTATTTATCATACTATAAGTTTATTTATTAAGCATTTATATTTTTTTTTTAAATTTTAATTATAAATGTATGTATTTAGTAATGGTTGATTCTAATTAATGGAATCAAAAGAATAGGTTTTAAATATCAAGATAATCAACAAATATTCTTTATACTGAGAAAATTTTAACATTAAATTTTTTATTTTACATGTTGCTTTTGATAGAGTTTTATTGTAATGTTTTTCTGTGCGCATTTCCAGTGTAGTTTGTTGAACTATGGATAAAACTTGACCATTGCCTCCAATACAAAACGTCCATGTCGGCTGATTTGAAATAAACGAATTGAAAGAAAAATATGGAAAATACTTAAGACCACCAATGTACTCAACAATATTTTGAGTTCTTTTTTTTGGTATTTTTTTCTATGAGAAAAAACAAATAATTAGGTACCAAAACAGGAAACCTTTTTTAACAACAAAATATTAAAAATAAATAGTATTTGATAATATAATGTTGGTCATTTCTCTTGAGTAGACAAATCATCAATCGACCAAAAAAAAAAATAATTATATTAACCAAGTATTTATATGCGATATAATGTATCTATTTACCAAATCTACAGGATCACACCACTGACCATAATCTGATACGATATATAAAATTTCTTCACCCATTGCCAGGGCATTCAAAAAACTGAATTTACTTGAACTAGTAATGAAAAATTATTAAAAATCAAAGTTTTTACTTTTTCAGTATTCTGTAGATTAGATTATCATTTAAAATGCCAGCGTGTTATCATTATTTACACCACATATGTCATAAACCAATGGTTCCCAAACTGTGAGACGCAAGTACTTCAAAGATACTCTAGGTAAATATTGATATTTTTAGATCAACAGTAAATTTGTTGAAACATGATTTTGTAGTCAAATTAGTATAATTGGTGACATTTTTAAAACTAATAAAACTAAACTAAAATAATATAATAACATCAATATTAATCAACCAATAATATTGATAGGTGGTGATCGATGTTCAACGAAAATTAGCGTCGGTTATCGAGCCGTGTGTATAAAGTCAAAACAATTTGTTTGATTTTGGCTGACCGCAGCGAATTTTGGCCTAAAATTAAATAGGAACGATTTCTTGCGATTGTTCGTGAAATTATTTTGGTGAGAAGACGTTGACTAATATAGCTATTTAATTTTGAGCGAATGTTCGCGGCGATTTTAAAATATGTCATTGGAATAACCCATGTTTTATTGTAGGCGGTTATCCGCTGCGTATGAAAACTGCGACCGTGCCCGACCAAACCGCTCCATGTGTAATCAACAATATTACGATATAATCCATAACATTAAATGATAACGATAATAATATAATATGATGAATTAATCCCCTAAAATGAAATGCATTCATCCACCTATTTTGGAGTAATTTAATTAGTTAATTAAGCAGCTGCTTCAATAATAAACCCTCCCGCCACCACTGCTGGCACATAAAAAAATATATAAAACTTATTCTGCTATTTTTATCTGTATTCAATAATTAGCATATTCTATAAAATCCGAGCCCTGGTTATAGCATTAATAAAACCCTATAACAATCAGTCGTAGGAGCAGTAGTTTTTTTTTTTATCTAAATATTATAAAATAATATTATTAGTAATTCATTAATGTCAAAATACATTTGAATACATTTATTACATTTATTAAGACACAAATTATAGTTACCTACATTGTATGTGTTTTATCAAATGTTAATTGTATTATTATTAATAAATTGTAAACTCATGAGCCTCCATGATATTGGAAAGCAGATTTTTGGGTATAAGGTCGATCATGTACCAATGGATGATTGTTCCAAATTTCAGCCAGGTCGAAGAACGAGAAGCCCAGGTCGGGACAGTTTAGTCTAGTCCAACGGTTCCCGAAGCGTGCGCCGCGACGTCTTTACTGGGGCGCCGCGACGAATACTTAGGACACTGGGAATCGTATATTTGATAAACGGTTCCCATAAAGAAAAACTCAAATTGTGGAAAATAAAAATAAAAGAAGGTAACATCAAGGATACTTTTCCCATAATACAGCAGTTTACTTGCTCTAATGAAGCTGAAATCTCTCTAGATATGAAATGCATTTTTGAAGATCATTTATCACAAATTGTAATCTGGTTTGAGAAGTATTTTCAAAATGAAAATAAATGGATTCAAGTTCCGTTCAACTCCTTTGCTCCAACTGATTTTGATTCAATTGAAAAAGAAAGTCTTATCGAGTTGTTTTGTGACAATAGTTTGAAAGCGAAATTTGGTAGAATGGATTTAATACAATTTTGGATTTCAATGAAGGATGAATATTCCCTATTAAGTGATAAAGCACAACGAATCTTAATTTCGTTTTCAACTTCTTATTTGTGCGAAACTGGGTTCTCGGTGGTTGCAGTAATAAAAACCAAGCATCGATCAAAAAAAAAATGTAGAAAAAGAAATGAGAGTGGCTGTGTCTACTTTAATTCCAAGATTTGAAAAATTGTGCAGTGATTTGCAATCGCATCCATCCCATTAATTTAATGTTTTCTAAAAATTTCTAAAATCTTAATAAAATCAAATTTTTAAAATAATTTCTTAGTAATTATAATAAAATAAAAATGTAATAATTAAATAATATTTTTTTTATTATCCTAAAAAATGTTCTATTCTTTAATTTATCTAAAAAAAAATGGTCATTGGATTTATTAGGGGCGCCATGAGAAAAATTCAGTTCTAAAAAGGCGCCGTAAGATGAAAAAGTTTGGGAACCGCTGGTCTAGTCAGTAAATTAGTACGTCCCTAATTGCACATAAACAAAATTTATTGATAACATTATCTAGATTCACGATTAAAAACAACTAAAGATAGATTTTATCTTATACCGACAATACACATTTGCTGAGACACCGCGAGAGCGAACTGGATGCGCTCGGTCTAGTGGTGATTATTTGTGTCCGGGTCAAAGGATATGAGGCCAGTCGAGACGTGAGCACGAGAGCACAATCGTACACACTTGTACATTCTCAAATATTCTCGCATATTGACTACTGGACACACAAATGCGAGTGCCTGTAAGCCAAGGTAAACCTAGAGTGTACTGTGTGCATTCATGCTTCCTTGCCTCGCCTAAAGTCTCGCCGAGACTTCCTCGGCGAATGTGTACTGCCGGCATTAAATCGTGTTTATATTCTATAGTACTATTATATTATTTTTTTTAAATTGTAAATTCTGAATGAAGCGAGAAAATTATTGGTTTTATAGTGAAGTTTATTTATTTATTTATTTTTTTTTTTTTTTTATGTGAACAACACTTTTTCTACCAGCAAGCATACTTCGATTATTAAGTATGGCACATTTCCTAAAAGGAAATGTTCTCTGGGTGGTACTTTAAAGAGATCATTTTTTGAAATTCTTATTAATATTCGAAATAATGAGAAAAACCTAGGTTTTTAGGTTAAAAATAAGGTTGTCATTGGCAATCGTTATTGTTTATTTTTTGTTATTATTAAATTTTTATTATTTAATCTTTTTAAACAATTATTTTAATCATTTTACCATAATATGATATACGCTATATATTGTATTTATTTATTGTTGTTCAAAGCCCTTTTGCCCTGTTGCCCTTTTTACAAAATTATATAACTAATTGTACAATTTTAGATAAAACCAAAGAGAATAAATAGATAAGAGACAAAATATATATATACAGTTTATAATGTTTTCTATTATAATTCAAATTAATATATTAATCTTACTAATTCTAAGGCCTTAAATTTGAATGTGTTTCGAGGAAGTAAAAAAAAAATCTAATATGGTGGAAATCCTATTGGCCAAAACAAGAGTCCTTGAAAAAAAAGTATTGTTTCCACAGTTGGTGTTGTAATGAGGAATTTCAAATAGGTCTAAGTTCCTAGTGTTTTTGCGTGGTATACGGAAACCAATTTCCGATAATAAATCAGGACAGTCGATAAGGTTGTTTAAGACATCATAAACTAACACAATATCAGCCACTTTACGACTTATACATAGTGGTTCTAGGTTCAAGAAGTTTCAACATAAACGGTATCTCTAGTAATATGCAAATTAGACATAAACAATTCTTTTCAAAAACTTGTACTGGACATTATTGAGATCATTTATATATCTTGAAAAGTTATAAGACCAAATAAGTGAACCGAATTCGAAGTTAGATCATACAAAAGACATATATGGTATAGTGTTTTTTAAAGTCTTTCATATTCCTATTGATGAAGCCTAGCATTTTACATATGTTTATAATCATTCTATGGTTTAATTTAAATGATAAATTATTTTAAAAATAGATTCCTAAATATCTAATAGAATTTACACTATCGAGTGAATAATTATTAATTTGGTACTGAAATATTATTGGATTTTTACTATGTGTAAAAGTGATCACTTGGCATTTATTAAAATTAAGAGGAAGAAGATTTTGTACACCATTGGTAAAACTTATCAAGACCGAATTGTAAAATATATACATCATTAACAGATTTAATATCCAAGTATAATTTTGTGTCATTTGCAAACAACAAAATTTTAATATTGCTATCAAGGACCGACGGAAGATCAATTGAAAAAAAAAAGGAATAGTAATAGCCCTAGGTGAGAGGCTTGTGGAACACTCGAAGTCACTGGATAATGATCAGAGTAATGAAAAGTGATTTACACAGATTGTATTTGATTAGTGAGGTAGGGGTAAAGCCAGTTCAGATTTCCTACGAACTAAAAGGCTTTTAATTTATGATATAATAGTATATGATTAACTTTGTCAAATGCATTTTGGAAATCAGCATAAATGGTATCGAAATAATACCCCTTATCTAAAGATTTTGCAAGAAAGTTTTGGAAGAGTAATACATTTGTTTGAATAGTGTTTTGAAAGAAAACCATGCTAGTGGATAGTAATATATATTTAGAAAGTGAATTAGACAGTTTTTTAGTGATTATAGCTTCAAATGCTTTTGGTATAATTCCGAGATAGGTCTATAGTTCCTAATATTACTTTTATCACAGGTTTTAAAATTAGATGTATTATAACATTTTTTCCAAAAATTTGGAAACTCCCCAGTGGAGAAAGATAGATTAAATAAGTTATGAAGAGGTTTGATAAGTACAGAAGAGCACGATTTTAAAAATACAGGTAGTAAACCGTCAGGTTCCGCCTCAGTTGTTTCACTAGGTGATGGAAATGTTTCCAGTATTTCAATTTCAGAAATAGCACACACGTTTAAATTAAGATTATGAAAATTTGCTAATCAATAATAATTTCGTTATCACTGAAAAAAAAATAGTTCACGAATAACTTGGAAATATTTTTAATATTATCAGCAACAACACCATCCAACATAACTGAAAATGAAATACTTGATTTATTAGACTTGAGTGATTTTATATATTTCTAAAGTTTTAAGTCAAAAAGTGGGTACCCACCACAACCAAGTTATGCGAATAATTTCAGGAACAATTAGACCAACACAAACACAAGAGCATCAAGTATATTTTAAACTTCATTACAAATAACCAGTGGCATAGCGATAGGATGGCATGATGGGCAATAGGCCACAGGCCCATGACATTTAGGGACCCTAAATCAAGGCCCAAGGTATTATTGGAAAAGTGAAGGCATTTTTTTTTTTTTTATTGACCTTTATATAATATTTTGCCACAGGCATTAGAAGTTTTAGTTACGCCACTGCAAATAACTAACATCTCCCATTATTCAAAGATATCATGGATCACCCACCAGAGATGCTGAAATCCAGACATTTCATATGAGAAATGGTGACTCAATCAAACTTAAGCAGAGAAATTTGGAAGAAAAGATGGAAAGCATCAGAGGCGCGAAACTGCTCCCTGATAAGTAATACAGAAATTAAAGTTCTTGGTTTTGAACTTCCTAGAAGACTGAACAATTCTCAACAGAATCAGAACACAACAGGGTAATTGTGGTGAGAGATGAACAGTCTGTTATATTATAGACGTAGTCCCTATAACAAAATTCGTTGGAGGCATTGAAAAACTCCACAAAGCAGAAATGGAAACAATCCCAAGGTTGGAAAATCTGGAAATGTGATTGTAAACTTTAGTCTTCAGTTGATTTAAAAATATTCTTTTTTTTTTAAACTTAATTACCCAATTCATGTTACCTATTTAGTTATATTATTATTTATTTCCATTTATATAACTAATTATTCAATTTTGTTTTGTTTGTTTGCATTTCAAATATCTACTCCAAAAAAAAAAAAAATTTCATATGCAATAATAATAATAATAATTCATATCTCAAATGACATGAATGATGATGATAATAAAGGATGAGTTATCAATGTATTATTTAAAAATTGATATGCAATTTATTATCCTTCCCTACTCCTCTGGTCACAACTTTAAACAGTTATAATTTGATTTAACAAAGTTTTATAATTAATAAAAAAAAAAAAATGAAATTGAATTCGCTTAAAATTCTCCGAGAAAGTTGCTGGTTGATAATAAAAAAAAAACCATCCTGTATATGGTATAGTATTTGCTTTTATATGAACGCTAGTAGTCTATAATCCAGCTAATTCATGGAAGTCACTCTTTTCTAGGTCATACACAGTGTCCATAGATATGCAATTTTTTTTATCTATAGTGTTCTTAGTACCTTAAATTGTAGTTGAAACTCATTACAAATAATAATAGTAGTAAACTAGTAGATTAAATTTGTATTTTTTACAATATAAGATAATATAAATGTTCTGACTGGAAGATAAATTTGTTTTAACGAATTATAAGTAATAATAATTATTTATTAAAATAAGTAGTTTTATGTATATATTATAATAAGTAAAATAATTTTTCACAAAATATATGGCACATGGGTTAAATCAAATTATTATCGTTTACAAAGTTTTAAATTTAGTTTGATTTTGTATAAGGCAATATAATATTTATTTGTTACATCAAAATTATGTAAGAGTGAACACAGATGCGTTGTCAAGCGAGGAGTAATCAAGTCACAACACCCCATGAATTTTACTCCTTAAAAATTGGTAGAATACATGTTTATCAAGATTAAATAAAATTTAAAAATTGATATCAAACAACAATGTAAAATACAAGTAAATTTATTAATCAAATTTAGAAAACCTCCCTCCCATGAGAAAGTCTTGGTTACGCATCTGTTTACATATAACAATAAGTATAAAATTAAATAAAAATAAAAAATATTGTAAATCAATCATAAGAAGTATACAGTTAGACTAGTTGTATGGACAATTAATTCAGATAAAAAACACTTGCACAAGTCAAAATTTTCTAGGTAGATATGTAAACATAATAGTTTAATTGAAATTTAATATAATCTCATTTAATATTATTACCCAACCAATTAATATTTAACATTATAATATACAATATGTATTTGTTTGAATATGTTTGTTTTATACAATAGTACATACATGTTATACTTACATATAATCTCTAATTATAAAACTGTAACATTTTTAAAGAAATATGATTGAAATAAATAAAATTGTCATTAAAGTTTGGCATTTTAGATGACATATTGTATTAACCTTAATCAAAAATAACATCACAAATAAAAAATATACCTATCTTACAATGGCAAAATGTCTCTTAAAATTAAAATATTGTTCAATTAATCATGATAAGGAATGGAACTTGGAAAAAAGGGTAAGAACACAACAAATTGGAATGAGATTATTTAGGCAAGATTAAAGTATACATTTGTACTAATTTAAATTTGGGCTCACTAATCAAAAATATAACTCTTTTTACAAACACTGAGTTAGTTATATGTAATAGGTATAATGCCAAATCTAAACACATTTATTTCTAATTAGCAAACGGACAAAGACCTTTTAACGCTTATAGTTTTTAATAACTTAATTCACAACCATTCATATAGGTCAACTTAAAATAATAAGGTTCAATTTTATCATTTCTACAATATCTTAACGCAAACTATGTTAGATATAATCTAATATACATACATTTAAAGTTTAAATTATATTTGAGCAAAAAAAAAACAAAAACTATTAAGTCTTAGGTTTCAAATAGAGAAAGATATGCATCGTTTTACAATATGGCAATTTAAATATATCATCTGCAATAACATAGAATTAAAATTAATTATTCAAAGAATGTTAAATTATGTGCTTTTGAGAAATTTTAGATTCAAAATTTTAGTTAAGCTTTAATAGATTGCCATGTGTATATTTGTATATACATCTACAAAATTATACTATGTTCTAGTATCAAATATTTAAATACTAATCAGAAATGCTAACTACAGTACATTATAACAGAACATGTATAATACATAAAATGTGATGTTTTATAAAATATTATATTAATAGGGTAAATTAAAAACAACTTATATCTAAGTAACTCACAGTAAGAAGGGACCATATCAACATTCTAATCAGTTAATGAAATAGTACAATCACATTATTCCTGGTAACGTATAAATTTAAAATTGACAAAAGATGCACATTACTATGACTAACCTAATTTAAATCACAAATTGAATGGTTCAGTTTATTATAATATAAATTTCTTAAAATGTTCAGATATTAATTTAAAACAAAAATTAGGAGATATGTAATTGTTTATAAACAGATCGGGATATAAAATCAAAATATTCACCCTTTCTAAAAGAAGGGGAATCCTGATAATATACAAAGAAATAAAATCTAAATAACTGTATAATAAATTAACAATTAGTTCTTTTATATCTCCCAGAAATAATGTAAAATTTGTCTAAAACAGTAGATCATAAATGATCATTGAATATAATATAACTGCATAAAAATGTAACATTCAAATGAAACAATTTTATTTAGGTATTACACTACTAGCTTAAAAGACCATTAACAAAATATATTGAAGATTTTATGTATATGTATGTATGTTTTCAAATTTATGAACAATATACATGTATGTGTTCAAAATTTCAAGTCTTATTTAATATTTACATCAATATAATATTGTATTCTAATACATTGAGCATTTACTGAATTAAAGGCAAATTTTGCTGAACTTGGGATAATGTTTTACTTATTAATAAGATAAATAAAATGGAAAATATTATTGTACTGATACATTCATACAGAAATAGGAACTAATATTAATGACGATAAATGATTGTACAATTAATACAATTCTAATTTACAAGTTCTCTTCAGATAGTTTAGAATAAAGCAAACAATGAAATAATATTGCTTGGTATATATTTTTTTTTTAATAAGTCAATACCAGTTGAAAAATAATTGAACGATCAAATCTTTCATTAATTACCTTCATGCTTCATCTTGACTATTTTCTGGTGATAATATTTGATTCATCAAGTTTGTACTCTGTAAAAGACCTTTGCTTTCTTCACTACCAGTTACTGAAGTACTACTACCAGCACTGTATACAGAATCATACACAGGGTTTCCGAAATTTCCACTAGGCTATAATACAATTTAAATAAGATACAATATATACAATAGTTTAAACAGTTTGAATACTTTTTCTTGTAATGGGAAAGCCCGGTCCAAATGAATATCTTCATCATCTATATCATCTTGTATATACATTGGGTTATTGACTTCTATATTTTCTTGCATTCGCACATGTAAAAATGAGCGACCTCTGAAAAATAGATGACAAAATTAAATGCATTTTCAAAAATTAAACATACTTTGTGCTAGATATATCACGGTGTTAAGAACCCCTAGTTATATTACATTTAGCATAATATGTATTAATATTAAACAAATGATTGTAACATATACTGTGAACAGAGCATTCTTTGTAAACTCTGTTAGTTGGAAGGATTTGATGATGCAGCATTTTGACCGGATGACAAGCCTCAAAAATGGATACGAAATGAGAGATTAACGTAAATTAAAAAAGTATCTCATTATAGTTTTTTTTGGGGGGTGTCATTGCAAAGTAAAAAATTAAAAAGAACAGATAAAAATGTGCAACACTATAATAATGAAACGATATGGAGTAAACACTAAATAATCTTTACGTTTTAAATACGTGTTTAGATTTCTGTCCTTGTAATTAACTTTCTCTTTATTATCAAACATGTAATTTGTCAAATTCGGTATTTGAAATACTGCGTGGTATGTATATACACGTTTGAAAATTTTGAACTAAAATAGTTGTCCATTATTAAGGTATTGGGAAAAAGTATTACTGTCCATAATAGACAATTTGAAATACATTAGAATATCTATCTTTTATTATTTTGTCTGTTAAGGGAGGTGTCCATTTTAGATAGGTTTCACTGTATTTATAAATAACCATCACCAAAATATTTTGAAAATTGTAATATATCTAGAAACCAGTACCAATATTAAAATGGTGAAAACATTAAATGTTTATAATTATATAAAAAAAACAAAACAATTCTTTCTAAAACTTTTGTATAATATGGTTTCCCTAATTATTAAAAAAAGTACAAGATATTTCTAAAAACGACTTTTTTAATGTACTGACTAGATAAAAAATATTGATAGAAATCATTTATTATGTTAAGAAATAAAACTAATCATCTGGTTAAAATTAGGTGAATACTGGACAAATAGTATACATCATAGTAAAAGCAATATCTAACTCACTCTGCTCAGAATCTAAAATTCAAATAAAAATAGATTTGAAATTTAACTTACCTTCTTCTAAGTTTGGTAAAATAATAAGTAGTAGCAGTAACAACAATTAACAGCATGGCAATTGATAATATTATCCACAATGAGTTTATAAGGTTTTTATTTTTGTGTTCTGCATATACTACTATTAATTGTGTTTGACATCTATCACCATCATAATGATTATGACAACTAAAAAATATATTTTTGTTTATATAATATTTAAAACTAAATTTTCATAATTATATTTACTGGCATGATAAACTTCCAGTTGATTCTTCAGGCTCTATACATGTGCCGCCATTTAGACAATAGTTGGTACAAGTGAATCGATCAGTACATTGTTTCCCGGTCCATCCTTTACTACAATTACAATATGGTTCATCAACTCCAGAATTTGATTCAAAATAACATGTGCCATTATTATAACAATATCCTAAGCAAGAGCCCGAATCAACTACTATATTACTACAATCAGGTGAACCCCAAAGCCCCACACACCTAAAAAAAATATAATTAAAATAGCAATAATTATTTTACAGTAAAAATGCATTAAATTATTAATTATAACTAATAAGTAATAAAAATAATAACTAAAAACTTGTAATTTTCGATATGAATATTATTTTACTTACCTACAGGTAGGCAGGCCGTTTACAATAATACAAGTACCACCATTTTTGCACAATTCTGGATGACACAAATTCATAGTTTCATTTAACTTATCACATATAGGATGATTTCGATTAGGACAGTACATGTGACACTCATGATCATTTTTAGAACATGAACAATTACAAATATCTATTCGACAATTTGGATCCTTAAACTGTGGTGGGCATAAACACGCAGTAATATTCTGGTCATTGATATAGCACATTCCTAAAAATTATATATAAAGAAATTAATAAATAATTATGAACTTATATGATCAAAGTTTTTTTATTTCATAATGTAATCCCTCATGTCTAAGTAACTATTTTTGTAAAGCACTTAAGTTTATTATTGTTTTTAGTTTTAACCCCCTACCTCCATTTAAGCAAATTTGGTCAGTACAAGAATTGAATTCACAGTGCTGTCCAGTAAATCCTACATGACATCGACAAATAGGACCATTAGAGTCTAAAAAACAAGTTCCCTAAAAAGAAAAATTATATTAAAAAAATAATTAAGTATTTTTACTTTTAAATGTTCTACATTATAGAACATTTAAAATCTATAGAATCTTATAGAATCTATAACATACCTGCATATTGCAGTAATGATCACAATCAGATTCAGTGCATGAAGGTCCTTTAAATCCAGCAGCACACAGACATTCACCAATACCAGAATCAGATATCATACAAATTCCTCCATTTTTACAATCGACATTCACACATTTCTCACAGTTTTTACCTATAAAAATTATAATATTGTAATTTATAATCTGAAATATACACATACATATTGAATATAAAAATAAAAATGTATATTTAATAACTAGATTAGATAATACATATAAATTATTTATAAACCTGTTATCCCTGGTAAACAATCACAAATGTTGTCAATACAACTTCCACCATTCAAACAACCACCTGGACAACCTCTTGAAGGTACAGGAATATCACATACATCGCCTGTCCATTTAGGAGTACATTTACACTAATAAAATAACATTATTATTAATTTTAATTATATACATATACATAAAAAAAAAAATAATAATAATAGTACTTTAACTATAGTATCGTTATCAGAAGTTGGTCCAGGTTCAACAAAACAAATGCCATTATTATGACAAAATGTATGACATGAATAAACATCACAGGTATCTCCAGTGAAAAATGGATCACATTTACAATGACCTAGAGCTGATGTGCCATTTGACTCACACACCCCCATACTACACGGTGGGTCACAAATAATAGGTGGGATTGGCTTAGCCACACATTTAATATCCTATAAACACAAATTTAAAATATTAAAATTCAATATATTTGCTAGGGTAAATAATGTAATTGATTATAATTACAGTTGATGTTTGTACTTCTGATTGATCATCAGCACATAAACAAGTTCTATTACTGAGATTTAAACTCAGAAGTGTTGGAACACACAATGTAGTTGGATGACATGGACTAATAGCACAATAATTAGTCACTAAAATATTTATATAAAAAATTGTTTTGAAAAACTATTTGTATTTGAAAGAATAAAAAATATGTTACAGTGTACACTTACAGTCAGTTGGATGTTTATTCTCTTGTAATATAACTAAATCAGTAGCCCTAAAAATGTTTTTCGATAAGACTGTCATATTTTTATCTCCAAATTTATCAATCCGTACAATTGTAGTCAAAAGTGCCACATAAACTGAATCTTCAAATAACTCAATATTAGCAGGATGTTTACCTATTCAAATTATATAAGTTTATTATAATCATACATTTTTTTAATAATAGAAAAAAATGTACTGTAATTCATGGGTGAGAGATCAGGTCAAGTGGAAGTTTAGAACAAGAATAATCAAACCCAAATAGCTAGGATTAAATTGAAAGGAAAAAAGATAATATTAGAAACAGAATGTACCAAGTTAATCACCTTGCCCTTGATTACTTTATCGAAACAGTAGTAAATATTGTTCAAACACAAGTTTAACATATAGGTGACACTTATATGATGAATAAAGCTAAAAATTATTTAATATTTATTTAAAATGTAATTGCATTTTGTCAAATTTTCTGTTGCTTGATTGATTGATTATAATTACATTCTTTTAATTTTATAACTAGCAAATTAAATATAGAACAAATCTCCCATGATTTGATTTTCAAGGCAACAATATGAACAACTTAACAACTTCAACAAGTTTTAAAGTTATTTAAGGTTTAATATGTATTAATGTGATTACTCATATTTGTTATTATTCTATAATAACAGTAATTAAATTAATATGAAAATAATAACATATCAACTTATAACAATCTACTATAAATACCTTTAGGAAATTTGTATATAACTTTACGTCCTTTTCCATCTAATGACACTGTTTCTATGGTGTAGGGTTTTGTGTCAGTCCAATACAATCTACGAGCTGCATAATCAATTGTTAAACCTGCAGGACTTCGAACAGAATCACTAATAAAAATTTGTCTATTACTACCATCCATTGAGCATGTTTCTATATGAGGTTTGTGCCCCAAATCAGTCCAATACATTGACCTAAATAATAATTGAATAAAAAAATACATTTAAAACACATTAAAAAAATGTATTAAAAATATAATTTATTGATAGATCAACAGTAAAAAAGTAAGCTTAATATTAAGTGCTATGCATAACAATAATTATAAAATTACACAATACCCAGATTGAGGATCTAACACAATATTTTGTGGTTTACGGTCTGTTTCAAATTTGATCAATGTTTTTATATGTTTTCCTTCCACTGTAGCCACTTTAATTACTTTAGAACGCATATAATTTTCAATCCAATATACATTTTTTGATACCCAATCTATAGCAATACTTTCTGGTGTGCCTTCACTTTGAATCTAAATATTATTATATATTATTTAAAATTATATGTTGTCTAAATAACATGAACTAAGAAAACTTTATTTAATCAAAATAAAATAAGATAAAATGATCAGTGATAGGACAGCTAAAAGTGGGGAAATATACATTATTTTTCTCAAGAATGGAAGAATTACATCACTTTGGAAATGGGTTTACGGTATATGAACCTTTAAAGATTAATTGAAAATTTTTTTAATAGAGCTATTGGATATTCCAGAAACTTAACGAGGGGAAAATATAAATATCAATTAATCCAAACAAAGGGAGAAATAGGATTGAGAATAACTAAAGCTGGAAGATGTGCTTCATTCTTAAGAAGTTTTTAAAACGAATAAAATAAAACTTTATACGGCGATAATATAGCTTACTCTTTCTTAAGTATGAGACGAATGGGAATACCTTTAGTTTCAGTGAGAGAAAACTTAGGACATTTATAAATATAGAGAATATGGGGACCAATTTATGATAATGAATAAAATACATGGAGCAAAAAATTCATTAAAGAGCTACAAAAAAAAAGATGGAAAGGATATCAGTCATCAGCTTTGTTAAAGGATATCTAATCCAATGGCTAGAACATGTGATGTAGAGTAGTGAACACAGTGTGATTAGAATTGTCATGAATTAGAAACTGATGAGGAAGACTTTGAGGTCCACCTAGGAAAAAATGACTAGATGTTGTTGAAGAGGAACTTGATCGATTGGAATTGCAAGAATGGAGAGATTGAAGAAAGTAGAGAAAGAGATCATGACAGCTAAAACTCTTAAGTACTGAGTACCAGAAAGAAGAAGTTATTTGTATGACTAAGAAAACTAAATTTAATTAAAAATCTTACAATTTTTTTAACAGTATTCATATCACGAGCGGACCGATTTAATGATCTAACTGGATTATCAATAACTGTAGAATACAAGGCTTTTGAATTATTATCACTCCAAAACAGATATGTTGAATTTGAGTTCCAAAATATATCAATTGAATGTATTTTATGAGCTGGTAATGTAACAGCAGAATATTTAAATAAATTTTCATGAGATTTGTACGGATCAACAAAGAAAATATCTCCCTCATGACTGGCCACAACTAATAAAGCTGATGCACCTGTAATTATTTAAAATAAAAAACAAACAAACATTAAATATAACAAAATTTGATTCTTACCATGTGCCTGACATGATTTATTGGGAAGAGTTACACTATAACCACGGGCACAATGACAAGAATGAGTGGAATTTTTATTGGGTAAACAAATTTGAGAACATGACCCAAATTGACAAGATGTTTTTATTACATTAGTGCATAAAAACTCATCTGAATTATCTAAACAGTCATAATGTCCATTACATCGAAGTTTACGATTTATACACTGTCCATTTGCACATCTAAATTTACTTGAATCACATATTTGACTGGCACTTGCACCTGAACCAAAAAAAAAGGTTTTACATTTTATATTTACATTTATTAAGCAACAGTATACTATTTGTTGGATTATCTTCTTGTTTCACTCACATCGAAGCAAAATGTGATATTAACTTTAAAGCAATAGAAACACTAGAGTTTATTATAATTAGTTTTTAAAACCAAGCATTGATTTAAAAGTGTTTATACAATACATGTATTTAATAGAATTTGAAAATCAATTAATTAATAATTATTAATCAACTATAATTAATATTATCACCCAGACTTCTTAGTACTTAACATTTTTAAATATACATTGTAATATACCTTAACAAATATTGCTATTCTTTTTTTTAACTTGAAATATGAAATTGTTATGAAAACATAAAGTGTACACTTAAAAAAAATTATTAAATCAATCAAAAATAAAATTCTATATAAAATATATTAGTTCTTTAATCATACAATTTTTTAGATAATTCTACAAAAATATATATTTTCTATAAAATCTAATTATGAACATATTATCATAATTATAGATTAAAATATGCCATTACTATAAGACTAATTTTCTAAATCTAAAAGTTATAAGACTAATGGCTAATTTTCAATTATAAAATTGAAAAATTATTCAAAAAGTAGAATTTGTTTTAAATATATTTTATACCAATTATAATTTATTCATTAAATGCTTCCAATATTAGTTTAAGTCGAAATATTATTTATTAGAATGTTCTATCAGAATATTGTTCATTTAGAAATGATTAAAATTTATTTTAAATATATATATATTTTTATTAACTATTTATATTTTCATTGAATACAAATTCTACAAATTGAACTACAAAATATAATTTGTGTTAAATAAATAATACATATATACAAAATGTAAATTTAAATATTTAGTTAGGTTTTAAATTTGTAATAATTTATTAATTAATTCTAAAATAAATCGCAAATAATTAAAATTGCTACATCAAATTTATCATTATAAAAATGTAAACTTACATGCAGTTATAGTTTCATCAGAACCATCACCACAATGATCTAAATCATCGCAGACATTTGTATAAAATACACAATTGTTATTATTACAACGAAATTTGCCAGGTGGACAAGAAACTAATGCACACATTGTACGATTTTCATCACTTCCATCAGCACAATCTTCTTCGCCGTCACACCTATTTCCCAGTGATATGCAATCACCGTTATTACATACAAATTGTCCATTACGACTAATTGAACATCCTTTGCCAATTTTATCTGTGCAATTCCATTCATCAGAACCATCAGGACAATCTTGGTCTCCATCACATCTCCATTTTCTATATAAATTTTGTTTTAATATAGTACTTTAAATGTTAGTTGAAACTGAACCTAAGTGCCGCACTGTTCCCACAATTGTACACACGCCCATTTTACTAATCACCCAAACCCAGAATATTACGCCATTCAAGTCTAGTGGATATAGTGTTGGAAGTTAAGTATCGCGTAATTCAATGGTAGAGCAATATTCAGGTTCAATTCCTGATCGCCTAATTTTTAACACTATTTACCGGACGAGAATGGCTAAATCATATTATTTAATTTTGCCTTTTTAAAATGAAATATTTTTATTTAAACATACAATGAAATACAATGGTAGGAACCATTACAATGAAAGTCATCGTCATCACACATTACACGTGAATCACATTCAGCCTCATCGCTATTATCATTACAGTTAGGTTTACCATCACATTTTCGACTGGCTGGTATACATTGGCCATCAGAACATCTAAAAATAAACATAATTGATATGAATTTGAATTAAATTTATTATAATATTAAAAGTTCAACAATTTAATATAACAAATTTACAATTTTTTTTTTGAGAATTTTAATTTCATTTTTTTGTAAGTTTAGGTTGGTGGAAAGTAGTGGAGTATCATTTATATGGTGGTATGGCGTGCAACATGTTAATAATGGATTACCACTCTTCCCCAACCCAAAGTTAAAAGTGGAATATCATGTCAACGGATTGATGGAAATCAAAATGTTAACACCAAAATTTATTAGAACTAATATTTTATCTATTAATGGAATTTTTAATATAGATTGCCATTTGAAAATCAGAAGTAAATAGTGGTTTCACCCCCAAAATTAACATAAATATAAAATTGTAGAGCAGCTTGTTTCTTAAATATTCTAGATTGTCTAGATTGCACTTTACAAAAGTAATTTTTTAAATTTTTAAAGTCTTTTTTTAAATAAAAGCACTTAAGTGAGAAAATGTAAAATTTCATTATTTTATAAAAACACGGGCAACGTTTTCTACCAGGAAAAATTATTTAATCGAAAAATCACAAGACACCTTTTTTGTTACCTTTTTGATTTAATTTCTTACTGTATCATTGCCTTAACTTTTAAGCCACTTTTAAGCTTTTAAGGAATTAAAATTTTTGGGAGTTTTTTTATTGCAATTCCATTATAAATACACGTAGAGATTTGAAACTTTGTAATAATACTTATATTAGACTTACCTACGTGATGAAATTTCCAAAATAATTGGACTTTTTTTTTTAATAAGTGTTTTGAAATTAAATTTAATCAAAAATCGCAAAAAAAATAATGGCATTTCAAATTATGTATACCGAACTGCGCTAAGAATTGTCTTTTATCAAGCAATGGTTTATCGTTGCTTATAGATATAAATAACCTTATGTATCCTACCTTCCCAACTTCTCACCAACAATGGCGAAACCCATCCCTAGTATCAGCTCTTTTTTTGTCATTTTAACTTGAAACACATTTATATAAATGAAACATCATACTTATATTTTTTTACATACTTTGTAAAACTTTGTATCAAATTATCAAATATTTTTTATGGATCAAAATAAGTTTTGTATACGTATAACCAAAAAAAAAAATATTTTATAAAGCTAGATATTTAAAAAATTGTATATCTAGAAAGTACTAAAGTACTAACAAATGTTTGTTTTAATAATACCTAAATTCGTATTCTGAACAATTTCTTGGTGAACAACTTGTTTCATCAGATCCATCACTACAGTCATTTTCATAGTCACATCGCCAGCGTCCAGGAATACACCTAATAACAGATTTTATGCATTAATAATAGTTAAACCCACTACTAATATTCATAATCTATTTCATCATCTGAATTATGATTTAAATAGTTCAGATTCCTAATGAATATAAAAATTAACTTACTTTCCATTAGCACATTTAAAGTATGTTGGGTCACAGGTAACATTAAAACAAGAAGATGGTTCATCTTCCATATCAGGACAGTCTTTTTCTCCATCACACTTCCATGTTGAATGAATACATCGACCATTATTACAGCGTATCTCATCTGGTGCACACGTTCTAGAAGTACAATTTGTTGGTTCATCAGAAGTATCACCAAAACCACAATCTTGTTCACCGTCACACACAAACACTTTTGGAATACATTTTCCAGTTTTTTCACATGTGAACTAAAAATGATAAATCATTAAAATTATTCATACAAAAATACAGACATACTTCGCATATGGGTGCAGCTACTGTTGTAGGTGAGAAGTTGGAAAGGTAGGATACAGAAGGGAATTTAATGTATATTTGTAAGCAAAAATAAACCATTGCTTACGAAAACAAAATTCTGAAAGGAGTTCAATTGATAGTGATGCTTTGTAAAGAATATATGTCATATCAAATAATTAAGTCATTATATATTTTTTTTAATGTTTATTTAATACTGTACCGATTTTTCCATGTTTTTTTTTTACATTTGTCAAGAAAATTTCTAGGAAATTTAAAAAATAACCTCCTTAAAGTATCACCCCAAGAAAATTTCCTTTTGGAAAAGGGTCTGCATTGTATACTTTGGAGTAAGCTTTCTAGTAGAATTTTAGTACACAATGTTAACAAATAATAAACATCTGTAAAACCAATACATTCTTCTCTACACTCAGAATTTAAACTTTAAGTTTATTCTTATTAAATAATATTTTATAATATTTTTAAAGGAAAAAAAAACAGACTACCAAACTATAAGAACAGAATAATATTGTCAATTGTATAGAATTATTTATTTTAACTTGCATGCAAAAAATTTATATTGTATTATATACCTCTTTTACACCGCATGCTTTTAATTTACAATCTGTTTCATCTTCACCATCTAAACAATCATTGAACCCGTTGCATTTTAACTGATTGGATATACATGTTGGTTTTGGCAATTTACTCAATAGAGAACCACGTTGGCATTTAAAGTGCGTTTCGAGACATGTATACTACATAATAAACATTAAAAAATAGTTAATATTTTTAATTATCTATGATTGAGCAATACAATATATAACCAAATTATAAAATCATAACTTAGATAGGTTAATAATAGAATTTGGTAATTTAAAAGTAAAACGTGTATATCAGAAAAAATAAGATTAGTATTTCTGTACTTAATATTAAAAAACGTATTCAACAATATTTTTCATTACATTTTCACAATTATCTTCATCTGAATTGTCTTTACAATCTGAAATACCATTACATATTTGTGATGGGTGTATACACTGAAGATTTGTACATTGAAACTGTCCAGACATACACTGAAAGTCTGCACAATTGTCAGGTTCGTCAGAACCATCACCACAATCATCCTAAAGTAGATTTATAAATTATATTTATTTTTTTAAATAAATAAATATAAAATGGTTATAAATTACATGTTTGTCACAATGATACCAGAAAGGTATACACTTAAATGTATTTACACACACAAAATGCATTGAAGAACAGTTAGCAATACAATTCATATTATCTGGTGCAAGAATAAAATTTTGAGGACATGCACATATTCTGCCCAAATTTGGAGATAAAAGACATAAAGCTTTGCATCCACCATTGTTTTTTTCACATGGGTTGTATACTCCTAAATTAAATAAATTAATTTGTTAATAATAAATATAATTTATATAGGTAATAAATAATGCTCAATAATAAAACTTAAATAAACATAACATTGTAATGTTGCACCTTATAAGCAAAAATTGAAAATTAATTTACTTGATGGTTGTAGCAGAGGATGTTTAATTTTTATATCCATTGGTCTATAAGCGAGTGATGTAACATTTTGACAACCTTGTCCAGAATATTTATGACACTTATGAATATTTTTAGTTTCCCAATCTGACCAGTAAACAAAATTTTCAAACAAAGTAATTGCAAACACATGGTGAATATTCACAGAAGGATTCATGACTAAAATACAAACATTTTGAAATATAATAATTAAACTAGTGTTTTTATAAATACCAGTAAACTTACTTCGACTCATGATCACACGTCTATTATTTCCATTTAAGTCTGAATAAGCAATATAGTCCTCTTTTGCATCTGCCCAGAATAGTTCTTCTGTAGCTAAACTTATTGCTAAAGCATTGGGCCAACCAAGTGATTCATTTAAAATTGCTTTGGGTTCACTTCCATCCATTCCTGCCTTACCAATATATGGCACTTCCCCCCAATCAGTCCAGTACATAAATCCACGAATAGGATCTAAACTAATGGCTCTAGGTTCTTGTAAATTTTTATTTATTAATACTTTTCTAAATTGACCATTTAATTTAGATACTTCAATAGTGTCTATGCCCTTATCACACCAATATAGGTTTTTAGCAACCCAGTCAACTGCAATACCATCAGGACTATAAATGACTGGGCCATGCAATCGCTAAATAAACCACAAATTTTTATTAGTCAAGCAATCATTCAAATTAATTAAAAAGATAATAATACCTCTGCAGATTTATCCTTGCATTTGCGTTTAATTGTGCTTCCGTATTTAGTAATGTCAGACCAATACAAACAACTTTCAGAATAATCATAATCAACAGCAACAACATTAGTTAAATTATCAACTAGAATTTCAGTTTCAATTCCTAGTAAATCAATCTGTTTAATGTAATGTTTATTTGCAAAAACTAAAATTGGCTTTTCAACTAAAAAAAAAATGTTAATGTTTATCATAAATATTTACAATATTAAAAAAAAATTCACACTAAATAGAATTTTTAATATTACTTGTTGAAGCTTTGCATGAAGCTTTGTCTGGTAATAATGTGTACCCTGAAGTGCAATCACACTTAAAAGATCCGATTGTGTTATAACAAATTTGACTGCAAGGTTTTATTACATCGGAAGAGTTGCATTCATTAATATCATGGCAAAAAGAACCAACAGATTTATAACCAGGATGACATTTGCACTCATAACCAACCGGATGGTCGATACATATGTGCTCACAATAATGAACTTCTTCAAATGAACACTCATTCACATCTGAACAAATCCCAAATTATTATCAAATAATTTATAATTTGTCTATAAGCTTAATTTAAGTAAATATATTTTAAATATTTAATTGATCTAGTACAATTCTTTCTCTATTATTCAAATAATACTTTTGTAGTCTGCTTTCACATTCATTTTAAGTTTAAGTAAATTTTATAACAATATAGAAATTAAATGACAACATATTCCACATATTCTATTACTAAATAATTGAATATCTTACAAATGTCGAATCATAATTCCATAATCGATTGTTAAATGTTTTAAAGCCCAAATATTTAAATTGTATATATATATATATATAACTGAAATCCTATAACTTATAAGATGAACTACTTATGAAATACTTATAAGTTATAAGTATTTCATAAAGTTTATTTTGCATATTTTTATCAACAACCTTTTGAAGGACATTATTCTAAATTTATATATATATGAGTACAGTGAACATAATTCGTTCTGATTAACATTGGACTTTAGGACAACCATTAATGTTTTTTTTTTTTTTTTTTTTACTAAATACAACTTATAATGAACCTATTGTTAAATTTTCAAACATTGATGTCAAGTCAAACAATTCTATTCACATAACAAATAAAAACTCAGAAGAAACCCCAAAATGTAAAGATTCTATAAAAATACCTCAAAAATTGCCAAATTGTTTTGAAAATATAATAAGGCTAACATCAATCTCATGTAAAAATTTCAGGTTTTTACAAATATTTTGAAACAAATAACAACAAAAATAAAATTGTATATAATTAAACCATTATTTCCATAAACTTGTCAGTTTTTTCTAAGTTTATTTACCAGTTTTGCTAAATTATTAATTACAGTTTTTTTACATAATTTTTATTTGATAAGTACTGTGGATAGATAAAATTGTAAACTTAAAAGAAATGCTTGAAAATTAAACAGAAGATTCATTATAGGTATTACTTGGTAGTATACAAAAATTAAAATTGAGTTTAAGAAAGTATTTTTTTTTTATACAAATTTTAATATCAAATTTTGACGAAAATCGTAAATATTACAGCCCATCAAATATATATAACAGAACTTTGCTCAGAATCGTTTTTTGTTAGTAAAGATTAATATAAAAATACATTAGAAGATTAATATGTACAGATATACATTTAAATTTTCTTCTATATCCTAATTTTCCAACTTCTTAACTACAACAGTGGCCCACCCATTGTGCCAAGTATATCTGTTTGATTTTTCTTTTAAAGCTATTGTTAATACATTTTTTTTAAAATTAATTTTAGCATTTTTGAGAGTTTTGAATCATTTTTTTGATTTTTTTTAAGACAATAAAATTCCAACCCTATTCATGAGCATTCTATATTATAATGAACTTGTATTTTAAGTACTTATAAATGGAATTTTATTTTATAAAAAGATTTCTTTTTCAATATAAATATTATAGAGCAGAAACTAAACTATAAAGTTTTGTTGGTTATGACAATTTATATTTCTTATAAAATCAATCTTATCAATATTTTGTCATAATACCAGTTAATTTTGCATAAATTGCTTCAAACGTTTAACAATGCAACGTTGATATTAGTAAATGCATATCTCAATTTCTATAAGCACTATTTATAATATTTTTATATCTTAATGATATATAAAATATTATACTCACAAGACTAAACTAAAATATAAAAAGACAAATTATTAAATCATACAAAACACTTATTAATACAAGTCATAATAAGAATTCCAAAGTTATTTCCTCAATAATTATTTCACATTAAAATATAAAAATAATGGTGGATATTAAAACATATATATATACTTAACCCTAAAGTAAAATATTAGAAAAAATAAAATATACTTGAATCATTTATTATATTTTAAGATAGACATTATTTTTAATAGGTACTTACTGCACCCTATTTCGTCACTGAAATCTCCGCAATCATCTATTCCATTGCATGTAAGATTTACATCAACACAAATTTTATTATTGCATAAGAAATAATCAGGCCATAAACAATACTCATCTTTGTTATAATCTAGAGGAAAAAATGTATATATAAAAAAAATATATAATAAGTATTTTTAATTACTTAGATACTTACTACACTCTTGTCCGTGCACATTCTCATCAGAATTATCACCACAATCATTTTTACCATTACATACATCAGTTAGTAAAATACAAACACCATTTTCACAAGTAAATTCTCTGATAGAATCACATACTACCTTACAATAATCAGGCTCATCTGAATTGTCTCCACAGTCATCATAGCCATCACAATAATATTCCTAATTATTAATTACAGTTTAAACTTTTAACATATATTATTTTTAAATACCTTTTATTTAATTACTTCGAATAAACATTTCTTATTAACACATTCAAACTGGTTTAAAGGACAAGTTGTATTATTAAACATTTTACACTTGTCTTCAGTTTCATCAGAACCATCACCACAATCATCATCCTTATCACAGACCCAAGTAGAAGGAATACAACGTCCAGTATTATTACATAGGAAATCACTTTCTGAACAATTTCTACTCACTACACAAAAATGCCCATTTTTTTTTTTTTTTTTTATATATAAAACAAACTAACACTTTAGATGATAACAATAATAATAAAACACATACAACAATTTTTAGGTTCATCGGAGCCATCCAAACAATCTGGAGTTTCATCACATTGCCATGATGTTGGTAAACACTGAAATGTTTCAAATTTAGTTTTGCATTGGAATTCAGATGATTTACATTTAACAGCTAAACATAAAATAATGATACATTAATTTTTATTTTAAACAATTTTAACTTAATATTTTTAGACTTGATACAAAAGGTTTAAATTTAAAAATATATTTTGAATTCTTAACTTGCATACATTAATCTTTATCTATTTAACAGGAACCATGTAAAACAATTATGGCAGCAAGACAAACTATTAAAATATTACTTACAACAATTTCTCTCATCTGATGATGGTAAGGTATTTAATGAATCACCGCAATCATCATCACCATCGCATCGCCATGATTTAGAAATACATTTACCATTTGAGCATTTGAAATCAGTAGATAAACAATTGTTTTTCAAAGATACAGAGTCTTTTACTGAAATAAAATGCACTTTAAATAAGTATTGTTAAAATAACTATCAATTGTCAAACTAACTTGTTGAACAATTTTGTTCATCACTATTATCCCAGCAATCATTTTGGCCATCACAAATCCAATTTGGATGAATACAAGCAGTCGTTGTATTACAGCTTATTAAAGTAGCATCATCAAAAAAATCTTCACAACTCTTAAAATCTTATAACAGTTAATACTCAATTAATAAGTAATAAAATATATTATTTAAAATTTAAAAAAAAAAAACACACCACAACCCATTTCATCACTTGCATCAGTACAGTCTGGATCATGATCACAACGTAAATTTGGAGCTATACAATCACCAGATTTACAACGAAAAAAAGTAGAATTTTGACAAGAACAATCCTTTTCATCAAAACCATCCAAACAATCCAAATTTCCATCACATTTACGATCCTTTAGAATACATCGATTTAAAATATCTTGACAAGAAAAAAATCCATCTGGACAAGATCTTGTAGCTAACAATATACATTAAGATTAACATACAGATTTATAATTATTGATTATATATTAATATAATATAATATCATAATTATATATATATTTTTTAGTTTATATTCATCATATTATAAAAGGTAATTTTTTTTAACAAAAATTGAGCTTTTATCTCAGATATCTGTTTATTTTTTTTTTTTAGTCATTGTGGAATTGTTTAATCTTTTTTGTCAAAGTATACTTAAATTTCCTTGAAAATGTGAAAAACCGGGATAAAACATGGGAAAACTGGGAAAAATGTAGAAAAACTAGGAAAATCGGTACAACATTAAAGAAATATTAATAAAGAAAATACATAAAACCTTTTTAATTATTTTACTATAAAATGGCATATTTAATGTTGACAAAGCATCACTATTAACTGAATTTTACTGAGAATTTTTTTTTCGTAAGCAATGTTTTATCGTTACTTCAGGTGTATATTAAAAATTATCTATAACAGTAGCTACACTTGTTTATTTTTTTAGTTTTTCAAATTTGATGAAAAAACTCCTGAGAAAATCGTAAAATTACCCATCTAAAGTACCTTGCTAGTGAAATTTCCCTTTAGAAACATTAAAAATTGGAGCAAAATCGTTGGTAGAAAAAGTTGTGCATAGATAAAAAAAAAAGCCATCTTTGTAAAACTATAATCTTCGCTCCACTCAAAATCTAAAATAGACATTATACAATATATTATCATTCTCTACTCTCATGATCTCAACTTTAAACAGTTGTAACTCATAAATAGTAAATTTGATATTAGTGTCATGCATATAAACATTTCTAGAATAATATTCTATTTTCGAATCAGTGTTCAATAAGGGGGGTTCTGATTTAAAAACTATTCTTATTCTTGGTTTTTAGAGTAGGGGTAAAAAACTAACAATGATTTCAAAATAAAACTTAACCAATTCTGCAATGATAAAAAAAAATAGAAATTAAATTCACTTAATATCCACCTAGAAATTTGATGGATCATGATACAAAAAAAAAATTACCCTATATAAATACAAGCAAAATGTATGATACTCACCACAATAATTAATGTTTTCATCTGATTCATCTTGACAATGAGGTATGTCATCACAAGTATTTTCATAAGGCACACAATCATTTGATGAACATGCAAATTCATTACTTGAACAATTTGTTTGTAATATGTTGCTCTCAATGCATCTTTTGTTGTCTGGTAAAAGCATACGATTATGATTACAAGAACATTCAACAACACCTTTAATATCTAAATGACATATATCTTCACAGCCTCCATTAAGTGTCATACATGGATTTCTAAAACCTTAAATAAATAATGATAATATTTGAAAATTAATTTGTAATAGATTATCAAAGAGTAAAAAAAACATACAATCATTAATATTATCAGAGACTGCTACTATTCCCATAGGTCTTTGGACATCTTTTCTTAACCACGCAACATTTGCACCAGTATATTTATCAGCTCGTAAAACTGCATTTAATATCCAATCAGTCCAAAAAAAATAATCACCATACACAGCAATATCAAATGGATGTTGAGGGTACATTTCAGCAAGTACCTAGCAAGTAGCATCAGATTTCTATCAGTTTTAACTTTTTAAGTTTTATATATGTCAATAAATTAAAATATAAAAACTAAATTACCACCCGATTTGTTCCATCATATTCGCATCTCTCGATTTTGTCTAATTTTGCATCCCCCCAGTACATTTTTTGAGTCATATGATCTAATGTAAGAGCATTTGGGATTTGAATATCTGTTGTTATAATAGACTCTACCTTGAACCCATTTACAAAAGCTCTTTGTATACTTGGTTTTAAATCATTCCAATTTGTCCAATACATTCGTCTAAAATAAAATTATTTTAAAGTCAATATGTAATAATAACATGCATTAAGAGAACATCACACCCGCATCTAATGTATTAATCTATCTAATGGACCACATAGTAGAAATTAATTATTTAAAACATAGATTGTGGTATTTAGGTTGACATTGTAGTTTAAACACAAATAGCAAAAATTAAAGAAGAGAATATTTCTGAAGGTTATATATATATATTTTTTTTTTTGAAAAATTGTTCATACAAAAAAAAGTTACAGCTAAACCAAAATTAACATTACCATAACTTAATTGTATTATAATTGCATAGAATAAAGCTCTATATTAAAAATATTCTTCTCTTTTAACTTAATAATTTGTGTTTTGTTTAAACTACAATTTCAATCTAAATACCACAATTTACATTCTAAGTAACATTAATTTTGATATATTAAAGTCGAGTTGAACTAAGACAGTAAAAGTGGGTAGTATCCTCTTAATAAATAATTTTAGTTTAATTAACTAAACAAATATTAATATAATGAATTCAAACCCATGAACAATAATTAAAATATTAAAAATACCAAATTATATGTCTTAAAGTAAAAAAAAAAAGTTTTAACTACTCAGAACTAAAATTGTTGATCAAATTAAATATCACCTGATAAATATTAATATCGTAAGACCTGAAACATTATATTAACTATTATCGTAACTAATATTGTATTAAATATATTTATCTCATAATTTTATAATTTTAATCATCTTTTACGTTCCAAATTTCAAAGCTCTAAATCTATTTAAAGTAAACTAAATCCAAACAAAAACCCTCCGTCAACTATGTGTAAAAACCTCACTAAAAAAAAAAATTCAAGTTAAAAATGTTTTGATATCAAAAAAGAGCTAAGTAGTAATTTCTTAAATTCATTAGTATAGAAATTATTTATAATTGTTTATATTTGATAAAGTGCAATAATTTAATATAAATAATAATACAAACTTAGCTTAACGGCTACTAATATTTACGACTAAAAAGAAAGATACAATGCTGATATGAATATTTATAACCCCATTTTATAATTTATTAATATTATCATAACACTATTTAAGTACATACTATGAGTAGCCACCAAGCTAAGTTAAATTATTTGTATTCAATTATTGCACCGCATCAAACACAAACAATTATAAACAATTTACTAATTTACTAAATTAATACTAATGGAATTAATAAATTACTTAGCTCCTTTTTGATATCACAACTTTTCTAATTTGAGTTTATTAAAATGTTGGATATAGTTAACATGTTTTTTTTTTTTTATCAAGTGAAAATTTATGGGCACAAAAAATCTTCAATATTTTATGGATTAAGTAAATTAATGTATGATGTATAGCTATGAATAAAGCTAATGAATGTTGCTGGAAAACGATACTATAGTATTACAGCAATAAAATGAATGAACAAAATTATTTTTTATTTGCCACAGACTGATGATAACAACACGTACAACATAAACATTGTTGAATTATTGAAAAAATAACGTTTCGAGTAAAAACTATGCTAATACTTTTACATGTAACTCAGGTTGTAATCATTTGATAAACTTGAAATTTACAAAAGTACTAAATCTACATATTAACATATTGATTAATCTGAGTAAATTTCAAAACAATTAGTTCATTAGTTTAGACTACAAAAAGGTTGGACCATTTGCTGTAAAATTACACAGGTAAAATAGGAGTCTCATGGAATGAAGAAAGAAGGGGATTTTTGTGAAGTTTTTAGTTCTACTGTTTATATGTTTGATAATATACTACAGTCAACGAACAAGTTCTATTTGTGTTACTTAGCTTTGCGCCATAATCATAGCTCTGGATTTACAATGAAGTATAATAATTTATAATGATCCGTATTTTGGAAACCATCCACCTAGACGTTCAACATATTTTAGAATACTGTTTCTTTTTGGTGACCATAATATCACTGAAAAACTTTAGTGTCATACCATAAATAGTCTCAAAGACATAGCGAGATCGAAATGGCTCAATATTGTTCATGTAAATAAGCTGTACTTAACAATAAATCATTGATATGGAAAACGAAATTCAGTTTAACTTCTTTAAAAATTTTGTGATATTTACTACTACTACATAAAGCTCAATATTTTTATTACCATCAAATAAAACTTATGATGAATAGTTAAGAATTTCTGCTAAGTCTAACAATTTATCTAGAGTACCTGCCAAATAAAAATAACGTAAAAACTCACAATAAAATGTCTATAAATAACTCAAAATTGCTCAACTGCTCAGAAAGTTTTACCATGTCTAGAAAAAGTAAATATAAGTTTTCTAACATCTTAAGTTTCTACAAATATTTTAAACTGAATTACATTAAAAAGACAAAATAAAATAAAAGAATTATTTTTGTCAATGTTCCTGTTTTTTCTACATATTTTTTGGTTTTACTCAATTATTAAAAAAAAACAAAAAAATTCAAAACATTACTTTCTAGGGCACTAATTAGATTAAAACTTCAACAAAAAAGATCTTCAATGTTTTTCTATTGGGGAAATTTTTCTAGTAGAAAATGGAAAGGTAAAAAATTTAAAATAATGAAATTGTAAAGACGTAAATTTGCCAATTTTCATTTTATGTTTTTTCCAAGGTTTCCTGATTATTACAAAAACTACTTTCAAAAAACAACTCTGTCAGTGGCGAAATATTAAAAGGAATAAAATCAATCTCTTACCATTTTTGGATTGGAGTTATATTTCTGGTAAAAAACATTGTGTAAACATAATACAAACAATAAAAATGGTAACACCGCTACACGCCATAAATATTTAACATCACAATTATTTCAAAAATCTCTTGGTAAATCAAAAGAATGACCTCTCCAATGCATCAATGAAAAAAAATTACCTTTCAGAAAAGATGCTATATTCTATACTGCGTAGCAAGTTTTCGATAGAAAAATTGTTGACAAAAACACACATCTAGGTAAAACTAATAGATCCTTCTCTACACTAAGTAAATTCAAAAATTACAAAAATTTTTCTTGCTTACATTTACTGGTTGTTCCCAATTATTAAGAAAATTATAAAGAAAATCAATAAAATACCTCCTCAAAAGCATAAATCAAGCATTTTATTAAAGCAACAATAGATAAATGTAAATGTAAAGGAAAAGGATGTGCTGATTCTGCATATACTAATGTTTCCAAGTAATTTGCTCTACACATTCAAATTACAGTTTTCTGACTGATTGTCTTACTTTCACGATAAGAATCAACAAAATTCATGGGCAGTCATTATGCTTTACAGAATTAAATTTAGAAAATCCATATTTTTTGCACGGTAAACTATATGTTGTTTTTTCAGAGTAGGAACTCCAAAAACTGTGCATTTATGCACCAAAACAGAAAACCAAAAATATTGCTTATCCAATCATGGCATACTTGACATGTTAGTTTAAATTATTTTAAGTTGTTTCAATTATAAGCAAATGGAATAGTCAAAAATATTGTTCATTCGAGTGAATTATTTTAAAAAAATGCTTAATATGGTTCATCGATTCATACCAATTAAAATAAAAGAATATCAATATGAGCTATCTATAATTTTCCTATTTTTCTACAACAAATTATGGATTCTTGATTAAATGTAGATCATCAGTTTTATATTTATCAAAGTATAAATATACACAGGCAGGACAATAAATAATGTGTAATGAAATCTTGCAACAGTAAAGCATTGCTAGGACAGCTTATTATAAATTTATTTCATTTTTTTAAAATTTACAACAATTTTTAGTAAATAATAATTTAATAATTAAATATTTAATTTTAAATTTCAATACACTATAAATACACCTATTTTCCAAACTACATATCATTTTTAAACATTCTGATTAGAGAAATAGTAATTTATTAAATAAAATATGCTATTATAAGTTTTTAAAAACCTATAATTATGAAAAAAAAAAAAAAAATGACTTACTTATCACAAATTTCAACTGCTATACCACGTGGTCTATCTGATGGTCCTAATTGTAAAACTATTTCAGGTACAGCATTTGGTTTATTTAAATTAATTTGACTAATAGATGCATTGCTATTTGTCCAGTAGAGTTTATTCTCCTTCATTTCATAGTCAATACCTTCAACAGATTCTTGATCTATATGATAAAAACATAAAAGTGAGTGAATCTATTACAAGTTTGTTTAACTTTGAATTAAAATAATAAAATACATACTTTCTACTATAACTCGATGACCTGTATTATTAAAATGAATTGCATCAATAGTACCACGTTGAATATCTGAATAAAATAATAAAGACCGTGCATAATCATATGACAACGCAATTACATTTTGCATAAATTGTTTTGATTGTAAAACCTTGAATGGTGTTTTGAAATTTGGATTTTCAGATAAAGTAATACTATCAATTTCATCTGCCCGTGAGTACATAAGAAAAGTAGTATAATCTAGAAATGTAAATACAATACGTAATAAACTTTAATTTTAATATATGCATGTAACGCCATAAATATTAGTTAAAATAGATTTCAAATAATCATACCTTTACATGATTTTCCATCAGTATCAATAATACCATGCGCACAAGCACAAACCCCATGAGTACCATTATATAAACATAGTTCTTGACAACCTCCATTATGTTTAGCACAAATATTAATTCCTTGATGACGACTTTTTGAAAATATTTGTACATCTTTTGGATGTTCACCAATTTCTTGTATCAATTCCTCTGTAGCTGAAATATTGTTAATAGGCGAGACCATTAATGAAGATAAGCCTTGAGTTTGCATACTGTAAAAAATAAACATTGCAGTTTTTAATATGAAAACAATTATAAGCACTTAAACTTACACTCCAAGCCAGTAAATGTACCCATCATGTACTACAATACTAACTGGATTACTATTTTTTTCTTTATATAATACTTCATATTCTGAACCATCATAATTACAACGGCCAATTAAACTTTGTTGACAAAAGTATACTTTGTGATTCTGTTTTAATATACAAATAAATAAATGATTTAATAAAGGTGTTTAATCAAATTTGTTTTAAGTTTACACATACGGCGTAATCTAATGTAATATCCTCGACAAATGGTTGATCTTTGTTTAATAAAATACTCTTTCTATTCATTCCGTCTAATGACGATCTTGAAACTCCATGATAGCGTCTAATACTCCAAAATAAAAATCCAGCAACAGGGTCAACAGCCAAAGAATTTGGCTTCTCCATAGTCTCTCCACCATCTAATACTACATAAGCATTAGATCCATTAAGATAAGCAACTTGGATAATATTTAACAATGGATTAGCCCAATAAATATGTCCGGCAATCCAATCAATAGCAATTCCTAAAAATAAATATTGTGTTGAAAAATATACTAATTTTAAATTTATATTGCAATAAGATATACCTGATACCCAAGTACCCGTTGATGTTTCACCAGATTGCTCACGATTTAAAATGATTTGTCTACCAGTTCCATCACGCCTTATTCTCATAATACTTCCTTGTTCATCATCAGACCAATAAATATAATCTAAAATATAATTTATAATTTAAAAGATGCAAATAAACTTGTCAACTTAACAAAGTTACTACCTTCATAAAAATCAATGCTAAATGCCATTGATGTCTTCGACAATGGACTTAATACTTTATTTGTATCATTTTTTTTTAAAGATATGCCTTTGATTTCAGATTCAGCAGTATACAATAAAAATTCTTTAGCACCAATACAATCATTCTTATTTTTTGGATCAATCGTATAACCATCAGCACAACGACAAACCCAATCATCAGCAGAAATTGGCAAACAAATATGAGAACATAGTCCTTTATTTTTTGAACAGCCATTAACACCAGTTTGTAAAGATGGATCGTATAGACTCAATGCATATACATCTAAAATATAAATATATTTTTTTTATATATTAAATAATTAATTAATTTCATTAATTATTAATAAAACTTAACATATTTAAAATAATTATATTTGTATCATTAAAGTATTTTAATTATTAATCAAGGCAATTATAATGTTTATTGACTCGTCTATTGAATCCAAAAAATTAAACCATTAAACAAGACCTAACAATTTGTTTACTTAATGCACAAACAAAATACATCTTTTAAGTACAATTACCGGGAATAAATATATTATGGAATACATGGAAAGAACTAAAATTGTTTAATATAAATAGTTATTAAAACAATTAAGGTTAAAACTTGTACTGCACATATATTACAAACATATAAATTAAGTGTTTAAGATACATGGTAGCCATAACAAATAAAAATAACTTTAATATTGTTCATTTATTTTTGAAATTAACACCTAACTGCAATATACATAAAGAACAGTATAGATAACAAAAAAGTACTTTTAAATATTTACAAATATAACTAAGTTATACAGACTTAAAATATAGAAAATTGATAAGTGATTGTTTTTATAAACACTTAATAATATAATAATAATTTTCACAATGTAACAAAAAAAATAAAAAAAAAGTTATTATATGGAAATAAAAAAAAATTTAATAGGCTGTTCTACGATAATGAAGATTGCTCTACTCAGAATCAAAATTCAAATAAAACAATATTTGAATTATAAAATAAATTAGTCATACACACATTTTCAAATACACAATGTATATTGAAAAAAAAAATTATCTTTAATTTTTGAATATATTACCTGCAGTTATATTGCGAAATAATGAATTTCCATTTCCAGTAATTTTATTTGCAAATTGAATATTCCTTAATTTATTATCCACATAATAAATATTATTTTTATATAAAGCTATATAGGATGGATAGCTTTCATCTGGTAAATTCAAAGGGGGATTTACTTTAGAGTTTTGAATACTATAAGAATGTATAGAATGTTTATCAGCATTCACCCAATAAAGTGTATTTGTTTCCTGATCAACTGTCAAACCTAAAGACAAAATAAAATTGTACAGATGTACTCAATTAGTGATTTTTTAATGTGATAATTTTTTTTTGTGTGTAAATACATATTTTCTGAGAAAAACAGTAAGGAACTTAGATCCTGCTGTTTATGTCCATTCTTTATTCGTTAAATTAATTTACAATATATTGAAGTTACATCAATTAGGAAGTGATGATATTATCCTATTTCACAAAGCTAAAATGCTAAGAGAAGTTCTAATTTGGATGTTAATGAGAAAATGAATTCCGAAATCATATATTAGTTATGTATAAAGGTTCAAATACAAGTGTAAAAAGTGTGTTTAGAATAATAGAAGATTTTTCTGATTGGAGTAGGTATGCTCAGAGTTCAGCTTTGAGCTCTTATCTACTTTCATACAAAGAAAATATAAGGCGAAGTACCATGGTGCACTATGTTTGCAGATATTTTTTTGATAAAAGGAAATTTGAAAGAAGTTAACAATAGACTTAAGAAATTAAAAGAAGCACTTGAAGGAAGAGAACTAAGAATAAACAGAAGTAAAGCAAAATTAATAGAGTATGGATTTGGAGAAAAAATACAATAGGTTGATGGGACAACACTAGCAGGTTACAATAACAGGTGATATATTAGGGAGGTTTTAAGTACTTAGGATATTATGAACATAAAATGGTGACTTTGATAAGGATGTGAAACCTAGAATTAAGTGTGGTCAAATTAAGTGGACAGGTATTTTATGAGAAAAGAGAATCCTAATGAGACTTAAAGGTAAGTTTTACAAGAGTGTGTTAAGACTATCTTATATGGTTTGAAGTGTTGAGCTGTATACATTAGAGACATATGTCTCTCATATGACTATCATGGTAAGGCCTTTAGATGATGATAATAGTTTAACAAATACTTACTAGTAAATCCTGGAATAAAAGGTATTATCTTTTCCGCGAAAATTATTGAATAAGACGATCCATTCATATTTGACATTATAATATTATGATGGCCACTTGCCATTGTTTGAGACCAAAATAATTTTCCTTGTTGTGGAAATATAGCTAATGAGCCTATTTGTACAGTTTTATTGTTTTCTTTATCAGTCCAATCACTGGAATATATAGTGGTAAAATATTCTCCATCAAGATTGCAAGCTATTATAATAAATTTGGGAGCAGTGGTTTTTTCCTCAGTAAAGGGATTCTGATCTGAACTACTAACAAATATATTTTTAGACAGCCAATCAATAGCAAATCCATTTGGATGATGAATTCCTAAAAGAAAAAGTAATAGTTTAAAAAACATTGATTTATGTATAAATATATCTAAGCAAAATAATCTATCTTAGATAACCTTACCATAGCAGAATTTTGTTTATTATAAATGTAAATTTATCATTATAAAATACCTGTATCTAAAATTACTTCAATGATGTCGCCTGATAAACTAGATCTTTTAATTTCATTACTTAAATAATCAGACCAGTAAATTGTTTTATTGATAGCCAAATAATCTATTTGTGTATGCAATAAAGATTGTGATTCGTAAGACAATAATGTTGGAATTGTATTATAATATGGTCGATCTAAATTTACTCCATGAATTTCATTAATTTGTGCAAATAATAAAACAATTTCGTTTACTGTAACATAAAATAAATTATTTAAAGCAAAACAAAACAACTTGTATTCAAAATAAATTTTAGTTTTTACCGATGCATGTATGATTATCTGAAGAGAGTTGCATTATATGTGGACAGTCACATTTATAAGTAGAATTTATATTTAATAAACATAAATGTGAACAATTGCCATTATTAATTCCACAAGGATTAAATTCAACTGCCAACACAACAATAATATTAATGAAAGTTATTATATAAGTAAATAATAATGTAAATAAACATTATAAATAAAATTCAAGAAAGCAACAACCATTCAGTTATAATTTCATACAATTGTTAATTTATAGTCACCAAATTGTATGTAATATACAATTACATTTTAAAACATTTCAAATGAAATTATAATTGGTAAATTATCAAATACATAAATTGTTTACTTAAAAACATTAATATAACTTTAGTCAACTCATATAAAATATAATAACATAAAACCTTTTGGTTGTCGACTAGGATGCAATATCTTAACATCAAATGGTTGTGTTTGAGTAAGGTAAACAACAGAAACATTTGAACCAGACCATTTATTAGCTTTATTTATTGAATTACTACTCCAATCAGTCCAGTATACATAATTTTCAAAAATAGTAATAGCAAATGAACGAGAAAGAAGATCGTGACCAATTAACACAAGATGATGATCATGACCATCATAGTTTACTGTATGTATAGAATCTGATCTAAGGAATAATAAAAAAAACAAAATTAACATAAAAAAGAGGTACATACTTTGCAAGATGGGTGGGTCAATATTGTAGGTGAGAAGTTGGGAGAGATAAAAGGGAAATTTAAAGTACAGTAAGTCCTTATTTAAAGTTGACGTTAGGTTCCTGGAAAACACAACATTAACCGAAAAAACTTTAAATGAAACACTTTTCACATGCACTTTATTATAATAGGCTTCTGTCAATGTACATATTATTATAATTAATTAGTTTTTCAGCTGTGTGAATTAGCAACGGTTTCATTTTAAAATCACCAAAAGCATTCCTACCCAATAACACATTGTCAGTCGACTTTTAGCTAATTTATATCTTAGAACTGACTTTTCTTCTTGGGTAATATAAATTCTAGAAAGCATAAGTTTCCAAAATGTCTCGTTCCATCAACATTAAAATACTTGTTTTGATATGTATCCTTCTTTGATAATTTTTTGTAATTTGGAAATAAAAGAATCTGCTGCAGATTGATCAGCATTTGCAATTTTGCCATTAAGTTTTATATTATGAAAATTAAATTGGTTTTTAAAATGCTCATCAAACCAACTTCTACTAACATTAAATTCAACATTATGAAACTCATCACTATTTAGTTATATTAATTTATCAAATAGCGATTCAGCTTTTAACAGAACAATGTTTAAAAATTTAAAAATAATTAAAATATTTAATCCACAAAAAACATTTTTTTTCTATATTTACTATTAAAGAATTTTGAGTTTGATTTATTTTATTTGAACTAGTAGCTTTTTTCAGAATTGCTTTTAATAGTTCAGACAACAGTAATTGGTGTAAGATAATAAAGATAAGCAATATCTACCATTAGTTCACTGGATTCAAAACGTTTTAAATGTCTATTTTTGTAGAAAGAGTTACAGTTTTCTAATTTTTTAAAATATTTTAGATCATAGAAAGCGAGCTAGGGTGTTGCCATATTAATTATAGATTATCAAATGTGTAACAGTAAAATAATATGTAATAGTAATATTATGCACATCCACAAAAATAATATAATCGGTAGCAAAAGTGTTGTTGAACTATCAATAAAATGAAAAACAATTACAAATTACATATTACCTACAATAAATAAAAATAATACCTCGTGTGATATGTATGTCAATCAAAACGACAACAGTATTATTTGGTCGATAAAATTAAATTGCATATACAATTTATATAAATATATACACAAAACAAAAATTTGATAAACAAATAATTTAACCGTTGCAAATTAAATGAAACATAAGGACTTAAATTTCTACAATGCGATGGCGAAACGATGCTAAATGAGGACTTACTGTATATCTGTATGGACCGATTAACTATTGCTAATGAAAAACAATTCTGAGCGGAGTTCAGTTAAGTGTTGTTTTATTAACAATATATAGATCATAAGCAAAATAATTACATATACATTATATATTATCTATAATAATAATTTGTTTAATATTGTACTTATTTTCCAGTTTTTCCTACATTTTTTTCCCATTTATTATGAAAACAGCTGGAAAAATCAAAAAATGAAATTCTTTAAGTACCACCCAAGTCAGATTTACTTCAGAAAAAGTATTATCATTTTAAATTGGAGCAAAATTGCTGGTAGAAAAGTTGTCCACAAAAAAAAAAAAACAAAATCATTGTAAAACCTATACAATCCTTAATCCTCTCAAATTCTAAACCAAGTGAATAAATAAATTTAAAATTATATATTTACCTTGCATCAATCCAATAAATTCGATTAAGTTCATAATCTAAAGTCAAATCATTTGGCCATTCACCATCAAATAAATTGCTCACAATAACAATAATTTTACGAAATTCACCAGCCATACTGCAACGCTCAATTCGAGGTACTGCTGTATCCCAACTGGTCCAAAATAAATATCCAAATCTTGGATCTAATGCAATGGCTCTTGGATTTTCCATATCTCCAGAAATTAAAGTTTTTCGGAAACTTCCATTTAATTTAGCTACTTCAATTTGATCTAAATTACTCTGAACCCAATAAATATTACCAGCAACCCAATCAACAGCAAGTCCTTCAACAGTTGTTAGACCACTTTGAACTACAACTTCTACTTCACTTAATGCTAAAATTGAAATATTTTATAATTAAAATTATTATTATTTGTATACAAATAAAACGTAAATTTTAAACATACATCCACCAATTATTGTGCCTTTAAATATTTTATCATCTGCTAAATCAGTAAAATAAAGTGTATCAGTTCCATCATTAGCATGATAAAAATCTATCTTGACAGTATTTTTCAAATTAGAAATTAATGATTTGACATCTCTTGTAACTAGATCAATACCCCGTATTTCATATTTGTTACTCAATATTATCTGTGGCACAGAAGAATCTATGCAAATAAAATTGCATGAATATATTTATTTATTTATATAAACAGGTTGATTTATTTAAAAATTTTAAATTTAGTGATTAACTACAAAAATTTCGAATAAAACTTATTTTGGATATTCCAGTTAATATAATTATAGAATCATTTTATTATTATATTTACAATATTTTCAAATAGCCATCCCCTCTCCTCTTTTTAAAATAGTTTTTCAAAAAAGGTAAATTTGTTTTGAATATGTTGATATACATAAAAATAATTTAGGATAAATTGATTATGAGTAAAAACACAATTGGCCTGATTTTAAAAGGATTCATCTTTGGTGCTAAGTTTGATAAGTTTAATATTAACCAATTAGAAATAATTTATTTCCCCGTGAAGGTGAAAAGCCGGTTTTTAAAGTTCAATAGTTTTTTAAAGCACTGGAATGTTTTTTTTTAATGTTTCAATTTTTGTTTAATTGAGTCAAAGGTTAACTGGTTTGGAGAAATCCTTGGCCCAGAGATTAAATTTTGTATTTTCAAAATCCGTAAAGCATCTTCTAATCTAATTTTAAAACTGTTATAAATAATATAAACAATAATAGTGTTTTATAATTATAATATATCAAATACTTTTACAATATATTCTCTTTTCAAAACTGGTTTAAAAAAAGGGGAGGAAATTCTCCAAAAAATTTAAAAGTTTATATGTATTAGTGTATAGGATAAAAGTACGGTTTGGAAAAATTCTAAATAATAATTCTAATTATTAAACAATTTTATAATGCCTGAAAAAACCATAATCAATTTTACTAAAAATCTTTATAAAAAATCGCTGATTTTAATAAAAACATCATTCACAATATTTTATAGTCATTTTTATTATTAATTGTTCAAATATACCTGTACTTTTGCAAGTAAAATGATCTGTAGCTAATAAGTAACCTTCATTACAAGTGCACTTATGTCCTTGTTGATCAATCTCTAAACACTTTTGAGAACAACGTCCCCAAGTATTACAAGGATTCACAATTGTACATGTTACTCCATCAAGTTGAAGAGTCATATTTTTAGGACATAGGCATATGAAACCATCTGGACTATTTATGCAAGTATGGGAACAATCAGACCCAGATTCGCATAAATTTTCCACTAAAAAAAGTAATTATTTAACATTTAAAATGTAATTAAATTATTTTAACAATTTTTTTAAGTTAAATAGAAAATACAGGGTTTGGAAATTGTAGCACTAAAATACACACTTTAAAATAACACTACAAATTTTAAAATAAAACTGACCAAAAATAAAATAAATAATTTTATCTTTGTTTTTTGATAAATATAGAATTAAATACATTGTCATATATTCAGGGCAGAGAAAAATAAAAAAATATTGGACTCTGTTTTAAACATTTTTATATTATAAAAATAAAAAAATAAAATAGTAACAGAGATATGAAAACTAAAGAACACAGCGAGACACCATAAGGCAAGAAACAGGGGAGTTGAGAGAATAATTAAAAGAAGACTGTGTAATTATGAAAGACATGGAAGAGCAGGTATGTTGAAGAGTAATATTATAAAATAGAGTTGAAATAAAAGAAAATAAGAATCTATTTTTGCTACTAAAGATAAGATTAGAGAAGAATACAAGGTTAAAAAAAGAGTCGGATATCAATAATAAGGCTTAAATCTTGGAGAATAGAGTAATCATGAAGGGGTGTGGGTGAAAATATTAAAGTGAAATGGAGAAATTTATGTTGAACGAACACGCTGAATTGAGGTCTTGCCGCAGGGTGTAGAAGAGTCCAAAGGATACAGCCGTATTCCAAGATAAGGTGAATATGAGAACATAAAATGGATTTGAGTGGAGAAAGAAAATGAAACTGCTGAGAAGTGTGGTTTATAAACACTAAGAATATAAAGGCTTTGCAACAAAAGATTATATATTTCAATATGTTTAAGAAGACAATGAATAGGTGTCAAAGTACAATCAACATCACTAATAAAGGGAAAAGCTGATATTAATGGAAGGTTATTTATATGATAGGTAAATTTTAAGGGGTATGAACGGAGAGTAGAATTCATGACCAAGCATTTAGAGATATTTAAAAAAAGGTCAAGGGATTAACTCCCAATGGAAAAATATTTCTAGTTACAACTTACCACATTGACCACCTTCATCTGAACCATCTAAACAATCGTTTTCATCATTACATAACATTTCTACAGAAACACATAAAGTGTTATTGTCACAGGATTTATTTGGATATTGACAAATGTTTAAGGGTGATTTATCTATTGAATGAATTTGACAATTTTCAAGAGTGCAATTTTTAATTAAAGCTGAAAAAATATTAACTTAATATTAGATTTGATTACTTAGTACAAATAATTTTAAAGGTTGCATAAGTAATCAATATTATTTTTAACAATTGTAATCAAATATTAAGTATTTAACAACAGTTGAGTATTCAAAATGAGTAGATAAATACTACAATAGACTTCAATACATAAGGTAACAGGTATACACACAAATATAAAACTGAAGACTTCCTCAACACTAATAAACAACAATAAACAATTAAATATATTATGTTTTATACAAATATTTAAACAAAAACTTACTACAATTTTTTTCATCACTGCCATCAGGACAATCAGGTAATCCGTCACAGACATAATGTTTGTCAATACAAAAATCAGTAGAAATGGAACACAAAAACTCATTATTTGAACATCCATGATTAATTTTGTTTAATGCATTAGTACAATTTAATTCATCTGTTGCTCCATCACAATCAATTACCCCATCACATTTTTTTAGTAATGGTATACAAGTATTGTTTTTTGCACAAAGAAACTAGAATGCAGTGTAAAATAAATAAATAATAAATAATATTTATAGTAGAAACGATTACAAATCCTGATTTTTAAGATCGAACCAAACCTATTCATTTATATTCGAACTCGAACTAAACTGAACTTTTAAAATACTTTATTTAACTTGAACATTAAAAAGGAAAAAGGTTAAGGATTAAGTTAGGTTAACCCCAATGACCTTTACCAATTTTACGATTAAGAATCTCACTAATAAAAAAAAATAACTCTTTTTCATAACAAGGCCGCTCTATCCCAGCACAAAACATTGTATTGGTGACCGCGCAGAAATGGCATCAAATGATTTTCTATTGGGTATTTGTTTTAGTTCAATTTTTTTCAATTTTCAGTTTGATTTTTGAATCGAACCGAACACCCCAAATTCGATTTGATTCAAAAATTGAATAGTTTGTCACATCTCTAATTTACAGTTCTTAAATTTAAAACTTTTCTTACTTCACCCGAACAGTTAGAACATTTCTCTTCATCTGAACCATCACCACAATTATCTTCTGCATTACAATAATATTCATATGATATACAATGTCCATTTTTGCATTTAAATTCAAATTCATGACAAGTCTCTAAAAAGCAAATTTTTCAATTATAATTTAATACTTAATAGCAAGTTAGTGTACAATATATACTTAAAATTATTAATAAAAAAACAAACAATATTTTAACAGGGTGCTATACCTGCATTTGTTGTTTTGGTCTAATAGCAACATAGCAAAAATCATACTTTAGAATAAAACTTTCAAATTTTTGTTTAAGAGTAAAAGCAGAAAATTAAAAACAAAGTTATAATAGTTTAAAATTGTTGTCATTATTTCTAAAAAAATTGAGTGTTATATTTAGAATAAAGAAATAATTCAATGTCTCACCATTTAAAATATTGTTTAATTTGAATCTAAAACTAAAAATAAACAAATTTTACTCAGTTTGCTTAGATACTTTTGCTATGTTACCCGTTAGTTGGACCAAGACCAAAAATTCAGGTATCTAAGTGTTATACTAGTGTACATAGTGTTAATAGTGAATAACACTTAAAATATAAAGAAGTCACATGTTTCTTGATATTAATAAAGTAAATAATTTCTACCAACAACTCAATGCAATGTAATATGTCATAAAAAAAGAAATTTTTGATGAGGAACTAGTTGAGTGTGCGTAAAATACAATATAGTTTTCAGTATTAAATACTAGAACATACCACAATAGTGATGTTCATCTGATGTGTCTCCATCTCCACAATCAAATGTACCATCACAAACCCATGAATGGGGAATACATCGTTTAGTAACTGTACATGCAAACTGTGATGCTAAGCATGACTCACATAATTCAGATTTTTCATCAGTTTTGTCATTACAATCATTCTCACCATCACAAACCCAGAATTTTGGTATACATTTATCAAAATCACACAAAAAGTTTTCTTGAGGGCAAGTAAGATTATCTGCATAAACATTATACTTATGGATATTTATTCTGGTCAAATTAATAATTTGTTTAACAAAATTCTTACGGCAAGGACCATTTATTGAATTGTCTTCATCAGAGCCATCTCCACAATCATTATCTCCATCACATGTTAATTTTTTATCTAAACACTCCTTACTTTTAATACACTGAAAATGGTCTGGTTTGTCACAAGCAGTTAGTACAGAGTAATTACTAGACTTGACACATTCTTTTTTTTTGTCATCAATAGTTTTTAATACATAACCATCATTGCATAAGCACACTGGTCCATTGGGTGTAGACATACACAGTCCAGGACATAACTCTATTTTTTCACACCAATATGGAGATACTTTAACTATATAAAAAAAATATCATTATAATATCAAAATGTATTTGGAATTATAATTAGATTACAGTAATTTTGAATAAATAATGATTATTAAAGATTATCAGCCTATTATTAAATAATTTAAAAATATAGAGTATGGTTTCAGGGAGAGATATGAGGCAGAGGGAAAGAATTCTAGATTAAGAATAAGAGTGGGTGTAAACGAGGTTGATGAGGGGGATCACGTCAAGTAAAAGTTTAGGATGTTTGAGATAGCTGATCCCAAATAGTTGGGTTGAAGGTAAAGTACTACTATCTCTATTTTATGATTTCCGTACAAAGTCAAACAAATCTTACCTTGAGCTTCACTATTATATACTTTTAATGTTAAAAGTTGCGGATTTTCAATTCCTAATATTTCTATAGATTTATTTCCTAAATTATAGCTTTTCACCAATACTTCCATAGTATCAGTTTCAGTCCAAAATAGTAAATCATTATAAATCGCGATTCCATATGGATAAGGAGTTGATTGTTTAATAACTTGTCTATTACTTCTGTCTAAATCAATACACTCTATTCTATCATAGTACACATCAGACCAATATAACCTTCTAGTAAAAAAATCTAAAGTAAGACTTATTGGCCACTGAACATCTTGATTAACAAAGCTAGTTTGATTATTTCCATCCATCCAAGCTCTTTCAATACTACCACTTGATTTAGTTTTAACATAACTAAATTGTGTAGATCCTCGAGGCCAATTTCCCCAATACATGAAACTTAAAATACATTATCTATGAAACACCATAAATAAGTAAATTAAACTGAATATTTTGCATACCCATTTTTAGGATCCAGTACAATTGATCTAGGATGATATACTTTGTCAGTTATCAATACTTTTTGTTTAGTCGGATCATCTAACTTAAACACATTAATTGTACCCAAACCTTCATCTGTCCAGAATAAATTACGACCAGTCCAATCAATAGCTAAACCCTCACAGTTCATTTCAGGTAATATCTTGACCGATTCTTTTTTTGTTCCATTTAATCTCATTCGTTCAATAGCACTTTTTTTTCCACCAGAGTAATATATAGACTGTGTTTTAACATCAAAATCAATAGATGTAGGCAAACGTCCATCATTCAATGGTAAAATAATTTGTTCTTTATTATGTTTTGGATTCATTGATATGCCTTTTATCATTGGTGGGTTACTCTTACCAAATATCAAAAATGCAGATAATTTTAATGCTAAAAAATATAAAAATAAGATGAATACTTAAAATATAAAAATATTGCCTTAAAAAGTCTGTAAATATACTAACAAATACATTTTCCAGAAGTAAGTTTATAACCAGGTTCACACAAACAATGAGCCGTGGGTTCCTTATTTTTATAAACAGTAACACAAATATGATCACAGCCACCATTATTGATCATGCAGGGGTGTTTAACTAAACAAAACATTATATAATTATGAAAAAATCAATAATATCTGTAAATGAAAAGTTTAAGCTTAACAAAAATTAAATTACAAATATTCAAACAGTCATTGACTAATCTATTTCTACTAAATCAACATTAAACAAATTTTTAAAAAGAACTGAGAATTTTGATAGGTGTGCTGATGAGATTTGAGAATATGATGGAAAGTTGAAAACGTAGGACATAAAGTTAATAAATTTATACACAAACGCAAAATAAATCATTACTAAAAAAAAAAATTATGAGCAAATTCACTCCATTCAGAATTTAAAAACCAAGTCAATAAAATCCTTGCTAGAGCTCAGAATCTAAACTCTATTTGATTAAGACTATCCAAATTACAAAAAAAGCATTTGTATTCGTATATAACTGCTCATTTGTGATGAACGCAGATGTGATGGAGCAATTATTATTGATCATTAAATTCTCACTATCAGCAAGAACGCAAATAAAATTTGTTTTAATTTTACTTCAGGCATTCTTAACCTAAATAGAGTAAAATATTACATTTTTTGTTGTTTTATTATGTTGACTTAGATTTAAAGATTAAAATATATTATACATTACATTTATTCCTAAAGTTATATCTTACTTTCAGGTTGTTCTTGTCTATGAAACACATGAATAGTGAATGGCCGACTTAAGTTATTTGTGATTAATGATTCGTAAGAACTACTGTTAAATTTATTAAGTTTTATTACACTCTGTAGTCTCCAAGATGTTACATATAAATTATTTTCGAAAACAGATACATCATACAAATTTATAACCTAAGTTAACATTTTATGTAAACAATTAAATGTGAGACATTTCAAATTAAATATTAGACTTATAAATTACTGGAAATCCTTTTTGTATTGTACGCCGATTAGATCCATCATAATTGATTCTTTCAACAAAATCTAAATAAGTGTCAACCCAATAAACATGTTCAGATGGAATATCAACAGTTAATCCATATGGATATACTATTTTGTGATCTACTAATGGTTGTCTATCAAGACCATTGAGTTGAGCTCTTTCTACCATTGCAGGATATTGTCCCCATTTTGTAAAGAACATGTATCTGTTAACATAAATTAATGAGAACTTTAAAATATTTACATAGTTTCTGTATGCAACTTACTAATATGTGTTAAGTACTTTTCATTATATCAACTATAATTGTATGCAAACAACTACTAAATTTATACAAATACAGAATGTAAAAAAAATCTATTGATCTATTTGTTAGTGTTGGTATTAACTTATAAATTCAAACCTAATAAACTAATATAGTATAATCTTATTAGGCATTTTATGTACCCAAACTGTTTTCTTTTCCTAAAATTTAAATTAAATGAAAGCTTTGAACAGGAAAAACTATACACGTATGGAATAATATGCAAGGAAATACTGTTTATATACAAAAAATAAAAAAGCAGACTAGCTCAACTAAATTTTAAGGGTCTAAAATATATATAATTATTAGAAAATTGAGTTTGAGATAACTTATTTGTATGCATATATTATACTACTATTAAAATAAAATTATTTTTAATTAATACATATAAATTAAAGGCATACCCTTTGGTTGGATCTAAAGCTATACTTCTAGGTCTATTTAAATTTGTATCAATCAAAATGTCACAATATTTCATAATTGATGTACACATATATATCATATCTCGTTCATCATCTACATAATACCAGTTGCCCGATACCCAATCTAATGCCACATGTGTAGTAGCTATAAAATAATATGAACAATTAAAATGATTACCAAAAATAATTATATTTTATTTCACAAACTTAATAATGGATAAAAGGTTGGTGAAGGTAAATCCCAAAATATAGAAAGATTATCTATTTTAGCACAGCTCAATTTAGTTCCATCAATTTTATTGTATTGATGAATAAAACATATTGTACGATTTCTATGGTCAAATGTTAAGGATAAGGCTTGAACATTACATCTTGGACCAGGATAAGATGTACCATTTAGATATACCCTCCTTATTTCTTTAGATGTACTAACAAATAAAGTTGCTGGTTCATTTTCAGGAACTGCAATATATAATTTAAAATTTAACTGATTATAGTGAATATCTATGGATTTGAATAATTAATTACCATTAATAGCTTTACAAGTTGAATTAACTTGAACATAACCAGGAACACAACTACAACTAAAAGATCCATTTATGTTTTTACATATTTGATCACACGTATAGTCTAAAACATTACATTCATCCATATCTGAAAAAAAAATAATTGGAAATTCAGAGCTATGTAATAAAATTATAAAAGTTAAAATTAATATCTAATAAAACAAAATCATTACCTATACATTCGTTTTTATGGGGTTGCATCCCTTCAGGACAAAAGCAAGCTGGACCTTTACCAGTTGGTTTACATTGATGGGTACAATTTAAGCCATGACATGGAACCATATTATCTACAAGAGTTTTATATATTTCTTATAATAAAACTTATAAAATTATTATTTTTAATATTTTTACCACAAAAACTTCCTTCGTCCATGCTATTTGCACAATGTGTAATGTTATCACAAAATACTTCAATATATTCACACTGTGTTGAATTACCACATCGTGCCATATTTGGAGGACAACTTCCAGATTTTTGACCTGGCATAAATAAAATAAAAAATAGTATTTTAACTTACACATATATAAAAAAATAAATGAATCAATATTATTTAATGTTAGAAAAATTAAAAACACTATTTTTGAAATTACATTGCAATGGGTCTTCATCAGATGTATCTTGTTCTGTTGTAGAATTTAAACCCTCAATTAGACCACAATCGTGTTCCCCATCGCAAATCCATGCCCGTGAAATACACTTTTTTGATAGTGCACACTGGAACTGAAAATGTTTACAAGTTGGAACACCTACAAAATATAAATAATAAACTTTCACATACCTACATTAAATAATAATAAAGTTTTAAAGTTGTTTTACCACATGAATATAACTCATCTGAGCCATCAGCACAATCTGGGTTAAAATCACATTTCCATTTTAAAGGTATACATTCTCCTGAACCGCACAAAAATTGAGTTTCATTACAAGAGATAATAGATTTTTCTAAAAATTAAAATAATATTAATATTAAAAAAAATAATTTAAAAGTGCACAATAGTTACATGTGATTTATCTATCGCTAGTGATCTATGCCCTACAGTATGGTAGACAAGTTATCTACAAGGCAATGGAGGTTCGTGAGGTTTTATGATTTATTTAGAAACATGTTTAATATAATAATTCACAGTAGTGATAATATGACATAAATCATAATAATTGGGTAGGTACAATAAAATAAAATATTAATAATTTGTACATTCCAAATTGTCACTATTCTTATGAAAAATAAATTGGCGATAACTATACAATTATTTAAGATGAATAAGCATTGACCACCAAAGACAATAAGATGAAAATTGACCAACCCTTCGGGATATGAGTACTATTGTGTTTTTCTATTTATGTTAATAAAAATAATGTTATCATATTGTAAATAACATACAACAACAAAATCTAACAGTAAAATCACACATAATAACAAAAATTAAATGTAGATCACGCGTAACATAAAAAATCATAAAAATAGTCTATTTCAAAATATTAAACAGATACACTAAAAATACCTAATCACTACAGTAAATAAAATTATAAAATTTCAGGAATGCTATTATCATGCCTTATTTGTCTTCCTCAAATCATATTTGTTTATTGTAAAGCTAATAAATTACAGATTACAAGTATATTATTTTAAATAAAGTGATAAAAAACAGAAAAAAAGTGGGCACGTTGTAGTAGTTTTTTTTATGTAAGATCAAATGTAGACGAAAATCTTTAAAATTAAAGTATTTCAAAACATGAGTAACTGAAATTTGCTCAAAAACGCATTTCATTAGCAATGGTTTATCATTGCTTACAGATATAAATTAAATAAATTAATGTATCTTATCTTCCTAACTTTCAACTTACAACAGTGGCAAACCCGTTCCAAGAATTTTTTTTTAATAATCTGTTCTTCCAAATTTAAATAAGATTGGCCTCTCCTTGATCCATAAATTATGAAACAACTGAATCCCAATGTATTCAATTACCAAATCATAGCTAGCATATAGAAGTATTTAGCATAAATAAATGACCTATCACTAGGACAAATATATTTATATGCACTAAAAATCTTTAAATATTTATACAAGTATGAACTAAAAATACCAAATATGCGCTAAAAAAAAAGATTAAAAGAAGTCATATTGATATATATATATATATATATAAATGTCATATTGGAAAACTCATAACATAAATTTGAGTATCTTAAATTAACTAAACTGCTGTTGAAAAGGTCTTAAAAATATAATATGTAATCATTACTTAATTAATACTTAATGCATATTTTATCAATTGGATAGTTCCCATAAATTATTATTATAAAAATGTATGAAATCCTTAAAATAAACTCTAAAAATTTATACAATTTTAAAATATACAGTTAAATCCAAAAACTTAAAGTTGGTATAAACCAACTATTTTTTTTTTACCAATAAAAATATGTAAAAGTATATAAATATCTGCCTCAGTGATTACTAAAACCAATAAAAATGTACTTGTTAAAATTGTATATCAGGTGATCCATTCAAGTGTAAGTACACTCATTATTTTGGAAAGTTTAAACTTTTTCCGGAATTTGTTTTCTAGAACATTTAAGATACAAGTTACTCTATAATTTTATATTAAAGATATTTTTTGTCACTCTTATTTTTGGGAGTAACACCCATTCTTGATTTTTATATGGCAACCTATATAAAAAAATTCATAAAAAGATAGAGCATTAGTTAAAATAAATTTTAATGTTGACATTTTTGATTTCTGTCAATACATTGAAGAGATATTCCACTTTTAAGCTTAGTTTGAAATATCATTTGTGTGGCAGTACAGCCTACAGCGTATTAATAATGCACCACTACTCTCCTCCAACCCAAACTTAAAAGTGGAATATCTCATCAACGGCTTGGCAAAAATCAAAAATTTATTTTAAATAATACTCCATCAATTTCTGGACTTTTAATATAGGTTAACATTTGAAAATCAAAAAGTAAGTAGTAGTTTTATCCCAAAAATAAAAAACAGAAGTAAAAAATTGTAGAGCTGCTTGTTTCTTAAATGTTTTAGAAAACAAATTCCAAAAAAATTAATACTTTATAATATAATGAGTGTACCCACTTAAATGAGTCATCTTGTACATATTTGATAATAAAAAAATACATTATTGTAATAATAATTAAATATTATAATATAATATAAATTTGAATGAGTAACAAAACAAAGTGTAAGCATTCTAAATATGTAACCCATATAATAGTATATTACAAATAATATACATGAATATAGCACATTTCATATGTTTTATATTATAATGTAATTCATTATACACACAATTAAGGACTAAACATTTGAATGGGTTTATTCATATATAAAATTCTCCCAAGCATATCCTTATCAAATAAAATTAATTGGATACTTCCTGAATCAACTATAGTCAATTTAACATTAGTGAATAGTCCAATGATTTTCCACAATAACCTTTTTACTAATATACATATACTCAACATTCTCTTTTATAAATATATATAGTCTATTAACTTTTAAGTATTAAAATCATTAAAAATGAATTCAATAAAAGGTATAGGTATCATTCTATAGTGAAAAACAATATTACTTAAAGAACATAAAAATAGTTTTTACTGTCATGAAAATAATATGAATCTAAAAAGGAACCTTGTTCAATAAAAACAGATAACCTTTGATAGTGAAAAAAAAAAATTTAAATAAAATAATAAGCATACGTGTTCTTAGAAATATACCTAATTATTATAGGAACTAACATATTTGTATTGATACCAACTTACATGAATAAAACATTCAAAATAGAATAATCTGTTGTTTCTTATTATAACTCAAAATAAATTTTATTGAAATTACAAATTTTTCCCTTGTAATATACAAATATAAAATACTACTAATAAAATCATTAAGTAATTGAATAAAAGATAAATATAGAAGGGCTATCTATCATTTTGTTGGTATTTAAGTACACTTTTAAAACCTTTTGTAAATAAATCATATAATATGATTAATTTACAAATGTAAAACATATATAATACATCTTTACCAATTTAATATGCATACCCATATAATTTGAAATACAATAAACCAGAATATAGGTACATGATCAAAAAAAAGCATAAAAATAATTTTTTTTTTTTCAATGGATCTAACCTACAGTAACAAGCTACACCTAAAATATTGTGAATTCTTACCTAAGTACTAAAAACTCTGAATGTCATAAAAGAATGGACATATTGAGCTGTATATTTTTATTTAAGAAAATATTTAAAATACCTAATTTAAATATATTCACATACGTCTATATCAAACAGATACTAGATTCCTAATGTTAAATTTCCAGTCTCAAAAATTCATACACACATCTAAATTTAAAATAATTACATAATTTATACTTATTATGTGTCAAAATAATGATCATCTTACCGTTAGTGAAATCATTAAGTGTACTAATAGCAGAAGATCTGTAGAAGAAAATTAGTAACTCCAATAAACATATCTGCTGTATCATTTTGAAATGAATTCTTACAGTTCAAACATGTTTTTATGTTAAACTCTGTGTTCCCCAACACTACAGCTTTGGCTGATTGACCGAAACTATACAGTTTATAATTTACAATAGCCAGGTCTTAATGATTTAGTATGTTGTATTTATTAGTATAAATATATAATTATTTATTACTTGTCGGATAAAAAAACACAAACGAACTTGTTCTTTTGTTTATTGCGCCATTTTGAATGTATACTGGCACACAGACTGACATTGGTTGTGATTTACTTAGAATTTAATCGGTTTCCCAATCCCACTCATTCTACAGCACGATAAATTATATAATAATCGTATCTAACTTCAATATGCCGATTCCAACATTTAAAGTAGTGACACGCGACATAAAGTCACCCGCCATAAAACCACCAGCTAACGACAGTGAGCTGTTAAATAAAACACCACACGACATAAAACCCCGTAAATACATGATAACAGATAATACTACCAACTCTATATAATTAATATATAATATATTTGTTTATGATGAGATATTTTTTTCGACAAAAAAACAGAAATGAATTAACAATTACAAAACGTGAATTATGTATATACTGATGGATTTATGCCAAGTCGTTATTTGTCAGATGACTTTTTTCGTGCTTCGATTTATAACATCACAGACCACGGTTATAGATACTGTGTTTGTATGATAACAAGTTCACAAAATGTACCATAGAGTAATCTGGCGGGTTTCGCGCCACATTTCTTCTTCCCGCTGCGCGTTAATCGCGGCCTCTAACCTCGCCGTCGGCGTTCAATAGTCATCGGCCACAGCTCGAGTCGACTCGACTGCTCGACCGCTCTCTTCGCACTGACGCCGTTCGCGAAACATTGTTTTCCGACTCCAAATAATTATTATGTATAATTGATTTTTACCACTAATGTTGTTTTAAATATTGCGTGCTCGCCTGTTCTCGCGCCACAAGCCGTCAGCTGGCGAGCACTTGTATTATGTTTTTATGTCGTAAATAAACGTTACTTTTTACCTTATCATATACCTCGTGTCTTGGTGTAACCCGCCAAAGTAATATAGATGCAGCGTTCAATTATAATTTTGAAGCGTAAACGGACGAGATTTTGCAGGTTAGCCATTTGCAAAACTAAAAATACTGTACCATATATTTTTTTATGTAGCATTGTTATGAATGGTGATACTCCAGTTTTCCCGGAAAAATAAGAAAGAAAAAAAAATTGGAGTTTAACTTAGTATTCAAGACCACAACATATTAACTGTGTCAATGCATTAAATATTGAACGACAAACGTTTCTTAAATAAAAATTGTATTTGTCATGGTCCTAACCACAACCAATCCCTACAGCAGGCCTGACTCAAGCGTTTAAATTTACGTTCAAACATTGTAAAAATAAAATTATTTTTCGCTTAATATTGTTATTTATTACTATTTACTAATTTTAAATCAAAAGCTACACAAATAAAATAATTTAATTTTTATAATTTTATTGATGTTTTCAGATTTAGCAGTTTTACTTCTGCCTCAAATAAAATAGCTAAGAATTTTTAACGATTTTGTAAATAAATATTAAGCATTAACTTTGTAAATGGAATAAAAATTTAAACCATAGATCATGGATATAAAGACCTAAAAACATAGACATAAATATTTTGATAAATTAAACCGGTATCATTTTAAAACCGGTTACTCTAAAAATTTCCTAAATTCACACTGGTTTGTACCATAGAGTACTCTATGGTTTGTACCAACGAATTTCTTGATAAAATATTTTATAGAATAGAATATTTCATAGAATAACAATATTTGAAAACAGCCATCTAGCGGTATATAGCATAATCAATGGACCTTTAATTAAAATTGTTATTTTTTATAATTTGACATCACTTTGATAATACAGTTTGAATAAGTAACGCCGCCTCTATATTACTCAATATATTCTACTCTGTATTAATATTAAACGCAACTTGCCAGACCGTGCAGCTGTGTAGAAAGCTAGGTGGATCTCTTATCAGCACTTTATTAATTGGTATCACAAAATTACGGGACGGGAGAGTACAGTATTTCCTTAAATTATAATATACTATGGATAGAGCTACTGCATGATAAATGTGTACTACGAGTTGAAAACATGAGAGTGCTAAGGGGATTGATGAATATTGCGCATGCGTATCAGTACTCGTCGCATATTTATCATATTATAATATCATCAGGCAGAGATAGTACATACATTGCATATGATTACGTGAATTCGACCAATTGCACGTTAAATATATTTTGGGCATGCGTATTTGTCCCAACTCTCGTTAGTTATGTTTCCTTCAGATATTTAGTCAATAGCTCTATCCATAGTATTTGATCTAATCAATATTTCATGCATGGTAATTGTATACCATAGATAATATATTATCTTATATTGTATACTAAATTTAGGTACTTTGTATATCTACTAGCTATTTTTTATACCAACGTATAAACTCTAGGAAAAACATTACTCTATGGTTATACAAAACTGTTGTAGATATATAATATAGAGTAAATTGAATAAATTGTATTTGTATCTAATAAAAAAAAAATGTATTTTAGTGATTAATTCTAATTTATTTTCAGTTAATGTTAATTATTTCTATTATTTGGCTATGTCAAAATAACAATTGTCAAAAGACTTAAAGATTGATTTGACTGAATACTTTTAGATCATTATTTGGTCACTTGACATATTCAGTAAGTTTGTAACCAACCTACCTTTATTATTTGGATAAATACCTATAGGTAATTATTGAATATGATTATTACATAAATTTAATTTAATTATTTCTGATTTCTCCCTTATATTTTTCTTCAATATCTATACAGGTTATCCTACAATGTTATCCATATGCTAATGACTGTCAATATACAATTATTTTTATCAATCCAGTTTTGTGTCAGAGGACACAAATGTAGAGAAAAATTACATTTTTATTTTCAATTATTAATCACTAAAAAAAAAATAACTTTAATAACTTTTTAAAATTTTCAAAATAGATAATTTACCTATTTGTTAAATATATTCTAAATATTTTAATGTATTATACATCCATATTTGATCAATAGTTTCTTAATAATATCCATTTTAATTTCAACATTTCTCATTTTGTATTAAGAATATGATTTGTTATCGTGAAACATAGTAGTCTTGTTTTTTACATGTTAATATATATATTAAAATGACTATTACTAAGGAAATATTGATTGGATATGAATGTATGATACATTCGAATTTTTTAAATAATATATTTTACAAATTGGCCATTTTGAAAATTTTAAAAGTGAAATAATAAATTAATTTTTTTAAGCAATTAATAGATGAAAATAAAAATTTAATTTTTCTCTACATTTATGTCCTGGCACAAAAACAATGAATGTTGACAGAGTTATTAGCATATGCATTACTCTGTAAACTTTTTTTTAGCATCATACCTAAACATCAAAATGAAGTCTGAAAATAATATTATTTTATTTGATATGGGTAAAAATGAAATGTTTGATATCAATGACAATTTAAAAATATTAAGGAGAAAACTCAAAGGATCATATACCATTGCAATGTAAGTTATTAAACAAATGTATTAATAATGGCTGTTTTAATTTATTTATTTTTAGAAATAAATATGAAATTACAATGGATGTTTTAAACGATACACAGTTAGTTGTTTTTGGAGCTCCACGTGCTATGTTTTCTGAAGCTGAATTCAATTGTCTTCGTAAATATATTGTACTTGGAGGGTCAATATTAGTAATGTTTACTGAGGGTGGTGAAAAAGAACTGCATACCAATATAAATTATTTATTAGAAGAATTTGGTATTATGGTTAACAGTGGTAAATACAATATTTTTTTATATTAACTCCATTTAGTCTTCAATATTTTGTAATTATATTATTAAACCCCCACATGACCTTGCTTAATGGAAGCATGATACATTTATAATTCTGTAATATTTTTGTTAATATATATTAATTATAACTATTTATTTGATATATTTTGTTATTCTCTACTACCTCAATTTTGAACTAGCTTAACTAGATCAATAAGTACTAATTACTTATATTTATCTAAATAGGTAAGTATTTTATTTTTATTTTCAGACTATGTACTACGCACACACTATTATTTATATTTTCATCCTAAAGAATGTCTTGTCAAAGACGGAGTAGTTAACGAAGCTGTAGCTAAATACTTTGGCCGGGAAAATGAAAATACATCAAAGTAAGTTTTGAATTAATATTTGAAATTTTTAAAAGAGCAAAAAATGTACTAGTTTTATTGTTTACTTTCTTCAAAAATTTTTGTTAAGGTGTTCTTACTGGTAAAATAAAACAAAATCGAGGGTAACCCATTGTTTTAGATTTTGAGCGAAGCAAAGAATGTATTAGTTTTATAGTGTTTATTTTTTTATACTATTTACAGAAATTCTACCAGAAAGCTTACTCTGAATATCTTTTATAAGAAATCCTACTCTGATTTACAAATGTAGTAGCTTTTCAAAAAAAAAATTTTATCTGGTTATAAGATGTCATTTTTTTGATTTTTCAAGCGGTTTTCATAATAGTTGAGGAAAAATTAAAAAACTTACTTAAATTTATAAAATAAACTTTACTCTGAATCATTTATCTTTGTATATAGATATAAATTAAATTTCTCTATATACTCCCTTTATAACTTCTGGCCTATGGCCTACTCAGCGTGCTAAGTTTGTCAGTCTTTTTTTCTGTGTGAAATATACGAAATATGTGTGAAAATTTGATACTAAATTTATCATAATGTATTAAGAATGTTTGTAAAAAAACATTTGATAACAGTACAATTGATTATGTTATTACGTGGATTAAAATAATTTTTTAGTTGTATCAAAATATTTGTATTTGTAACATTATAACAATTTTCAGATGTATAAGTTTTGTATTTCCTTATGGTGCTAGTTTAAATGTTGCAAAACCAGCTGCCCCTATACTTACTAGTGGTTCTGTTGCTTATCCTTTGAATAGACCACTTTGTGCTTTTTACTCTGCTTCAAAATATTCCAATGAAGGTACTGTTAAAACATATGTATTATTAATGCACAACTTGCATTACATAATATTGAGTCAGTTCACCTTTGCACTTTTCATATTGTTACATAGTATAATTTAAACAATTATTTTTATTTTGTTAAGTTATTACAAATTATGTAATATTTAAAAATATAATAAAATGGTTATAATGTTGCAGCCAAAAGAGGTAAACTAGCTGTCATTGGCTCTGGGCATTTGCTAACAGATAAATATATTAATTGGGAAGAAAATGATAAAATTCGTGAAATTTTGTTTGATTTTTTGATCACAAACAATATAACTTTAAATGAAATTGACGCTAATGATCCTGAGGTACATATTTAATCTATTTTACTGTGCATTTTTAATATTCCAATTTTTTCTCTGCATTTTTGTGCACTTTATCTTTGAATTTAATTTATATTTAATTATTTTTTTAATAAATAGTTTTTATTTTTTATTTTCAAGACATCAGATTATAAAATGATACCAGACATTGGAATCTTGTCATCTCGTGTACGCACCGGTCTTCAACTTCAAGAAAGTTTGAATAGCACTGGTCATTTATTATTTTCGGCAGATAATATAAATTCCCTTATAGAAACTAAATTGTGTTCCTTAAACACTTCAATGTTACCAGATACATTAAAAGCATACAAAACTTTAAGTGTTCCTCACAATCAGTTACAGCTCATTCCTCCGACATTTAATGACACCTTGCCTGCTTTACAATTTGCTGTAAGTATGAGTTATGTATGGTATCAATTCATTTTTTCAAATGTGTTTATCTTATAGGTATATCCACCACCATTTCAAGAGTTACCATCTCCATTTTTAGAGTTATTTGATCTTGACAGTATATTTAATTCAGAAAAATCATCATTGGCACATTTGGCTACAAGTTATTTAGAAATACAATCTAATGATAAAACAGTCGAAGATAACATTAATCAATTTATTAATGATGTTAATGAAAAATTAGAAATAATTGACCACATTAATGACTGTAAAAAAGTAATACAAACAGTCTTTTCATTTATAAATAATTATAAAAAATAACAATTTTAATTTGAATAAATGCACCTAAATAATTTTTTTTTTATTATATTACAATTATTGTATTATGAATAATAAATAGTATTTTTGCACTGAGAAAATTTTTTTTTTCCATTTTCTTTAACAAAATGTTATAGAATTCTATGTAATAAATTAATTACAGTTATACATAAATACATTTATTCACAATTGCTTATAGATTTTTAACATAACAAACTAAATATATTTAATTGCCACAAAGCATTCTGGCAGTCTTTTGTACTTGACACATTAAGTTACTTTTATTTTGAGATCCTGCAGATCTACAATATCTACACTTTCCTCCATGTGCCTTTCTTTGATTTGTATAATGCATAAGATATTATGTAAAAAATCAAAGCCCATATAAACATCGAAATAAAGCCCATGTAAACAGCCTTGTGATCAAAAGACCAACCACGCATTGTTATACCTCTTAATGCTTCAATAGCCAATGTTATTGGAACAAACTTATTAGTATACTTGACAAAATGGCGAGCACCTTGGGTAGGCCAAATAAAACCTAAATATTAGAAGTTTATTTTGTTTAAAATATTAAAATTAATACAAAATATGATATTTATGTATTTACCACAAGCACACATCAACAAAAAATTGCTACCAATTCCTGCAAATCCAGCAGCAAAATGACTGTCATTTGCCAAAGCCAATACAAAACCTTGAAATAATTTTTATTGTAAGGACATATTTATGTATACAAATAATAATAATTTGACTAGAATAATAACCAACCATAAATCATTCCTGTTATTCCAATCACTATAAGAAGACTAAATCCAATTGTAACTGATCCAATAAACGGGTTACCATAAAATATATACATAATTATTAAAATTTCAATTGCTTGTATACAGATGTATGTAAATTGAACAACTGAATGAGCTAATGCAATTTCAAGATATGTCATGCCAGAAGTTAATACCCGATCCAGTATACCATCATTTTGCTCATCAAGCATAACAAAAGTTGTGAAAATAATTGGCAAAAAAAACATACATCTGAAAAAGTATACAAAAATTAAATCTAAGTTTGATTACATGTTTTACATTTAACAGAAATAGATTAGAACTATATATAAATTATTTACTGCTGGAATTGTTACTTGTTAGTATCTAAAAATAATGACAATTATGAAAACTAGTATTTATTTTGCAATAATAATAAACGGCATAGTTAATACGTACATGCATACTGTGCCTGGTGCAACAAATTGTGTAAAAGATCCTGAATTGGAACCGTATATAGCATCATGAATCTAAATAGATTAGTGATTTAAAAATTAACAACATATAATTTGAAAACAAAATGAATACGTACCTTGATGGGATAAGATATTACTTTATCCAATGAATCATTACAAGAACCAACTAGATTTTTCAAAGCATCAGATAAACTTAATGTCACATCCCTTTCAATTAAAATTGACATATATCTATCTAAAACATACACGTAAAACTTAATGATATAAACATTTATTTTAATCACTTCAAGAAATAAAATAACCTGAATCATCAACCCAAAATTCTAAGAAACTATGATCAATTACATCATCAGTACTATCTCGACCAGTACTAACTCTATTCTTTAGTGATTCTGTATAATTAAAATTGAATCGTAACAAAGCCCAAATTTTATTTTTTTTTATTGACCTCTTCGCATCTTCAATATCATTATAATTTTTCTGCACATATCATAATTTACAAATTAGTAATATAATATATACATAAGAGTTTAAAGTTATAAACTTACGATCTTATAAGTTCTTTTATTAAGTTGGTAAATTAATTGACAACTACCATACATTTTATCATCCAAGAAACAATTATTATTATGTTTATAAGTAAAATTTACACAATTTCTGAAATCGATTTCTTCATTTATAATTCCAATATTGATATTCTTAGGATCAGATCCAATTGCCATATTAAAAAATACAGTTATAATAACTGGCAGACATAACATTAAATAAGTCATCCTAAAGAATGTGTTTTAATTAAAATCATCAAAGTATAAATGCATAAAATAGTATTATACTATTATAATTTATAATAATCAATTATATTACTGTTTGTTTCTCCATAATAAAAATCTATTTTTCAACATCTGTGCTCGAAATCGTCTGGTTTCAAATTTTTTGTTACTGTCTAAAGGTAACAATTTTTTTTGTATTTCATCATCAATAGGCAAAGAAGTCTTCTAAAAAATAACATATAATAATTAAATATCAACTAACAACAATAATAATAATAATAATTTTTTAATTTATTTTATGTTATTCAAATAATATGATTTATGTTTATAAATAAGAAATAGTTTTAAAAATAAAATTCTTTTAACTTAAAAATTATATCAAGAAATTTAGTAACTCACATGTATGACTTTTGATGTATCAATCATACATAACTTGAGAAACACATCTTCTAAAGATGAACATCCATAACATTTCATTAAATTTTCTGGAGCGTCTTCTGACAATATTACTCCACTTCTCATCATGCCAACAGTATGTGCTCTTCTAGCTTCTTCAATGTAATGTGTAGTTATAATAATTGTTTTGCCTTCAGAAGACAGATCAGAAAGATGTAACCATATTCTAAAAAAAAAAATGATATTATTATGAACATATTTTGCATAGATAACATAAATATGTATATAGCTGAATACTTTCTAACTTACTTTTCACTTAATATTGGATCTAATCCAACTGTAGGCTCATCTAATATTAATAAAGTTGGATTATGGAGAAGAGCAATTGCAAGTGAAACTCTTCTCTGTTGACCTCCACTACAAAAAATATTATTGGATTCAATATTTGTAAATATATTATTAAATCTCATATAATATGTTATAAAAATGCTATGAATCTAGTATTCTAGACTATAAATTTGGAACATTTTTTACACTAATATATTATTAATTATTCATACTCAATCATCTGAACAATTGTTCTCTTAAATTTTAAAATTTAATTTATAAAATCAATAAAGGTATTATGCAATAAGTTTATTTACAGATATCCAACTAACTTCAATAAAATATTTATATATATATATATGTGTGTGTGTGTGTGTATATTACATAAACTATAATTTGGATTAAATAGATATGTGCAATACCTTCACAAAACAATAAATATCAATTTTCATAACTTTAGAACACATAAACATGAGCGTATTTTTTTAATCCAATTTATCAAATGTAATGCTTTTTATGAAATGAAAATTTATCTACATAGTACTTTGGACAAGGTGATTTTTTATTTTTCAGTTAGTTTTCATAATATCTGGGAAAAACGGGAAAATTTACAAAAATAATGCATTTATAATTTAGTTAAAAATATTCGTAATGACTTAAAATTTGGACAGAAAACTTAGATTTGCCTTTTCTACACGTAGTAAAACTTTAAAAACATTTGAGCAATTTTTGAGCTTTTTATAATACATTATAATTTTGTGAGTAATTTTTATTTGGTAGGTACTCTGTCTATAAAGAAAATTGTTGGACTAAACAGAAATACTTTAAAATTGAACAGGAGGTTCATTAGAAGTTAAACTTTGTAGAAAAAAAAATTGATTTTAATGTAGTAATTTTTTTTTTTTTTGTAAGAATTACTACAATTTCAAATTTGACAATAATTGTTTTAGTAAAAAATGATGGAAAACAAACCTAGTTAAAGGTCTACTTAATTTTTCAATATATATTTATTTTACTTTTACTATAATATTACACATATTGTTAAAAAAGCTCTACTATTAACTGAGCTCCGCTAAAAAACCTTTTTCGTTAGCAATGATTTATCCCAATTTCTCATCTACAACAGTAGTTATAGGCGCAATTAGGGGGGCTTTGGTGTACTTAGCACCCTTAGTTTTAAAATTAGTACTCCCAAAAATATGTCATGTTATTATAAAAAAAATATAATATACTGAAAAGAAAATGATTAAAATAATAATAAAGGTTTATTGGTTAATGATTTTAATTCATTTTCTGAGTATTCCTATTAAATATAATATATTATAATATTATTAGATACCATATTCTATAACAAAATATCTAAAGCAATAACTAATAGAATGATATAATTTGTTTATTTATGAAACAGTTTTTCCAATGATTTGTAATCTTTTATAGATTGTCCCTAGCCACAGTCTATATATCAAAGAAGTAAAAGTAGACCTACCATATGCAACGTTCAACCACTACTAACAAAAAATGACTCAGATCAAAATTCGGTGAAATTTTGAAATACCGTAATTATTACGATTTTCGTTAAAATCTTAACTAAAAACGCTGTTAATGAAAAATGAACTCATTAAACATATATTTGTTTTTTAGTTCACTAACCTTACTTATAATATACCTTATGTTAAATTTTCAAACATTTCTTTTTAGTTAAATAATTTTATTCACCGAATACCAACCAAATAAAAATTACCTAGACAATTGGCAAAGTTAAAATATGAGTACCTATTTTATGAAAATAACAAATCTCTTTGCATGTTTTATAATTTTTAAGAGAATACTAGTATCATATCTCAAGTGTTTTAAGAGAATATAAAATCTGACTATATCATCAAACTGTACCTTTTCTCTGTAATTAATTATACAATATAAGTTCCATTAAAATATAATACCTATTGCATATGCATATTCATAACAAATACAAATTACAAAGAAATATTAAAATAAGGACATTCTATAAATAAATAAAAATCAACTTAAAATGTTAGGTATTATTATGTAGATGAGTAAATTAATTATTTGTCACAAAACGACAAAGATTCTATGAACCAACGACTGAACAACTGTTCTACATATTTTACTTTATTTCTTCAACCAATGGTTAATAGGTGTAGTATAATAGAAAAGAGTGAGCAGGAACTATTATATTTTATAGATCTCTTGTTTGTATGAACTAGGTTTTTTTTTATTTGAAATTGCGTCCCTGACAGTGGTCCACCCATTGTGTGAGGTAAATCCGTCTCTTTTATCTACCCCTAAGTACGACTATAATGTACCTCCTGTCAAATTTTCAAGCATTTCTGTCTAGTGTAACAATTTTATACAAAAAGTGCATACTAAATAAATATTACATAACAAAAATCGCAAAATTAAAATGTATTGCTCAAGAATATTTTGAAAGTTTTACCACGTCTAAAAAAAGTAAAAAGTAAATTTCTGTTAAAATGTCAAGTCTTTACTTTTTATTCAGTTGAAAGAAATTTAACTGAATTACATTAAAAAAAAAAAAAACAAGATTTATAATAATAAATAATTATTTTCATAAATTGTTCCGATCTTTCTACGTGTTTTTCGGTTTTTCTCAATTATTACAAAAATAACTATTTTAATCAAAAAACGAATTTATTACCCACAAACTAGATTAAAATTAAACCAAAAAAGAGTTTCTTGTTATTGTTCTATCGAAGCAAATTTTTTTGTAGAAAACATAAGCTGTACAAATTTATAATAATGGAATTGTTGCGCCGTAATTTGAAAAAAAATCGTATTTTTTATCTTTATGGTTTTTCCCAATTATTATGAAAAATATTTTGGATATCAAAAAACGACTATCCATTTTAGTGACTATATGTCAACAGAACGAAATCGATATCTTGTCAGTTTTCGATCAGAGCAATATTTCTATTAGAAAACATAAGTTGCAAAAATTTAAAACAATGAAAACAGTAACGTCGCAGGGCGTCATAAATATTTGCCGTTTTACCTATAATTTTCTTTTGGGTTTATTCTAATTATTTTTAACACCTCTTAGAAAATTAAAAAATGATCTTCTCAATGCAATAACTAAATACAATTTTTTTCAAGAAAAATATCAAGTATAGCATCTACACTGGATACTTCAGAGCAAATTTTTTGGTAAAAAAGTTGCTCACACACAAAAAAAAAAAAAACAAGCATCATAGTAAAACCAATATATCCCTACGATCCAAATCTAAAAAATAGACTGAACTATCAACCACTGACTACTGACAATTAAAACCTTATCGCTATTGTCTTGTTTAATAGACTCGTTCACCATTAATTTACTATCTATCGTGTCATATTCACTATTATAATTATTATATTGAATTAATATGTCTATGCAGCATATTTATGATACGGTAGTGTTATTAATATTATTACATTATTGAATTATTCATTGGTATTTTCTCTACATCACGCTGATGACTACGGACTAAGGACTCTAACATACCTTAGTCCGTGCTAATGACAAACGAATACAATAGCAGTGTAACACAGTGACACCAGCACAATGATTGAGAATACAAAAATAACTTATTGATATAAAAAAAAACTCAAATTTTTAAGTTTGGCCCACTCTTCTGTTGGACCACTGTGCCGCAGAATAGTAGAACAGTGATCCATTCTGCACTCTGCATCAACTGTAATAGTATGGTTCAATTATCTCCGATAGTTTGAAGATAAATGAATCTACAATGTTTGATACCTTCTAATACCCATTTCCTTCAATAGTATATACCTACTTTAAACCTGAATAAGTAAAATATTATAAAACAATCTATTGTATATAAATATATAGGTTCTATATTCAAACAAATTATTGTTCTCCCAACAAAAATTATTTATACAAATATAACAAAATTACCTAATTAAATACCAAATTTATCCTATCCCCTGAATTCTTTCATATTAAGTAATTTTTGTTATTTTAAACTAAATTTTTTATTCTCTTCTTCTTTGCTTACCTTAAATTATTTATTAACATATTTCGTGGAGGCAAGTCAAATAAATTGTTAAAATATTTGTAACGAGTAATAATTTCATTTCGGGATAAGCCAAAAATAGTTCCAAAATAAATGAAAATTTCTTCAATACTAAGTAAAGGATCTAAACATAAATCCTAAAAAAATAAATTTTGTTATTATAATATATTTTATTCAATTAGTTAAGAAAAAATAATAAATATTACCTGAGGCATATAACCTATATCATCAATGCCATTTGATTCTAAATTGATGATACCATTATCCAACTTTGTCTGACCAACTATACAATTTAAAAGTGTTGTTTTACCACAACCACTAGGTCCTAAAAGACCATATCTAAAAAAAAAAAAAAAAACCATATTCTTGACCCAAAATTATAAAACATATATACATTTAGGTTGATACACAAAATTACATACATAATTATAAAATAAATATATAAATATAATTATTATATTTATTATAATTTAGTTAAGAAATAAGATCAAAACTAATTATTGTAAAAATAATTATACACTTAGGTAATTAAGCAAAATAAATATAGAAATACATAGATTAAATAATTTATTCATACATCGTATTCCTACGGACAGTCAAAGAAACTCCTCTAAGCACAATAGCTGATGAACTATATTTTTTATATGCACTTCGTACTTCAACAGAGGCGGGAGGAGGATGTTGTAGTTGAAGGGCATCCCTACACATTCTGTAAAACATAAAAAAAGATTAACATATTAATACATTTTCTATAATACAAGGAGTTATAGTAATTACTATTAAATTAAACTCAGTACACATTGACAAAATTATTAAAAAAATGTATTATTTATATTTCAAATATTTATGTGGCTAGCATAAAATATAAATGTATATTAGATTTATTATTACTTAATATTTACTTTTAAATTGAATAAGCATATTTCATTTTAGTATAAGTACCTACTGTTTATAATATTATAGGTAGATAATAAATAAACGCCATTGAAAGCCGATCGAATCACAAGTCAACAATTAGGTATTTCTGATAATTTATAATTGTTTAGTTATGAAAATTACATAAATTATTTTTTGCATAATTTATGTGTGGTGGTTCAAAATTGGTACATTGACGACGTTATATAATAATATTTATTGGTAGGTACACCCACTAAAATCATCCGAAATAGTCTAAAATTAAGTTCAAACATATTTGTTTAATACAATCAAATTATGTTTTAACTATCTCGAGCACCTAATACCTATACATCATTACTAAAATGTCACGTCACAATAATGATAACTAAAATTGTAAATTAAATACTTGTTTAAACGTTTTTGTGCAATAATAATTAATAATTAATAATTTGAGTTAATGATACTCATGATATCTGTGAGATCGAGAGACAATACAGCAGCCGTTGTTGGTTATTCTTTAGCCGTTTATGATGTTTCTCGGAGTACTCTACGTGGAAGCAAATTACCTTTGTATCCCCAGTTAATAACCCAGGTACGCAAAAAATTGTGAGCAACCCAACCATCAAACTGCCAGGTTTTGACTTACCAAGGAAAATATGGCTGATATTGAATCGTCTACGAACTGAACATGGAAGGTGCAAATATCTATTACACAAATGAAAACTAGAAAATTCCCTTGCTTGCGACTGCTGATGTGTGTCAAACCATCCCACATATAATCTCAGTGTCCACTACATGTATTCAACAGTACCATATAAAACATACATGCAGCTAACCAGACCGCAGATAAATGAATACAGAGTCTTGACTTATAAGTTTCACAATACTATTAGTCATAATAACATAGTCTTTTATTTTATATTTTTTATTTAATATATTTTATTATATATATTATATATATATATATATACATTTTCTATTTTTACCTTTTTTATGAGAATTTTATATTTTATTAATTTAATGATTGTTGCTCATAAAGCCGTATGAAAAAAAAATTAATAATTATTGTTTTTTTTTAAATAAAAATTTGATTTACACATTTCTGATTAGTGTACATTCTCTATCAATATTGGTGAAGTTAATGCAATTGTGGGTCAAAGATTTTGAATTTTATTGCACTCTTTATTTTTTGCACCATAATAATGTCACTGTAAATAGTGTTTATAATTAAACTACTGAAACTTACAACAGAAATTAATTAAATTGAACTGTTGAAAACAATTAGATTTAACTGTATCAAAATATCTCAGAATTTAGTAATACTTTTTACTATTACGTTAATATTTAAAAGTTGTAAAAATAAAGTAAATTAAGGTAAAAATATAATAAACTGTAGTAGGCACCTACTTAAAATTAAAAATATAGATTAGGTTAGGTACCTATCTAATTAAAAGAAAAAAACATTTTTTTAAGTATAGTTTTTGACTTGCACAAAATTAATGAAATTATTTAAGTGAAAATTACATCAAATAAAATTATAATACTGTAAGTAAGTAGATGTAAAAAATATAATTACCCATGTACCTACTATTTGATTTTTAATGCAATTTAAAAATATTATAAATGTAGCTATTAACTATTATTTGAAAATCACTTTATAAAATGTTGATTAAAATTGTTAAATTTTGAAGGGTCTTCAAATACAAAAATATGTATAAAAAATATATAATAAAAAAATAATAATTTGGTATGAATATAGGTTATGTATCTACATGATACATAGATTTTTTTACATTTTATAAACAAACCTTCAACATTTAATAAGTCCAACAACAATGCTTACTAACAATTAAGACAATTTCATTAATTATATTTATATATAATAGGTATACTCATAGGTATTATAAAAATGTCATAATAAATAATTGACCTATTCTATTATTAAAATTTACAGAACAAAAAAGAAAAGCCATATCAATACTTATTGAAGGTTAGCTTGCAAATAATAAATTTAAAAAAAAATATTATTATAAAATATTAAAGATGCATTATTAAGATGTTATGTGTACTAATTGTCAAGTAGTTAGGCATCTATATTATTAGGTACCTAATAAAATAATAATTCATAATTTATTTATTCATATAATACCTACCTACTATTCCAAGGCGAAATTAGATTAATTCATACAAAATTGTAAAATTGTATAATCTATATATATATTCCACATACCTATCAAAAAAAAATCCATTATTCTTAAATTTAGTACAATACTGATTTTTTTTTATTAATGTATAATTATGAAATTTGACGAAATGTAAAATAATTGTATATAAAAAAGATATTTGAAATTTAATGTCTTAATTATTACTAATTATTATTAATAAATATAATAGTTTACCTTGTATTATATATTTATAACTATTATAAGTATTTGGAATTCAAATTAAAAATTCTATAAAAATCGAAAAATAAATATAATTTAAACTATAGGAAATATTTCATGAACCAAAGAATCAATTATTCAATACATTTTACAATTTATCAAAATTAAATCCAGAAGAAAATCTGAATTAACATCAAATAAACATAGAATTTATTACAGATTTTCTGTTTTTTTCAAAAACCCCTGGAAAATTCTAATATCATATAAATATAACCTATTTTGATCATCTTTTCTTTACTCATTTTTATTTTGTAGTTTATGATATTTTATGAGTTTATGACAATTGAATAAATTACATAATGTGTTATAGTTACGAATAATTAATATGAATATTTAAATTATTGTTTTATAACTATTTACTAAACTTTGAGTATCATTATAAAAATTTATAAATCCACTTTAAGAAGACCAACAATATCTGTATACCTAAAAATAAAAATCTATAAGGATATCTAAAATTAATTTCTAACAAATTTATGAAAGTTATACATTATTGGGACTTTACTACTTATTTACTTTAGTGAGACATTTTTATTGTGTTATTGAAAATTTTAAATTTATATTATATTTTTACAACTAGATATATGATTATTGATGGAGTATTAGTAGATAGGTATCCTAAAGCCTAAACAATAAGAGAATACTAAAAATATACAAAAAAAGTTTTAAGAATTATAAATAGTGATCAACTTTTTTTTTTTACTTTTGCATAAAACCACCACGTTATAAAAACATATTTTTGGGACAAAGATTTTGTAAAGTTTAATTTTTAAGTTCAAAATTAAATAAGATCACATTATTAATTTTGATGAGGCTTATATTATACCTATTAGTTTTAGAAAGTTGTGTACAGTTCTGAATTATGATAGTTGTTTAACCGAAATTAAATGTCCGCGATTTTAAAAAAAATTAGTATCTACCTATATGTTTAATATTTAACAATTATTTATAATTGGTACGCTTGACCTAAATAAATTATTGAATTGTAGGTAAAAGTTTTTTTTTTTTTTGGTACACATTACACAAGAGAACCGCAAGTACCAATCATTTTAATAAAACGTTTTTTATAATTTTTATTTATTTTATATCAAGTATACTATATAGGTATAAATTGACCCATATTAATAAAAACTAAGATTGATTTGTTTCTCCCATAATTGTTGTCAAACTTATTAAGTAACACATAATCTATAATCCATAATAATGTCATAGTGTTATTTAATGTTATACAATACAATCTATAAAATACATAACACTTCCAATTAACTAGTTTAATATAAACGATATAAATACTACAAATTCTCAAGCATTGAATATTTGTCATTGAAAAATATATTTCCGGTGTAAAAAACCTTCATTAACAATAAGCACTAGAAAATAAAGGAAAAAAAAATGGTTCTAGGTTTGTTAATGTTATACAACTTAAAAGTTATTTAGATTATTTTTAGTTTTAATATTAAATGTATTACAAAATAATTGATATTTATTTATATCTAACTAAAAAAGTAAGAAACATGTTTTATGATATTTATACATAAAATTGCCAAAGTAAAAATTAAATAGTTACTATAAGTATCTACTAATTTATTTATGCATTATTTGTATCATAGAAGTAAACTAATTATGTACCTATTAAATCTGATGTTATACCTAAAATATGAAATTTAAAATCAAATTTATAATTTTTTAGGAAATATTTTTCATACGATAGAAATTATAACAATTCATTTTAATAATAATACTCACTAAAAAAAAACTACATCCCTAAAATAACACATCATTGTTAAACATAAATGCAATTATAAAATACCATACCAATTTGTATAGCATACCTACCTAATTTGTATGTAATGAATGTTATTGTGTATACAGGTATTTTATCATAATTATTCTACGTTGGAATATTATGTGTAATGTGTATAAATAAATATACATAAATGCTAAGGTAGTTACATCTAAATAATTAAATTTAAAGACTTGTTAATCTTGAACAAGAAATTTCATAGTAATTACAAAGTTTTCGTTATTTAATTAAAATAATTTTACTACGTTTTGCACATCCACATACAACCACTCATACTAGTTTATTATGTATTGAAATGAATAAAAAATTGTCTCGTATGTTATTCTGTGCTGACCATATATTATTACCAAATCAATGTCCTACTTTCACCATGCTGTGATTGTGTATTGATGAACATTTTAAATTTAATTCCAGTGTTAATCAAGTATAATAATATATATCAGTTTTTAAAATATATGTTATAAAACTTCATTCTATACTCTTGGTTTGGTTAATAATTAAAATATTAACATTTTAAAATGTATATAAAAAATATGTAACAGTTAATGAAATACGAAAGGATTAAGATTCAAATCAAAATAATAATTATCGACATAATGTAGACATTTGCTCAATCATTATAAAATATATAAATATATACATTTATATACCTATATAGTTTGATATAAAATGCAATACACATGATGCCAAGTTTAAGGTAACCTATATGTTGTGTAACATAAAGTAAGGGAATAAAGGGAAAGTACAAAATAAAAAATAATGAACTACCTACCTACAATATTGTTGCTCTGGGTCAATACTTTTTGACACGTTTTTTTATGGAAATCATACAATTTTATGATGATGGATTCAATTTATTATTAAAATTAAATTTAAATTATTTTAGGATATTAATAAATTATATTCTATATGAAACGTCTTTGAAATAAATTTTTTTTTTGTAAATTTAGATTGTATACCTAGTATATTTTACAACTGTTTTCTTAGTTATATTTGTTTTATTTAGGTACATATTTAATCTACCTACTGTTCTCTTAATTTAGGTACTTCATAATATATTTACACATAACTTTTAAGTATAGGTATTTGAAAATATTAAAATTTAATTAAATATTTAATATACCTAATAAATATATCTAGATTATAAAACAGTTTTTTTTATTCAGTCTAAAAGAGATTTTGCAAATTGTTATGCTCAATATTATTTGTATAATTTATATAGGTAAATGCCTTCTTGAAGGTCATTTTATGTAAAATTAATACAAATTTTAAGAGTTCGTTTTAATATATTATCTCATACATTTCACCATCAAACATAACTACGAAATAAGTAGGTATTAATGTTTTTAACCTTATTTGAGGGCCACTATTCAAATTTTTTTTTCTTTTTCGTTATGAAAAATATCCCAACTCATAAAAGAATTGTAATCAATCGTAAATAACATCATCATCATCATCATCAAACATTAAACCTCCAAATAAAAGCTCTTAACAACTACTTAAATAAATTGGTATGCATTTATTTAAAATAAGTATTTTTTAGTTAGCATGTTTATAAATATTATAGATTAAATGGTTTTAGAATAACTGTATTGCTTCATTAATTGTGTATACACGTAATATGTATTATACATTTCATTTTATAATTATATGTGCAAGTATTAGAATAAATTATAAAGTTCATCTAAAAGTGAAATCTAAGCCTTGAATCTATCAACCTTGACCGAAGGAGTACATATATAGAAAACAAAAGTGTTCCCGGAGAGAATAAATATAGTGTTATGAACCCCTCAGGCATTTGGACCAAATGACATAATAGAGATGTAATAGATACAAATAAATTAAAAATACAGGTCTCCTATTGAAGAATAGTAATGAACAATAAATTAAAGATGAAACAATCAGACTACTTCAGTTCATATTGTTAAAATCAAATTAATAAATTGGTATTTTACATATAAAGTAGGTTGGTTTGTTAATTGTATTCTTCCTCCTTACTGTTTCTCCATTCTACATCATCATGATCTACTATCTACAATACTACTTATATATAAAATTGTTTAATATAAGATTCACAGAGGCATTCAAATCATAGTATATTAGTATTATATATAAAAATAACATATTATGTCGAATATTAAAAATTAGTTTATCAATTACCTACATACCGATAGGTATATTTCTATTACTTATTTATTAACTAAATTAAAATGTATAATGCATAAATAACTAAAAGTTATTAAATAATGTCATAATATTTCATCCATACTAATATTTACAAAAAATAGTGAATATAATCATGGTTTCCTAGATTTACCTAACATGGGGACCCGAAAGTGATGAAGGGCTGTTAAAATATATGTTGCAAGAGATCTACTGGTCGACCTTATATATGAATAATGATAAAAAAAGTGTTCACTGACTACAGTTTAAAAGATGACCGTGACATACACTTCAATTAATCTACACACTATAAAAGGAACAAGCAAAATATTTTGACGGATGTCAACACATTTTTAATATAATAATATGTCCTCGTAAACTATGCGGAAGTACATTATAGAGATAGATTACTAAATTTAATTTAATTTTTGAAACAAACAAACATTAATAATTTGAATATTTTGGAAAACCAATAAATAAATAAACCTATATAATACATGTATGCCAGTAATATAACATTTAAATGTTATCATATCATATCATACAAAATATATGTGATCGTTAATGAATTATATGTTTAAACTAGATTAAAGGTACTAGTTCTTTAAAATAAATACCTATCTATTTATATGTATATTATAGAATAAAAAAAAAATATTAAAGAAGTTTAAATAAATTGTATAATAAATAATATATTACATGTTGATTTCTTTTGTGTTTTTTTCTGTATATTTATTTTTAAATTAAGAGTGGTATTAAATATTATTTTAGAATATTCCGACAAAAGTACAATTTAGTTTTGTATGTTCAATAAATCAATATCCAATAGTCAATTTTAAGGTACCTATATTAATAGATAGGTAATAAAAATAAATGTGAAAAGTATGAAATACTTTATAAAAAAGTAAATAGCTGAGTATAATACGAATAAAATACGATTATAAAAAATTAAAAACATACTACATTAATCATAGTATTTTAAAATTTATATTATGACTAATTACTAACTATTTTCATATGGATTTATTATTAAATCAGGAAAAAAAATAAAGTATAACGTATTTATAAAGGTATGTATATGGATAAACAGTAAATTAAGCAATAACAATAAAATAAACTGAATAGTTCAAGTCTAATACTATTATATATTCATGGTTCAATTTATAGATCAGACGAATAAGTAGATAAATAATTGATAGTAAATAGATTTATTCATAAGCTATTAGTAGCATGGACATATTAATTAATTTATTAGTATGTCAATAGTTGATAGATATACATTTAAACATTTTTATATAAAAATTGTGCAATTTCAATTAGACCAAAATGTCAACATGATGATTACCTAACCTTCGTAAATCTAAACCTTTCCAAATCCAAGACCTAAGCAGTTTTATATATTTACTAAGATCAATAACCTATAAAATTATGTAAGATTATTTAAATGTATAATTATAATAAAAACTGGTGTTTGAAACCTGTTATTAGTTTTGCCATTCATTATTAATAAACAAAGCAAATTGTTACATTTTAAAATATCAAATTAAACAAAATGTAGTAAGAGTAACAACATTTGTCATTCAAAAGGAAATACTTATTTTTAAAAATCCAGGATGCTTATAATTTGTTTAGTAAAGTTTTTGAATGGTTTAAATTTGTTTTAAATAAATTGAATTTGAATTTGTAATACTTATTTAAGAAATAGAATACCTTATATATAAATAAATCAATAAAAATTGTGTATTACTGTTTTTACTTTTCATATACCTACTTAGGTACCTACATTTTATACAATTTTATTATTTTATATAAATCAAATATCAATATACCAGGCATTATATCCAAAATAAGTACAGCATAATATTAAAGATTATTATAAGTTTCCGCAGAAATTTTTCCAGGGGGGAAGGTAATGCAAAAGTAATGACAATGTTTAGTCATGCATATGTTTTTATACGTTTTAGATGAAATTAAAAACCATAGGGGCACGAGTGGAAATCGCCCATTTTTCTTCTTCCCCCTCCCCCTCGATACGCTCACAATGATAATATAATTTTTACTTTATGCAATTCAAAAATATTCTAATTTAAAAATAAATAATCATGTATCATATAATATGATTATATTATATTTTTACCTATACATTAGGTATCTATATTGCTATATAAACTGTATTTAAGTTTTAATGAACATGTGAACATTTGTCCACATGACAATTGTAATTATTAATATTTGATGGTACCTAATACTCTACACCTAATACATTTATATTTAATATTTCTTCATGTAGATACATACCTATCTGTGTACAAAATTTATGAAAATCATAAATTTGAAAGAAGGCTGATGATAATACGTTAATCATATTTTATTACAGGGTTATTGCAATCTTAAAAATGGCCATTCGACTACATATTAAATAACAGAGTACACAGATAGGTCAATTACCTATAAACTATCACACTTACACATAGTTGTAGAAAATCATGTGTTGAGAATTAAGAAGGAAAAAAATGACGAAGGACGTGTTGCGTGCGCATACATGAACAACTTATATGGTTATTAATAAAACTGGGCCACGCTATCAATTGTTACGAAATTCAGTTATTTTTTATTTTTAACAGCTTATTAAATACAATTTTCACTGACTTTAAATATTTCCAAATATCCAATTTAATCATAGTTAACTTCGTCCATAATAATACGTTATTATTTCAATATAAATATATGCCATTATATAAATACATTAATTATTTAAATTAAAATAATAATACGTATATCAACAATTATTTTAAATACACATTTATGTATTTGAAATAATACATGTATACTTACATAAATACAAATAATACTTAAATGTTAAATGTAATATATTTATAAATAATCTATTTATTTTATTTTGTATTTATAGCTGATAAATAAATAAAATATAATAACATACCCGGCATTAAATATAACAGGTAATGAAATTTTGAAAGGTACACAATTGAGATTAATGTAGAATTAATAGAATAGGTAGTTTTATTATAAATAAATAAATTTCATATTTTTTAATAACCTATAGGTAAGTATACCAACCTACCTTCCTATAATTATTATTTTATAATTGTAAATTATTAATTGGGAATTTCAAAAAGAAATTTAAAATAAGTATCTACATATTTTTATTGGTAAGTACCTTTAAATTATCGAACAAGGAGACTTTAACATATAATATGTACCAATCTATGAAACGTAGTAAAATTTGACTTACTTGCAGATAAGAAAGAAGTTAATCCTTTTAGAAATACAGTCATGTGTGTACTAGAAGATCCGACCTGGTACTGAATGATTCAGTACCATATTATAACATACGCGGTCTTGTAAACATTGTTGATGTCACAGTCACACGGGGTTACACCTAGCCACCTAGGTACTAGTTTGTGGCCATCGACTATCAGCCTCGATTACATACCACACGTTTACCCCGACCATTTACTTTAAACACGTCCCCTCCAAATTAGTTGTTTGAATTGTTTTTGTAACTGCAACATAAGTAATATAATTTTAAGTACACAAAAATGCATTTAGATTGTAAATAAAGTATAGCTATCTGTAGGCAGGTATATAATATTCACGTTTTATATTACGGCTTATATAATATTATATGTTATATATATATATATATATATATATATATATATAGGTATAGATGATTTGTTTATTTTAAAACAGATTTATAAGAAAATTATTCTTATTATAATAAAACCCTTGTATAATCATAATAATATTTTAATTGTTTTATATACATAATAAATAGTTTATTTAACACTATCAACAGTGGCGTAAAATGGTCACAATTTCTGGTGGTGCAATGATATATTTAATTTTTAACCCACAAATACATCTACATTTTTAGTAAATCCCAGCCTAATAAATAATTAATTTCAACTCTAACAATTTTTTTTTTTTTTATGACAGAAATCAAAAACTAACATTGTGTCATTTGAACAATAAAATTTCCATAAGATATAATTAAATATTATATTTAATATGTGAGGTGAACACATATAGGTGAGCATAACAGTGAACAAATAACGTCAGTGGATTTATTCACGTAATTTGGGTTGATGTTCTTACTCCTTTGAACATGTCTCACTAATTTATAAATCATAGCCATCTAATCATAAAAGTACATCATAACGAAAATTAATTTTTTTGTTGTTTAATGTTTAGGTACTTTTGAAAATAGAAATTAAAAACAGATAAAAAGTAGTGTATGCATCTCCAAAAGTAAAATGTGGTGGTGCAAATGCTACATTAAAGGTAGGTTAACAGGCTCAGTTAAACTGAGCAAACCAATTTGTGGTATTTTTGTGCAGTTCATTTGTGCAAACGAACTGAGCAAATTATTTAGGTTTACTCGTTCAGTTATTAACACATATTTTCTTCAGTCCTAATATGCCACTGTAGCAAAAATGTTGTCTAACAGATGCTTTGTATTTTCGCAGTCTGTGTTATTAAAAAAAGATTATTAATATTAGATAAAATAAATGAGAAAAAAACTAAATAAAAAGAAGTGGTCAAAAAATGGACTATTAAAAAGACAATAATGTTCGCAAATAAATTTAATTGATGAATTATCTGGTGAACCATCTAACTTGAGAAACTATAGGTAAGTTTAGACAGCTAGGTGTGTATTTGGTCCCATTTTTCGGTGAGAGGGGCGTTAATTTAAAATACATTTGGATATAAAAAAAAAACATTAATATGGAAAAATTAAAGGCCGGGGACAAGGCAATTGCCCAATTGCCCATACTCAGAAAGACGCTCTTGAATAAATGGCTTACATTTTAAAACTGTTTAAAAACCCAGTTATCCGTTTACACACACGAGAAAACTGTGCAACTACTATAACTGCACAATATTTTACAGACATCGCCTGAACTCGCACATTTCAAAATTTTAAACTGTGCAATCGTGTGATTTCCAATTACTCACATAGTTAGTTTGCGCAAATTTGAGTTTGTGCAATCCTTTAGCGCAGTTTAACTGAGCGTGTAAACCACCTTAACAAACAAATTTTTAAACTTCGATTCAACATAAAACTAAATACTACGTTCATAATATATTATGTGGCTATACAAATTTACGATTTAAAATTCAGATCATAAATTTAAAATTATAATTGGATTTAGTAGAAAATTATTTTTTTAGTTTTTCCGAGAAGTATTCAAAATATTATTTGTATTTAAAATTTTATTTTTATATAAATATAAATATAATTAATTATTTTTCATCAAAATTGGTTGAATGAGAAATTCTAAAATATAAAAATGTTCAGTCAGTTATTTGAAAAAAAAACTTGGGTATAAATCTAGTTTACAGCCCAAGCTTGTTTTTCAATTTTTTTTTTAAAAAAAATGTGTGTACATTAAGAATCTAAAAAAGAAAAGGCGAATGTACTTCGTTTGGAATTTATGGGGAAAAACTTCATGAAATTCGGAATTTATCGTTTCGCGTATTTTTTAGTGAGAATTTAACATTTTTAATTTTTTTTTTTTTCAAAAATGTGTGTTTTTTAGTGTTTAATCCATTGATATAATCATTAATTACCTATTATACTTACTTTTGAAGTTATTGTGTATTAAAACAATCCGAGTGAATGCAGCGAGAATCCCCGCCAAGTATCTAGGTGCACCTAAAATTATTTTTTCACTTTTTCTTATTACATATCTGACGTAGTTTTGCACAACAAATCAATAATCACAAAGTGAGTGCATCGAAACACGGTGCATATGAATGTTTGTAACTCTTAAACTAAGCTAAATAGAGTTATTCTGACTTTAATAAATAACTTTATCACCAAAATATCAATAACTATAAATAATATTAAAAAAATATCTATTTTTGACCACATTTTGGATTAATTCTAAAAATAATATTTTTCAAGGTTTATATACCTTAACTTCAAAAGTGAATACAATAGATAAGTTTTAATTATATCAACGGATTAAGCATTAAAAAACACATACTTAAAAAAAAAAAAATTGAAAAATTAAATTCTTACTGAGGAATACGCGAAACGGAAAACCTGAACTTCATGAAGTTTTCCCTCATAACTTACAAACTAAGTTCGTGTGACTTTTTTTTTAGATTCTTAATTTACAGGCAATAACACACATTTCGAAAAAACAATTTTGAAAACGAGCTTGGGTCTTAAACTAGATTTGTTCCAAAACTTATATAATTTTAAACATAACAAAGAAAATATGTTTTGAATAATGGAGTGAAATATTAGTACTTATATATAGGTATTAGGCCATAGGCATACGCACAGAGGGTGCAGGGTGTGCAAGTTCAATCATAATTTTTTTTTATTTTATTATAGAATGAAGTCTTAAGTCACAATGCCAGTTTGGTTTCAACTTTAGCATGTCTCTTTTGACTACAATATCTAACAATCATTGCTTCAGTTTACCACATGATCTTTTCCTGTTCAAGTTGTTCACAAGTACTGTCTTAACAATACTTACCGACTTGAACTGTAGTATTTTTGAAATTTGTAAATCAAAATAATGATATACAGTGGAACCTTGACAAGTCAAAATAAATGCTATCCGCTAACGAAAACCGTGGTTACTAGAAAGAAAAACTATAGATAACTTGAACATTCTATGTTCCAAATATAGACTGAGAATTTTTATAATAATAAATAATGTGCGTCCTATAGTTTAACCCAATAATTTTTTAGTAATACAATTTTAAAATAATAATAATAAATAACAATACACATCCACACTGTAATTATATGAACATAGGTATATCTATATACATATTTATATATATATATATATAAATGTGAAAATGGACGTATTTTTCACGCATGTTCTCTGAAACTACTAAACCAATTTTTACACGGTTTTTCGCAAAATGATCCGCATTGTCTGGAGAAGATTTTTAACTATTGAAATCCTTGATCTGACCAGTGGAAGTAATAGACCTAACTTAATGACGATTAGACCATCAACAGGCAGCTTATAATAAAAAACTAAACAATTTTTAACCATGTCAGCAAGAAATACTTGTTACAAGTCTTAAGCCTGGGTTAAAATGGAAAGGAAAACGACGATTATAATTGTTTATTTAAATTAAACTAAATTTTAGTGTTTACATTTTTGATTTCTGTCAATCCTTTGTCAAGATATTCCATTTTTAAGTTTGGATTGTAGCGTATCATTTGTGTGGTGGTATGTTACTAATGCACAACTACTGTCCTCTCTTTATTTTAACTAATACTCTATCTATTTATGGAACTTTTAATGTAGATTCCTATTTGAAAATCAAAAATATAGGTAGTGGTTTTACCTCCAAAAATAAGGGTGGTAAAAAAAAACGTAATTATAAATTTGTATAGTTGGTTGTTTCTTAAATTTTCTAGAAAACAAATTCCAAAAAAAGTTAATACTTTCCAAGACATTGTATGTATCCAATTAAATGGATCACCAGTTTCTACAGTATACGGTATAGGTTAGGTACTTTTGTTTTACTATCCAATAGTAATGGTATACTAACAATTGGATAAAAAATAATTTCATATTTTAAAATTGGGGAGCCAGGGAAATGTATGCGACTGTAAAGTATTTGTACATTGTGTCTAGGTAGTTAGATATCCAATAATAATTATAAATTTATAAATAATAACAAAAGCTGTAGTTATTTTAATAAGTGTAAATTATAAAATGAAAAAATGTACTTGCAGAATTGAAATCCAAACAGTTTGATACGCAATACTATATAGGTTTATGCCAAGTGACAACGGAAAGCCAAAAACAGAATATATATATAGAAGTTTATATATACCAGCATTTTCAAAAGAAGCCGGATTTTTTTGTGAAGTTTTGTTCTATTGTTTATATGTTTGATTAAATTATTAAAAGCAATTTTTACATTATTTGTATTATTTTTCTGAATTTTAGTGATTTAGAGATTATTTTTTCTTTAATACGTTTGCTTTTTAAACGTATTTTTCTTGTTGACAATTATGTTTATTTAATGTAATATGTTCAAGTACATAGAATATTGAATAAAATAAATTATATTTTTGAGAATAAGGGTGATTAGAATCATGTGGAACTATAGCATATGTTTGTGTAAGCTTCCTATAAATACTAAAATCAAATTTATTCTTTATTATGGAAACTGTAAGATCTAAGAAATATAATTTTATTATTAATTTGTATTAGAGTGTAAATTGAATGTTTTTATTTATTCTGTTAAAGTAGTTAACCTAATTTTCTGCTTGTCTATTTAAACCTCTAAAAAAAATGAAAGTGTCATCAATATACCTACAACATGCTTTTATATGTGGCTTGTATATTTTGTTTTCAATAATATTATTTGTTTCATAATTTTGCATGTAAATTTCAGATAAAAAAGCACTTAAAAGACCATTCATAAATAACCTTTTTTTTTATGAATATAATTTATTATATTGGAAATAGTTTTGATTAATAATTACATTTATTGATGGAATGATTTCTTATACTTTGTATTGAATTTATTACTATGCATAAGTTTATTTTTTAAAATTTAATGTTTCTTGTTTAAGAATAGTCAATGGATGTATATACATTTTTGACACCAAAAGAAATTATTTTGTGACCTGGCTCAATATTAATTCTTTCAATAAAACCATAAGAAGTTTTTTTTTATATAAGTATTAGTATTCATGTTTAATTTTTCTTTCATGAGAGATTAAATATTTAGCAAGTTGGAGCAGTTTTAAAGTTAATAAATGGACGAATCGTATTATCTTGGGTATGTAGTTTTATGAATGGATGTAAGAGTGGAACCTCTATTTTGTAATCTGATTTCAATAATATTTTCTTTTGGACATTAGGTATTTCTTTCAAATTTGTTCAGTGTAAATTATAGTTGGATCATATGTTAAGTTTTGAATATTATTATTATTTATTAAATCTAAAGTTTTTTTTTTATGAATTTCATTAGTGTAAATGATAACAATTAGATTTATCAACTGGAACTATTTCTGAATTATTTGTTTTTAATTTATTCACTAAGTTGTTAATAATCGTATTTTATCATTTAACTATACTATTTTGTTTTAATATTTTATCAGGTTTTTTTTTAGTTTTTATTGGTGCTGTTTATAGAGTTATATCTTGTTTGATTTTGAAATTGTATATAATTTATAACAGATTCACATTGTATTATTTTTAATTTATTGAAAACTATGGAAGTTAAATTAGTACCTAGAATACTCTCATGGTACGTCTTCTTATCATAAAAGGCCACAAATAAGGCTACATCAGATCATCAGCCTGTTGTTAATTCTGTTAAATAGTATAAAGAATTCTAAACAAAGTTTTAGCAGGTTATCTCATCCTGGATGTGTATGTGGACAACAATTGAGAGGAGGAACTTAAGTGCATGTTTATAGACAATAAAGCTTTAATAGGAGAAAATGTGAGTTAGGTTAGGCTCATAATTTGAAAAAAATAAACCCAACTATGTAAATACCAAACAAATTTTAGAATAATATTAAAATGTTAATTGATTATATAGTTCTGGTTTGTTATAGCCAGTCACCATCTGATTTTACTAAAAAGTCAAGTTTTTTTTTTTAAGCTAATAGTCAGACATAAGCTTACATCTGAATTAGCAATCTAAGGTTACATCAAACCGGTTGTATCATAACCGAATAAAATTTACAGTGGGACTATAACAAATACTGAGAATATGATTTAGTCATAAAAAAAAAAATTCAAGAACTCTTATTAACTATTTAGAAGTACTAACCAGTAATAAAAATTAAGAAAAACATAAAATTTTAATACTAAAATGTGTATTATAAATTTAAATTTATTATAATATTATAATTTGTCAATATTTAAATTTAAGTTATAATTGTAACGTATTAAAAATCATGGCATAAAGTCTATTTTGCTTTTGGAATTGGCCTATACACACCTACAACAACTGCATGGTCCCTTTCATACGGCTCTAGTGTAAGCTGTTCAGTAGGTTTTAACTTATCATTTTTTAATTTTTCAATTTCTTGTGCAAATACAGCAGCTGGTTCGGCTGTACTATCAATACAATTTGCCTAAAAGATAAAATATTTGCTTTTAAAAAACAAGAATATTTGATATTAATAAATATTGAAATAATACTTACTTTAATTGATATTACAAAGTGACCTTCATTCTTTAAGAATAATTGTGCATTAATTGATACAATTCTAGCTTGATCAGGTTGAGCCACATCAGCAAAAATTGTATCTACCATTCCAATTAACATTCTATACTTATGTGGATGTCTAGCATCTTCGATAATAGGAATGATGTTAGTTCTTTTCTTGGCTACATTAATCAAATCACGACCAGACCTATGTGAGAATTCAACTGCATAAACAAGACCATCCTATAAAAAATAAATTGATTAATAAAATTATCCAATTTGTTTAATTCTAACATACTTACAGGGCCTACCACATCAGATACATGAGATACAGTTGTTCCACTAGCAGCACCTAAATATAGTACTTTTGATCCGGGTGGCATATGAATTTCATCGATACCACCTAATATAGCAGCAGCCAATTTAGACCTAAATGGATTCCATACACGATATTCAATTTTTTCTCCTTCAGTCTGAAATTTTTAAAAAGTTCAATAGTTATGTACTATTTATTTAGTCTTATGTTATTTACCTGATCAACACTAATTCTTTTTTCTCCGTAAATTGTCTCACCGGGAATCATGTTTTTGGTGACTAGTGCATCTTCTTTGCCACGAGCAATAAAAACTCCAGCATGACGATGAGGCTCAATGATAACTTTTTTACCACCTTTGAAGCCTCCAGGACCGCCAGAAGGCCTTCCACCACCACCACGACCTCCACGGCCACCACCGCCTCGGCCACCTGCACCTCGACCACGAAAACCACCACCTCCTCTACTGCCACCGCCGAAACCACCACGTCCACCACCTCCTCCAAAACCACCTCGTCCACCACCACCCGAAAATCGACCACCTCCTCCACCACCTCGACCACGTCCACCACGGTCAAAACCTAAACAATCAAAATATAATATTCAATCAATAGTATAGATAAACGTGTATTCAAGATTATAAAAAATATTTTATAGTATTTTAGTAGATGACAATATGTAGTTTAAAATGCTAACATTGTAATAAAACTATAATACTCACCCATTGTAAACAAAACACAAATTAATACGAAATAATATTAAAATAATAAAAAAAACACACGTGAGTTTAAAGTTAAACTATCATGTAACATATAATAAACATATAACGAAGCGGCGGTCAGGTAATAGCGGTAGAAGCCGGACGCAATACAAGAATTAGGTATTTAAACATGTGACTCGTACGCAAGCGCATAACGTAAAACACCAAATGAAAAATACAGTGTATCAATTTATAAAACAATAATTAAAATGCGTACATTTTTTGGACAAACTGTTACAATCACTGATAACAATGTTAAAATATACCATGTATTATATAAGATAACATATTACATTTACCACGAGGCACGGACATAAACAATAGAAATCTGTTGTGTTCGTGACCACTGATTAATATTTAATCTCTTGGTCTGTGCCATTTTTGGGGTGGCGACTATAGACTAAACAACTATTAACTAAATAGTATATAATAAAAGTTAACAAATAAACGCATAAAATGTGTATAATTAATGCTTACTTGTTTTATTCTTAGTAAAATGCTTTATTTTTTTTTTTTGAAAAGAAACGCTAGCGTATTTTAAAGCTTAAATATAAAATTTTGGAACTTGACTGGAAAAAGGTGTTTGCCTCCTAACCTAACCTGCTATGTAAAAAACAGAAAAAAAAGTTTATGAAACTTTCCTATTTTCTCTACATGATTTTAGTTTTTTCTTGTGATTGAGAAAATTTAAAAGAAAATCAACAAATTGGTTCTAAATAACTACAAAAGTGGTCTCTTGTTGTTTTTCTATCGGATCAATATTTTTTTTGTAGAAAACATAAATTGAACAGATTTAAAACAATGAAAACAATAACGTCACAGGGCGTCATAAATATTTAGGGATCACCGTATTATTAAAATAGAAGACTAAAATTTCTTTTGTAATTTTTCAGTACCTACCTATGAGTAGTTATCATATATTTATTTTTTTGTAAAAAACTAAAAAATAAATGTTGATTTATTCATAATATAATAGTTTATATATATTATATATTTATTATCCTAATTCGTGACACAGAATATCCATAATATGGATATTTAGTTAATCTGCCTATCCGTGCCTTTCCACTTTCTGTATGTTACTGTCCATGGTTTAATTTTTTACAATAAGATGGTTACAGAATAGCTTATACTAGTCCATCGTTGCACACTGAGGCAAAAATTATCTTCATCTATTATATTCTCTATTGGATTTAAGATTCTGAGCAGTGCGGAGAACGTACTTATTGGTTTTACAATGTTTTTTTTTTTTTTTATAAGTGATCAACTTTTCTACTAGAATTTTTACACTTTTTCTGATTTTCCTAGGAATTTTTATACCGGAAAAATAGGTGGGGGGGTAGACAAACATACTTCGCATATGGATGAGCCACTGTTGTAGGTGAGAAGTTGTGAAGGTAGAGGGGAAATTGAATGCATATTTGTATGCAACGATTAACCATTGTTAATGAAAAACGATTCTGAGCGGAGTTCAGTTAATAGTGTTGCTTTGTCGACAATAACGTATACCTACATCGTATTATGGTAAAAATAATTTCATATGCATTATATATTTTATTTAATAATATTTGTTTAATATTGTACCTACTATTTCCCAATTTTTTCCCATTCAATATACGAATTATAAATTATTGACAAAGCAACACTATTACCCAACTCCATTCATAATGGTTTTCTATTAGCAAAGGGTAATTGTTGCATACAGATCTATATCAATTTTCCTCTCTACCTTCCAGACTTTTCATCTACAACAATGGCCCACTCATGTATGAAGTATGGCCATCTTTTTCTTCTTTTACTGCAGCATTCCTAAATAAACAATAATATTCAACATTGCCATGATTACATATACAATTTTCTATACTAATATTCATCATTATGTGAACAATTTCATTGGACAATACATTTAATATTAAAAATCTTGGTCAAGAGAAAAAATAATTATTAATAATAATTATTTTATTAAAACATTATATTACAGTAATCTACTGGATAGATTTACTGTTATGCAAGATATTAAAAACATATCCAACAACTATAGTCTGTCCCAGGAGAGAACGGTCCGCTTTCCGATCAAATCGAAACGCTACTGTGCATTCCCATGTTGCAACACTATCCATTTATTCCCTCCCGGATCTATCGACAGGTTTTGTACACTGCGTTTCAAATAATGCACTGTTGTCTGTCGATAGTCCACTGTTTATTGCCAATATGACAAAAATGATAAATTGTAATTTTAACGAATAAAAAATGAAATGTTTTAATATAATTATTTATTATTTATTAAATATATATCTCTGTATTATACCTACTGTATCATACCTACAGTGTTCAATAAGATATTAAATAAATAAATATGTATACAAAAAAAACAAAGTCTGGATTATTATAGAAGGTGCTTGTATATACGATAGTTTACGATTTTAAAAATTATCAAGAGGTTATAAAACAGCAAAGGTAAATAAACGTGCGATGCGCGATGTCTGATAATAATAACAATTTAATTTCTACAAAATAAACCGACGACAGAAGAAATGACAATCAGCTATGTGGATGGGGAAAACATGCGCAGAAGCGGACCTTTCTCTCCTGGGACATTTTATAGACAATTTTTTTTTTTAGAACAGATGTTACTCAATTTGCAAAACGGTTTTCTAGTAGAAAACAATAATCTTAAAAATTTAAAATAATAAAATGTTAATTTCGTAAATATTTGTCTATCTTCTCAATTACTATGCAAAAAATACTTGGAAAATCTTTAAAAAATGATTTCCCTTTGACCTTTATCTAAAATCCATCATAACAGGATTTTTTTGATTGTAACCAGATTTCTGGTAGAAAAGTTATTAAAACATACGAAAAATTAAATTGCACACAGAGTAAAACTAATGTATTCTTCACTCTGCTCAGAATTCAGAAATAAAAGAATATTTTATGAAACACGGTTATAAATTTTTTAATTTTCTAATATAATAATTAAAACACATTTAATTACAAAATAAGACAATTTATTTCTATAAATAAATAAAAAAATTTAATTTAAATATAAAAATAATAATATGTATAATAGAATAATTAATGCAAGTCAAAAGAATGACTTTTCAACAATGAAGATTTCAACAACAGTTGTTCAAAGTATATTTATTACTCTACTTTTATCCAATAAATTTAAGATAAAAATTTGTTTTAATATTTTTAATGGTATTAGAAATTAATTTTTTCATCAAATTTTGAACAATATCATTTTTTATATCCATTTCATCCATTTGAAAATCTATCCACTTACTTTTTTCTTCATACATCTGTTTGATCACAAATTTATTAACTTTTTCTTCACACTCATCTAAGTCTAAAATTTGGTTCAATTTGTTTACAACCATATCACTCAAATCTTTAGGATTTTTTGGTTTTGATCGAAACTGTTTTAAATTTTTAATCGGTTTTTTCCAAATTGGTACATTATTTTCCTCGATAAATGTATCTTGTGCAATTTCTTTACAGTAATCAAAGATTAATGTTATATAATCAGCATGTAAATTTGAGCCCAAATGTTTAATATCATTTTCCGACATTGAACTTTGGGGATCATTAAATAGTTTATTAGCAGCTATCAAAACTATTTTATGAATTTCATCAAATGTATAAGGTATATCAGAAAGTGCTTTCTTTTTTGTAGGACTCTTATAAGGTGGAGGTGGTTTATTAGGAATTTCTCTTAAAGTTTCTTCAGACAAACGAAGACGTTCAATCTAGAAATAATAAACACAATAAATATTGAAATAATTATTTTGAGGCGCTCGGTGCTAATGTCATTTTTCTCACAAAAATTCACTCAAAGGAAATAGTGATACAGTTCAGTAAATCACTCAAATTTAATTTTTTTTTTTTTAATTATTGAAGGAAAATATTCTACAGACTGCATTGAACTACGTTTTTAAATATATTAATCTCAAATTTATAATGAGTCTTTAAAAAAATAAAATAAACTTATTTTAGTCATTTTTTTTTTTTTAACATTATCTTTAATCCAAATTAAAAATGTGGACAATAGAATATTGTTGGTCATCAATAAAAAAATTGTTTTATGCAAATATTGAATTGATAATGAGTTATCATTGTTTCTCTGAAGTAATTTTAGTCAATAAAAACAGCCCCACCACATTCCCTTAAATGGGTATCAGGTAGATTAGTTTGAAAATCTTATCTTTAAGGTAGTAATTGAAATGTTAAAAATAATTTTTAAATTTTTCAAAATTGAAGAAAATTTAAAAACTTGCACTGGGCATTAATATTAACATACATACTTCTTGTTCTATACGCATTTGTTCTAGTTTTAATTTATCTGCTTCTTGTTTGGTTTGACTAAGTATTATACCACTATTTTCATCTTGACCAGTTGAAAATGTCTTCTACAACAAATTTATTATACATTTTACTTAAAAAAAAAATCTGTCCTAGGATAATGAGGACAGGTGTAGCCACTATTATAGGTGGGAAGTTGGGAAGGTAGGATACAGAAAATAATTTAATGTATACCTGTAAGCAATGATAAACCATTACTAACAAAAAAACAATTCTGAGTGGAGTTTAGTTGATAGTGATATTTTGTCAACAATATATGTCATATTATGGTAAAATAAATAGGCATTATTATTATTATTATTATTATATTATATTAATATTATAATACTATATATTTTCTTTAATATTGATTTTGAGAAAACTTTGGAGAAAATTGAAAAAATGACCTTTTTTAAATACCTTCCCATTCAGATTTCCTTTCAGAAAAAGTACTATCAAAGTCAATTGGAACAAAATTACTGGTAGAAAAGTTGTTCACAGAAAAAAAAAATGCCAAAATATTTTTCAATTACATACCTACATTTCTTATATTTTCCCCTTTTGTCACATGTTTTGAGAAAATCAAAAATCGACCTCCCTAATGTACCTTTTTAGTTCGATGTCATTTCAAAAAATGTACAACACTTAAAATTCGGAGCAAGATCTTTGGTAGAAAAGTTGTTCACAGAACAAAAAAATTAAACATCTTTGTAAGACCGTAAGCTTCTTCGTTCCACTCAGAATTTAAAATAATATATTATTCGTATAAGTAATGTTTATATGCATTTTTACCTGCTCTTGATATTTTTCATCAAATATTTCTAATGATTCATCATCCTCAACTTTACTAATATGGTCCTCTAAATTAAAATCAATAAATACTTATAACAATATATATATATTTATATATATAACTTACATTTTTATAAAACTTTAATAGAAAATATGGAAAAAGAAACATAAAATAACATGTTAAATACACTTGAGCAAGCAAAGCAAACAGAAATCAGTTTTTTTTGGGGGGGGGGGGGATTACTGTGTTTTGATACCAACATAATATACAATACAGATTTATTACAAATATAATATATAGAATGATCATTTAACATGAACTAGCGATTTTCTAGAAGGATTTTGTGTAAATTTGATTTCTGTTTGTTTTTTTTTTTGCTATCATTTTGAAATCTGAATGAAAGCTTAACTTTATAAATATTAATAATAATATATAAACAATATTAGGATTTAGTATTTTATTTTCAATTTTTGATGTTTACTGCATATACTTCAAATAAATATAACTTTTAATTTTTAAATAGAAACACTCTTTTTAACATAGAGGGCAGATACATGGTTTATGAGTTATAACAGTTAAAAATTTAGACTGAAGGAGTATGAAAGGATTATTATTAATTTATCATCTAAAAATTGATATGTATGTAATTTATATAAGTTTATTATTCTTTCTTAATCTTCTAGTCAAAATTTTAAACTGTTATAATTAAGAGTTATTATGGGTAAATTACCAGACCTAGAACCCAGCTACTTTTTCAATACTTAATATTTGGCTAGCTTTAATTTCTAAAAACCTAGTACCCAGCTAGTTAAAAAAAAAATAAATGAATTATCAAATGCCAATGTAATAATAATGTTAAATGTAACTATATGTATTATTAAATTCTATAACAAAAGGGAAATCTATTCTAAGATCAATTCAGATTCCCGGTATTCAGCAATAAAAATATCTGATATTACCTAGTACCTTGTCAAATATATTGTTTTAAATAATGTTAAATTAAAAATTTATTGATTCAATAATAATGAATAAAACAAAAATAAAATTAATTTTAATTCCTTCTGATTAATTTGCTAGTTCATAATAGATCACCCTCTATAATAATATGTAACACGATAAACTATGATAAATACTCAAAATTAATAATTGTTCAATTATTATTAAAAAAAATCTATATATTCATATCCATGCACATATAAAAAAGCAAAGTAATAACATTCAATAAAATAAGCATAATTCAATAATAAAATATTGGAAATATTATGAAGCAATCAAATTTTTAAACAAAACCTCAGTCATTTCACTTACGAAAACTTAAACATTCTGATAATTTCAATTTTTTTCTTTCAGATGACCATTTTAAGTATTTTGTTAATTCTTCTGTTTCTAATTTATTTAATCTAGGTAAATACATTTGAAGAGTTTCAGATACAAGTGGCTGTATATGTCGTTTTAAAAGTATATCTGAAATGGTTGTTGTTTGCTCAGAGATATGAATTATAAAATCTTCTTTTTTTCCATGTTCTAAGATTATTAACAATGGAGTCTCTACAGTTCCAATATTAAGATTACTTTTCTTTGAAAATAAAAACGATTTATTCTTGTTAAAAGTATCTTGAAGAAGGTTATTCAAAATATTATTCGTAATAGTATCAATTTTATCATCTGAGCATGTTTCATTTAAAATCTAAAATATAACACATTAATTACTATCAATATATTCTGTATTAGTTATTAATTTGGCTTACTAAATCACTATCATCTGAAAACTGATCAATAAATGTATTATCCTCCATCATAATCTCACCTACGCTTCTCTCTTCTTCACAAGAAAATTCATTATTTTCTTGTTTGTCCAGTGATTCCATCATAAATGGTTTAGTAAAATTATACGATTCTTTAAACTCTGATATATTTTCATCTGATGTGAAATCTGGACTGTAATTATCTTCCAGTTTAATTTCATTATTCACTATCTCAAACTGTTTTACATTATTCTGGATTTCCTCACATTCACCACTAGAATTTTTATTAAAATCAACTAAAATTGATCTTTGAATGTTACCACTATTAGATGAATTTTCATTTGGGGCGTTATAATTTATATTAACATAAGGAAGTGTTGAAGTTTCAATGTCTAAATTATTTTCTAAAAAAAATTCTTGACTTTTAGAAGTATTTAACTTATCTTGATTTAAAATAGAATATTTACAAATAGGAGCTTCTATACTTATACCAATGTCTTCATTTACACAATTTGTTTGGGTTTCTTTTATTAAATTGTCATTAATTTCACTTGTTAAAGGAATTAATGTCTTTATTGATTGTGATTTAAACATATCTATTTCAGTTTGAACTCCATGCAATGGATCAACTACAATTATAGTTGGCTCTTTATGTAAAGGCAAAAATTCATAAATTTGATTTTCCTCTGAAAATTCACATGATTTATTTTTATACTTATCAACTTTTCCATCAAGATTTTCTTTAGATTTAGAAGAAAAATTTTGTAATTTATGTACTGATTTATCTAAAAGTACTGAATCATTTAGACTTTCATTATTTGAATTTTGTATTGAAGTTTGATATAAATATTTATTTCTCCCTGCCCACATTGTTTGATCTAATACATTCAACTGTTCACTATGTTTTTCCAAAGATTGATTATTTTCGTAATTAGTTACGTTTTGAATAATTGAACAACTAGAATTTTTTAAAGGAGAATCATGTTTTTTTGACAATTTTGTTACTTGAATATTTTTCTTTTCTAGTTCCACCATCAAAATTTTTTTTGATTCTTCAATTTTTTTGTCATATAAATCGATTTGTTTCAAAAGATCTTGTTCTTTAGATTTGAGATTTTCTAATCTCAACTTTTTTTGTTCTTTTTTCAATCTAAAAGATTCTAATTTTCGAGAATCTAATTGTTCTTGTAAAGTTGTTATTCGAATATCCATATCACTCTGTTCTGTATTTGAACCTACAAACCAAATAAATATAATAATTGATTGAAACTTTATTTTTAAAGCATAAATATTTGTAATTACTAAGTGAAGTTTCTGGAGAATGATTTAATTTAACAGGCTTAGTAGATGACATTGTTGATCTATTATCTTTAGTTAAATTTGCCAAACATAGTTTATGATTTTTTGAAAAACCAAATGAAGCTGACAATTTAATATCCTCATTATTATTATTGAAGTAACTAATATGTAATCATAAATTAATAATAAATAATTAATATTAATAATAAAATTTATACCAGTTTGGAAAAAATAATTTACTGACGGGGTTTCAGAAGTTTGTACAGACTTATCATTCATTGATTTTAAAGATAAATCAGGGTTCGTTTGAATTTGAACATTTTCAACTTTTTTAATGGGCTTTGGTTCATAGTCAATAGGAGAAGTTGCTTGGTCTAATAAACAAAATAAATAATAAATTTCTAATTTATATGTAATACATTAAACAAAAACAAATCAATTAATTTAAAAAAAATATTTTTCAATAATTATTACAATAAAATATTATTTTATTTATACTCTTAAGTTTTATAGAAAATAAATACAAATTATGAATCATACAAATATTAGGATATTTAATATAAATAATATCACTCACTTCTTAAATTAATTTTAGGTTTATTTAATTCAAAATTAATTAATTTAATTGGTGACGTGCTATTTTTTGATGTAGCATTTAATTCTATAGAATTTATATCGGTTTGTTTACTCTCAACAGCATTAACAAAAGGAGTATTATCAAATTGATTAAATAAATGTGGATTTATTGAGCGGCATCCGTCTTTCTAAAATTAAATTTTTCTTATTACCTAAGTGTATTATAAGCTAATTAAATTTATATTACCTTAGTGATTCGATCTAAGTTTTTTAATTTACGGATAATCTTTTTAGAAGATGATTGCATTTTTAGATGTTGTAATTGTTCATTTAGCATAATAAGTCGCTGCTTATATAATGAGTCTATTGTTCTACCAAGTTGAACAACTTGAGATAATGACTGTTCCAGTTTTTTTACTCTTCCTCTTTGCTTTTGTTTTATCAACTGTACTTGCCCTGGTTGGAGTTTAAAATGTCTACAAATATTAAAAAAGATAAAACATAAAACTTTAAATTTTTGAGTAATTTAATTTAAAATATTTACTTCAATTGTACATCACACTTAGTAACTTCCCACTTCAAACGGTTCATTAAAGATTTTTCTCTTAAACAAAGTATAGTTCGATGTTGATTTGCCCTGAGTTCTTCGTCCTTAATAAATTGTTCAAACTGAAAAATTATACACTTATTCTTTAAAATAACCATATTAAATTAAAAATAAATACAAAATTGGTTTTTATAAAAGTAATTAAATTAAAAATTGAATACAAATATATTTAAAGTTGTAAATTATAAAATAATAAAAGATAGTTTAAATAATTAATTTAAACAAAATATTTTTTAACATAAGTAATAAAAAATGTGTTTTAACTAAAATATTAAAAATATAGGTTGAACTGAAGAATTACCAGAAGTTAGAAGGTCATAAAACATAAAATAATGGATAGTTAACAAATCTATATTCATGTACACATTATGTACTAAAATTAAGAAGACCTACTAAAAAGTCATGTTATAATCAAATGATCATAGTACTTATTATACATAATTTTCTTAATATTATTTAGGGATTCATTGAAAATACTATTATGATGTGTATTGAACAAATATATTTACCATTTGAATAGACAATCCAGTTATAGTTTTATCTACAGACATTATATTTGATGACACTGAATTTAGTTTTAAAAATGATTTTTGTTTACTATTATTATCAGAGAATGGGGTAGTGAACATTGTCTGTAAATTTGAATCAAGAGTACAGTGATCACTAAATTCTTCATCGATTGATAGTTCCTAAAATATTAAAAAAATATACACTTTGTTATAAAATAAAATATAATACAAATTATAATTGTATTTATTACGTTAGTTTTAAATGACATATCACAACCCATTTTTTCTATATCACCTAAAGAGTTATTTAGTTGGTCAAGTGTACAAAGTTCTGCTTGAAATTCATCATGGATTTCAGGAAACTACGACATAAATAATATAAATTTAACAACTAAATTAGAAATATACATTAACCAAAACTTACACAACATGACAAACTATTCAAGATGTGATCATTGCTACTGTTTTTTGTCAACAAATCATCGAAGTCATGATTATTTTTCATTAAAATCTGTTTAATATCTTCATTAGTAAGTACATTTAAATTATTAAATATTTCATCATTATTTACTATATTTATTTGATCATGGCAAAAATTATCTCTAGTTAATCGATTTGAAGATAGATTATTTGGAGTTGATATAACAGCTTTATTAGTTAATGAATATTTAGACTTATTTGAATCATATTCAATTTCACATTCTTTAAAATTTGATAAATTGATTGTATTATCACAATCAACTATATCTAGTATATTATGTATAGTAGATTCAACATTGTTTCTAGGTAACTGATTTGAAGATAAATTATTTTCACTTGATACATTAGTTTTATTAATTAATGAATATTTAGACTTATTTGAATCATATTCATGTTCACATTGCTTAAAATTTGATAAACTATTTGTATTATCACAATCAACTATATCTGGTATATTATGTACAGTAGATTCAACATTATTTTTAGTTAATTGAATTGGAGATAGATATTTTTCACCTGATATATTAGTTTTATTAATTATTGAATATTTAGACTTATTTGAGTCATATTCATGTTCGCTTTGTTCAAAATTTGATAAATTTACTATATTATCACATTCAACTATATTATCTGGTATTTTATTTACAGTAGATTCAACATTATTTTTGTTACTCGTATAGTTATTATTATTAAACAATTTATTTGAAATTGAATGTTCATTTATATCTAAATCATTAGATTTCTGAGATTCTAAATAATTTTTTTTTGATCGCTGTAAATTATGTTTACATTTTAATACTGAAATAAAATTCATTGGTAATGTAGAACATGTTTTTGAAGAAAACAATGATAACAAATTATTATAATCATCGGTTTGTGTTGATTCTGAATAATGGTTTTTACTTGGTAAACATCGATCAATCAATAAATCTTGACGTTCTGCTAAATGATTAATACTTTTAATAATTTCTCCCGCATTTGAATGAATAGGCAATTGTAAGTCCTTTTGGGTTTCAGCATTTAATATTTTTGTGCTTATATTTATTTCAGACGGTTCGCTATTAAAAAAAATACCATTTTCTTCTTCTGTTTTTCTACTTTGATAAATGTCTATTTGTTTTACTAAAAATATCAATAAAATTAATAATTTTTTTTTTTTATTCATATTATAAAAAATAATATATATAATATATCTATTACCATTATCATTTTTTTGAAATAATGAAGTATCAATATCAACTATTTCAGGTATTGAAATATCAAATATATTTTTATCAATAAGTTCATAATCATTATTAAGGTTTAATTTAGAAAACAAATGTTCAGGTTTTTTAACTTCACGTACTTGAGTTTCTACAATAAAAATAAATATTAAATTAATAATATAAATAATAAACCTCAAGTAAACCAAGCAGATAACATACTTTTATCAATCAATTTTGTTTGTGGAATTGTATTTGTATGTTTAGATATTTTTGTATATGTATATTTAGTAGATTTAGTGTCTATCTAATTATAATCAATATTAAACAATAAATCAAATAAAGGACAAAAATAATATTGATAATTAAATAAATGTATGAAATTAAAATTATAAAAAATAATTACATTTTTAGCAGCATTTAAAAATTCATCCTCATCAAATATAGTCTTGCAATATTTTTTTAAGTTAATAGGTGAGACTAGTGTTTTTTTTAAATTTATAACTTTTGGTGGAGGCGACCACGTTTGATCCACCTAAAAATATGTTGTAAGTGTATCTTAATATTTTAAATAATTAATTAAATAATCTACTATACTTTTGGATTATTTGATTCAGTTGGTAAATTTGTACCAGTTCGACATTCATCTTGAACATGGATAATCTAAAACAAAATTGCATAATACACAAATAATGATGAGTTCAGAAAAAGGCAAATAAGACATTTTCTCCACCTAAAACCCAGAAATTTTGCTTATAAAAAATATGTAAAATATTATCAAATTTAAATTTAATATTTTGAAATTATTTATTTTGTAATTAACTACAAAATAAAAAAATAAATACCTACTTAAAATTAATTTAATAAATATATGGTAAAATAAACTCAAACATGTTTATAAAAAGTTTTGCAAGAATATTACTTTCAATAATAATTTTTTTTTACAATAATTAACCTTATTATTTAGATTTGTATTATAAATTTTTTTTTAATTTAAAGGAGGAAAGTACCTTTCTCTGTATTAAGTAATTTTACTAAGACAAACATTATATTCTCAATACCTTTTGCTTAGCAGAAGCTTTAGGAAATTTGTTGGTAGTTTTTTGTTCTGCTAACTTTTTATTTTCCAATAAATCATTAGAATTTTTATCAGTTATTATTTTTTTATTTTTTTCAATAAAAGATCTTGATTTTGTAATTTTAGTATTTTTATCAGATTTTTGATCTACAACTGACTTGTGCAATTTATTAGCATCAAGTTCTTTTGTTTTTTTTGAAAGCTGAATATCTAAATTTAAAAACAATGTAAGTATTAATTATAAGGTCAACTAAAAACAGTTAAAACTTACATGGTTTATCAAGAATTATAGTGTTGTTTATTGTAGGAGTTGATGGCTTAATATTATTTCCACTATTTGTAATTTGTATTGTATCCTTAACTGTTCGTAAAATAGGTCTATTATTTGACTTATTCAAGTTTAGTGGTTTTACAGCTTCAGATCTCAAGACCATTTTCTTATGGTATTTTAATTTATACTTAGTTGTTAATATATAATTTTCTAAATAAGAAATGTAAATAAAAAGAATATACGGTTTAAAAGTTTCACTAGACGTTAAAATTTATCATAATGATTGTATGATAAAATAAATAATAATAAAACATCAATAAATTCCTAAATAAATTAAATTATATTAATAATTTTCATAATATTAAGGTACCTATTACCTGTAAGAGTATAACATTAAATAAAACAACAATTTTATAATGCAAAAAACATCAAGAAACAAGCGTATACTTAATAGCTAATGTAATGATAAAAAATTACATTACATAAAAGTTACATTTTCGGTTACATAATTTAACAGTTTTATTAATTAGTTATTGACATAGATAATTAGATAATATTGATCAACGTTGTATTATCATGAAACTTATCATAGAATACTGTTATCTGTATTTATTTCTGATTCTATCTATTCTTGTTACGATTATCACGGATCATTATTTAAGATAACCGAAAAAACCCGGGAAACAAATTAAATTGGTACAGCCCATAGAGTAATAAACGGCCGTATAACGAAAAACTCTATCTCTATATAAAGTAATAATTACTTAATAATACTTATATAATTACCCATGCATTCTTATTTTTTCTATCGCAAGAACTTTCTTGGTCCCTATTGCTTAAAATTCGGTATAAAGAGTTTTCACTGTATTCAAATAAAACTTTAGGACCTAGACCGGGGTCACATGAGCGTTTTATTGACGTCTGTCATTGATTTATTTGATTTACTATGACGACGTCCATCGGATTTACAGTCCGGATACATGCTATGACGGACGTATAAATTGTGCTCATCAGACGTCGCAGTTTGTAAATGGATATTATCGACTCAATCACATGAACGTTGTTTTAACGTAGTAATTATAGTTTAAAAATTAATGTAGAACTATTAATTTCAGAAATAGAGAAATGTCCTGTTTTATGGGATGTAAGTGACGAATTGTATAAAGATAGGTAGAAATAAGAAATAAGGTGGATGCATTTTGCAACTGTTACGTGTGATGTGCGAAAATAATTTAAACAATTTACATTGTCAGCTCTTAAAAAGTTATAAAGATTATAAAATGCATCACTTCATAAACGTTCACTATTTATAGGATGAACTATTTTTAATTCACGCATTTTTTTATTTTTTTAGTAATCTTATTCCGGAGTACTTAGGTAAAAATTGCGGTGTTCAAATCGTCTATTTTAAAGGATGTGAAATTGTCAACTGACGTTTTACAACATTTGTGTGAATAAGGTAACAAGTTACGTCCGCTGCAAAAATAAGTCAAATAATTTATAAAAAACAAAAATCAATATTTTATCTAGTGAGGATAACGTTTTTAGGGGATGAAGGGTTGTTGCAAACAGTTTATAACCAGTCGTAAAAATTGAGTGTTAATTAATGATAAAAAGAAATTTAAAAATGATTATTTGTATGGAGGGAGAGGATTTCATAAATTTACACAGCAAATTTTACTTTAACAATACCAAGCCCACTAATAATATAGAAATTATGTGCCTATAGGGAAGGGAACCTTCAATACCCCTCCATCATAAATACAACTACTGCAGTACACAATGGGTAAAGTATAATCTGCAGCTTGTAAAATAATTGCACTAGAAATATTTATAACCGGTGGTTTATTTTTTGTGAGGGGAGGGTTGAAACTTGTATCCAAGCTTCTCTCCCGAAAAAAACTTAAAAAGCAAATGTTATCAAATATTGCACAACAAAAATTCTACTCCCCCCTCCTAAAAATTGATTTTCAGTTAAATGATTACACGAGGGAATGGAGTTTGGAGGTCAACTTTCTGGTAGTAAGTTGACCTCTAAAATTATCCTACTCTGAATAGTGGACACTATGCTGTAGCTTGGGGAGAAGCACTAGGCGCACGCCCCCTCGATTTATATTGGCCATTTTGGTGTATTTATTAATCGTTTTAAAAAATATTTCACAATATTGAAATTATTCAATATTTTTTCAGATGCTACGATATGCAGTACCTGGATTTTTTGTGTAAAACCAAGTCGAGTAGGTAACAGGAAAAAACGTCTTATTTTTAACATGAAAAATCCATCAAGGATATTTTTGTAAAAAAAGTGTAAAAGTTATGTAGATCTATTTTTAATCCTGCACTGCAAGCTCATGCTTGGGATAAATAAGTGCTTTATGCCTAGCTTTGGTGGTGAGGGGAGGGGGAAGTTTGGCATTATTATATAGTTTAATAAAATTGATTTCAAATTATAATTATGTTTTAATGCTTGAATGACACAATAGATTATTATTAATAAACATTATTGGTTGTTATAAATTCATATTAGATTTCATAGTATTACAAGTGATACTTCAAAAACATTTGAAATATTTAAGGTATGTCATTAAAGAATTGTGGAATTTTTAAACTATTTACTTTATAAGGAAAATAATTTTTTCAATAAAAACAAACAAATTCCCATTAAAATATACGTTTAAAGCAAAAATTGTTTAAAGCACTAACAATAACAAAATAATGATATTACACACATTTTCATTCATTTTTAGAAGTTATCATGGAAAATATAAAATTACAGATAATAATTCAATACATTAAGTATTGTTACTGCACAATTATGTAAAAGCTAAGATGAAAAATATAATAGTTTAATTGCGATTTTATAATCACTTAATATTATTTTTATAGAGTCACGAATACATATTTTTTTTAAGTACAAATGTATATAAAGAAAAAATTAGAAAATAACCATCACTGAAATACAAATAAATAAAACAGGAATTTTTAACTCGTCAAAAAACATTTAAATATAATTTTTTTTAGGTTTTTCTTTGAAATATATAAACCAAAAATTTAAACAAATCCGAAATGTTTAGTTTTTATGGCAATCAAAAGTTTGTGCCTAAGTATAGTACGACTACTGTAAAGTGGTATGTACAATCTGGAAATACATGTGTTAGCAGTAGGTAAATGTGAATCATCAGCAGGACGCATGGTAACGCTGGGCATTGGTTGAAATCCTTCTTCTGATGCTGGGAGAGCTGGCGATCCTGTCCAGAAATACACCTGGAAAAATATAATACATATAAGCAATGCATTAGTAAATAAATAAGCTAAGTTTTTAATTAAATAATTTATTTGATTATTACCAAATCCTGTCTTTCAGAGGGTGTCATTTTATCAACAATAGACCATAACCAACGTTTGAATTTGATTTGTCGATCACTTGTGGCAAGACCAGATTCATCATTGAAACTTGTATATGAGATTAATAATGGTACATTAATATCACCAACTCCATTTAATAACAATCTTAAATCTTCAGCAGTTAAACCATCTAATGAACTTTCAGGAATTACATCAAAAACTCCAGATCTTAATGCCTTAAAAAAAAACAAACCAAGTTTTATTTATCTATAAATTTATCTTTATTAGAAACTTACAAAAAATGCTTTTTGTTGAGTTTTGAACATTCTAAACTCTGCATATCTTCTAACATAATCGTAAACATTGATATGGGTCACTTCAGTATCAACACCATTACTTATTAATTCTACACTTCCACCTCCTTCTTCTTGGCTCAGATCAATACTAAAATTTTAAATTTAATGTATTATTTACACATTAATTAAAATTAAGCTGAAAAAAATTATACCTGAAATTTAATTCTAATGCAGAGAATAGTGCTTCTTTATGTTTTGATTCTGCATCCAACACAAGTTGCCGAAGACTTTCATACATAACAGGGTCAAAAAATGCTAAATCATGGAATCTAATTGATCTACCGAGTATAACTTTAAGAACATGGCGATTAAAATACATTGGACACAATTCATTTTGTAAAAGACATAATCCAATCAGCCTAGATAATATAAATAAAGTGTTGATGCATTAATAAACAAATATAATTTAAATATAAATTTACCTTCCAGTATTTCTAAATGCATTTAAACGTTCATATGATGCTTTGCCTTGACGTGGTGAATAAAATCCTTGTTTACCAGGGCAATAAAATAATGGCATATTATCATCTAAATTTTCTTCGCTTACATTTTCTTCTGTTACATTTTCTTTTGGAGGTAGGTTAGTTTTAGAACCATGTTGTTCAGACAGACTTAAAAATAAATCAACATCTTCTGTGAGAAAAAAAAAATGAATAATAATTTAGATTGCAAAAAACATGATGATATTTTATGTATATATATAAATACCAAGAAGACTATCAGCAGGTGGTAGTGGATGAGCAACATCAACAAGTGCAGACATTTCAACTGTTTGCATCAACATTGCAATACCTTCATTTACACGCATTCTCAATGTTTCTTCAGATGCTAACAAAGTTAAAAGTTGAGCTGGTGATAACTCCAAAAGCATTCCTGTAATTTTACTAGCTAAACTTGGTCTTATTTGAACAACCTAAAAACACATTAGAAAGTTATTTTGTAACTTTTCTTAATATTTTAAGAACTAAAAATGAATACCTTAGGATACAGACGTTCACCCAGTTGTTGTTGGTGAGGAGTAAGATGAGCATTGGGATTGGTATCAGATGTTCCCGTATTCGGAACAAACGAACGAGCATCTACTGAGAGTATGCGACGTTGTTCGCGATCATTACGTTCTGAACGTCTTGGAACACGTGGTGATAGTGGAGCATGCCTTATTCGAGGAGCTTCTGCACGCTCACGATTTCTTAAACGTTGTAAAACAGTATATTGAGAGTATCGACCACCAACTTGAACAGATTCAAGATTTGGTAATTTTTCACTAGACAGCAGAGCCTAAATATAAAATAATATAATTTTTTTTTTTTAAGTTTTAAAAAAAAATATATTTTTATTTACCTCAGCTAAAGCTGTATAAAATGATCTAGCAACACCTGAGCCTTCACCAGGTTCATCCTTAAATGTTACTTTTACTCTATTCACTGCAAGACATGGGTGTGCACTAGAAGTTCTACGATGATATGAATTATATTGATTGTTTAATTCTTTAAATGTCATTAGAATTAATTGATTACGATCACGTTCTAACTGTTGATATTTGTTAAATTAAATTAATATTGAGAATAATAAAAAGATTTCTTTATAAAGATAAAAACAAAAAAGCACTTACTTTTGATAATGTTAAATCTCGGTTTTGTTGATTTCTTAATTTTTCCATATCCCTGCGGAATTTTGCCTCTTTAACTGGAAAACCTCCAAGTTCTGATACAACTGATCCAGGCTCTAAACCAACATCTTCCATAAATACACGACCGAAAAGGTCCAATGTCAAGCGCCAACGTCCTAATAATAAATCATGGGATACACTTTCTCCGAAACGACTTCCCCTGCAAAAAAAAATAAAAATAAATTATTATTTATATTTGTCTAAATGTGAATATTTTATTTATATAAACTTATTTTACTTGTTCATAGGTTTCACAGTATCATTATTTGGATTGGAATTATGACTACCCTCATTAACATCAGTATTCGGTTTAACTGGTATTGGATTTGACTGTAATTATAAATTGAAATAAAATACATTACATTAATTAATACATTTTTTTAATTCTTAAAATAGTTATTTTGTTTTAAATGTTTACAGTTTTGCTGTATTGTTAAGAAAACAACTACACTAAAAATAAAAAAACAACTTTTGTTCACCAACTATGCGAAATACAAAATCAATATAACTTGGTATTTTTTTTTAATTAGAAGCTAGATTTCTAATAGTAAACTTACACATGTACGGTAATTTATGGCAATAATAGGTTTTTTTAATTTAAGATTATGAAAATTAAAAATATTATAAGAAATATATTGCTTAAAAAATGTAAAAGTGTTAATATATTTTTTCAGCAACTACATAATTTCGACTTTACAGATAAAACATTGAGGTATGGTTTACAAATAGATATTTGAAAAGAAACAAAATTAAGGATAAATTTAAAAAAATAATTGTATTTTAAAATAAAAAAAACATTTTAAAACTGTAGTCTGTAATAATCCAAAAATAAAACAATTACATGATTAAGTATTAGATTAACAAATCAATAATTTTCAAAAGACACTAGTTATATTACACTAAAAATAATTTGTATAAAAAAATAAGTAAAATTGTTAAAAATGTGAGAACTTACAGATGTAGAAGGAGTTCCACCAGAAGGAGCTCGTACAATTACACTTTTAAGCATAGGTGATGTAGTGTCAGTTGAAAAAGTGTTGGGTGGAACAATAATTATATCTCTTTTTGATGTTTCAGCTAGAATATATAATATAATAATCGAAGCATTTATATTATATTAATCAAATATTTTTTTATAAAGCTACTAACCTTCAGGAATGGATGGTGATATGTCAGAATCATCACCAAGACCATATAATTCAGCAATTTCATTAATTTTATCTACGACTTTTGTTCTAATAGAAAGATCTTCAGGTTCAGTATCATGTCCTAGATTTAAATTTAATTTAATATTAGCATAAAAACATAAACGAATGCACACTCAACTGTTGCAAACTATCATCTTGCCATAAACAAATTTAATTCTGTTATTTATCAATATTTCATATTTTATTCTTTACATATAACAGTGGTTCTCAACCGGTGTGTCGCCTATTATTGTGATGTATGCAGCTAAAAGTTTTTTATTTGTTCGTAAATAATAAGCATGTCCTCAGTCATAATAACCTTGAGCATTGCGTGTATCATTTTAATTTCATTAATTGTTTTAAATGTTGTCATACAAAAAAGGTTTAGAACCACTGCTTTAAATAGTATAAAATTATTTTTGTTAATTATTTTAAATATGCATGTCATAAAATATTAAAACCTAGGTTAAGCTAGGATATTGAATTTTAACTTAGGGTCCCCGAGCTCCTACTGGTGGATGATTCCAGTAGACAAATGATATTATTTTTATAGGGCGGAAGAAGGAATTAATTTTAAAGCGGAAAATTTTGTTTAAGAATATTCTACAGTACCTCTACCTGTCATAAGAGGTAAAAACTAAGGCTGTGTTAGGCCATGGCTTAAATAGTTAATTTGGATATGCCATGAGAGGAAGATGAATCAGTAAGAATTGTAATGAAAATAAATGTAGGATAGAGACAGAGGAAAAAGACTAAAAAAAGGTAGTTAAATGACAGAGAATGATATGAAGATGGTCAGTGTATGCAAGGTGCAAGATTGGATCAAGTGGAAGTTTAGAACAAGGGTGACTGACCCCAAATAGTTTGGATAAAAGTTAAAGAGAAAAACCATCAATCCCAAAAATTTTATTATTTGAGATACAATTATGGAGATACATCAATTAAAACATACGTTTTTGACATGTGACTCATCCTAAATCATTTAATTGAACAGAAATACCTATCAGAATTTGGGGCAAAACTGTGAAAATAAAAAAGGAAAAAGTTTATGATCTCTATCCATCATTCATAAATATATACAATTTTATAATAACCATTACAAACATTAAAAGTTATAGCAAGATGAAGGCATGCCTAGATATACTAGCACTTAACACAGTGAAGTCCGAGTTAGAATATTTTTAACTGTTGCCAGAAAAAAACATTTTAAATACATATGATACAAAGGTGAAAAACTACATTTACATTAAAACATTATTTCTTAGTTTTTTATTTTATTTAAATCTATTTTTAAGACCAATTCAAAATAAAATTTAAAATTACAACACTTATTGAAAATGGTAAATTTGAAACACTAAGTAATCATATTTTATTTGTAATAAAACTATTCAAAAATTAAATAATAATAAATTTAAATATCTGTATTAAAAATGTTCTTATTTTATGTTTGAAAACTTGTTGGTTTTTAAAAATATATTCTTATTTGAAAATACATGTTTTATATTTTTGCTATCAATAAATATTTTAGCGGACATCAACATGTTAATATGTACAAACATCTGTTTGAGTTTTGTTTCTTTACATGAATAAACATTCGTCCACTAAATTAATTATATTATTTCTAATGATTAAATTAATTATACCATGTAACCACAAAACCAATTATAATTGATAATAATTATTTTTAAACTTTTAAAGTTATAATATTAATCTATTATATTAATTATTAGTGATAACTTAGTTTATGATTTATTTTAAATTGATGTTTAGAAAATAAAAAAAAAAAATTATAAGTATATATATATATATATATATATATATTTAGAACTATTATTAGAATGTATTAATCTGAACATGATAAAACTAATCTTATTGATATTTTAACATACAAATTTAATCCAAAATTAATAATTAGTAAAATTAAAAGTTTTTATGGACAAAAATAAAAATATTATAATTTTGTTAAATATAATAAGAATTTTATTATTTGTTGTATTTATATGACTAAAAAACCAATAAAAAAAATTTGAAAAATTAATAAATTACCAAAAATAACTGAATTCTGGGTTACAAAGCAAAATAAAACTCTACTCTATTCTACCAACTTTTTCTTTCATGTTCTTTGGGTAACTGTTCACTTCCATTATCGCTACGACTGGATAAACTAAGCCTTGATGGCAGACCTTCGGATGATCCATCTAAAGGTGCTACAAAATGTATCATGTATTTAAATAATAAATATATTTTCTTCACCAATATAACTTATGACTTAATATATATTATTTGATTTGTAAAACTTTATACCTGAAAGTTTTGGAGAACCAAACATATCTTCTTTGCGTGCATTTGGTTGTAGTAAATGTGGTTGATCAGCAAGTGGCATAGCTTGAGCCATAGGAATATCAAAAGGATCTGGTGGAGGACATCCTAAACATAAAGTAGAATCTGATCGTTGAAAAAAAGCATGCCGTCGACCTCTAATTCCAGAATCAACATCTACAAATCTTAGATTAGGCGATTGGTTTATTGTTGATATTGTAGTATTAATATCTTCATCATTTTCTTCGTTATCATTTTCATCCTGAACAATTTTTTTTTTTATTTAATTCATTATATTAATATATACTATTAAAAATGTATTACATTTTATGATAATTTAATTAAATTACTTTAAATAAGTAGAATTTCTATTATATAATAGATATTTTTAAGATATTACACATATTTAAATAATTTTTTTAAACTAACTTGGTCAATTGCCCAAGGTTCAGTTTCAACTGATTCAGACAAAATAGGTGGAGTTAAAGATTGACAATTAACAGCAGCTGTATCGGCTCGCATATAATAAACTAAAGCATCCAAGACATAAGCAACATGTTTTAAAGAAGAAACATCCAATACTGGTAAGGAATCTCCATGCTCATTACTATGAGCTCTCATTAGAGATAAGCAGTACGATATGAATTCTCGCCGAGGTTCAACTGCCTGACTACTGTTATTATTTGAACCTAAATATAAAAACATGAATTTTTTTTTTTAAAGTAAAAATTAAAACATTTAAAAAAAAATAATACCTATTCCAGAAGGTGCAGTTGGTAATGTATTGTTAATATTAGTTGTTGCATGTAAAGGATGTCTTGGATGTTGTGGATCAGATGATTGAGTAAGTGAAGCACCAAATCTAAGTTGAGCTTCAGTTGAATCCATAATTGCCATCAACCAATCCCAAGTAGGTTTAAGTGATTTCTCAATTATTATCTATTTACAATTTTTATGTGAATAACTTTGTATATGGTAATTTACAAATTATTATATTACTTGTAAATTATAAGTATCTTGAACTGATATGCGTTCTGGTATTGGCAATACAGGTGTATCATTTAAGGATGTCACTAATAAATCAGCAATTTGTCGTATAACTACTGCAAATGCTCTGGCTAAACTAGATGCAGTAGTAGCCATAGTGATTGAATCATTCAGACCAGCTGCTGCAGATGCAACAGCTGCAGCGGCAGCAGCAGCAGCATTATTGCTGCCATTACTAGAATTATTAGTACTGTTACTAACAGCGGCAACTGCAGACCGCCTTAATGATGAAGGATCTATGAATACTAATGAATTACCGGAAGCAACTCTAAATCCTAAAAATCAAATTAAATAATTTTCAATTTCATTAAATATATAAATAAAAGTAATGTTCATAAGTTAAAAGTTTCTAAATTTGTAAAAACAAAATAATGCAGATTTTATTACTTTTAATGTTAAAATTCAATTACCTGTTGCTGTCCGTGTAGTAGGATCACGATTTCTAATTGCCCATTGCATAGATTGTGGAGCTAAATTAGTTCTATGTCCTTGTCCGGAAGTCGTACTGTAAATTATCATGAATATTAATGTGTACTTTATTAATTAACTGATATAAACTTACGCTCTTCTTTCTAATTGATCTTCAGATACAAGAAATTCCTCAGTATCTAATTCATCAGTTTCTCCAGCTTCAGATTCTTCACCATCTTCTTGCTGAGTAGACTCTCCAGATTCATCATCAGTATCTGAGCCTGCAGTAGCTCCAGTCTGAACACTTCTTTGACCACCACCATCTTGATTACTTTGATCAGAATCTGAATCTGTTTCTACTAACATGTCTTCTGTATCAGATTCTGGATCAACTGGACCTTGCTGATTGGAATCCGAAATACTATTTGGACCTAAATCGGCTCGATTTTCAAGTCCACTAACCATAACATCTTCTGTATCACTGCCTTCACCATCATTATCTAAATAAAATGTAAGAAAGTTTAAAATTTATTTTAAGTTTGGACACTTTAGAATACTTCAAAACAGTTAAAATGAAGAAACATGAAAAAAAGCTTACTTTGGCTTTTCTACTAAAAAATCAGAAAATCATAAGGTAAATGAAAGTGTTTTTTTTTTCAAATCTATTGTGAAAAACAGTGATTTTTAAGTTTTCATTTAAATTTTAACTTAAAATAGGAACTTATAAAAAAAAAAATACTGCATTGTTATTATTTTTAACTGAATGACAATAAATACGATAATTACAGAAACTGATATAGCATACGTTATCTGGATATTTTCCTAATTTGAAAAGCCTATAATTCCAACAACTACCTCTAGTATCACTACCAACATAACAAAAAATATACACTTTTGTAAAAAAAATATAAAAGATGCCATTAGATTATTATCAAATGTATTAACTTTCTTTTTTTTTTAAATTATATGTAGATCTTAACTCTTTCAATAAAATTTTAATTTTAGGTTTTTATTTTAAAAAAAAAAACCTAAAATATGGCACAAAGCTCTAGTAATTATTTTAAAAAAAGACGTTCTAGAGTAATGAGGACAGGTGCTGCCACTGATATAGGTTATTTATTGTGTACCTGTAATCAAAAATATAAACCACCATTATTTACAAAAAAACGATTTTAAACAGAGTTCAGTTGATAGTGATGCTTTGTCTACAATATACATGTTATATTATAGTAAAATAATTAAATAGACTCTATATATTTTCTTTAATTATATTTGTTTAATGTTGCACTGATTTTCCCGGTTCTCCCAATTTTCACATTTGCTGAGGGAAAATGGAAAAACAACCTCTCTAAAATACCTCCTTCAGTGAAATTTTCTTTCAGAAACATTGTTATCATTAAAAGTTGAAGCAAAATTGTTGGTAGAGAAATTGTCCACAGAAAAAAAAAATAATAATACATTTTTATATTTCATAAATTTTCGTTTTTTTTTTTTTATTTGATGAGAAAATTGAAAAATGACATCTTTAAGATATCTCCCCACATTGATTTTCTATCAGAAAGTTGCTACACATAAAAACTGGAGGGTTAGGTTAGATTAGGTTAGGAGTCCTCTGGTAATAAAGTTGTCCACAGAAAAAAAATAAACATCTTTAAAATAAATCATAAGCTTCATCACTCCACTTAGAATCTAAAGTTTAAAAATATTCAGTAAAAAAAAAAAATTATTAAATTTGTTTAATAATCCTGCCACACCTGGATAATACTTATTTAATGTTTCTTCAAATTAAACTGTTTGAAAATTCTGATAAAAACTAAAATAAAAAATTGATATAGTAAAATAAAAATATCATACTGTCTCCCATTTCATCTTCTAATTCTATGTCAATTGGGGGTTGGTCATTTTGTGACTGTCTGCGAATATTAGAACCTTCCATTTGATCAGAAGAATTCATATTATTTGGTGCCATTGGTTCAACAAAAAATATTTCTTCATAACTCTTTAAAAAAGTAAACAATATTATTTTAAAGTTATTTCAATATTTATCTATTAAATTACTTGTTGATCTGGATTAGTATTGGATAAAGTAAATGGAGCTGTAGGCCGGGCTACACCAAGACGCACTGGCGCTATTAAACTTTCAGCTGTTTCACATAACTCTTCAATAGAAAGTTTCATCATTGATTGAAATATGCGCCTAGCACGTGCAAATGGTGAAGATAGATTTCCAAGCCTGAATAAAATCAAAAAATATATGCACCAATGAATATTCAATTTCAAAAATTGCACACTATCACAAGTACTTACATCCTTCGTTTATTATTTTGTGGAGCCAATTCAACAGTATAAACAACAAAAACTCTTATCACAGATCTAATAAAACGACGTGCTATTGTGTTTACTTCAGCTGAATTAGACAACGAATTATTAAGTTCTTTAACAATTGTTGCAACTAAAGCATCAACCATCTAAAAATACAAACATATTTAATATATTTATTTTAACATGAATCATGATTTTTAATTACTAAAAATGAGCTAGTTAATACTTCAGCATTGCATTTGAAAAGTAAACAATGCATAAACTTGTCCAAGAATGTGGTACCAGATTGATTCTTTAAATATAGTTGATCACTTGATTTGTTTTCAGAATCATTTTTTACTCCTGACATTATCATAGCTTTAACTGCAGGCCAATCATTTAGCAATCTTTCTAATGCTTTACGGCTAAATCGAGGAGGTTCTAAATCATGATCTGGCATATCCATTTCTAATTATAAAAAATATATGCAATTTTTCTGTTTATTAATGTAACAATAAAAATAAATTAATTGATATTACCAATATCTGATGAAGGTGTTTTTCGAGAAGCAGCTCGTTGCCTTGATGATCTATTATATTGACGTTGTTCATTTGTTTGTCGGCCAACAGTTTGTACTAAAAATAACAATATACTCTCTCCTCTAAAAAAATTATTTGTACAAATATATTACAAAAATTGTAAGTAATTAACAAATTTAAAGAATAAAAATAATACCTTGAATTGTAATGAGTCACTAAATCAGTTTCACTTATTAATCTATTAAGTAACTGGAATCTAGAAGTTTGATGGCCTTGTACTAGAGCTTTACACCGACATTTTTCCCAACAATCACAATATGCAGTAGGAGATGTTCTTTTTAATTTACAATCATGACCTCTATGACAAACTCGAGCACACTCGGTACAGCAACATAATGATCCAGTTAAGCCACAAGTACGACATTCAAATATATCCTAAAATTAATATTTTATACTTACTAATGTACAATAAATAAAATAATAGTTATTATCATGATAGTTATACTTTTTTTCTAAAATAACTAAATGAAAAACTTAACAAAATAAAAATAAAACATGAATCTAGGAGAAAAATGTTTTGAAGAATTTTAACAATAGGCAATACTCTTAAGTTAACTTAAAGTGAACCATGATCAATTTATTTGAAACCTCATAGTGGAGTTATCCAGATAAGTTGGGCATGATAATTTAGTAACAAGGTAAAATTATACATTATACTAGAAAAGTTAAATTAAACAAATAATGAACTATGTCTTTTAATATAGGTTTATAACTAGAAAACAAGAACCTGTTCAAATATTACAGTGTAGTGTATTATTTAGTATTATCATATTATATTCTACATTATTATTACTATTACGCAGCTATAATATATTAGTTATTATTGCTTACACCAGATCACACTATAGGACCAAAACATTTTAATGAGGTTTAGAATCTACCCAGGTTAAACATACATTTTCCCTCCCCATGCAGCCATTAATATCTAAGGCCAGTTAAATATTTAAATACATGTTTACACAACGATAAATGGGCCTGTAATTTAACTCTTCATAAAATACATTTTTGTCAACATATAAAATATAAAACATAATTTATACAACAGAATTTATCTATGTAATTATTTGATGAAACCGGGCATATTTTTATTAACATAACAAGTGTACAATATACAATTTAATACATTTATTTTTTAAAACCAAAAAAATAAATAAATATTTTTCAAATTAAAATTAAAATAAAGTGTTCTATTAGAATATATATTAGTAAAATATAAATACCTGATTAATATGTTCAGCTCCAGTCCAAGTAAAACTACATGTATCATTACAGCAGAGCACATGTAAAGGACTGTAATCAGGATTTGATCCAGATGGGTAAATCATAGAAGCTAAAACTTCTTTGGCTTTGATGATTTTTTCTTTATCATTATCACTATACAATGACCTATCAGTATACCACAAATGTGTCTTATAAACTGAAACAGGTGGCGGAGGAGGTGGAATAGTAAAAAATCCTTAAGAAAAAAATGTAAAATAAAATTAATACAAATTTTAACTAAAATATAAGATAATATTAACAAAAATAAAAAAAAAAAAACCTTTCGAAAAATCAGCCGATTGTTGTTGTGGTGGTGGTGGTGGTAATCCCGGGGTGGGTAAAGACCATGTTTGTGGTAATTCAAAGTTACTAGCTGGTGGATTTTTAAACAGTGGTCCTATAGGTTGATTACTTATTTCTGGAGTTATTTTGTTACTGTTAGAATTGGATCCTGTTCCAGCAACTGAAGATCTCCAAGCACTCATTACATTTTTAATTGCATGTTCTTGATCAGGATTTGAAGAACTTTGTACGTCACAAATTATAATAGGTGGTGTAACTACTTTTGCCACAACTCGATGAATTGTATCAAGTAAAATAATAGCAGCAGGATATGCTCTAACTGTCACAGCTAACATAAATGGAGTTAATCCTTGAGCATCTCTAAAAATTAAAAAATTTATTTTAGGTATTTATTTAATTTACATAATTTGTAAATAAAAGCAGCAGAAAAGCTTTCATTTTATTTAAGATAAAATAAATAACTAATCTCTTTATAAATATAAAATAGTATTATTCAATATAAAAGAAGCATTTATTTAAAAACAATGTTAAGTAAAAATTAATTTCAAATTTTATAATATAAGACTTAAATTTAATTATGCTTTAAATAATATAACAAAAATTATATTTATCAAATTGATGCCCTTAGTATCTATTTAAATGATTATATTATTCATATATAAAAAATATTCAAGTTAAATATAATTTTACATACTTAGCCGTCAATAGATCTAGTAAATGAGCTGAAAAAACAGTAGATTCACAAAGAAGTCGTAAAATTGCTAATGCATTATTGCGTCTTTCGATTGTTGGATTAATAATTGGAATAGATTGAATTGTTTCTTCTTCATTTTGTAAAGTAGCCGATGATTGGGTAGTTGCATTAACTGGTTCGTGCCATGGTTCAGTACCTGGAACTGTACCTGGAGGTGGAGCATCTTCACTAATTTCCATTGGTTCGGGGTCTGATGAATTAGCGTCTAATGATTTAAAACAAAATATTAAAGGTGTTTGTTATGGAAATAAACTGAATAATTTGTAACTTACTAGTTCTAACTGCAGCTGAAGCCCGTCTCATCATTTCTCTTAAACTAAATGATGATCTGACACCAAATGCTTTTTGAATTACATTCAAAGTATCTACACTCGGACCTGATTGATTTTGTACATTATCTCCTTCTGAATGAGAAATAAAATAAATAAGTAATATTTCAATTAATTTATGAATTATTTGCATTACCTTCCTGTTCTTTATTTGAAATTGGAGCACAAACCGAAACACAAGCGTGAAGTAGATTACGATTACCATCACATCGCTCTGCTAAAATCTGGGATAAAAGTTCTCCATTATCTATAAAATATGTTTTTTTAATTAATTATATTTGACAATTATTAATAAGTGATAAACAAGTATTAATAATTTTATAAAATTAATATATAAATAGTTTAATACCATTTTCAACAGACAACTGCTGTACCAACAATTTAACAGATTCAAGATTTGACTTTAATATTCGCGACATGAGAATTTGCTGTTCTACATCTAGAACTATGATAGCAGCAACTGCTTTTGTATGAGGAGAAGTGACTGTATATGAACCAATACCCATACATCGAACAGGTCCTAAATCTAACCACTGGGGCTCTCTCATTGAATCAGTACTATCCTTGGCTAATGGATATATAGTTCGATTACCATCACGCAAAATACATATATTATCTTTACTCTAAAATTAACATAGAAAAAAGATTTAATTTCTAGTTTGTTCAACAAGATTATAAAATATATTCATAAAACAATTTAAATCTTACTTCTGCAGTGCAAAGAATCTGCATGTTGTCAGGACTTAGTCCTATTAGAGCACTTGCATCAACTGGAAATGGGCTATCTTGCTCTATTTTACCACTAGTTATGTTAAATTTAATATAACTTATCTTAGAACCATTTTTCACAATTGCATGTATGCCTGGAAAATTAAATAAAAATTAATATTAATCAAATTATATTTATAAAATAATATAATACCTTGACCATCAATAGTGAGGGTCAGAATTTGATTTCCATTATCAGGTATGTTAATTCTTCTGGGTGTTCTTTGAAAACAATCTGGTACTTTACTTGCAACAGCGACTTTACATACCTTAAATAAATAAATAAATAAAAAAATTATACGTATGAATAGATAATAATTTAGTAATCATATATTAATTACTAAATTGGGAAATATTCTTATATTAACCTGTAGATCATCTTTTTTCATTAACCGAACTTCATTTTGGTCCAACATTTTTATGATATTTGTAACTAAATCATCACTTGCAGGTGCTGTAGGATCTTTAGGAAATATTCCATTATTGTCTTTTGAAACACAAGGAAATTTAACTGCAGCATAAACACCATCAATATGAACAACACGACCTACAAAAAATCAATATTAAGTAGAAATAATAGTTTATTTTAAAACATGAAAATAAGTACCAATAGGTAAACTCTTTTGATCTTCAACAAATACAACATCTTTCAACGGCCAATCCTCTTCAATATTTTTATCGTCTTCAAGACCTTTCACTGGTACTCTTTTAATTCTCTCTGGGGATCATTTAACATTTTTAATAAAATATTTATGTAATTATAATGTGTAAGTACAGAATGGTTCACTTATCATGAATTAGCAATTTTATTTTTAGGATGTTAAGTAAATTCAATTTGTTTTGAATCATTAAAAGCTTCATAATACCCTTAGATCATATAAATGAAGCATGTGTAGTTTCTTTTAGATGATATTATCAAAAAATCCTTGTAGAAGGTAGTCAATTTGTACATGCGTAATGTGATTTGTTGCATAATTATTTATGTAGTCGAGACTACTAATTGCTGCTATTTACGTTTAAAATGACATGAGGCAAAGAATCATATTATGCATACATCAAGCATCTAATTTAGTGAACTCGTCATTATAGTATATGATCAAAAATTATAACACTATCTCCATTTTTACCCCCTTTACCTTATATCTGAATTTTCAAATAGCAACACAATTTTTTAAACACAAAATCTAATAAAGAAAATTTGTCTAAAAACTTTGAAAATAAATTTACTGTTTGAATTTTAACAGTTCAAAGTTTAAACTAGAGGAATAGAAAAGGGTTATCAATTTGTCTACTAAAAATGTGTACAAATTAAATTAAATTAAATTATTCTCTACTCCTCAGTTAATTTTAAACTATATACTTCATAAACAGTCAATCTGATGTTAGTATTTAATGTATTAGACAATCTTAAACAAATATTGTCTATTGGAATATGTATTTAAAAAGAAGTTCTTATGTGGAAATCAAAAGTTTAATAATTGAAGGTATATTGAGTAGGAGTAAAAAATTTAGTTTTCAAAGAAATGAAATTAATTTGAAATTCTCAGAGAAAATTTCTGGTTTATAATAAGTAGATCACTCTGTATATAATTATATATATATTTATAAATTAGAGTGATACTTATTTTTTTTTCAACATTATTTTTTTAAGACAATAAATAAACCCTTTAATTTATTATGTAACATGAGAAAGTAATTTAGGTAAAATTTAAAAGGTCTCGCTCAACCTCTTCTGATGCTACATTAAGGATGAAATATGGCAAAAGATGGTAGTTTTTTTATTATTTTATTTAATTCAGAAACTATCGCATTTAGCGTAAAGGGGTAATTTTAATATTTTCTATAAATTGATTTTTTTCGGTTGAGATACAGAATTTAATATTTAAAAAAAAAAATGTTAATACTAAAAATTTTGATAAGAAATCAACTGTTTATTTTTTGGTATCACTTACCCAAATTTTGTAAAATATTAATGTACAATATTAATGAAAATATTTTTATTTAATTTTTTTTATTATTATTTTTAGTTTTTCTAATAATTAATTTTTGCCTTTTAAAATGGTTTCTATAAACACGATATCGTAAATGATCCGATCAATTTTGTGTAAAAATGATAATCATAATATAATGATTGACAATATTAAATGATTGTATGGGTAAGAGAAAAATGTAATTCTATTATAATAATTAATTTTATTATAAACACAAACAATTGTAAATGATTTTTTTTCAAGTGGTTTACTATTATATAAATCAGACTGTTGTTATCAAATATCTATTGGGTATTATATAGATTTAAATAACCAAAAAAAATCAATATTAATAAATAAATAAAATATTTTGATATTATGATAAAATTCTTTTTAAAAATTATAGAATTACAATAACTTTTATAAACAATATTAAAATATATCAATAGGTTGTTATCATTTCATGCCAAGTGCAATATTTTCTGAATTAAATAAAATACTGAGGAAACTACCCTCTTTTACTAGATTCAAACCTATTGCGACACTAAAGAGGGTTAAGTGAGACCTTCCAAATTTCACCCAAATAACTTAATAAATTAATAAAATCCTGTGTTAACTTTTTAAAATAAAATATTCTACCTATATAAATAATAACTACCCTAATATATATATATATATATAATTGTATAATATATTATATATACAGGCTGTCCTACAGAGATACACCCCTTGAATATCTCCGGAGATAATAAAGATGATCATATTCTGTTACTCACAGAAAAGAGGACTACAAATATCTATATTTGAGTTAATTTTTTTTATTTTCTGAAAATTTTAATGTACCTACTACACATTTATATCTAATAGTTTCTAAGTAACAGCCATTTTAAATTCTACTAATCCATGTGAAAACCAAAGTTATTGCATAACACGGTTAGGTTTTTTCCTAGATAATATTGGTTTTCATGCGGATAAATAGAATTTCGAATGACTGTTACATAGAAACTATTCATCGAATATAAATGTGTAATACATTAAAATTTTCAGAAAAATAATGTTTATATTATAGTCATCTTAAAACTGTCAAAAAATAATAGTATTTTTTTAAAAAAATTTTTATTAAAAAAAAATAATAATAATTCAATTATTAAAAAAAAAATAATAATTCAAATATAAGCTATTGTAGGCCTCTTCCCTGTATTTTTCATATATATATATATATATATGAAAAAAATAGAAATTGGTTATCTTTATTATCTCTGAAGATATTCAAGGGGTATATCTTCGTGTAACAGCCTGTATATATATTAATACACTCGACGAATAAAATAATACCTAAATGCAATTTTTCTACTTACTTGAACTTTGAACAGAGCTTCCTGTATCACTACAAGTACTCGAAGCAGGAGAAGGAGGGGGTGGCATATCAATTCTATCAGCAGTCTCTTTACTTTTTTCAATAGGTGTACAAGGCTTGGAGGAACTACAGTTAATATTTTGAGATTGAAATATTTGAGGTGGAGTTAAAATTTGAAATCGACAAACATCAGCATATGTCCATGCTGAATTTAATAATTGGCCTATTTTAGGTTCACCTCCATACAAAGTTATACCTAATTTAGTACATAAAAAGATTAATAAATGAAGTTAAAATATTCAAGTTTAAACATACCAATAGCTCCTGGTTGATAAAGTGGACTATTTTTCATACAAACTTGACTACCAACTACAATATCGGAGTTTAAATTGTTAGTTTTTTGTTTTCTAGCTTTAGTACGATATTTGTCCCAAATTTTACGCCTCTGATTGAATGGCAATACTCCCCTATTTAATTAGATCATTTTTTTTAGTTCAAATAAAACACAAAATAAATAAATATTAATTATACATACCACCAATAAAGGGCGCCACTTTCTAAACGTGCAAGAGTATATAGTGGGCAAGTATGAATAGAAACTATACGATCAACTACAAATTCAGAATAAAGTTGAGCAGGGTGTTCAAGTTTAGCAGCGGTAGCAGCATGAGTGAGACTTTCGTCCATCCATGTAGCTACTTTATTAGATTCTGTTACTACTGAAACTCGTATAATAGTACCAGAAAGTAGAACTACTTTTTCATTAGTCAAACCAAGAGCACTGGTTTTAGGATGATGTACATTATTCTAAAAAATTCACAATATAAATAAAAGATTTAACAGCTTATAGACATATTAATTATCAAACGTGTATATAATTTTAAAATTTAAATACATGTCATAATTTTTGAAATCACTCACTTCTAAAGTCTTGTAAGGATCAGCATCATCCCATTTCCATTGATAAAGTTGTCCTCCAGCTGACAAGGCAATTAATTCTGAATGAATAGCAGCAATTTGTATAAATTTGACATTTGGTTCTGGCCAATATTCTGCATCAGTAGACAACCACAAAGGATTACCAGTGTTATTATCTTTTTTTTTAGATTCTGCGGAAAATTCAAAAGTTCCAACGTTAGAGTCCTTCTTTTTAGAGTCTATAACAAATACAATTCAAAGCATGAATATCATTTATAAAACAACTAAAATAGTCTTATAAACAATAACTGTTAATTAATACGATAATTACCTGTTTCTTTATCCCATGATGAATCACGTAATGCTCCTTCAAGCCACTGCTGTTGTCTTTGGCGGTGTTGTTGTTGTCCATAACAATGACGATCTCTCCATCTGGTAAAACTATCACGATCACTAGGCCCTGAATTACGATCACTAGAAGTACTATCATTAGCGCTATTGCTTACACGATCTCGATCACCTAATCTTCTAGCACCACTCCTACGAAATGTCAACACGGGTCTAAAATCAATGTAGATATCCTATAAAGCTAAACAAAATGCAATATGGTATATCACATTTACCTTCTAGAAGATGAATATGAAAACATATCTTCAGAAAAAATTGCATCGGCATCAATAATAACAGAATGGTCTGAATGGAATCCTCCACCATCCAATAAAGACATTAAATCTTCAGGAACATAAGAATCTCCACCAGGTCCACCCCCAACTTCATCGCCTCCTTCACCATCCCCTTCTTCATCATCACGTGACAAAAGGTTGTTAACTGCCAAATTCACATCTAAATTTGTTCGCTGTAGTTCTCGTATTATTAAATTCCGACTTTTCCCTTGCAAAACAACTTGAGCTTGGGCTACCAGCTCTTCTGGTACAAATTGTGCTGGCATAACTGGACGGCCGCTTGATGAACTACTGCTCATTATAACACCACTACCAGATGATCTGAATAAATACCTACTATTAATTTCCAAAGTTTACATAAATATATTATTTCTTAATTACCTTGAAGTTCCACGGAATGTTCCAGATCTCATAATACGAGCTCTTCTAGTAAGGTGACGGGTGGCAGAACCTAAATTTCCACCACCCCCACCTCCACCTCCACTACCTCCACCACTGGATTTAGAAGGCAATTTATTTACATCTCCAGTAGATCTTGATAAATCCAGTCGCTCAGCAAGCACAGTGAATCCAATTCGAGCCACTCGGCCATCTTCAAATAATAGACCAATATGATATGGTCCAACAACAATTTGTTTGATTGGGGCTTTCAAATTACATAACACAGGATAAAATGTATTGCCTGAATTACTTCTATTCAAACGTTCTGAAACTTCTTTGAATCTGAAAGTAATACATAATAATAATTAATTAAAATTATAAAATAAATGCATAATTATTTTTAAACTGCACCAGCGTTACTTAGTCATGTTTATATAGTACGTATTTTCCTAAGTTATTTACATTTATTATGAAAGTGATTAGGAAAATCAAAAAATGACTTTCTTAAAGTACCACCTCAGTCAGATTTTTTTTCAGAAAAAGTGCTATAATTGAAAATCAGAGTAAAATTGCTGGTAGAAAATTTATTCACAAATTAAAAAAAATAAAAATAAACAATTAACGCTATAAAACTAATACATTCCTTGCTCTGCTCAGAATTTAAAAATATACAAGTAAATAAGAGATATATGTTGAATTGTCTTTACATTTTATTTATTTAGTGTCCTTACATTACTTCAGTTATTTTGCTTTGATTATATTTTTATAATCAGAATACCAAACAAAAATATTTAAATATTTTTAATAATAAACCTGACTTATACATTTAAAGAATAAAAAAAAAATATTTATAATCTATCGTAATACACAATTAATTATATGGATATTTTATCAGGCAATATTTCTTTTATGTAATTCTTAATTTATTGAGTTTAAATGTATAAAATCCTTAAATATGCTCTAAAAAAATATACAATACCCTTAAAATGAGCCATATTGTCAAAAATAAACTTGTATATACAAAATTGTGAGTTCACAAAACACATTTTGGTATAAACTAGACTCTGTACCAAATAAGAACACACAGGGTAGCGGACAATAATTGGTCAAAACTCGTGTTGCCGACTTACAGAGACCAATCGTAGAGTGAATAGAGTCATTTTAGGGGGCAAGACGTCACTCCGCGATACATTTAGATACACCGAGCGGTGCATCCTTCAATGGAACTAAGTATAGCTATTTTTTCAACCAACTAATAAAATCATACAAATGCAAATAAATACCGGCCTTAGTTATCATTTACCAATTATTTAAAGAATCACTGAATTTGTTAAATCACTTATCAACTTATCAATTGCATTACTTATCAGAAATATTTTTTAAGGCCACTAAACAAATTATAGAATAAAGCTGCAGAACAAATAAATTGAAAACTAACGTAACTTAATTATTTTCACTATTCATAATTTCTTATTATTTATTTATTAACAGTTAACAAACAGTTGGTAAAGGTGCTCTTTGAATAAAAAATAAAATATTAGCAACAGTGAAAAAACAACAATAATACTAAAAAAAAAAAATTATTAGTTTAAATAAAAGAATGAATTAAGCAAGAAAGGCGGAATCCTTATTGGTAATTGGCATTCAAAAAATTCGGAATGCATAATCAGTGAATTTACCCAACAGCCACCAGCCTACAATGGTGACTGATGACTGGTAGAAGAAATTCTGACAGATTATTAAAAATACTTGTGTTTTATGATATTATATTAATTAGTTATACACGAGAAATAAAATAAACAACATAAATATTATTCCCACTTAAAATTCAAATATTGCAATTAGTGTAAGGGTAACATTAATACAATTTGTTGTAGTGGGGAGTGAACAGTCCCACCATACTAGCGATATGGTTACGAAAATCGTGACTGTTGACGAGCAACAATGTCACCAGTTACCATACAAAATTTCTCTAATCGTCATCAGTTACAGTTTTAAAGGAAATGTACACCAGTTATACATTTTGAATTTCTTGATTAAGTGTCTTCATGGCTCGTTTTTTAGGTAATTGGTTTTAAATTGGGGAATATAAAAGAATATAAGTGTGTGGGTATAATACTGCGGGACTTTGAAATTTTAAATTGATATGAGATCAAGAGAGTCTATTGTATTGTATAACAAGGCCACTTAAAAGACTTGCCGAACATTTGTGTACAGTCAGCTAAAAAATCTATGTACTAGATGCCTGAAATAAAACTATTAGGTATATTATACACAAATTCAGGAAAAAAAAGTCTGTGGAAAAAATTATTAAATATACATGTTATTTAGGGTGTCCCATATATACATACCCATTGAAATATCTCCAGAGATAATAAAGATAATCATATTCTATAGTTTTTTAAATTACTCACAAGGATAAGGGCTACAAATATTTATAATCCAATTCATTTTTTATGTTTTTGTTCTGAAAATTTTGACATCTCAACTTTTTATTTTCATAAAATTTGTGGTTTTTAAAGTTCAGAGGAAAAAAATGTATATTCAATTAGCCATAATAATAATCAATTAGAAAAAATGATTACAGCATGCTGCATAATTATAGGTACTTTTCTCTGAACAATAATTATAAATCATGAGTTTAATGAAAATTAAAAGTTATAAAAAAGTTAAAACGTCAAAATGTTCAGAAGAATAAATTATATAAAATGATGGGTGTCTTCAAATTTTTCGAAAAAAATAATAAAATAGTAAATTTTTGAGTTCTTTTACCAAAACATAAAAAATGTAAACAAATATAATTATTTGTAATCCTTATTCTCATATGTAAAAATAAAAAAAGACGTTCTAGGATAATGGAGACAGGTGCAGCGACTATTAATTTAATATATATCTGTAAGCAATGATAACCCAATGCTCAAGACAACAATATATATGCCACATTATAGTAAAATAATTAAGTAGGCCTTATACATTTTCTTTAATATTTGTTAAATGTTGTAGCAATTTCCTCCGGTTTTCCCATGTTTTTTCCCAATTTTTCACATTTGCTAAGAAAATGTAAAACAACAACTTTGAAATACCTCCGTAGTAAAATTTCCTTTTAGAAAAATTGCTATAGTTAAGTTGTATACAGAAAAAAAAAATCAGAATAAGCTAATATATTTAGTACATTTCCCAGTTTTTTAACACTTGATGTGAAAATTCTTGAGAAAATCGAAAAATGACCAATTTAAGATACCTCCCCACACCAAAAGTTGCTATACGTCAAAATTGGATCAAGTCTTCTGATAGAAAAGTTATCCAAAGAAAAAAAAAATACAATATTTTTATAAAACCATAAGCTTCTTCACTCCACTTAGAATTTAAAACAGAATTTGATTATCCTTAGTATCTCCAGTGGTATTACAATGGGTACATCAGATGGGTCATCAGACGCTTTTTTAAACTAATATTAATTATGCTTATAACTATTATTATAAAATAATTAATTTAAAATTATAAAAATTGTGTAAAAAAAAAAGCAAAAAAATCTGGTATATAATAATTTACCATTATAGTCACAATAAAATGATTCGCTACTCCATTAATACTTTCTGGGAACATGTTCATCTTAAACTATTTATTAACTTATAATGGATATAATCATATATGCAATGCCACGATGAATAACTTTTTTATTGTTTTAATTAATTCTATGCTATTCAATGTAAAAGCAAAACCACTTATACAACTAACAACTAATGAATGAACAACTATGAGTAACATTGATTTGTAGAGTTGTATGATTACAAACTCTTAACCGTTTATTGTTACATACATACACTTTTACATTAAATTTTTTCTAAATAAAGACAATTTAACAGTATAAATAAATAGATAGATAGTAAGGTATCCTACATAGGTACATCAACTTCCTGTCAGTACTATGATAGATACAAAATATGATTTCATTATCAATACAAAAATTGTGTCAAAATTTCAAAATATCGAAAAACAATAAATAGGTTAACGACTTGTATGGCCACTTTAAATACCAGTAAGTAGTTAAAATTTCGATTTTTGATTTTTCGACCGCTCTTCGCAGTACTGTATAGTTCAGCAGCTGTACGATTGCTGTTTTTATTTACAATTTTATGTATTAGTTTTATAATATGTAATATAATGCATTCATATATTTTATAATATGCAGCAAAGAGACCAATTATACATAGTTTATTACATGATATATTATGCATATTTAACTGGAAAAAAGAGTATTCTGAATGCATAATGTGAATTAGGTAAGGGAAGGGAAGAGAAAATATGGAGGGTGGTTTTTTTGATATTTTGACATTTTTTTTTTGAACCCAAGAGCAAGACTTCAACCAATAAGTAATCAGCAAAAAATATTACTTTAACATGTTGAGTACCTATCCTAGTTTTTGGAAATTATGAGTACTATATTTGTTATTGATATCAAGGATTTTAATTAACATCATAATGTACTAACCAATTACTAATGCAACAATATGTATCGAGGTATCTATTTAAAGGATGAAAATGAGTAATACACATACTCTATTATTCACTCACTCTATTATTTGTTAAATTAACAGAGGTACATAAAACATGCATCTGTGGTTGAAGTACACATAGGCGTCATATGAATTTCATAGGTATTTTTAATACACTTTACAATTTATGAATTACCACACCCAAAGAAAAACCCAAATACCCCAAACTGACTTTGCAAACACGATGGTCGGTAAACGTGTCGGCACGATGGCATAAATGTTGCTAAGGAAATCCATGCATGGAAGATCAAGACTAGTACGCGTGTCTAAATAGGTAAAAAGTACATACCTGTCATTTAATTGATCGTCCGTTCCAGGGGCTGGATGCACGATAAACTGCAACGACGACATTAGTTGAAATCCAAAATGGTGTTAGCCCGTCGGCATGCAACGATAAACGTTGTCGAACGACGGACACCTGGCCGTTTGGAATCAAAATTTCTTGTGTTTAATCGCAGTAGTACACAAGAAGAGTCGATAAAAACAACACTAAAATAATAAACGGAAAACACGCAAATCAAAGCAGCAGACACAGACGTACGCACACGTTTAATGAACGAGATATGCTATCGCCATTTTTGATGATGACGGTGAGGGGAGGGTTTCGTTCGACAAAAACGATGTGGATGCGGTAGCGGTGGAGTGGTTTCACGGGCAACAATACTACCAAGCCGAGACAGCACTGTCAGATGGTCACCGATGGTTATTGCTTGGTAACCGAATAACCACACTGATACCACTTAATCAACCATCAATGGACAATGATTCATGGATTATAGAGTAATATTCTCAGATCATAATATCATATACTATTATTTTTGTATAGTATAATGTAATCTAATATCACTACAATATAATATGGATATCTGTGGATTGTGGAATGTGAATTGAACTTCCATCAAAATCATGGCTGTAGGATATACAACCGTGATCAAAATTGAAAAAAGTAGGAATATGACTATTGATTAGTTAAGTTGAATCTAAAAAAAAGGCTTTTGTGATAAACTTTTTGAAATTAAATCAATCCTCAAATAATTATGTATAGGTAATCCTTAAATTCAATTATCTATGATTACTACTTACGAGGACGGAAAACGAACACAAAATATCTTGTATAGAATTTCATGAGTGATTTAAAAAAATGTCCTTGGATTCTAAGAATTAATCGATTTAATTTTACTATGAAGGGTTTTTTTTTCTTATTTTGAGCAGATGAGGATTGTGTTGGTCTCCCAATGATGTCTATTTTTTCTGTGAACAATTTTTTACCAAAAATTCAATTCAATCAATAAAGGACAATATAGTTTTTTTATAGAATTTCAAATTTAGTGGGAGCATGGAGGTTGTTGATTTTCCAAGCAGTTTCCATAGCCAATAAATTGGGAAATTCAGCAACATTTACGGAAATAATAGTTTCGTTATTTTATTGTAATACGGTTAAAAGTAATGATAGATATCTATCAGTAAATTACATAGAATACTTATATTAGCCAATCAGAAATGCATGAAAATTGTACACGAGGATCAATATTAAAGATAGATCTTTAATATCAATGGGTTCATCATAGATTATAGTGTTAAAAAAAAATTGCCCAAGTACTTAATTTTACGTACGTTTCTATAGAAATATTTGATAAGAAACCAAAGTGGTTAATAAAATGCGTAAACATCCCTATATAGGTGTTAGACACGTAATAAATAGGTACAAACGCATAAAGTAAAGTAAACTGAAGGGTGTTAAAAAAAAACAAAAGGTATAAAAAAGACATTCTAGGATAATGGAGACAGGTGCAACCACTGTTATAGGTAATTTAATGTGTACCTGTAAGTAACGATAAACCATTGTTTACGAAAAAACAAATCTGAGCGCAGTATCACTATCAATTCTGATAAAGATGCTTTGTCAACAATATATATTATATTATATTATGGTAAAATAATTAAATATGCATTATATATTTTCTTTGATAATATTTGTTAAATATTGTACCCATTTTCCTGGTTTTCCCATGTTTTTCACATTGGTTGGGAAATTCGAAAAATTACCTGCTTAAAGTACCTTTCCAGGCATATTTCCTTTCAGAAAAAGTGTTATCATTGTAAATCGAATAAAAATTGCTAGTAGAAAACTTGTACATAGAAAAAAAAAAGGCTATATTATTGTTTTAATAATATCTACATTTCATACATTTTCCGTTTTTCCGACATTTTATCCCAGTTTTTCCCATTTATAATAAAAACCGCTTGAAAAATCAAAAAATGACCTCCCCAAATTACTATGGAAATAAAATTTTCTTTTAGAAAATAAGCTACACTTGATACATCGGAGTAAGATTTTTGGTAGAAAAGTTCGCACAACAAATCGAGTATTTTGTATCGGTATTTTGCGATTAAAATAGTCTGAGCGAGTGACGGCTTAGGTCTCTAGGTACCTAACCTAAACAAGGAAAAACAAATGTAAACCATCTTTTTTCGACACACTGCACTGTCAGTCAGAATCCCGAAAAACGGGTCAAAATTAATATTATACAATCTTTGAACGAAATCATCGTTTCATAGGTCAAATTATACGTTTTTAAGGATGTCGAATCCAAATTGTAATTATTTTTAGTATATACACCGATTTTTAGAGTTAAGGGAGATATTTTTTCAGTCATTAGAACAGTACTTTTATTATTTAACAATTTATTTATTTTTTTGTCTATTGCGATAAACAAACAAATTATAATTATAATTTACATGAAATGATATATTAATTCGAAACTAAATAAAAAATAAAGATAGTTAAATATCATCAGATTTTTCTTCATCACTATCATACTGTTCTTCGTATTCATCTTTATTTTAATTTTCTCCTTTGCTTATTAGTAATAGCTGTTTTGCTTCAATACTTAACGGAACATATTTTTGTCATGTATTTTACGCAAACTATATATATATTTACGGACCCGAAGAGACTAAGAGATTACTAAATAAGTCCTCCATAGTTTTAACTAGTGATATTTTTCTAGTCCGGTGTTCACGGTATTTTTTAATGTCTTTAATTCTCGCTTCCTGGGCTTCTTCGCTCAGAAGTCCAATTGGAAGTAATGCATTTTCGATTATTATAGATCCATGTAGCAAAATTGTATGGACGCTTGCTGGTAAATAAAACCAAAAATATTGTATAACAAATAGTTTGGCTGTCTCAATTGCATAGTTGTCAAATAGTTGCACGTCAATTTTATATCCAGAAGAAATCACTTGTAATATTATACCAAAACGTTTAATAACCTCTTTATTTATACCTGTAGTTGTTGATGTTAAATGAGGATTCGCGAAAAATCGACGTTCAGTGTTTTCATCATTTGACGTACCGCTTCCATCTAGCCGTGGAACATCTACCAGGAGACCCATTTGTTCTTTAAATTTTATTTGTATTTCACTTTTTCTTGTTTTTAACTTAATTTTATCATCATTTCTTGCTTACTATTTTTGGAAATCTATACGATATGCTACATGTAAAAGGCACTCAAAAAACCTAATCCAGGCATGTAACGTCAAAAGTCTATAAATGTAAGTTGCAGAATTAGTGGGACATTTTTTTACAACTTCAATTTTATTTATATCTTTTGGAGAACAAAGACAAAAATTACACATCTGACTATGTATATTATCACAAATAGCATTACACACTTCCCCATCGATCATAGTTAATATTAATTCATGTTTTTTTGAATTCTTTTGAAGCCAATCGTTTTTTACCTCAAAATAGTTGCGTATTATGTGACATATTTTCTATCGTTTATCAAATTCATACAAGAAAAAATTTATTTTTATTTTGAGATCATTTTTTATTTCAAAAAGTGTATTTTCACATATATTGATCTTTGATTTTATATATTGAAAAAGAATGTTTGGACGATTATCATCATTTCTTAATAATCTTTTAAGTAATAAATATAATTCTTGCCGGAAAATATTTATAGGTGGCATTCTAAAATTTCAAATAATTTTTCGAATTAAAAAAATCGTGCCATTGTGTGCAATTAAAAATTACATATTTAAAAAATAGATCTAATTTCTGAAAATATTATGTAGTTATTATCTTACTAATCAATGCTAATAATAAGTATTTGTGATTTTTATAAAAAGAATAAAAATGAAACATTTAAATAGTTATTTAAAATTTATAATTTTGTTATTAAAACAAATATGTAACTTTTTTTTAATACTATAAAATATTCCTTAAATTGTTAGCTTTCAGATGACACTAAAATCATTTAAAAAATCAAAAGAGAAATGTATAAAATTAAATAATACAATAACACAATATGCGTGTACAGAGAACGTAAAATAAATCAATATTTATGGGCATACAAATGTCTTTTGATAAGCTTTAATAACGGAAAAACTATAGATAACCACGATAAAAATTATTTATATAACGTAACTAGACATAATCTAATATAAAACCCATGTGATAGTATTTAATTTTTTTTTGTTTTTGTCCATTTTTATTTAAATCTGATTCACTGTGCACTGGTTATTAGCGGATATTTGGTTTCATCTGTGGGGGGGGGCTTAACATTTTTGTCTTATTCATTAGCGGAAATAAATATTTTTAGTCGCTTCCGACGCTTCCACCTACTAACTGTAGTGGCTACTCCTATTTGATTCTAGCTGAGACACCAAATATATATATATAGGTAATAGGAACATAAATAAATAAAATATTAAATAGCTACTAAATTATTTTTATTTTAATTGTATATATATAATTTTTTTTTTGCAAATATATTAACAATTGTTTCAGTATTAATAGTTTTAGAAATTTTCTTTTCAATATTTAATATTGAGGTGTTGTTGAACCTTTCCTGCAGCATAGACGTTCGAAGCTAAGTTTTTATTCTATGCATGGCCGAAAACTCCTTTCACAAATGGAGGAACTTATAGGAATTGTTAAAGCAACTTGAAATAGTTTATATAAATTAGAGAAAGTCTGTTTTGTTCACAATTCACAAAAATAATATAAAATTATATTGTTTATTTGTTTAGCACGTCACTTACAGAAAAGCACGCGTAGGTATTAAAAACAAAAAATAAAAATAAAGACGATCACCGTATACGCTCCAAAAACGTAATCGACACTAATACTGTGGCGGTCTTCAGCTTGCGTATTCATAACTTTACAGGTATCACAAACAAGTTCTAGAATATTCGCGATTATTAATATATACCTACAAAATATGATTTTCCCAACAACGATAAGCCGTGAATATTCCAGACCATTCTCGTATCTCAACAAAATAAAATAAAAATTATAAATATCAAATATTGAAACACATAATTTTTTATTTTGACGTTTACATTCTGGGGGGGCTTAAGCCCCCTCAAGTTCCCCAGATATCCGCCCTGGGCACTGGTTTAAACTTGGAATCCTTAGGGTGATAATAGGAATAAATAACAATTAGATCACGACAAATATGCTTTTGAAGTATAATATAGAGGTATTTAACATAACGTATAATATCCGCGTAATATCAGAACTTCAAAAATTTATAATTTCAAAACGTAGCCAGTCTACTTAATTCTGACTTCACCATCTGTAAACAACAATAAACCATTGCTAGCGAAAAACGATTCTGAGTACAGTTCAGTTTATAGTGATGTTTTGACAACAATATATTATATATCATATTATGATAAAATAATTAAGGTGACATAATTTATTTTTTTTTATAATATTTGTTTAATTTGATTTTCCCGATTTTTCACATTTGCTGGGAAAACTCTTGGGAAAATCGAAAAATGACTTCTTTACTCCCCACTCAGATTTTCTATAAGAAAAAGTGCTATTTACTTAAATCGGAGCAAAATTGCTGGTAGAAACGTTATCTACAGAAAAAAAAATTTTAATATATTACTAATGTATTTTGTACATTTTCCCGTCTTTTCTCCGTTTTTCACGATTTATCCCATTTACTGAGAAAACTTCTAGGAAAATCAAAAAATGACCATATCATGTTATCATGGAGATAAAATTTCCTTTCAGAAATAAGCTTCTCTTGATACATTGGACCAACATTTTTGGTAGAAAAGTTTACACAAAAAATCGAGGGGTATTTTACGATTAAAATAGTCCGAACAAGCGATGGCTTGGGTCTCTAGGTACAACCAAAATGGATTTGTTCTTTCCTTGTTTAGGTAAAAGATAAAAAAAGAATTCTTTCATAGTGGTTACTAAAAGTATATTTACCATCTTTAAAAATGTAGAAGAATTATGGGGACGATTTTAGATTAACTCCCAAGCGTTTGGGTGTTTATATTTATTGGGTGTTTTTGTTTTAGCATTTACATTAAGAATGTAAAAAAAAAAGTCGGACCAACTTCGTTTGTTAGTAACGGAAGAAAACTTCATGAAATTTGGGTTTTCCATTTCGCGTATTTCTTACTTATAGTTTAAAAATTTAAAAATTTTTTTTTTTCCAAAATGTGTGTTTTTTAATGCTTAATCTACTGGTATAATCAAAACTTATCTATCATACTTACTTTTATAGTTTGTACATAAACCTTAAAAAAATAGCATTTTTGGAATTAATCCAAAATATGATCAAAAATATATATTTTTATTAATATTATTATTTGTAGTTATTGATATTTCAATAATAAAGCATTTTATTATCAGAATAAGTTTTAGAGTTACAAACATTTAAACGCACTATGTTTCATGAACAACATTGGAAAACCGAGAAAATCATAGCAAAAACGGAAAATAAGTACAATATTAAACATATCTACGCCTACATTAACCTACATCGTTCGTCATTATTTAAAGATTTAGCGATTTTATTTGATTCCAAACTATTATTCAATGATCATGTATCAGCGATTAAAAATAAAGCTTTATCTGTATTTGGTATGATAAAAAGAAACTGCTCCGATTTTCGTGATCTACTTGCTCTCAAATGCCTTTATACCTCACTAGTTCGTTCTTTATTAGAATACGCTCCACTAATTTGGAATCATAATGTAGGACATGATGATCAACTTGATAAAGTTCAAAATAAAACTCTCAGATTTTTATGTCATACATGTAATATTCAAAGAACTCCTTACTCTGGCTACGATAATATTTTAAAATTGTTAAACTAAGAATCTTTAAATGTACGGAGACACTTATCATACAGCACGTTCCTCATCAAATTGCTAAATAATGAGATTGATGATTCATTTTTATTAAGTCAATTAAATTTCAAAGTTAATAGCCACCACACTCGTAACAATAATTTATTTTATATTCCTCATTCATCTAAAAAGTTTACGTCATACGACCCCATAAATATTTTAATGTCTTCGGGAAATAGTTAATTATTTTATTAAACATTGAATGTATTTTTATTATTATTATCATTATCATTATTATTATTACTATTATTTGATATATTAATCTTTTCATTTTTTATTATGTTATATTTTATTATTTTAAATNTTATTATTATTATTATTATCATTATCATTATCATTATTACTATTATTCGATATATTAATCTTTTCATTTTTTATTATGTTATATTTTATTATTTTAAATTATATTATATTATTGTTATCTTTACAAATATATTGTGAATTGGACTTTTGTCCGTATTAATAAATAAAAATATAATAATAATAAATCTAGGCCTACATTAGTTATTGGTGCATATTTTAAACAATTCAATAAGGTAGTTGTTATATCTAAATTAACATCTTTTTTACCTAATAGTTCTTACCTATAGTAAATTAATGTAATTATTAATTATAGGTAGTTTATATTCATCAAACAATTAAACCATTTTGAAAGTTGATATTTCATATTAAATATATAATATAACACGGGATTTGTAATTTGTATGATGATATTTTTATTTTGGTAACAGCTCAAAGGTTGGTTGGTACCAATTTTCCACTCCTGACGCTTCTCCGTTTTTCTTATTAGTTCACAATTACAGACATAATGCAGGCCATTTTTTTTATTATTATTATCATCTTCTATTATTTGACTAATTTAGTCTAATGGTGGTCGCTCTTCGTTATTATTTCCCTCAATGGCATCTTTTATTATTTTGCTAAGTACACAGTTTTGGCGTAGTGTGTGTCCAATTAAATTAACCCTAGTTGTTTTTAAGGTTTTCAGAAAGCTTCTTGTTTCTTCGGCTCTTCGATAATTTCTTCATTTGTTATGTGTTCTGTTTAGACTATTCTAAGCAGTCATCTGTAACATCATGTTTCAAACGCTAGGAGCATTTTTTCTTCTATTTTATCTATGGTCCATGTATCACTTTCATACAATGCTATGCTCCAAACATAAGCTTTTAATCAATTTGTTTTCATTTTTATGTAGATATTTCTAGATATAAACAAATTTTATTTACTCTAAAATACGCATTTAGCCTAATTTATTATACTTATTATCTCCTTGTTACTACAGCCTGTTTCCCATTTTTGATGAGATATAATAGGAATATTAAACCTAGATTTAGATATTCCTATGCAGTTTTCAACACAACATTTATCCAAACGAGCCATATCAATCCCAATCAACTAAAATTAATTTAATTTAATGAAATCGTATAAACATTAAAATATATTTAAGTAAGGATGTTAAATAAAGTAATTTTAAGATAATATAATATTTTGCAAAATGCGAAGGATACATTATATCAATGGCCATTATCTAATTTATATATGATAAAACTAGATTACGCTATAGTAGCTTTGCCGCAATAGACATAAATGGCTGTGGCCGCAGCGTAAGTTGATCCGTGATTGGTGGTCACATTGTTAAATATCACCCACTTCAATTTTATTTCATTACGGCTACCAAAGATAATATAAGAATTCTTATATTATCTATGACGGCCACAGATATAAAAATACTGTATGTTTTATATGGGTAGCTACAGCTGCCACGAAAGTCAACTACTGCTATTATATACTACATCGAACATATTACTTTAAATAACAACTGTTCCGAACATAAATGTTACGAATGTGTATTACTCCGAAATTCAATTAAACTTGATAAAAACTGTTACGATAGATAATAATTCGAATTGATTTATTTGTAGTGACGTAACTTCGCTTTTGTGTTACGGCGATATCTTTAAATCATATACTATTCCTGTCATCACATTGTTCGTTTTTAAAAAATTCATACCACATTATTTTATGTTACCTATTTTTACTTTAATTTTGTCATAAATATCTCAATCATTTCATCGTTAAGTTTAAATCATAGATAATTATGATTACATAAGACAATCATGTATACCTATTCATTATGTATATTAAATCATTTTTCAATCCATAAAATACCTCTTTTATGTGCTTTATTTATCCTAAAAAATATATTGAAAAAGTCTGTATGTAAAAAGCAGGTATTCAGAAGTCGATAAAATATTCTTACAGTATCGCTTACTATAAATGGATTGGATCAGGATATCATCAAAACTATTCTTTCTCTGTCCATTTAGTCAATTTGTTTGTACTTATAAATTGTGATTCGAATCTACTCAATGGAACCTAGTTACATATAGATTTTCAATGTGAAAGCAATAGATATAAGTAGAATTTGTTAACAAAATTTGCAGTTTTAGAACTTATATATACATACTTTTGCTTGATAATACTGCATTGTCTCTGTTTTATGGCTGCCGATAAGACTTGTACTTATTATATTATTACACTGCAGGATATTCGAAAATTAATCGTGATAAAACAAAAATATATTTTCTTAAAAAGTTTCTTCTAAATCAATAGGCAATCCAGTTCGGGTAAAAAAACATTCAGATTTTTAACAGGCGATCCTAAATTTTAATCCGCACAAAAGTGACGGTACAACTGCGTACCCTCTATTAGCCTTAGGCTAGTCGGGAAACGCAGCGATTCAGGACAAGCCCTGGATGCATGACAATACATCAAAGCGCGGCCCCAGCAACCACTACCCAATTTGCTTTGCTGTCTGCCAATGGTTCAGCCGCTGTCAGGTGAGTAAACCTTGGCTTGTTTAACCACTACTTAACGGAAACACACATGCCCATCCGAATCCAACTGCACGATGCATCATGGCACAAGACCGCGGCCGATACCAGGGCTCCGGAGACCATCCGGACTACTTTTCATAAATGTCAAAAATAGGACACATTTTGACACCCAAATACTGCAAAGCAGATGATCAGTCCGGAAAAATTCAAACCGAAGGCAGCCAGGAGCCTTCCGATACGCGTTTATTAACAAACCTCCATTGCCAGAGGTGAGTGGGCTAACCAAAGGTATCCCACAATGCGACCTGACGGCCAGAGCGTGAAAAGACCACCGATAAGCCACGCGGAGAGGCGAGCCCGTAGTCTCGTTCTCTCACCGGATACAACCTCAGTGGAGAAATACCGACACTCGCCCGCCCATTGACAAATGTTCGTTTCACGTTGAGGGTAAATCGAGGCCCGTGCACTCTAGCAAGATCTGGGAGTAAAGTACTTCCTCCGGACTCTCCAGGAAACCACACAGAACCGACCAAGAAATTAATTCCAGCTGGAACCCTTGACTGTGGTTTCACTAGATTCAGATTTTAAATAATTATTAAAAAAATATGATAGTTAACAAATAACAATTATTATTTATCAATATGAAGGTGACAAAATGTAAAGTTAAATGATTAATTCAAAGTAAAAATTCATCTATTTGAATTTTGATAAAAACTTTTTTGAAGTAGTTCTTTAGCTGTTCAATGTAATATTGTAGTTATTTACATTCGAAGCAATTACATTTGGAGCAATTTAATGCAATGAAATGCTATTGCTTCGGCAGAGAAACAGATGCTCGTACTAGTTGTCTTTCGTGGCAATGGTGTCTTCCCGTTTTATATATCTGTGATTACGGTTGCTCTATGGCCAAAACACGCCATTGTTTTTAATGATAACGATACTCTTATCGTTAAACACCGTCAATACTCAATACAACAAATTATTATTATAGTTATGAAGTGTATTAACTTAGGAGATTTTTGTGTAAATAATTGGTCTCTAGTCTTAATTGAACACGTATTTTTTTTTTCAACTAGCTTACCTTGTAAAAATAAATAATGTCTTTATACGATGATTTCGACGTGGTTAAACAAAAATCAGATGGCTGGTCTTCGGGTATGAAGCTCTTTCAGTCACAAATGCAGTTAAAAAAAGCTGCACAAACTCAGGTTTGTATATATTTGAACTAAAAACACTATTTGGTGTGTGTGTGTTATGAGAATTTGACAATTCAAAATTGATATTAATAATATTCATATTAGTAGTTCGTGAATATAAAATTGTATAATTATACTTTGTAGGTATTTTTTGAAATTATTATTTGTATAAAATAGTTACCAATCTAAGATACAGGTAATTTTGAATTTATAAAATGCTATATATATTTTAGCCAAGAAGAGAAGCAACTCGTAAAACAACATCGATTTTGGCACCAGTGATTGATTTAAAAAAAAAAGAAGACGATGAATCAATGTTTGATCCAGGACTTGGTTTTACAATTTTTCCCATGGCCCGAGTAAGATAAAAAAAAATTTAATATCTAAATATTTGTATATATAAACATATTATATCTACAGGTAATCATAAATGTTATGTTGATTTCGTTTGTATGATTTTTGGATAACTTGAAATAATTGTATGTTTGTACTGTGTATATAATATTAAAAAATAAAAATAGTTATAAATTATTTGGTGTTTGAACAATTATTACAATTTTCAATTTTAAATAATGTTTATTAAAGTATTTCTCTGTTCAGAGTTATATAATATTTGCATTATATCCTACTTTCCCGTACAACAATGATCTATCTCCAAAATGCAATGAATTAAGACAGGCAATTATTAATTAAATACAATATTGATTTAATTTAATTTATCCCATAAAAAAACAAGTTTATATAATAATATAATATTTTATTGCTACCTGGTACTAGTTAATTATTAATAGAGCCCAGATTTTGTATATTTTTAGATATTGTGACTAAGTGTATGCAGTCTTATGAGAGTTAAAAATGTGGACAGTTTGTTCAATACAGAATTCACATGGAAGTTTTTTTTTTCATATTTGAGAATATTTTAGAAATTAGATAATATTTAGCTAGAAAAAATACCAATTTATTATAATTTTAAATTATTAATATTAATTTTAATGTACCTGAAAAAAATATTTTTCGAAATTAAAAATAAAAACATAATATTATAAAGCATATATTGATGTACATTGATTATTTTTGAATGTTCTTCTAATTTTTAAGAGATTATAGGAGAAAATATTAGCATCACACTTTAGGCGAAACCATCCTTTTCGTTGTTAGACCAATTGCTAATGGATCGATTCGCCATAACTAATTTGCTACCAATTGTTTTGCAGTTAGCCTTTTTGCTAATGGACTTATTCGCCGCCAGACTTATTTTCTTAAAAGGAATTAACACATTTTTAAAAAAAGAGCTAATACTGTATGATAGTTATTTAATTTAAATTTGTACTTAACGAAAAACGATTCCTAGTAAAATTTGGTAAGACAAATTTTGAATTGCTGTAATTTAATCTCAAAACGCCTATCAAAATTTAAGCACTAAGCATTCAACTTAAATTTATTTTTTAGACCACTAAGTAAAACTTATAATAAATGAAAAGGTTAGCTGTGAATAAGTCTGTCAACGAAAAGGCTAGCGGCAAAATGGTCCGTTGGCAAAGTGTCTTATATCCTACTTTAGGTGTTTAAGGAAAATTTAAATCCGAACTTTAATTATTAACTACATAATCAAAAGATAATAATTATGTAATTTCATTATTATTTTCAAAACTGATATTATTTAAAACACACTAGTGCATATATTTATGCAATTAATCAGTGATGTATGCAGGATTTTCCAATGGGGAAGGAGGACCTGTACATAGGTAAAATAAAAATTATATAGAACAATTTGTGCAAAATATTAATTTATAAGTTCTATAAAGCTTTTTTTCATGGATATTATATAAAATACATAATTGTGTAATGTAATTATTTGTACTTAGTTGAGTAAGTTAATTTTGTATTTAAATTCTGAGCCTAGCAAAAAATGTATTGGTTTTAAAATGTTTATTAATTTGTTTTTTTCTGTGGACAACTTATCTTCCAGAAATCTTGCTTCTATTTTTAATTATAGCATCTTTTTTTAAAAGGAAATTCGACTGCAGAGGTACTTTAAGCAGCTAATTTTTTAATTTTACCAGGGGTTTTTCCAATTTATTGGAAAAACCGGAAAAAAACTGAAGAATAATTTAGGAAAAACAGAAAAATAGGTACAATATTAATCAAATATTATTTGATAACATATAATTATATTTAATGTATATTTAATGAGAATAACCTGGAAAAATGAACGAAATGTATTATTTTCAAATCTTAAGTATTATGGCCTTTTAAAACATGTATAACATGTATTTTTTGTTAGCAAAGATTAATTATTATGTACAGCTTCCCATTAAACTTTCTTCTATATCCTACCTTCCCAACTTCTTACCTAAAACAGTGACCCACCCATGGTGCGAAGTATGTCCATCTTTTTAAATTTTTATTTTGCTAACTCTGTGGACAAGTCAATAAAACCAATTATTAAATCATGTTATGCAATACATTTTTTTTTTTTTAATAGGAAGGGAAAAAACAACAACGTCCATTGTTTCCACCTATGGACTGGAATTTTGATGGCAATGAATATGATCCCATGATACCAAATGATTATGAAAGAGTAGTTAGAGGTAAATATAATTCTTAGAGTTTTAATTTAATTGATTTAGTATAGTATAAAAGTTAGTTTTATTGATAGGAATGATGTATTTTTTTAAATTTTATTTCTTGTTTTTTTATAACGATATATTAATATCTATAGTATCATAAAATTTATGCATAAAAAATTAATTGCTAAAGTTATGATTTTAGATTTAAGGGATATTCGAGACAAAGAAAAAGAAAAAGAAGATGAAGAAAGAAGAAAACGAAGAGAAGAACGTAATAAAAATAGAGATCCGTATGTAACAAAATAACTATTTCCCTTAAATAAAATTAGTATGAAGTATATGCATTTTTATTTTAGTGGCTACAATGTAATTGATACACCTGCTGGAGGTTTAACACCCAATATGGACGACAGACGAAAAACTGGATTTACTGGATTTGGTGGTCGTAAAGATAGTGATAGTGAAGAAGAAGAATCAAAACCTATGGCTAGAATTCCTGGTGCTGCTATTGCTCCACCACCGTCATTGCAAGAATCATTTGTATCGTCACCTGGACCACAACAATCTTCGGGAGTTGGCATGGGCATGGGAGTTGCGGCTAAAATAATGGCTAAATATGGTTTTAAGGTAACTAAATATATTATTGTTATTATGTATTGAGTTCTAAATAATTGATGGAAATCTTATGATAGGTAAGGTTAGTCTAATATGAAAACAAAAAATAAAACTAACCCAACTAAGAAATTATTCACTCAAAAATATGCAGGGTGTCCCACGATGATCTGCCACTTGAAATAACTTGTTCTATTCAATATTTTTGATATATATATTTTTTTTAAATAATTAGTCTGTCTCTGCGCTACAGTTTATATATGAACCTTTTTTTTTTAGGAGTACTTAAATTTTATTAGGAATAATTTTTTTCTAAATAATTCAAAATAACCATTATGTAAAATAGATTTTTAGAAAATTGTTGGTGAAAGTATGGTCATTTATTTTCTATGGTGGAACTTAAGGAACATTCTTTGAGGAACAGTTGCTTAACTAACTTAGTGCGTTCTCTCTGTTTTCGTTCTGTCCGTGAAAATAATGTTATATTACAATATTTTGTAAAATTATATTCCCATCTAATTTAAGCACACATCCATTACAATCATGACTAAAGATACAACCATTTGTGAACCTAGGATGTAAAGTGTAATTATTATTTTTATAGTGTTTTAAAAAAAAAATATTAAAAATATTTTTTCATTAAAATAGGTATTCTTTTACTCGAAAAATCATGTTGTGTTTTATGTTTTTTATCTATCTGTTCTTATAAAGGTTTAAAAACCAGTACATTTAAGGTACTAAAGAAAATTCCTTTAAAGGTTGAATGAGAGAAAGCTTTAGGTGTTACATTAGGAAAAAATTCTAGTATACCATATTAAAAATGAAGACATTTTATACACTTGGTTATTTGAACAAGGATCAGTAAATATACAGTAATCATTTTATTGGTTTATTATTTTGTATTGATCACAGAAAATTGTACTTTCTTTGGTTTTCTAATAATAAAGCAAAATATTCAAGAAAAAATTTTAGATTTGTTTAAACGCCCAAAGCTTTGTTTGAATTAAGTCTGAATTCCTCAAAATTATTTATACATCACCAGTATTAATAGAAATTATTGTTTTAAATAAAATATAATAATTTAATATACATATTAATTGTATAAATTTTGTACTTTAGTTTGTTAGTTGTGACTGAAGTTGTAGTCATAAATTGTAATCATTAATGATTTAAAATTTCACATTCACAAACATTTTGTGAATTGTGAAAGTGATATAATATAGTACATAAATATTCCACTGTGATTTACAGAATTGTTTTATCATCCAAGTAATATTGTAGTCACAATTTCATAGGCCATTGGGTAACCAGTACATCTTTAATTATGCTAATAACTAATTAAATATTATAGTAGAATAACCACAATAGGTAATATTCACATTTTTAAAAACTTCAAAAAATCTTAGAAAATAAAAGACCATGCTTCAAAAAAAGTTTTAACCACAAAAAATGTATTTTACAAAATAGTTATTTTGAATTTTTTATTTTTTAAGTTCCCGTCCCCTGAAAAAAAAATGTTCACATATAAACTTCAACACCTCTCTATACTAATTATTTAAAATTTGTCCTAGGATAATGGGGACAGGTGCAGCCACTTTTGTAGTTGGGAATTTGGGAACGTGGGATATAGAAAGGAATTTAGCACATATCTTTAAGCAACGATAAACCATTACTAACGAAAAAACCAGTGCAGTTAAGTTTATAGTGATGCTTTATCAACAATATATATGTCATATTATGGTAAAATAATTAAATAGGAATTATATATTTCCTTTAATAATATTTGTTAAATATTATACTGATTTTATATTTTTTCCTCAGTTTTTTTCAAATTTTCACTTTTGTTGAGACAACTCTTAAGAAAATCGAAAAATTACCTTCCTAAAGTACCATCCTAGAAAAAATTTCCTTTAAAAAGTGTCTTCACCATAAAAATTGGTGTAAGCTTTCACATAAAAAAAAGAACATCTTTGTACAACCAATACATTCTTTGCTACACACAAAATCTAAAAAAAAAAAATATATCATAAATATTGAATAGAAAAAGTTATTTCAAGTGGCATCTTTCCTAACCTAATCATCTTTGTGGACACCCTGTATATATATATACATATGTTCTTTTTCTTTGTCTTTATCCCAACTATTTAACTTCTAACTCCACATCGTCTTCATGTATAACCGCAGTCCTCATATTTTCAAATGCATCCAACCACCTGTTTCTTGTTTTTGTTTATTTTCATTACAATTTTTACTGCTTTTGATTCCTCTCTTTTCAATACCATGTTATGGTACATTATAATCTTATTATGATATTTTTATTGATATATTAATTACTATAGCATGGAATTATATATATGGATTTATTGCATATTTTATTTTGCATATTTTTGAATATTTGACCATAATTAAATATTTATTTCATATTTCAATGAAAATATTATGTTTCACAACAAAAAAATCTGTCAGTCGTCACCAGGACGATGCTCCGATTTAATTCCAGTGTTCATTGAAGCTGACTGACATTGTGCAGCTTTAATATATATTATTTATTTATTATGCACCAACTACTGATGTTGAACATCAATATTCATTTTAAATTTATAAACATTTATTGACAAATAGACATCATAGTTTCACCAAAGAAAAACTTGAATATCATTTAGTAATTAACTTTAATATTACAAATAATAATTGATTGAATACTTTTTTATAATTATTCTATTTTAGTCAATAATATTGACTATATTATTATTAAATATATTATCTTTTCTAATTCTTCTTTATACCTAGGGTACTATAATTTATAATTTTTTTTTACTTTATGATATATAGCATATTTTAATACTTTTTATTGCATATAAATTTGAGCTCTAATTATGATGTTCAATGTTTGAGTTATTATTAAAAATAACAAACATTGATAAAATCTATCCAAGTTGATTCTTTCTTTTTCACATTAATATTTAATTTACAGACATTGAATAGGTTACAAAATTCATAAATATTCATGATGTATTATTAAAATAAATCTTAAGGAAAATTTATTTGTGATTTTTTTTGCCTTAAAAATGTTTTTAATTCAAAATTATATTAATTAATTTGTATTTAGTAACATAAGAATAGATATAATTATATTTAATATCTAGGAGGGACAAGGTTTGGGAAAGAAAGAACAAGGCATCTCAGTAGCATTACAAGTGGAAAAAACAAGCAAAAGAGGAGGTAGAATTATTCACGAAAAGCCGGGTGGTAATATTTCACCTCCTCCATTGGTGCCTATGGTACAAGATGATTTTGTAGCACCTGCTCCTCCACCTCCTAAACCATTACAAAGTATTACAGAAATTATGAAGGAACAATCAAAGGTAAAAAATTAAAACCGTTTTATATCATCAATATTAACTTAATTGAAAAAAACAACAATAGGTAGTACTATTACGAAATATGGTTGGACCGGGTGAAGTTGATCAGGATCTTGAACCTGAAGTAAAAGACGAATGTAACACCAAATATGGGGATGTTAACAGAGTAGTTATTTATGAAGTTCCAAATGTAGATCCTGAAGAAGCTGTACGCATATTTGTAGAATTTAAACGTATAGAATCAGCAATAAAAGGTGAAATTATTATTATACATTTAATTCTGATAATTCTTTAAACTATATTTATTTATTATTTTATATTTTATTACAGCTGTGGTAGACTTAAATGGCAGATTTTTTGGTGGTAGACAAGTAAAAGCTGGATTTTATAGCGCAGAGAAATTAAACAGTTATCAGCTGCTTGATTAAAACAAATTAGTTAATAGAAATAATTTTTTTATTGTACAATTTTAATTCAATTTAATTTGGATTAATTTTTTAATTTTTTATTATACAAAATAAATTTAATTTTCTTCGAATGCAGTAAAAACTATTTTATTATTATAATAGTATTCTAGAGGGACCAGATAAAATAATTTGTTTAATCTAATATTTTCTATAAATGGTTTTTTTTTAAATGTATGTATCAATTTCAATTTAACTTCCAAACAGACGAAGTAGAGAATCCTCGATTTTCTAAACAACAATTTTCTGTTAATTTGTATTCTGCAAGCTTTGTTAGTTGACATTCTGGTTTAAAGCAATGTCTACCCGGATCACCAATAAGCACAATCTTTCCGTGGTTATGCAGTGTGTTTAGCCATTTCCACAGTAACTCAGCTATATCTTTTGAATAAAACATATCACCAACAATAATAACATCCCATTGTGAACAATCATCTGACAAAATATTCTTAGGTAATACATCAATACAGATGTTGTTTAATTGAGCATTTAATTTAGCTGCTACACATGCAACTGTTAAGACCGATAAAATATATTGTATACAATTAAAATTTTAATGTACATTTTTTTTCAACAATAAGCACCTGGGTCTATGTCGTTAGCTGTAACTTGACTGGCACCTGCAATAGCTGATGCTAAAGCGCATGCTGCACTACCGCTACCAACATCCAATACTTTTTTGTTATTAACATATTGACGGTTATCCAATATAAACCTAAGATATAAAGATATACTAAATATAATATGTGACAGTAATTTATTATTAAAATAAAAGTAAATGGTTCTCCCTTCCCATCTTCTATTCATCATCATAAATACATATACTCTACATGTCTTCATATTTTCCCCTATAAACTTTTAGCCACTTTTTTTTTCCTAACTTCCATTTATACTCAACTCATCAATCTTCTGTTGAAACACATTTTTTAATTTCCAAATAGATAAAATTAAATTGTTGATTTCTTATATTTATTTTTAATAATTTTTATTGTGCACAATTCATTGGTTAGGTAAGTGGAGGAAAATTGTTCTGTTTCCAAAGTGTTCTAGAATTTTCAGCTGAAGGTATGTGTCCATTAAATATGATATGGTCATCCAGTATAGAAATGAAAATAAGTTAGTTGGTTTTCAATTTCCAAAATATTTGTGATAAAAACAAGGTTTTATTCTATGGTTTTATTGTGTTTTATTCATATTATGAAAATGATTCAACTGAACTGCCCAATTCTGATAGCACATTTCTCGGCATGAAAAAGTTCATTTGTTTGATTCGAGAATTTTCGGAAAACTGGGTGGATGCTAAACTAAATTTATACCAGAAATATAAATAATTTAATGTTTTTGTTATATACCTACCGCACATTTTTTTTTACCTCGATATAGCTTGACCACCAGGCCAATAAAATGCCCAAAATGGATCATCAAATTCACATTGATCAGCAGGTGAATGCCACAGTTTGCATTGCTCTGTGATCAAATACAATTTAATTTCTGGAGTCAAGTGATTTGTTGAAATGACCGTTAAATCTTTAATTTTTTTAGCATAAAGTTCACTAGGAGTACAATAATTTTTGAAAATCGTTTTCATTGAGTTTACAATAAATTGTAACCTAACGTTCATTTTAATAAATTTTATCAAAATGCATGACAAAATAGATTTAATAAAATATAATAATGTATAACAATTAAAGATAATATGGACTCGCAACAGTACTAAAGAAAACAATGTTGTTGGTCTTTTTGAAACGAAGTTTTCGCAGAGGGGGAACACGGTGATTGAAATCATGAACTAAGATAATTATACTACTCATATTACTTATACTTGTATAATATATGATAAATTATCTCAGTTCATGATTAAAATAAAAAGAGATAATTAAAAATTATATCACACTCAAACTCAACGGGCTTAAAATATTTGTTCCACAGTATATTTGTGCCACAAACCATTTGTTATCATAATTGACATAGGTACCTGTAAAAATCTGGAACGTACAATTCTTGAAAATGCAAATCTGGAAAGTATTTTATCAATGTCAGAGAACGGTTACCGTACCTTTTTTTTAATAAAACAATTATTAGGTGTTATTATTAAGTGCATAGGTAAAATTTGAAAAATTGGGATATATATATAATTATATATAGAAATTCAGATATTTTTATTCGAAGTTGGTGACACTGTATCAATAGAAAATTATTTTTCAAGATTTGTACATTCCAAGTTTACGGTTCAAATTTCGATAACCGTAAAACTCTGGATTCAAGATTTGTATTTTCAAGAATTGTACATTACAGATTTTTACAGGTACCGGCATTTTATTGTGATCACGCTTTATTCATAAAACAAATGTCCACTGGAAGAAATTTTCGCGGAACATAAGTCCGATGGAACAAATGTTTTTGGAAGAAACGGGTTACATCCTAAACGTATTAAATGATAATAACATAATGATAAGGCGTGTTCTACTGTCCTGCGTGAATACTTGTATAAACCCAATGAAAATTCAAATCTGGAAATTATGAACCGTATAGACACCCCCCAAATTTGAACATATTTTATCACGTTATTATATTATACTTAAATTTTAATATAGTTAATGGAATCCCCAGAATATTTTTACATTAATTTGTATAAAGTTTATCAAGATTCCCCTACATATAACAATTTACTTTCCCCAAATCGTTTCTTGGCTGTGCTATTTATTGAGATACATAATATTTTCTTTGGTTATTTTGTTTTCAATTTATATTTGCGATTTTGTTTAAATTATTTTTTATTATTTAATTATATAATGGGATCTGAAATAAAATGTTCGATATGTCACAAAAAATTTGAACATACATTTATTTTAAACATGGAATATTCATAATATCAAACCAGAGTTCACCAATTTTTAGTGAGATATTTGCAAAAAATACAGTAGATACACACATCAAATAGTTTAATCAAACCAATGGGAAAAATAATGAAATTAGATTAAATAACTTGTCCTAATAGTAAATGTAAAGAACCAATGTATTTGTATGTTAATTTTCACTTAATATTCACTTATCTCAAATAAATACATTTGATGAAAAAGTGAAAGAAATAGAATTTTTAAGCATCTATAAAACAATTTCATAGTTACCTCGAAAATGTCATACAAGATTTGAAGTCATGAATTATGTTAAACTAAAATGAAAGAAATATGATGAAAAAAAATAATGACATAAAATATGCATTGCCTTATAGGGATAGACATTTCGCAAAGGTCGTGGGATTAACTATTGATTTAAATTATAATATTTATTAAACATTCGTTAATAACATTCTAATATTTCCATGGGTGATTGTTACCTACAACTAATGATGATAATACTTATATTTATGTATACTATGATGTATTATTTAATATTTTACTATATTGTATACAAACCGGGGTAACTGTTTAAAAATCTAAGAATCTAAAAATTTGAGAGTTCAGAAAAAAACTAGAGATGAGATAAAGTTTTAAAATAATTACTCCTGTGAACTTGGCAGCATAATCTAACAAATTTGTTGGTGGATTATTGGATATAATTTTCACTGAGGGCTCGTTCCCAATTTTGAGCTGCTAAATTCACACCAGCAGCACAACTGTTGGACAACATTCAGAATTTGATGGCTATTATTTTCATGAGGGTGAGAATTTGAACTATCGTGTATCCAATATAAGTTCAGGCTAGGTGTTTGTGTGTTATAATTTTTTTTATTCTTTGCAAGTTCTTCTTGATTTTGTCAGTTATACTGATGTTATTGAGTATTCTCCAATTGTTTTTGCCAAAGTATAATTTTAAAATGGTTATTATATAAAAGGTTTTTACATGTGATCTGAAGTCCTGAAACAGATATTTGAAGTAAACATACTTGCCCAAGAAATATAGATGAAAGGTTATATACACTAATCTCTTATTTATTGTCACTAAATCACACTAAAAATCATATATTAGGGATCTGCGTATATGTGTTTTCATTTTGAAAATATTATACAGACCTCTTAAATTATAATTAAGATATTTAAGGTAATAAAATGCAATTGACTATCTATTTTTTATGAATATGAATACCTAATAAATTCTTAGTTTTGATTTTTATGATAATTTGTTAATATAATAAAAAGTGTGTTGAAATACGAGAATATTTATACTTTCAAATAAGAGAAACAAAATCTCTGAGTTGACTATTGTGTAAAATAAATAAATAAGTAATAACATAGTTAGAAAATATGACATTTTATTTAAGTTTATGTTAATTATGTACTTAGTTACCAAATTTCAGAAATATATATTACACTATATATATATATATGTGCAATAGCACATACATTATTGTAGTCGTGAGATTGTGAAAATTATGATAAATGATAATATTATTATGACGATAAGAAATAAAGTAAAACATTTTGGATACATCTACATAATTTAATATTTATCACTTATAATAAAAATAAATAAACATAACATAAATAAGTTGAATAATTTATTCAATTATTGAATTATTTTTTGAAATCAATATATTTTAATTGCTATTTTAGTTATACAATTATCAAAAATCCATATTATTTAAACACTGACAAGTATACCATTACCATCAAATAATGACATCAATTGGGCTCTGACAGTCATCGCCGATCTGAAATCGTCATTCTTCACTAGTACATTAAACCATTAATAAGACTTTTTTGTATATTCAATGATAAATGTTATATACTCATATATTTACTTCAAAATACATTAAATATGTGTTCCATCAATTGGACACTACATGAATGTTTATTTACAAATATTCAAAATTTGAATAAATAATACCTCGTAGTTAGTTATTGTTTTATGATTTTTTAGGTTTTAAATGGTCATCTTGCGTAAAATATTACATATCAGCTAACTATAATTGTAGCACATAATTTGATAAATATTATAACTATTCTGCATCAAAGTAAAAAGAAGTCACCCGTATAAAAAACATATGCAGCACAACATACTCTTATAGTAGAATAAAAAAATTACAAAACCAAATGCATTGATTTTTTATTGGATACATGAAAGTTCAAATTCTTACCCTCGTAAAATTAATGTCCAACAAATTCTGAAAATTGTCCAATAGTATCTAATAAATCAAGATGAACATGTTTAGCACAAAAGAATGTTCTAACAAACATTTGCACTGCTGGCATGAATTTAGTAACACAAAATTGAAAATTGGCTTCCTGATGAAAATAATGTCCAACAATCCACCAAAAAATTTGTTAGGTTGATTGGATCAATGTCTGCTTATGTTTACAAGGGTAAAACAATGAGTGTTCCATCATTTTATCAAACATGTGTTTCTCATTCTTGTACAAAAATAGGTACAAAGAATAATCTTTTACTACAACTTATACATAATCTTTTATTGTATACAATTAAATTTGTGTTTGTATAATTTTATGTATAACTAAATAATTTAATGAAACCTGTTATTTAATCTTGATTAAATTATTTGTTCAATTTTCTTGTACAAGCAATTGGATTGTGTATTTTAGATTAACTTATAAGAGCTTAATTTTACTTTTAATAATTGCATACTAAAAAAAAATTCAGATACTACTTTACTTTGACAACTTTTTGAGAAAAAAAGTCTAATAGTGTAGATTAGTTCTAAAGATTTATAAATTATACATAAGTAAAATATTATTTAATTATATTAAACGAAAAAAAAATTCAAAATAATAATATTTATGGTAACACATAAGTCTCAAACATTGTTCTTAAAGTCATCTTGAATACCACAATTTAAATTGGCAGGTAAAGCAACATCTGCAAATAATAAAATATTGATATTACATAATATCAATTTGACAATTTTAATTGATATATTTATTACTAACCAATTTTTTTAGGATATGCTAAATTTAAATTGTTCATCACTTCAATAAATTCATCCAACGACTTTGTAAGACGTGGATTATAACTCTTTTCTTCTCCAACTGTTGTAACAGTTTGCCCTGTAATAAATGTACACATTTTTATAAATAATGAAATGTATAAATTTTTAAACAAAATTATATCTTATAAGAAATTGTTGAATAATACTTATCTGATCTTGATTACTTCACTCACACAATTAATGTCCTCAATTCTGTGTCTATTATATATGAGTGTATGTTGTATACTAATAGGTAGTAAAAAAAATAATATTTCTTACCTCTAATGTAATAAAAATTTTGTTTTCATAATATATTAATTAAAAGTATACTTGACAAATATTTATTGAAATTTGAATGGTTTTTGTTTTTTCTAATACATACAATTAATACTTTTTAAAACATACCTAAATAATCATGAGCCGGATATATTTTATAATAATCAGGTAATGTAAAAATTTGTTCATGAACAGAATAGTATAATGTTTTGGAATCTCCTTCTTGAAAGTCTGTACGTCCACAAGCACCAATCAATAAACAATCTCCTGTGAATGCAGAGGCTGCATCATGGCAAACATATGTAATACAACCTAAAAATAAAATTGTATTTTCAATAATATTAGTTTAATAATAAACACCATAATTTATTTTGATTTCAGCTAATTATTTTGATAAATTTCCCGAAATTGTCAAGGAAAAGGGAAGCAAATAATAAAAAATTATTATCAAAATAAAGTATTTATATATATATATATATTTTTTTTGAGTATAAGAAGTTAAAAATATAGTTCAAGAAAACATTTATGTAAGCTTTTTATTTTCATTGAATTTGTGATTTTAATTCATTGTTCAGAGAAAAGTACCTATAATTATACAATAGGCTGTGTAATCTATTTCGCTAATTGATTATTATTATTATAGTTAATTGACTGTACATTTTTTTCTCAGAACTTTAAAAATCACAAATTTAATAAAAAAAAATAATTGAGATGTCAACATTTTCAGAAAAATTTGATTATCTTTATTATCTCTGTAGATATTACAATCGGTACATCTTTATGGGACATCCAGTATATACTATTATTAATATTTATTTAAATTTTTCAAACATTTCAAACAAAACCTAAACAAGGTTATTTTAAACTACATAGGAAGTTATTAATAATTATATTTTCATAAAGTAATCTGGGACTCCGACTAAATTTATCAAGCTCTACCTTTGGGGAGGGAGTGGCTTGAAACAGTTTTAAAATTGGTACTCCTATAATTAATGTAATATAATAATTAAAATTTTAATGTACATTGATTTGGTTAAGGATTTGAGGAGGAGTCGAAGCTCCCTATGTTAGTCATATACTCATATACAATTTTAGCACCCCCAAAATTGTATTCTAGTTTGAACTTATGATTTTTGGATCACAGATCATCGAGTTTTGATTCATATTTATCAGGCTGAAAAAATAGCTAAACCACTTGTGCCTAAAATTAAAATTTGAATTTGAATGTAGTGAATATTATGACTATAATAACTATTAAGTACCGTTTATTGATAAAAATTATTGTTACTATATTATATTTTAAAACTTCACCACATTGATAATTAAATAAAACAACATACTAAATAAACATTTCTAGAATAATATTTGTATTAAAAGTAGTTTCAAAAAGTAATTGTTTTTATTTTAACAAGTTGTCAAGGACTTTATCTGTGTAACTAATATGATAACATTACTAAAAGATAAATTTTAATTAATAAATATGTATAATTATAAATATGTAGATAAAAAATAATTTTAAAGATTATTAAGTTAAATTAAAATCAAACAAATTATTTGTTTTAAACAGAAATGATTAAATTTAAATTAAACAACTTATAGAATATGACAATTATATCAAAATTATGAAGTTTTTATCTAAATAAAAAGCTAATTATAAATGCTGATAAGTGATAACATTAATTTTTACTTTTTATTATATAATAGCACTTCAGAAATCGATGTTTAAAATATGTTTTATTAAATTTAAACATACGAATATGATACAACCTATTTTTTTAATTTTAACATTATATAGTTCAATTTTGACTGTGTGTACGAACATGGCTGTACAATAATATAAAAATTGTATTTTCTCAGGACATATTAAACATAACTGTATTGTGAAATTAGCAGTTATAATACTATATCCATATTTATTGTCTTCCTATTTGAAAATTTCAAAAAGAAAAAAAAAAAAAAAAAAAAAAAAATATAATGGTTTCTATAAATATTTAAGTGGTTGATAGATACGACAGAAATTACATTGATTCTAATAATACAAATAATATTACAATTAATTTATTCTCTATTATCATTACATGTTAAACAGTTTACAATGTATATGTGACATCCACACAGCTTTATTGTTAATTTGGGGAAATGAAAAAAACGCAGTTTTGATGAAATAAACTGCATGAATTTGAGATTTAGAACAAGCCAAATTAAATAAGCAAGTTGTTTCATTACTAATATATTAATAATATATAATACTGAACATAGCTGAAAAATAATTTGATTTAATGACATAGATCTCGTAAATTTTCAATACTGATGGAAAATTCAAATGGATACTCTATTACCAGGATCATAGCGGTCAATTTTTATCTTTAGGTCCCCTTGAGTCTCTAAATACACATCTGATATACCTGCTTATTTACAATATCAATCTTTCTTACATTTGGCACACCAAAAATATTGCAGAGATAAAAGTAGGACATTTTTAAATTCTATAATTGTTGAACTGTTAGAATATTGGTCAATAAATTGCGCTATTGATCATAATTGACCCAGATATCCACAAAGCCAGGATAGTAATGAGAAAAGCAACCAAGATATATATGTGCATATAAAATATTCTAAGAGCTTGGATGGGAGTTAGCAGAATAAAGAAATGGTCAATGGGGCTAAAATTTGTTAATTTCAAAAATATAGTTCCTATTACCAAGTGATTATTAGGCAATAATAATAATATAAGGCTATAATTGGGAATGATCCGAAAATCAGATTAATTACTTCCAATATACTTTTGGAAATTTTACAAAAACTTGTAACGAAAGAAGACTTGGAAGAAATCTACGAAGATGAAGCTCAAAATGAGATTGAAAAAAAATAACTACTCACTGTAGTGATTATGGGCAAAAAATAGATACCACAGAATAAGTCTTATGCAATTTGTATGAAAAAGTATGAAAAATAAGGATTAAAAGGACTACAAAGCTGGACTGAAAAAATGTTAAAATAATATAAGATAATTTCAATAATGTATTATTATTTTTTTTTTATGGTAACATCAAAACACTGTTATTCAAATTTTGGTTGATATATGTTTCCATATATCATCTTTAATAATATTATATTTATAATTTTTATCGGCAATATTGTACAAAACAAGGTTGTTTTGTAGTTTTTCTATAAGAATTTTATCTTTTGATGGGGAAAATATTAATTTTGTAGTCACACGGTACTGCTCTTGGACCAGTAGTGTTGTCGGCTGCAGCGACTAAAAGTTTAGTTGTCACGACTTACAAACTAGGGTATGCCATATAAACGACTTGTCGCACTTTTTAAACCGTATCTTAAAAGCAATATACAACTAAAATATGATCTTATTTTAAAGTTAATTTAGACTGTTATAATTCACAAAGTTGTTTTAATGGCAATAATAAATATAGTTTAAAAAATAATTGTAAAATCTTAAACTAAAATTGTTTTGTAACTATCAAATAAATTAAATTATGAAACAAGTAGAGTTTATTGTTTTACTATATAGACATCAAAATGATGGAACAAGTTCTGTTGTGTTTAGTTTAGGTATCCATTTCGCAAAGTAAAGGAACTGCGGTTCCATTTTGTGAAATGGACGCAAACGTCCATTTTGCTAAACGGATAATTACGCGATGTGGATGCGACATATATGGTAAAATATTAATATTTAAAATTATTTACCATTAGTATGCCCCGGAGTTGATCTAACCTCAACTGAGTAACGTCCAAACTCTATTTCATCTCCTGGATTAACATATATATCGGCTTTTCCACCACTTAACTGAGAAATAATACTTTGGCATGATGGTATCAATTTCTTTAGTTCACCAGTACCAGTTATGTGATCTGCGTGTACATGTGTGTTGGCTGAAATAAAATAGGTATGAAATCCTTCAAACTGTTGGTGGTAAGTCAAGAAGAATATTTTGAAAAAAAGATATAGCCAAAAGGTATTGGTAATAAAAAAGAACATACCACAGTATAATAGATTTAAACCAAGTCGTTTGAGTATCGAATAATCACGATTAACTTGTTCATAAACTGGATCGATAATCATTGCTTCCTTTGTAACATTGTCAGCCAACAAGTAAGTGTATGTTGAAGATTCTCTATCAAACAACTAGGTAGGTATGTAAAATAAAATACAAATCTAAATTAAGCACCTATATTATAATAAGAAATTATGTATAGATTAATTCAAAAACATTAATAACCTGTCGAAACAGAAATGGGTCTTTAGGAAAATGGTGACTACCATTACCATATTCGTAATCCATAATTGTTATTTTTGAAAATTCCCTAAGTAAGTTTCGAATACTAGTACAGCGTCCTAGAAGTTGACTGAAAGAAGCTGCTATCATAATTTGAAAAGGAATTCTATAATATATTTATATCTATGGAAAAAATAAATCAACTGTTAGTGGCCACTGCCACTGGCTGGCGAGTACACAAAGCCGACTAACAAGTCAAAGTGCCAACCATAGAAAAGATAAAAAATAATCACACTGTGATAAGGCCAAGGACGAATTTTATTATCAAATACTTATGTAGATGACTACGTTCCATAATACATATAAGCTAAGCTTACATTGTTAGAGAACCTATGGAAATCCTGTTCTCTTATTGGCTCTAACCCTAACAAGATAACAATTTCATTATCAGTTTGTAAAAAATGTTTTGTCTTTTATTCATATTATTTTATTATATTAGGCTATTTTAGATTCTGAGTGTAGCGAGAAGCTTATAGTTTTACAAAGATATTTATTTTTTTTTATCTGTGCGCAACTTTTCTACCAGAAGATTCGCTCGGGTTTCTAATATTTTATATTTAATTAAAAAAATTACATATAGATATGATTAATAAATGACAGATATTAACAGTGCATAATATCTTTCCAAATGTGTAAGAAATATTTGTAGTTATGTTAAAATAATGATAAAGAATAAAATATTATTTCATAATAAAAGACATTATTCCATAATATGCTACATACAAAATTTAAACACGAAGAACACTCATTAGATGAAAAACAATTAATAACAAAATTTGAGATACACATGACATTCATACATCATACATAATTATTTTTGCACTCATATTCTATCTAGTATGTATAAATCACAATATTTTGTTTTCATTGTCTGTGGTAACTTAGAAAAAAAAAAAACAAACAAACTATTATAGAATTAGTTGTTATTCACATCAACAAATAATATAATTTAGTGTTACTGATCAGTTTTTAACAATAAAAATAGTTATTGTATAAGTACCTAAATGAAAAAAATGTATAAGAATATAAATTTAAGAAAATTCAAGTCTTAGTATTCTATAAAAAAAAAAAATAAATAAACAAAAAGACGTCTTAGAATAATGGGGATGGGTGTAGCCACTGTTGTAGATAATTGAGTGTATACCTATAAGTAACAATAAACCATTGTTTATGAAAAATCGATTCTGAGCAGAGTTTAGTTGATAGTAATGCTTTGTCAACAACATACATGTTATTTTATAGAAAAATAATTAAATAGGATTTATATATTTTCTTTAATAATATTTGTTTAGTGTTGTATTGATTTTCGCAGTTTGTAATTAATATATAATATAATATAACATTTATATATAAGTAATTAAAACATTATAGTTATTTTTAATAGTTTTATAGTTTCAGCACGACATGCCCATTGTGTAATTGAATATGACTTTAATGTTAGGAGAGTAATTTCTGTTTCTTTAATAACTCTTTCTAATGTTGAGTGTCTCATTTTCCTGCTTTCTATATAATTATGTACAAATTGTATAGTTCCAAGAAAATCAAAAATCAATTGATTCTTAACTACTTTTTTAGTATTTTTTTCATATACAGCATTGAAAAGTGTAAGATTTAAATAATGTACATTCATAATTTCATTATTTTGTTCTTTGCATCTCATTTGTACACCATTTATATTACAGGACATAGTTGATGCTCCATCAAAACAGACAGCAATCACTGATTCCCAGTTTTTTTAAATTAAAATTAGGAAATTACATAATGTTTTGAAAATGAATTCAGCAGTTACTGATGTCATGCGTTTTAACGAAACAAATGTTTCTTGAGATCTATTAATATTAGCATCAAAATATCGTACAATAATAGGCAATTGTTTGTGGTGACCAACATCACTTGTCTTATCAGCCATTATTGAAATAAATGAACTATTAATGTTGGAGATAATTATCATTCTGTTGAAAACTTTTATCTACACCAACTATAAAACACAATTCATTTAGCAAAATAATTTACCAGACAATATTTACCATAAATATTCAGTTACCATTATTAACATTTTTAAAATCAGTATTACTAGTACATGGTAAATAAGAATTAGTTATGTATTCTACAGTAGGCAACTTTACAAAAGGTATGGATAAGGTATAGATGAAGAACCAGAAGAACTTGTTAATACTTAATCATTATTTTTACAATTTTTCTTTTTGTCACCAACTTTAGCTAGAATATAATATTTACAATCATAAATAGGTGCATAATAAACATGTTAATTTGAGATTATGATTTATGTTACACATATTTTGTATAATAGAAAATATTAATAAAATACAGATATAGTACTTAGTAATGTTAAAAGTATATTGCAACTACCAATTTATACTTGACTATTTATTGTTTTGATAATTATAATTTATACTATTTACTTTAATTATCATTATGTTCATGTTTTTTTTTTTTTAAAGTTTTATATGTTGTTCATTATTCTAGTTATTTAGATTGTTTATTCATCGTTTTATTAAGTAGGTAACTCACTTTTCAATTCAATGTTTCAATAATAATAAATAATGTATAATGGCAAAGAGAAATAACAAAAAAACATATTTAATTTTTTTTTACATTAAGTAGGTATTTAAAAGTATCTATTGACTAATAAATAGGACTATATACTTAAACATTACTATTACTATTATATATTTTATATAGGTATTTACGATTTGTTTTGGATAGAATAAATTTATCATTAGAACATCGAATTTTATTCAATTCCAAATTGTTTTTAACTTTTTCTTTGAGTTTTTGAACCACTTTTAGGCGGCATGATTTTAATTTAAACAAAAGTCAAAAACATATAACATAACAACGTTGGTTTAGTGGACGGTGATCGTTTGAAAATGTCTCGAGAATAATATTTAGTAAATAGTCAACTTATAATAGTTCCATGTTTATAAGTTAACAAATAACAGATATCAGTTTGTTGTGTTTATTTTCGACTTATAACTAATAACTCCATAACCCGTATAATGATGGTATCTAATGAGTAATCGTATCACGGAATTATATCACATATTAATCATTACCATATATATATATATATATATATAACCATATATCAATGGTATAAAATTACTATATTACCAAGTTACGTAATATTTCTTTGCATAGTTGTGTTTAATATCTATTTTTAAGATAATATTTATTATTTGTATTTTTGTTGTCAATAACAACTAATTGTTAAAATCATCCATCATCATATGTTTTTCCATGTAAATTAAAAATACACAGTACAACTTTTATACAACGGTCACCGAAGGGACCGGAAATAATGACCGCTATTTAGAGGTGACCGTCGTTTAGAGGTGGTGCCCTATATAGGCATAACACTTGACGTGACTGAAAAAAATTACCGTTACACAGAGATGAACGTCAACGGAAGTTTTACAGTACCTATAAGTTTTCTGTTCAAATTTCAAGTCTATACGAATATTTTTCACTGAATTACAAAAAAAAAAAAATTTTAAATAAAAAAAATTTTAAATAAAAAAAATCATTATTTTAGTACAGTAAAACTTCTGTTAACGGTCACCTATGTGTGATGGTAATTTTTTTTGGTCTCGTCAAGTTTTATGTCTTTATAAGAAACCTCTTAAGGACGGTCACCTCTATAGCGGTCATTATTCCTGGTCCCCTTGGTGACCGTTATGTGGAAGTTTTACTGTATATTTTCCGTTTTTTTTTTCACGTTTTTTACCGGTTTTTTCTAATTAATAATAAAACTACCGAGAAAAAAAACGATTAACTTTTTCTTGAACTAGATTAAAAATGTAACACAAAAATCCTTTGTCGTTTATTTATTGGAGTAATATTTATTGTACAAAAAATAAGCAGAATAAATATAAAATTAGTTAGCTAATAGCTAATAGTTAATTAGCTGTTAGTTGTCACGCTACAATATTATCTTTAATCGTAATAACCGCAAATCAATATTAAATATTTTCTCGGTGGCTGGCATCTCATTCGCTCAATTCATTCAGTTTAATCAGATCCATACAATATTATTCTTATGTCAAATAAGTCATTTACGAATAGTTTGTCAGTAATTGATTTTAGACAAATACTCTTTTTAAATTCACACCTAAACCGATGTATTTTTTTAAACTAATTAAAGTTTAAAAATATCATAAACCCTAAAATAACGAACTGAAAAAGAAGAAGATATTTTCTCATTCAGGTAAACCTATACAATTAAGAGAAAATCAGTTTGCTAAATGTTGACAAACCCTATTCATGTGGATTTATTAACCAGCAGAGAGTATCAACGTGCATTCAGATTGACTAAACCATGGTTAAGTAAAATGTAAGACATTCATTACCACGGAAAGTATTAACTTTGTTCGAAATTTGTGTTTTAGACCATTTAGGTAATGAGCAGCTCTAAAATTTCAGTTATTTTTTTGTCACCTTTGTTGTGAAACTACTATCTATGTTTGATTTTAATATAGCAACCTACATTAAAACACACTATTAAAATGCTGCGCACCGTGCCATTACATACAAGTGATACACCACTACACCCCCTACCCTTCCGCCGATACTTAAAAGAACAATATCTCGTCAATGGGTTGACGGGTCAGACGGGTTAGATAAAAACAGTGGGTGGATTTATTTGAGAACTACGACAGATATGAATAGAGCGCCCAGAGGTTTTTAAATAATTTGAGGTATACATACACAAAAACCGATCTTACAGTACGCGGTGAGTATAGAATATAGATAGGTATTAAAAATATGCTATCAGTAATATCTAACCGCCAATAATAATAATAAAACATTTTAACATATTAAATGGTAATAAATATTTTATATATAATATTGTTTTACGTGATCGTCACCGTCGCCAGCATTATTATTTTATTATTATGTTAAAATATAATACAGGTACGTTTACTTAGACAAATATGTTACGAGGTCACCGGTCGCAAATATAAGCATAGCGTACATTGTTAGAGACCCTATGGAAATACTGTTCTCTGATTGGCAAAAATGATTATGTATGAATGTCATGGATATTTCAAATTTTGTAATTTATTTATTTTCATCTAATGAGTTCTTCATGTTTAAATTTTTTATGTAGCATACGCAATAACGTCATTAATCATGAAGCAATATTTTATTCTGAAATAATAATTTAATATTAAATTTAATATGTACCTAACTTACTTACCTAAAAAAAATTATTTCTTTCATACATGTTATAATTGATCTAATGTGAATGGTATTTTAATAATAGTCTTATTAACGGTATACTTCAAATTTTAATAAAACAAAACACTTCAGTTTTTACAAACTGAAACATTAAAAAATCATAATTGATAATGAAATTGTTATCTCGCTGAGATTAGAGCCAATCGGAGAACATGACTTCCATAAGATTTTCTAACAATGTACGTTATGCTTATATGCTCATCGGCTGTAACAGCGGCAGCACGCTACTGTCGCGGGCTGATGCGTTTATTTTATAAAAAATATTAAAATATTAGTGTGGAAATCACTCTTCTTTGAGTATTCGGGTGGAAGGTCCGGAGGACGAGCCAAGCCAATTAAATAAAGTAATGTGCTAGAAAGACTCGTTTGCGTTTAATTATTTTAATTTAAAAAAATTAAATTTCCAAGTCTAAGCTCATTTGGTCCATAGAGAGTCTTAAAAATGTAGCGTAAAATAATATAAATAATGCTACAATATAAAAATCATCACTACAGTAACAAACAACTCGTTCAATTTCGGTGTAAACAAGTCAAATCACGAAAACTTATGAAGTTATAAACATTTCAAAGTTGTAATCCATAGTCTTTGCTAAATAGTATTCTTCTTATTGTCCATTAAAAATCAATGTCATAACTTACAGATAACGTTTGGAAGGTGGCAACATAATGTAATCTCTTGTGATATAAATATAAAAATTACTTCATTTAATATTTTTTTGTAATTTTATTTATTTATCAATATGACAAATTTGGGAGTACTAAACACTTCCTATAATCGCGCCCATAATGCTTACACTGTAATAAAACCAACGTTAAAAAGGTGTACATTACTTTCTCTATCCTATAAATAGTTTTTGTTACATGCGTCCTCCTAATGTCCGTCCCATATCCTTAATATCTAATCCTTAATATATTGTGTTGAAGTAAAAATGTTTTACCAAAAACTTACCTACTTATTTATTTTAGTTGAACAAGCGCAAATCTTCAAACTTTGTTTAGAAGAGCAACAAAATAGTTACAGTTATGTTTAGTGAGTTAAGTAGTCGATTATAGACGTTTATTTAAAAAGCCAGTAAAATAGGCAGAAGTATACATAGATAAACATAATATAATATTATAAAATAAATATTAATTGTCTTAAAATATAATAGTATAATAATACAATAATAAAAAAGTTTTAAAATTATCTATGCGCTATTATACCTATATAATATACTTTAATGAGATTTAGTGTAATGTAAAACGTATAGTTTTGTTTTGTTTATTATACAATTATTACCTACATGCAATATTCAATAATAATAATAATAAAGTATATATCACAGTTATCTACCGTGGATAACAGTGGTATACACTTCATATTTTCTAAATACTTAAATGTTATATAATATATAATAAACCTAATACATTTTTACAAATATATAAACATATATATTAAATTTAAATACTAAATCGAATGATTAAATGATAAACGGTGTAAATTACTATCTTATCGTATTAAAAAAAATATAATATTATATATATATATACGTAAATTGTCTTCGTTTTAACGAAATTTTTTTTTAAATTTAAAATTGAGTTTGGTAGGCGTATAAAATTAATCACTTAAATATATTATTCATAATACTTGTATAGTTGTATATCTATATAATCATTACAGCAATATTATCATGTTTAAAATATATCACCATAATATATATATATCCACAAAATAGTATATTAGTTCAAATAAATCGAAAAAAAAAGTAATGAATACAAATTGACACAAGTAAATTCGTAAAAAAAATTAGATTTATTGAAGATTTTTTCTCCCTAGATGGAAATTTAGTATATTTACATATTATTATCAAAGACACTGTGGTCTTTATATTTCGCTATAATTATATATGTTACGGTTAATATTGTAGAATCGGTTAATGTCGTTATATTTATACTTATTGTACTTATATAAAAATCGATTTTGTGCCGTTAGTTTTAATATTAGAGCGTATTAGCCTATATAATCAAACTTAATGGTAAGAAAACTCTCTGTTTTTTTTACGTTGGTTTTTTTTCGATATTTTAATATTTAAGCCAGATTTTTAAATTGTAATATTTCACACATTCGTAACTCGGTTAAAAATTAAAACACAGTCTAATATTAAAACTAACAGTATAAACGGGTTAATTATAAATTTAACTGCATTAATCGATTTTAAAACATTAACCGTAACATAAATATTTATATTATATAATATGTTTCATTACCATACATGTTTACAATTTAAGAAATTATGACAATTCCTAATACAGTTATTATATTTTTGCCATGTTAATGTTATCACGTTATCATGTTATTAAATGTTAAAAATGTTTATAATTTATCCCCCTTTTAAACATATTAAACGATGTTGTCTTTAATTTGATGAAATAATTTTTAATTCAAAACTATTACAACCAGAGTAAATACCGTTGGAACACTGTAAACGCAATTTGTTATGCTATTTTTAATGTGATTCAACTTAAACTCAAACCAGTATTGAGCAAAAACATCCGAAAATTATCCGTATTCTGGATCTGAATGAATCGGCATAGGATTTTTTATTATTAAGTTAATGGATTGCCAGTGTTGCCAGTTGTAAAGGGATTTTTTTTCATTTTGATTGAAATAATTAATTGATATACATTAATGTATGGTTGTAAGCAAATTGAATCATTGATCTGGATGAATAATCCATCAATCCGGATTGGCCACTATAATCCGAATTCTACGGATTATTACTATTTTTTTCAATCCGGATACCGGATTGATACGGATCATGATAATCTAACCATAGATAACCGTGATCTGGATTGAGTGCTTAGCACTGTTGGTATTTATTGTATATATTGTGTTTAATGTCCTAATATAATTATGATCTGGCCTAAGCAAAAAAAAAATAAAAAAATAAATAATAATTATGGTTATAATTTTCTTACCGTGTTAGGAATTGTTATCATTTTCTAATTGCTAACATTACCAGTAACATGCAATATATATATATATTATGTAATATACAGGAACGTATAACCATGCTGGTTTCCTATATTATGTCATTTATTTGTTTCGTAAGCTTATGATTGTTTTTATTATCGCAGATTTTTTGCTCCGTCTTCGTAGTAATGTCGACCGTATTTCTATTTCCGAAGTCGGGGAACCACAAGAGGAGATCTTCGAGGATATCCTTTATCGTTTTGCCCTTGGTCTCCGGGACGAAGAAATACGTGAATGGCACAATAGCCAGACACACTAAGCCGAACATCCAGTAGTAGCCGAATTCGCCCATCAGTTCCGTCATTTTCGGGTATCCCTTGAGCACAGCGAAGCCCAGCACGTTATTCCAGACCATTAGTATGGACATGCACATGTTACGTACGTTAGCCGGGAATATTTCCGCGTATATTATGTAGGGTACCATTCCCAGGCCGAGCGAAAAAGCCATCACGTGCAGGGACAGGCTGAGCACGGGTATTATACCAGTGCCCTGGGTTATTAACATCACATTAGTGGCGTAGAAACAACATCCGATTGTTATCAGCGCCAACGAGGTAAGTGCGTACGTGGATATCAGAAAGAACTTCCGGCTGGCTCTGTTGACCGTGCACACCGCGATTATTGAGCCTACTACCTGAACCACACCCACAAGCATAGTGCAATATTCCGACCCTAGTGTGCCGCCGCTCCGCTTGAAAATATTGACCGTGTCCATGAGTATGACGTTGATGCCGCTCAACTGTGTACCCGACTGGAATACGATGCCAATGATCAGTGCCTTGATTAAGCGCTTGTCCGTGTAGTCCGCTGTGGTGGCCGCGGACATGTGGTCGCCACTGTTCGTCAACTCTGAGAGCTCATTGTCGACGGTGTCTTTTCCCTGTAACCACTGGACCGACTTCTTGGCATAGTCCATCTGGTTCTGCTGAATGTAAAACACGGGTGACTCCGGCACGCAACACCAGACGAACATGTACAGTACAGTGATCATTAGACACGCCACGTTGAATGAATCGTAACTGACGAACACGCCGAATATGTACGCATACAGTACGCCGATGTTGTACATGAGTATGAACAACGAGCCGAGACCCGCTTTCATGTCCTTATTGCTGATCTCGGCCACGTACAGGGGAATGTTGATAGCCGCTCCACTGCCACCCAGGCCACCCAGGAATCGAGACACCATCAGCGCTGTTTCTGTTTTGATCTGCAAAAGTATGATCCAGCTGACCAGATACGGTATCATAGTGAAAAAACCGGTCGCCTTTCGGCCGTATTTGTTCGCCACAAATCCCCAGATAAACGACCCAAATATGGCACTGAACATGCCCCAGCTGCACATCCACGAAAGGGACTCGTTGGTCATCACCGTCTCCAGAGGTGTTGTCTTGGGATCTTGGAGTTTGGGCGTCACTGTCGCCGACCATCCCGTGTACACTCCATACGTAAACGAGACGAGATTCGCTGGAATAACAACAACATATTTTATCATTATTAATAATGTTGATTATGATTTCCTGTGCGTGTAGGCCGTAGGGTCCTATTAATAACCGGAGTCAATTTATTCGACCGGATTAAGTGTATTAATACCCTTCAACTGTTTTTATTGTATAAATTATGTTTACCTATGACGTATAGAGGATATAAGTACATTTATATTAACGACTAAATATAAATAAACTTAGGTAATGACAATTTAATAACCAATTTTTGTTTTAGATTCCGAGCGTAGCGAGGTCATTTTTTGATTTTCCAAGGATTTTCATAATAAATAAGAAACACCGGGAAAAAAATAGGAAAAACAGGACCATTTATTTTCAAATCGTAAATATTACGTCCTTTCAAAATATATAATCGAATTCCGCTCAGAAACGTTTTTTGTTAACAACTGTACATCGTTGCGTACAGACATGTATTAAATTTCTACTCTAGCTTTCTAACTTCTCACCTGCAACAGTAGCCCACCCTTCGTATGAAGTATGTATCGGTTTGTTTTTTTTATTTTATCTATTTGTAAACAACTTTTCGAAGAGAATGTTGCTCCGGAGTATAAAGTGTAGCAATTTTTCTAAAAGTAAATTTAATCAGATAAGTGCATTGAAATGGCCATTTTTTGATACTTTTATTAAGTTTTGATTTCTGAAGTATTTTTCATAATAATTGGGAAAAATCTAAAAATACGAAATATTTTTCAATTTACGGCACAATGATTTCATTATTTTTAATTTTTACGGCTTATGTTTTCTACCCTAAATATTACTACAATAGATAAACGACAAGAGACTTTAATTTATTGAATTTTTGATTTAATTTATGAGTTGTACATCTATTTATGTAGTTTAATTAATATTTATGTATAACCGAAAAATACGTAGATATAACAAGAAATTTTACGAATATAATTGGATTATTTTCAACTTTGTTTTTTCGTTGTAATTCAGGTTAAAATATTCTTAGAGACTTGAAATTTTGACAAAAAATGTATATTTACTTTTTCTGTACATGATACAATTGAGTAACTTTTGAGTTATTTATAGACATTTTAGTTTTGTTAGTTTTTACGTAATTTATGTTCGGTAGGTACTCTGTGGATAAAATTGTCAGACTAAACAAAAATGCCTGAAAATTTAACAGGAGGTTCATTAGAAGTCATACTTGTAGTCAAAAAAAAAAAAAAAAATTGAGCTTAATTTAGTATTTTTTTTTTTTTTTTTATAAGTTTTATGTCAAATTTTTTGACAATCGTAAATAACACGGCCTTTCGAAATATTATGTATTAAGTATAAATATTATGTAAGTACCGAACTTTGCTTCGAATCGTTTATCGTTGATTACAGTTATAAATTAAATAACTTTACGTATCTCACCTTAACCACTACCCGCCCACAACAGTGACTGCATCCGTCCCCATTATCCTAGGACAGCTTTTTTTTTTTATTTATTATTTATGGTTACTTCGGTGAAATGACCGAAAGAACAGTTTTATTATTATTTGATTCGGTTGTCACGGATAAGGATGTACCCTTTAAAAAATCATTAATTACCGGGTAACAGCGATTAACGGTAATAGGGACGTGGGAAGCATCTTTTTATTTTTCTTTCGTTCAATACTGGTCATGCGGATAGCTATAGTGATAAATATTATTTCACAGTAAACATAAGAAATATAATGCTCAATATATTTAACACCTAGTTAATATATTCGTTTCATTATAGTGCACAATATTTAAGTATCTTAAGAAAAATTGCGTAATACACCATAGGTAGTTGATTGTCAAATATGTGATGATAGTGATTTATGTTAAATCTTATCAAGGAATACATTTTAACACGACCTTAGTCCCGATCTACAGCAATTTTCTAAATCATTCGATAAGAATTTTGATTTTCTACGTTTTGAATATTTACCTATACAGTAGCGATATTACTATGATCTTCGCATTTCATTTGATAATAATTAATTTGCAACAAATTATTAAATAGACTTGTATAAGTAGTTAGCTGTCCAAAAATATTTAATAAAAAAACGGTAGTGTGGTATGTACTCGTGTTTTTACGACGTATGATTTTATTCGTGAAAAATATTTCTCAATTAATTTTTACATAATAATATTTCGTTTGGTTTTTATCGTAAAAGAATTTGAATTATTATATAATTGGTTTCCAAAAAACTAATTCAATTTAAATATATAGGTACCTATCTACTACTTAACTGATAATAAATAACTTTAAAATTTTGAACACCGTTTCATAGGTTATTTATTAAGAAAATACATTTATTTTCATATTTTAACATTTACATTGCTTAAATGGTATTAGTATACTATGTAATAGTAGTTACCTCAATATATTTATATTAAAATATTATTATGGAATTTATGTTTTGAAATAGCAGGCGAGATAAAAAGAGTTAGAAAAAAATATGAAACACTACAGTGGGTACATAAAAATATATTTTAATGTCTTGGTTTTAGTATTAGACCGTACAAATTATATAATAAGTGATATCAATTATGAGGAGTATATTATGAATAATGTGTTATTTTTTGAATATTTTCTACATTTTGTACATTTTCGGAAATGAAGTATCGTTTTCGAATTGTGCGCTAAAAATATTTTACATCGCAATAAAAATACTGCAATGTCAATAGTAAAAAAAAAAAATATATATTTTACATATGTAGACGTTTTATCATACTTACAGTTTTGTTGTGAGTAGGTATTCGGTATTCGAGCAATAATTATTATAATACCTGAATGTGTGAATAAAGAGGCATAGAGAATAAAATATGAAAATTATCGAGCATTTTTGAGAAACCAACACATTTGTATACACAGAACCAAATAAAAACTCCAAAACTAAATAAATTCAAATAGCTATACTTAACTAAAAAATCGTCAGAATGTTTTGAAAATTATTTTTCTGAAAGCACATCTTGCCATTGGGTATATCATTATTTCATTAACTTTGTAATTTTGTTGATAACTGAGAAGAAAACGGTAGGGAAAATCGGTAAATTTACGATAATAATGGTTTCATTATTTGTAATTTTGGCGTTTTGCTGTTATTCAGTTTTATGCGAATAAAATTGTTTTGGTCAAGCAGAAATGTTTGGAAATTTTACATTAGGTTCATCATAAATATAGTACATAGTTGGGCATAATGCTATAGAATTTTTTTAAAAGCTTTTATAATTTCAAATTTTGACGAAAATCTTAAAAAAATCACTTTTCAAAACATAATAATATGTAACCAAACTTCTCTTAGTATATGTTTCATATTTCGTTCGTAATGATTTATCGCTGTATACAAATGTAAAATAAATAAGTCTATATATGTATAGCCTAATTCCTATCTACAACAGTGGCACAACTATTAGTAATATCAGCATTTTATATTATTTATATGCCACTGACGCTACGAATCACAATATTATAATAGGCGTCTCGCCAAAGTCAATTTTAGTAAACATTTCGTTTTGGTGAGACAGTTTAATACAAACGTTTGTTACATGAATACATTTTTGATTTTTCGACCAACTTTTTGTCAGATTCAGTAAACATATTACACGAATGTTGTTTACTGGTGTTGTTCATTCGTTAAACATGATATTATCAGCATTATCAGTGTAACCAGGACCGGATTTTCCTAAACGGCGTATAAAAAAAGTCCTTACTTCTTAGAATATAGATGGAATAAGAGCTGAGATCCCCCCTTCCCAATTTATTTACCAATTTTGTACATCAATATAAAAACCATCAATGAATTAATTTAAAAGTATTTTAAAGTCAATCTAAAAAAATTACTCCATTACTTAATAATAATAAATATTAAAAAGCAAGAACAAATCGATTATTATTATAATAACAACAACGAGGATGGGACCACCGAGCTGATTATTGTGGCACATACAATAAACAATGCGATTTGTTTCGTGGTTATAGAAAATATTAATGTACCTAACTGCGTTTGAGTGTCCGTGTCGATATTATCGTGAACAAATGCGATTTTACTTTTTACTTTCCGTTTTTCCCCGCTTTTTTCGATTTCCTGCACCGGCGCGGCGGTATAAAAATGTTAATTTCATTCCAGTACCCGGCTATATATTTTTCAACGGTGCCAGAAACTGCAAGCAACGTTTATCGTATATTATATTATCATATACGTTATAAGGTGTACAGTAGATAAGGTGCATAAAGGTTTTTATAAAATTTACGACACCGCCGGTTATACTTATATATATATATATATATGTTAAAATACGCGTGCCCCGCACCGTTGCGAATTTCTATTTTTCTGTCTCGGGGCCGACTCTGCGCGTATAATTTATACACGCGACGACGCCGCGCCGCAGCCGTCTGCGGCACAAGTCGTACGCGTACGGTAATACGAGCATTTTTTTATTTTATTATTATTATTATTATTATTATTATTATTATTTTTTTTTTTATCAATTTTATAAGTGTATTTTTTTTTTTATTTGCATTCGTCCGCATTGCAAATCGACTATAAACGTAGATTTCTTATATGTTTATACACAAGACGCCTATAATGCATACCTATACCTACCGTATGTTATTTATGTTTATATATAATAATATTCGCCATTTATATAAAATATGTATGTATGATATGTACACATATATACGATGCAGATCTTTATCAGAATGCTGTTTTTCAAAATGCACGCGTACCTATTTTTATATTATATATCCAAGTACCTATAATAATTTAAATCCAGACCCTTGTCGACTCACCGTAGCGAGGATAGTACGAGCAATACCCATATATATATACTCGTAACTTTTTTCTTCTTCTAAGGGATCAGATTTTATATTATGATGTGAATGTAAATTCCGCACGCGCTTTATCTTTGATTCACGTTTCTTCAATAATAAATGTATAATAATGTATATAGAACATATTCGATTATTAATTCATTTTGATATGAAGTAGTATAGGTATTCTGTGATGGGATAACGAACGGTTTTGTTTAATACTAGTAAAAGTACACGTACTTGGTAAATTATTATGTAACTACCATAATATTTGAAACACTGCACAAGAAAATAGTACTATTGTATTAATCGCGATCGTTTTAAGTTTTAAATTCTGAGCGGACGAGGAATGTAGTAGTTTTATTATGGCGGAGTGCTTATTTGTTTTGTGTGCATCTGTTAGCGACCTTTTTTTTATTAGAAGTATTACTCGAATAAAAATAAAATTACATTTTTTTCTTGCACTTTGGATCTTGTTGTCAATTTTTTGATTTTCCGGTTTTCATTGGGAAAAACGAATAAATATTTACGGTGATAATGATTTCATTATTTAAAATTGTTCGATATTTGTTTTTATCAGAAACATTGCTCTGAATTTCAAGAGAAGCATATTTTCGGAAAGTAAAGTTTGTCTAGTTGGTGAAGGAGCTATTCGTTGTTGATGTTCCGTATAATTTTATCAAAAATTGCGAAGACCCGAGCCTAAGAAAAAACGTAGGAAATACAGGAAAGTTTACGACATTACCGGGTTCATATTTTCGGTTATAAATAACTGTAAAGAACTGAATTTTTAACAGAATTTTTGTATTAACCTTTTTTAGGTGTTGTATAATTTTCAACCCATTTTAGTGATTTTTTTACTGTTTTTAAAATTATTTTTTCTTTGCTAACCATTTTTCCACTAGAAATATTACTCTAATAAAAATCTTTATAGGAACTTTCTTGTAGAATTTTGGATCTATTTTGTGTATTGAGGTGGTCATTTTTTATTATCTTTGTAGTTAGTGTTCTTAATAATTAGGAAAACGGGAAATTTTTTGTTGATTTCATTAATTAGGGTCCCAGGGCAACAATAAAGGAAAACCTGATTAATACTACTCCATTCGGAATATTTGTTTCATTAGCAACATTGTTTATCGTTACACACAGTATACAAACTAAATTACTCTTCATTTATATCCTACCTTCCCAACGTCTCACCTACAACCTATTATCCTAACATAACCTAACCTATCCGTGAACAGTAACTACAAGTGTAAATTACTGCAGATACACCCTGCGTATAAAGTTTGTGTTGTACACCGCTGAAATATATCTGTATAATATGTTAATAGCTATATGTATATAAATATATATACCTACATGTTTGTTATAAACACGCATAATTAAAATTAAAAAAAAAAATATGTTGATTTAAACAAAACGCTGACCAGACGCATTATTTTAACTCTTTCCTTCCTACTTGCGTCGTGTAGGTACTTACACGGCTCAGTGTTAAAATAATGATCAACTCGTATTTATTGCGATCCGCTTGAAATTTTTTTTGTCCTCTTTTTATGATAATAATACAAAATATAACATACAAAGTTATAGTTGAACAAAAATTCGATTAACTTTTAAAGTTTATTGTTTCTATGTGTATTATACACTATTTATTTTATATTATACTTTCATAGTAGTCCCGTTTTTATTCCTTCCATATATTTACTATTAAGTAGGTGCATAATAAAATGTGTTTTTCTAATATAACGTATATAATTGTGTTTTTTTTTTTTTTGACCCCTACCAGGTAGGTATAAATATATATACAGCAATTTTAAAATCAAAATTATCGATAATATTATTGCACGCGCTCTATTTAAGCGTAATTTTAATTTTACAACATGAACTTCATGAACTTGAGATAATGTACGGGTAAGTCGTTGTGTATAAAAATACTACCTACCAAGTTTTAAAATAATATTAGATAGGTATAAATGTTCAACATCAATTTTAAATCTGAACATCGTGCTTAAGCATTTATTATTTCATTTTAAAATTTTAATTTAGTTTATTATTATTACTGGGTTTTCGGTTTTTGACTAAAAATATAGAATTTAAATAAAAGCATAATTTTTTAGTGTTTCAGAATATCGCGTAATACCATCTACTTGAATAAATGTGTTTAATTTCATTCGTGTTATCCGTTGCTATAGACTATATTTAAATAATAATATTAATGTGAAATAGTTATAATTTAATTAAAAACGTCTAGCAAACAATACATTTAGTTAAAATACTATTTAGTTACTTATTTTATTATACTTTGAAAAATTATATTTACCATATGCTGTGTTAATATTCTATGTTCTGAATGTGTACATTATATTCTACGAAAAATTATTAATATTTTATATTATTCAAAATACCTTACCCTATATCTATTTAATTGTTTTAATTTTAAAAATTATTATTGAACGTGGGGTTATTGTATAATATAGAAACGTTTCAAAATAAAACGATGACTTTTATACTTATTATTTTTAAGGGGAATAATTAATAATTAATATTATATTAATTTATACAAAGATATTATCTGCCTGTATGTACTCACCTGCAGTCGCTGCGAACAATTGTCTAAAATGACCCGAGTTAAATCGTTTTATGTTTCCTATAATAATCATTTTGAAGTCGTTACAAAAAAAAAAAAAAAAAAAAAAAAAAAAAAATAAAAAAAAAAAAAAAAAAAATTAATTAACTTTATAAAAAAAATATATTATATATATTTATGTATAAAATGTTATATATTATTAGGTAAGAAGTTCCAGTTATAATTTAATTTAATAAATTAATTTACGTTTATAAACCGAGGGAAACCGTTCGAGTCGAAATTGCTTACAATATACTTACAATGTAAGTAAACTTAATAATAAAATAATATGCGATATGACTACACGTGTTGTGTTTCCGCGATTTTTCTGGCGAGACTACTCGCTGTACAGCAATGCCAGTCCGAGTAAACTAACCTAAACGTTGGCGAGAGACGGTCACCAAAAAAATTGTAGTACCCGGTCTCTATTTAATCGCATTGTGTTATGCGTATCCAATAATAACATTGATAACATCGTATACATCGTCAAACAAAATCTCCGTGCGGACGATGCCCGTTGCGCGTTCTTATTGGCCGTAAGTAAAAAAAAAAAAAAATAAAAAAAAAATGGCTAAAACAAAAAAATAAAATAAATGAACAATAATAAAAAAAAATAAATACCTACCTTTATATTATTTAAAAATAATAATAAAATTTAATCGCAAACATTTTTCATTGCGATTCATAGGTATGTATAAAACTTTTAGGGAGTTTTTTTCTTTAAAACTTATAATATTTAATATATTAAGGATTTTCACCGAAGTTAATCGGTTTGAAATATTTCCCTCTCACTTCCCGAAAAATACTAGTAAATTTTTTAAGAAAAACAAAAAAAAATAAAATAAAAAAATATACCGTTTATGCTTATATATATAAATAGGTTTTAATATACATTATACTATGATGAAAACCTAAACATATTATTTAATAAAATAATAAAGTAAAAACAAAATAATTAAAATGGTTAATACTCGTAAATAAATATATAAATAAAAAATGTATGTATAAAAATATAATACTAAAAATTCATCATCAGGTATATCACAGTCAAAATGTATGATATTCAGTTGCGTTTTACATTTTGACTGTAATATACCTGATGATGAATTTTTAATTCAAAACCGGCCGTACAATAATAAAAATAATACACTTATCATCGCATTGATTCATTTATTTATTTTATTTTTATTTATATATTTATTTACTTTATATATTATTTATTAAATTAAACTTTACTAAATTCGTTCACTGTAATACTTTTATAGAACCTATGCATATACGACGTATACGATAAATATTTATTTTTAAAATCAATTTTACAATTCAAATAGCAACTAAATTTACAGTGTACAATGTAATATTTTATACTTTGAAATGTATTTAATATTAAAAAGTATCAACAAAAGTACTGTATTAAAATATATAGCTAATATTAATATTTTGTTAAAACATTGACGGCAGTTCATTAATTTGGTTTTTTTTTTAAATTGCCTACAACGCACTGTTACTATTATCGTTATCTAGTATTTTTTTTTATTATTTTCACCATGTCACTGCTATAATACTATTATTCATTTTATTTTAAGACATTTTTATTTTTCTCTGCTCCCAAATTATTTTTGATAAGCCTAATAATAATCACACAAATTCCACGGTTACTATAAAATTATAACACTTATATTATTGAAGGATAACTTTGTTATTCTCATTATGGGGTTATAATATTATTGTAATTTAACTGTCCATATTATAATACAAAATCAAATTCATTATTCATTTAATTGTGTTTGTTATTAAAGCGGTCGTCGAAATAAGAACAAACATTACCATCATACATTTGTGTTTTGATTATTAATTAACGGCTGTAGTATTGAATCAAATTGTCCTATATACCTATACATCTACCCAAAAGGTCAATAGACATTAATTACCTATCAAATTATTACCAATAGACGAACAATAAAAAGAAATATGGTGTTTAAATAATAGATTCCTTCACCCTTAAAGATAATTTTAATAAAATCTCGAGTAGATTGACGATCAATCGATATTCAATACAGTATTTTTGGTATACCAATCCTAATATCGCTGGGTATTATATTCCGGTTAAAATAACCGGAATGTTGGTAAACTATAATTTATCAAATTAGAGTAAATATTGAAAATATATGATTAATTAAACTTATTTATCAAATTTCGGTAAGTTGGGTAAACAAGAGAAGGGGGTTGCTTATTAATGCCTTAAAAGGTTTAAGGGCCTCGTCAGTAACATTTTCCCCTAGTCTATCTCACATGTAATGTAGCAACAGAGGCACTATGGATTTTCATGATTGATCATTTGCGAATCTTTGGTTGAATTTAGAATAAAGAGCGGAACCCAACCCTATAAAATATAAATAAAATAAAAACTGTATTATATAGGTACTATGAGTCGTGAAATTATGTCATACATTATAATTTATTTAGAATGATATTCTAATATATATATTATGTATGCAAAGTTGCAAAGAATACAAATAAACTCGTAGTAATAATAATTTTTTTGGCATACTGATATTTTAAATTTTGAGTGGAACGAATAAAGATCATTGTATAACTATAGTTTTACAATGATCTTTATTTTTTATCTGTGGACAACTTTTTTACCAGTAATGTTGCTTCAATTTCCAATGATAGCACTTTTTCTAAAAGGAAATCTGAGTGGGGTGGTACTTTTAAAGGTCATTTTTTGATTTTCTCAGGAGTTTTCCTAATAAACGAGAAAAACTGGGAAAACCGGAAGAACGAGAAAATAGGTACAATATTAAACGAATATTATTAAAGAAAATATTTAACGTACATGTAATTATTTTCCCATAATACGATATATATGTTGTTGACAAAGCAATACTATCAACTGAACTCCATTCAGAATCGTTTTTTCGTTAGTAATGGTTAGTAATTGTTACTTACAGATGTACATTAAATTACTGTCTGTATCCTACCTTCCCAACTTTCCACCTACAACAGTGACTGCAACCTTCTCCTATTATCCTAGAACAGCTTTTTTTGTTTACCGGTATTGTACAGCATTCTGATTGGTTTTTCACAGTATACCGTTTAATACACATTTTTTATATTACAGGTGTAACGAAAATATCGTTAGCTCTACAATATTGATTTAATTAAATCCATTATCCATAGGCTATAGTAGTGGTTTGCAATATTTAGGAGTTTGTCTCCTCCCCCATAATGAAGTCAAGATTTTTGGCGATCCTTTTGCTATGATAACTATACAAATTTGTTTGGATCTATTATATGCGTACTATTATTATTATTATTATTACAAAATTAAAATAACATTACACAAAGTAATTAAGTACAAATTTTCAATAATAAGTTTACTAGGTATATAAAAATATTATTATTCTTTAAATAGTTTAAATAATTATTATACTTCATTATAGTATAGTACAACTTTGATTAAAATTATGATTCAATAACGTATTATTATTAATAATATATTATTTGTTGTGTTGTGATTATATTATTATATTATAGAAAATTGTTATAAAGTAATAGTACTAAATATTGATATCAGAAAAAGTTCAAAAAGCGGAATTTTAACCGTGTGAAGTTCTATCATTCTCATTATAGCTGGTTCATTCTTATATAGGTTGTACAGAAGCCTTATATTTGTATTTTTTATTCCCACTCTACTCATCATGTTAAACATTATGGTCTACATTATTAAATGCTTTTTCGATATACATAATAGTTACGAATATTTGCTTATCTTTCCTAATCCTTTTTTGTTTGATTATTTTTAATGTCAATAATGCTTTCTACGTTCCCATGTTCTTTCTGAACACGACTTTGTCTTTTGACATCGACTGTTCTATCCTGGCTTCAATACGTTGGAATATAATTATTGTTGTTAATATTTTTGAGATATGAGATAGTAGGCTGTAGTTTAATGGTACGGTATTCTTTAATTTATTTTTGCTGCTGCTTTCTTTGGGGCAGGTATAATTAAACTTTAGTTAGTGATAGATAATTGATAATGGATAAACCATTACTAACGAAAAACTATTCTGAACGAAGTTCGTTTATACACGATTCGAAAGACTTGAATATTTACGATTAATTCATTAATATTTGTTTAAGAAACTATTGTAAACAAAATTAGAACTTATAATAAACTTCCTACTAAACTTTCAGGAAATCCAGTTAAGTCAAATAATTATAATTACATAGTACCTACCAAATATGCCTATTAATAGTTCAATAATCGCTAAAATGTTTTTGAAATCTTACTATGTCTAGAAAAAGAAACTATAATATTTTCAACAAAAAACGGGTATTTTGTCGTTTTTCCATTGTGAGCAATATTTCTAGTAGTTCTTCTGTAGTTGTTACGTCTATTTCCAGTTTTTTCAATTATTAAGAAAACGGCTTGGAAAATTAAAAATGACTTACTTCCTTCTTCAGAATTTAGATCCAATGTACAACAAAAGAGATCTATATTGTCATTTTTCAATTGGAGCAAGTTTTCTTTTCGAAAATTCCCTCTGCTCTGAATCTGTACCTATCAAATATAATAAAGAATATTTATATTAATATTATTATACGAGTCAAATTTTGAGTCTAAAAATGTTTCAATATTACAAAACAAAATTATCAATAATATCTTAACTCATTCAACAGATCGTATCATTCAATTCATAGATACAATTCAATATCTAATAACACAATTGGTCATTTTTAATTATGGGTACAACAGGGATCAATATACTTAAACATATATTTTTAGCTTTGAATACGAAAATGCTAAATAGTTTAAAAATTGTTGATTGAAACGTAAGCAATTATCTAATCTAAACTAAAAATAAAACATGAATATCTTTCTAGTTTTACGAGTTGGTATATATTATCTGATATACCTTTGTTGAAAAAAAAAATTCTTTAAACATAATTATGACATAATATTATAAATAATACTTAAATAGACAAAATTTCTAATTGATTTAAAAAATTAATATCGTAAGCAAAACAAAAACCTTGAAAATATTAAATGCTTATTAATAGCTGAAAAATTACCAGAATAATTTGAAAATTTTACTACGGCTAGAAAACATCAATATTCTTAATACCAATAAGTATTCTGTGAAAATTGCAGGTCTATTTTAACACAATTATAACAAAAAAAAGAATTTGGAAATAATAAAAACGTTGTTTCCGTAAATTTTCACGTTCTTTCTTTTTTTTCCGGGTTTTCTTAATCATCAAAAAATATCATAAAGTTACTTTATTTCTCACAAAATAAAAAAATCTTTCTTTTAAAAATGATGCTACCCATGAAATTCTGACCAGTTCTAGTAGAAAACATAAATATCGTAAGAATTTAAAATAACAAAATCGTCAACGCCGCGGCATTGTAAATATTTGCCCGTTTTTCCTATATGTTTTTTTCCGGTTT